CCCCCCCCGCCGTCAGCCGAGCCGCCGCTGCTGCTGCCACTACGGACTAACGCCCGGCGCAAAAGAAAAGATACCCCAACATTTCGGATCTGATAACGGGGCTTCCGTATTTTGGGCCCAGCAAATCAGCGGCCCTGCAAATTATTTTCCTCGCCGCGCTCCCTACCACCGGCTCCGTTTTCCGTGGGCCCCCCCAGACCAGAGCCAGGCTTTTTTGCTAGGTAGTTGCCCATTTGGGCCACCGCGTCTGTCTGTTTGCCTTCTGTCTGCCGTCGAGCCGCCGCCCGGCGCCGAGTGGGTTGTGTGAGGCTAGAGTAACCCATCAGTCATCAACAGGAGCTACTTTTTTTTAATATACGGACTCCGGGGACCACCAAACCACCACCACCGTCATGTCGCCCCCTTCGGCCACCACCACCAATCCCTCTTCCTCATCCCACCTCTCCTCCTCCTCCTCCGCCTCGCCAGCCGCCGCCGCCGCGCAGCGCATGCCCGTGAAGCAAAAGATGGCCGTCTCGCTCAAGTCGCTCATGTCGTCGGTGCTGGGCCGGGGGTCGTCCGGCTCCGGCGCCGGCGCGACCCCGGGGGTCACGGAGCTGTTCGCCAAGACGGACCCGGCGCGCGACGGCGACGAGTGCCTGCACGACTGCGACAGCTGCACGGTGCGGTACCCGCGCGGCTTCAAGATCGACGAGGAGGACCTGCTGTACGGGCACGTCAAGGGCTGGAGCACGCATGTGCTCGTCGGCACGGGCAAGGCCGACTGGGTGCGCGACGTGGCCGACGAGAAGGGCAGTGTCATGGAGGCCATTGACAGGGCGGATGCGCCTACGAATGGGGTGAGTCCACCCTTGACGTTTCTCCTTTCCTGGGCATTTCGACATCATGTTGCTTGCTGCTTGTATTTGAGAGTGTCGAGGGGGTGAGGGCGTGGGCGAGTGGGTGGCGATCTTCACAGAGCCTCATCTCAGCCCTCACCTCACCTCAACCTCACCTCACTTACACATCGCGACTCACTCAACTCCCCCCAAAACATGCCCTTCGCTAACCACACCCCAACCCTCCCAGCGCCTCATGCTCTCCGCCTCCAACATGCCCACCCCCCACGACACCAGCGACTACTCGGAGCCCACCACCGTCCTCCTCCTCCCCGCCTTCACCCTCGTCCAAAACGTCCACCCGCGCAACGTCCCCACGCTCCTCTCCCAGATCGTCAGCAACGCGCCCACAAACACCTCGCCCCTGCGCCTCGAGAGCCATCCGCCGCTGCCGCGCTCCATCCCCAGCCCGGACCCGTCCTCCGTCCCCGACCTCCTCACCCGCCCCTGCCCCCACAGCGCCGTCATCCTCATGTGCAGCCAGAAGACGCGCGACGCCCGCTGCGGCCAGAGCGCGCCCCTGCTGCGCAAGGAGCTCGAGCGCCACCTGAGGCCCCTCGGCCTGTACCGCGACCTGCACGACGAGCGGCCCGGCGGGGTCGGCATCTACTTCATCAGCCACGTCGGCGGGCACAAGTACTCGGCCAACGTCATGATCTACCGCCGGCCCAACGCCTTTGGCCAGGACGACGATGACGCCGTCGTCGAAGAAGAGACGCACGACCCGCAGAGCTCAGCGTCGGATCATCCCGCGCCCAACGGCAACGGCAACGGCAACGGCGAGGCCAACGGCAACGGCAAGCCCGCCAACGGCGACGCCAAAGCCGACCTCGGCGCCGGGCAGTGCATCTGGCTCGCGCGCGTCAAGCCCGAGGACTGCGAGAACCTCGTCCGCTACACCGTCCTCAAGGGCAAGGTGGTCAAGCCCGAGAGCCAGCTGAGAGGCGGCTTCGACCGCGTCAAGGGCCTGACGAGTTGGTAGTCGAAGACGCGCGCGAGTGATGGGACCTCCGGCGCATGCGATGGCCGCTGATTACGACGATAGACGAGCATCTAATGGGCTGGAAGGGCAGGGCGCAAAACAGGGGGGCTTGCTACAATGGATAGATACCAAATACAAGGAACAGCATCATGACCATACAAATGAGTCGGCTCCTCGTCGCGTCTTCCCTTCCGGCTTGCACCGCGCCGCCCTTGCGAACGCTGCTGATTCGTCCCATATCCAGCTGGGACGGTCAGACCAGCTGATCCGCCGCGGGTTCTTTTGGTCCGTCTCTATTTTCCAGAAGGGAGCCCCATCCGTGCTGCCAGCCTTGACCATGCGCATATACAACATGTCATCGAATGTCAACGCACAGAAAGGGAAATATGCAACCGAGTCTGGCAAAATCAAATACTGATATGAAAGAACAAGATACTGCCACTCTAAAGGAGAAAAGCTCCTGAAGCCCCTGTGCCCATCACCCCCCAGTGATCACCTTCACCAACTGTTCGATAGCAAGATCCCTGCCGCTTTGCGACCGGGGGATCATGCTGTGATATTTGGCCTAAGATTTTCTTGGGTTGGAGGACAGACAGCAGAACAGGATGGAGGAACCAGTTGATGGGACGTCTAGGCGCTCTCTGAGGAGAGCTCCGAGTCAATCTCGTTATCCTCGTCGGCGGGGCACTCATCGTCCCCCTCCTCGCCCTCGGCGCTGGACTGGGTCGCCTCGGTGGTGCTTCCAGCGTCGGCCGACGCGGAGGGAGTCGCGGCGGACTCGTCGCCGGTGGGAGTAGCAGAGCTGCTGCCCCCCTCGACGTCCTCATCCGCGGGGCACTCATCTCCCTCCTCGGCGGTTTCGCTCGTGTTGGTGCCGGTGGTGGTGCCAGCACCCGGCACCTCGTCGCCCTCCTCAGCAGGGCACTCATCCTCCTCGCCAGCGTCCACCTCATTCTCCTCATCAGCAGGGCACTCATCCTCCTCACCCTCAGGGGTCGACGTCTCGCCTCCAGTGCTGGTAGGCGGGCCGGAGGGAGGCTGCTCGCCGCCAGTAGGGCCGCTGGGCGTCTCAGTGCCGACCGTGCCAGGCACGGGTGTCTCGCCGCCCTCGCTGCCAGGGGCCTCAGGAGTGGTGGAAGAGCCGGTGGTAGGGGGACCGGAAGGCTTGTTGCCGGGCGGAGTGGAGCCACCGGCCGGGGTCTCGCCTTCGGCGCCCGGCGCCTCGGGGGTGGACGTGGACGAGCCGGTGGGCATGTCACCGCCAGGAGACGATCCGCTGGGAGGCGCGGCGTTGTCGCCCTGGCCAGGGACCTGCGAAGGGGACGGGCCGTTTCCAGGAGTGTTCGAAGAGCCTCCAGCACCGGGAGAGTTGTTTCCCTCCTGCTCGCTGGTAACCGAGCCGGTGACGTTCACGTTGATGTTGGTCCCGCTGCCGGCTTCGTTCGAAGCGGGCGAGTCAGCGCCGGGAGGGGCCGAAGGAACCTCGTCGTCCATCTCAGGCCCATTGTGGACGGGCTTGGTCGGGGTGGAGGGCCCATTGGGGATCTCAGGCTGGTCACCCCGAAGAGGCTTGTCCTCAGTGGAAGTGCCGGTGGTGGAAGGAACATCGCCGGAGTTCTCAGGGGTGTTCTCCTTGCCAGGGTTGCCTGGGGTGGGAGGACTCTGGGGGCCGCTACCTCCGTTGCCCTGCTCAGATGAGGTAGAGACGTCAACGTTCACGTTGGTCTCGGTTCCAGTAGAAGAGCCTTGTCCGCTCGGGGGTTGCGCAGCGTCACCACCGGAGCCGTTGGAACCCTCGCCGGGCACAGGCTTGCCCGAGGGGGGAGAACCGGCGGGAGGCTCACCCTGGTTGCCAGGGGCCGTGGGAGGAGAAGAGTTGCCGCCCTCTTGGGTGGGGGGAGCGCCTCCGGGGCCCTCCGGGCTCTCCTGTCCGGGAGTCGTGGAACCAGAGGGAGGGGCAGGGCCGGGAGTCTCGCCTTCGTTGGTGCCAGCGGGGATGGGTCCCTCGCCAGTGGTGTCACCGCCATCTTCGGCGTCACACTCATCGTCCTCATTGTCGGCATCGCCCGTCATATCGTCGTCGGTGGTGCTCGCTTCCGGGCCTTCAGACTGCTCGTCGGCCTCACACGCATCCTCGTCGTCACCTTCAGGAGACGCGCCGGCAGAGGCAGGGCCGTCAGGCTTGTCAGTACCCTCGGCGGGGACCTCTGCGGGAGTGCTCGAACCCTCGCCGGTAGAGGCAGTCTCAGCACCGCTTCCGCCGGCCGATGCCTCCTCGACGGGGCACTCATCTCCCTCCTCCTCTTCGCTGGCCGAGGTGCCGGACTGCGTGGCCTCGGGCGTGGAAGGAAGAGTAGCAGAACCCGAGATCTGCGACTCGGGTCCCTTTCCGCCAGCATCATCGCCCTCGGGCAGGATCTCGCAAGAGTCCTCATCCACCACGCCCTGCTCTCCATCGACCTCGTTGTCCTTGTCTTTGTCGTTGTCGTCGACGTTGATAGTAGGGGGTTTGACCTCGCCCTCGGCCGGGTCAAGACCATTGTTGACCTCGCTGACGGCGGGAGACTCCAGGCCTCCGCCAGTAGTAGTAGCCCCCGGATGCAGCACCGGAGCTGAAAGAGCGAGGGTAGCCCAAGAGGCGACGAGTGCCTGAGAGAACTTCATGGCTGGTATAAAAGGACGAGAGAGAAGGAATGGATAGAAAACGTCGACTCGATAGCCTGCCAAAGACGCGAGCTCAGACCGCGAAGCTTTGTGCTTCGATGCAGTTTCAACAAAATGAGAGTGACTCCCCGGGGAAAACGGTGCAAGTCCCCAAGAGCCACGCTCGACATGAGATGGACATTGACTAAATACCGGACAAGCACGAACTTGACTACAGATGTGTCCGGGCCACGGCCCCCCGGTAGGCCTGGACAGCAAGGAGTGCCTGGACACGACCGCATGAGGACGGCAGTCTTGCATTCATGATGAGATGGATTATGGCGACATCAGGTCACCTTGCCCGGGCGAGTTTGCCCGTGGGGATGGTGGTGCTGGGTCGGGATGGGAGTCAAAGCGACAGGATGCATTAATCAACATGAATCGGCCTCAACTCAAAATCCTCTTTGGCCGCATGAACACATCCCACCATGGGCCTGGACGCGTGTTGAGCGCGCTCAAAAAAGAGCAGTGAGAAGGTTTTCTTTTACAATTCTCATTTGATCTTTAATGAATCGTGTGCCTTGGCAACGACAATATTCTTGGGTATCATTACCCGGGTGTGAGATTGGTTCCCACGACGCCGCGTCGCGTCTTTGGCAGGCACATACGCATGCCAACTCCCCACATGAGATCTCAGATCTCAGATCTCGCTCGCTTAGTTCTTTTCACCAGAATCTACGGATTATCAGATTTTGGAGTTGTATCTGCTCGCTTCCCAGCACAGACTTACACCACCGTGCTGGAGTCGCGGCGCTCGGTCATGGGATGCCCCTGTCCCCCTGTGCTGCCGTCACCATTGCGCAAGACCGACTGCCCAACGACGCGTCCAAAAGTCCATCCACACCGCCAGACCTCGGATTACGCAGGAACACATATAGTGCACCCAGTGGATCCTCGTCGTATGCACGACAATGTCACCATCGGCCAGTCCAGTCCCCATCGTACCTGCGTGGTGCACCACCACACGATATTCGGACGAGGAGCGGGATCGCATGACTCGCTATACACGCGCCAAGCTTCCAGACTGTTTTTTTTTTCTTTTCTATTTGGTATAACTTGGCTCTGTGGCCCAGGGGCACAGCACCGTGCTGTGGAAATATATGACTTGAGATTACCCCGAGCAATGCGTGACGTGCCCTTCACTTCATTCCTCGTCTCGACCACGTACGTGATGTAGACGCAGATAGACGACGGATGTGTGTGGGTTGCGCCGCTCGTCCCATGGTCAGCTGCCAGCCCAATCTGCCTGCCTGAGCGGCATGTACATGGTTCCGCTCGGGTCCATCAATCATGAAATCGACTACCGTCGCCTCACGCCATTGACGATGAGCGTCTAGCTACATGGCCGCTGGCACCGGTCACGAGTGTCCCTCGCGGAAAAGGACTCGCCCGCCAAGAGTTAACGCGAGCCCTCCCTAGCCCGCTGCCGAGACTCATTCTCCAGTACCTCCTGGGCGTGGAACTCCGCCGCCTTCATCATCGCGCCCTGAAGGATATCTACTGCCTCCTCGCGGCTGATGCGCTCCAGCATGCTGTCCACCGTGGTTCCAATCATGGCGTCCACCAGGTCTTCTAGCGAGAAGTTGGGGTAGCCGTCCCGGGGGCTGCGTACGTCCGGGCTGGGCGCGGTGCTGTTGACTGTCGTTGTCGTGTGTTGCGTGCGAGGTGCGCGCGCGTTGTGTCGCGCACGAAGCATGGCCTGATAGTAGGCTTCGCTGGCGCTTGTCGCTGGGGGAAACGAGAGCTCGAAATCTTGGTGCGAGGTCTCGTCTTCAGAGCGAGTCTCGAGATCGGACGGCGAGGACGGCCTGAGGAGAGGGCTTGCCCTGTCACTCTCCCGCGAGGGCCGATCCGTGTCGAGTACTACATCGTTGTACCACGGCTGCTTTCCCTTATTCTTCTTCTTCATCTTCTTCTTCTCCTCCTCCTCCTCCTCCTCCTCCTCCTCCTCCTGAGTCGACGCATCGGAGTGGGAAGACCTATCCTGTTTCTGGCTCGACCCTAGCGACTCCAGTTCCTCGTCCATCCCCCCGAAACCGAGGCTGGAGTCATCATCATTACCGTCGACCTCCTCCCCGTCCTCGGCCAGCGCGCTCGACGCACACATAATCAGGTGGTCGACGTGCTCGATCTGGCTCGCCAGAATCCTCGCCTTGTCCGACAGCTCTTGCTTCCGGCACACGATGTTGACACGCGACAAGTCCGGCATGGAGCAGTCCCAGTCAATCTGCGCCTGGAGCCTCGCCTCGCTCTGCGAGTCTCTGAGCCCGCGACCGCCCTGTTTGGAGAACCAAGCCATCCTATCGAGCAGGTCCTTGGGCTCGCTGATGCCCAGCGTGATGGTCAGGAAGTGCACCGGGTCGCGCCGAAAGTCGAGCCAGTCGCGGCGCCGCAGCGCGGAGGCGAACTCGTCCCGCCGCCGCTCAGCGTCCCCGCGGCGCATCTCCAGGTCGTCCTTGAGCTCGTGGAGCAGCTTGAGCGCGACGAGGCACTGCTTGTGGAAGGCGGAGGGGCCGGCGGCCTCCGACGAGGACACCATGTCCGACGTGTTGTCGCGGTCCCTGATGGTCGCGCGGCTGCGCGTTGACGCGACCTCCGCTCGTGATTCGTCCTGCATGTTCTCGATAACAGTCTGAAACATCGGGTTCTCGGTCATGAAGTCGTACGGAAAGATCCTGCGAGTTGTTGGACGGGGCGTCGTGCTCCTTTCCGGGCTGGTTTCGTAGAGCAGATCCGAAGGCGGCTCCCTGGTGCTCGCCACCGTGGACGACTCGGAAGCAGCCTTTCGCCCCAGATCAGAGAGGTGGAACATTGTCGTGATATTTAGGCGTCTCAACCGCGTCGTATATAATCCGTGTCGTGGCTTTGCTGTGGCTATATGTGTCGAGTAGGGTATGCGAAGCGTTGTCCTACCCTTGGAGCTTGGTGAAGGAGAAGAATGCCTCTACCGCCGTGGGAGCATGCAAAATTTTGTCTTTATATATGTACCCGAAGTCTGCGAGTTAATCAGTGCAGCCGTCCACGTCATGCGTGCACGTCGCTGATGTGGTGGCGCTTGATCCATGACACTGGCTTCGTGGACGGGCAAACTTGACAGCGGACGGAGTGGGGGGTCGGTTGGTGACTCGAACATGTTTGTTGTACACGAGGAGCACACCGGCTGTGATGCATTTGCGTTTCGATTTACGCTGCTAGTGCTATGTAACTTGTATGTATCGCTCATGTTCCCCAGAAAATATCATTCATTACCCATCGCTTGCGCCGGTTCGGACTGAGTCTGTCAGTCATACTTGTGCCTCCGAAGTCGTGATGTGATGCCCCCCCTTATATGCCAAGCGGGCGGATATCCAAAAAGCTGTGCCCATGTGCCCCGTGCTCATAGCCGTCATTATCCTCCTACGTATCTGCGCGTTCTGGCAGTAGCGCCATGCGCATCGTGTCCGTCTTGTGATGGCGTCATCGTCGTCAACATGCCTCATCCAGCCATACTGTACCCCGCGGGCCGACACCCCCATCGCTGCCGCCGCCGCTGCCGCTGCCGGACGCGCAACGTCGACTCCACAAGAGACGACGAAGTCACACGGCCCTGCAGCAACGGCGACGAAGAAGAAGGGGATGCAGGCGTGTCCGCCCCGCGGGGTCAGTTATCTACTAGAGAGTCGGAGCCGCTGCTCCCGCTCGACGCCGACGTGACGCTCAGGTCTCTCCTCGCCGTATGCACCAGCTTCCAGATGCCAAAGGAGACGAGCGCCAGGATGGCGAAGAGGACGATGATGATGATGGCGATGACGTGGTTGCGCTGCACCATGGTGGCGGCGGGGCCTCGTGGCCGCGGTCTCTGCCTCGAGCGGAGAGAAACGGGCGCAGGCGCGTTGATGTGTCTAGGTCGTGGACCTTCGGGAAGGGTCGTCCCGTCGCGCGAGGGAAAACCGTTTGACTGGAATGTGCCGAGACGGGATGAAAGATGGGGTTCGTCGTAGGGCTGCTGCGTGAGCTGGATTAGCTTTGGGTCATTCCCGAACAATAGGCGACGGGGCCGCTGAACATACCAGTCGATCGCGATGGTGTTGCAACACAGCGAGATGAAGCAGCTCGACTCTCGCTTGGGTATCGTGTCGTGGCAAGCAATTGAACACAGCAAATACTTTGTACAAAGCCCTCTCAGTTCAACAAGATCAGGTGCTTTTGGCTTGGCAGAGACGACAGACGACGCAAGACTTGGGAGGAATGCGGAATGCAGAGAGGCGGCGCGGCCTGCCGCAGCGGCGCTGATATACTGGTTGCCCCGCCACCGACTTTACGGCCGCAGAAAAAAGGCCCTGGGCGGCGGGAAGCGGGAGTCAATAAAAATGGCAAGGCTGGGCTGAGCTGGGGCTCCATAGGTGCGCCGGCGCCCCCGGCGCGGCCCCGCCCAAAACCGGCTTCTAGTGGCCGTCGCCAGGGGCAAAGGCGCCCGACAGCACAGGCACAGCGCCGGAGCGGCTTCAGCTCCCGGCCCGGTTGCCCAGTGGAGCCCACGTACCCAGCTGGCGCTGGCAGGGGACCTGGGGCGTCCCTGGTGGGTCTCGGGCCACCAGTGACCAGAGCTCTGCTTCCCAACCTCGCCCATTTGGGCGTCGTCATTGGCCCGTGCGTCAATCCTTTGTTGACCACCGCCTCGGGCAACACAGCTTCAACGACATCATGGCATATTCGTGTTCGCATCCGCCAGAGTGCAGACCGACTTCATCTGAGGTACATACCAATAATAACCAAGAGATGCGCACACTGCACCAACTTGGTCAATTATAGAGTACCAGCAAGCTCGCAGCAACCTAAAATCGTACACAGCCATCCACCTTTACTCACCGCGGCGGCTTATTATAAAGCCAGCCAAAAAGAAAGCTTCCTTCTGTCTCACGCAAGTCGCTTCATACGCGGGTACGTGAAGTAGCCAGACTCCAAGCCTAAAGAAATCAAGGCACCAAACACCGGTGATATTTCCCTGTTCCCAGCCGCATCGCGCAAGCACTCTCGCCTACGATGCTCACTCAATCTGCCGCCGTCCTGACCTCGTCCCTGATGATCTTGACATGCCGCTCGTAGAATTGGAGCATCTGAATCGAGTCAGAATCGCGGAAACATGGGCAAGGAGATGTGCATCTTCGTCTCACCTTTTGCGGGCACTTTTTGTAGATGACGGATGTCTCATGCTTGGTCTTGCGGCCGTTCTTCCAGATGAGATAGACGACCAGCTTGCCGTTGCCCTCGTCCTCGCAAGCGTCAATCGACTCAATCTCGTCCTCCCAAGAGCCCGCGGGCGGGCTCCATTTCTTCGAGCTGGCCGGCGGCGTCGAGTCGGCAGGGTGAGCGGCCGCGCCGTTCTTTCGGGAGCGCTTCGTTGCCGTCGTGGTCCCGGTCGACGCTCGACCACGCTTCTTTCCGCGTGCCGCCTTCTCCGTCTCCTCGAATATGCTGTCGCGGCCGCCAATTGACCGGAGATACTCCTCAAGAATTTCGGATGCCGACTCCCTGCAGGACCGGGCGCGTCAGCCAACTCTCCTTGGTCACAAGCGAGGTGCGGGGAGCCTCACAGCAAGTTGTCCTCGGGCTCCCACGTCATGTCTGACTTCTTTTCCCAGCCCTCCCACTTGACGAGAAACTTCAACGATCCCTATGCGCGGTCTGGATTAGCAACAGGGCGTGGGGCTAGCAGTCAATGGCAGTTGCGAGTGACGTACGTCGTCGTCGATCATGTGCTTCTTGACTGCCTCCACGATGAACCTGCAAGCCGTGAGCAGCGGCGCAAGCAGACGACCGGTGGGCGCCTTGGTCTTACTCGTCCTCCTCGAGATCTCCCGCCTCCTCGTCATCCTCGTCGCCCTCGTCGCCCTCGTCATCGGCGCCCGCGCCGTTCACGGCGCCTCCATTGGCACTCGGCTCGTCGTCGCTCGCAAAGTCATCTTCAGCCGAGTTGGAGTCGGAAGCGCGGATGGGGAGGCCGGGCTGCTCGAAGTCGGACTGCTCGTCGTCGCTCAGGGCTGTCTTGGGCTTAGCAGGGCGTCTTCTCCGTGCCATGGTCGACGAGCTCGGCGGGGTGAGGTCGGCAGCAGGAGAAGTGGCAGTAACGCAGAAGGGGCAGGGGTGGGAGAGCGGTGAACGGAGCAAAAGGGACCAATTCGAGCGGCCAGCGCACGTCTGCTGCCTCGCTGCGCTGCCGTGCAAACGGCCTCAGGCCAACAGCGGCGCGTGGCACAAGAAACGGCAGGCGCAACGCAGGCAGCGAGTGGGGGCGCGGCGCGGCGCGGCGCTGCGCTGCGCGGAGAGGGAACCTGAACAGGCCACGTACCTGGAGGCATGTTGGCGGGTCGTCCAAAGGTGGCGCGTAGCTGGTTGAAGAGAAACATGCAACTGCTGCAGCGACTGCGATTGCGACAGCGAGGGGAGCCGATGCTGCGGTCTGACGACGGATGCGATGGTGGACGCGGTTTGCCGTTTGGGTGGAGGGTGCCGGCGCGTGTGGTTGCACTCGTAAGAGAGCTCCGTGCGCCACACGTGGCGTCCGTGGGAGTAGTGAGCCACAAGTCATGTGCGCTGCGCTCGAGCTTCTCAGCTTATACTCCAAGCCCCGCCCACCACCACCACAGACCGACTGCCTTGGCCGTCCATCAACTCGTCGAAGCTACCCGGAGCTGGCAATCATTAGTCCCATCCAGCAACGCCCTGGCACAGCACTTTGCCCGTGAATTGCCCTCTATTCCGAAGGCATTGGCTCCTACGGTTGGCGAAAATGTCATCTCACGCATGCACACACAGTGCACCTTGCAGCACAGCCATGTGGCATGCTACCAACCGATGACTACGCTCGTTAGGGTATCTCAAGCATGCCACAACGTCTCAAAGCATCGTCCGAGGACGCCATGATATGCTGCACCAGACCGACCGTTTCTCAATGCCGAACGACGAGGACAGCGGCGAGGACAGCGGTGAGGGGCGATGACCTCGTCTTAAACACAACCGAGATAGCTCGGCAATCGACTTCTTTTGACGACAGAATAATGCGCGAGAGACGACCGATCCGTCTTTGAGCCAATGGTCGCTCTGGCTGATGATTGAGGGTCAGACAAGAAGGTCATTACCATTCTACATGGCAATCGGGCGAACTGCAACGTACGCACACAGCCACGACCCCAATCTCCAACTCCGCACGGCCCATGTTGGGGCTTACGCTGGCTTGGGGTCTTCACGCTACCGCAAGCCCTTCCGACTCCAAAAGACGCCGACGTCCATGTCACCCCTGATCCCCCTGACGCCAGCGGATCAACAGGGGCATCAGAGTTTGACAAGCGATCCCCAGATCTTCAGTAGCGTTCGCGCCAAAACGGCGCCAGGAACCTTTTGCTCTGACGCTGATCGCCCACCGACTTTGGAACTTCCCATGCAAATACTCACAGTCTGCTCAACGCACCATCGGGCCATTGGCGCAAAGGGGTAACTTTAACCCAACACAAAGGTGTCAACCAGGAAAGCGTGCCTGCCGCGAGGCCTTGCACGAGCTCACAGTTATGGCCTCTCTCGGACAAGTCATCTCTCGGCACAGCGGCTAAGCGGTTGCGTTGCAGCTGTGGCGCGAGTCGTGAAGCAGTGGCGCCTGCGACCGCCCTGACGGCGTCAGTCGAGATGGACCCAGAACCTTGCTGCGACTGGACATAAGCCCGCCGCCGCCTCATATCACAGCCTGATAATTTGCAACTACCAAGGATCCTGCAGAGCATTTCTCACTCGACACTGCCGCCGGCTGCCGGCGCCGCGGCTCTGGCCACCGGCGTTAGTCGCGAGTCATCCGACAATTCCTCAACCGCGCTGCTGCTTTGCTCAAGCCCTCCACGTCAACTTGGCCGAAACCTCTGACAGATCTGCTCAGGATCCTCGGTCCGGCCAAGTTCAGACGTCCGACTGGCTTCTATCCCGACGTCCTGCCCGTTTCTGACTGGTCAGTTACGCCAAGCTGCATCAATGCGCGGCGAGCTGCGTCCGCATGGTGTGCTTGACAAGTCACTCTGGGCTGGCTGGACAGTGGCGGCTTGTGAGCGATCCGACTTCTTACCTACTACACGGCCTAGCTATGAATAGCTCCATCGCCGTCGGCTGGCGTCTTGCACATGAAGCCGCACTTGGCTTGTGGTCAACATGGACGAGTAAGCCGGAAATACACGTGTGGCACATGCTTTCGTCGGCTTCTGAAAGATTACCCTTCTGGCAACTCTACACGATCGACATGTTGCGCATGCCTCGGCCGTCACCTGACTGCCTATCATGGCGACTCTCCGTGTGTAGTCATGGGTAGCACGAACGCTTGGCGTACATGGCGGGTCTGGGTTGAGCTCATTATTGCCCACCTGCCGGCCTCGCTTTCAGATCGGCCGCTTCAGAGATCGGGGTGCGCCGGCTTTGCAACCCAAATCCTGCCCCAACCCGTGTGAAACGCCACCAACACCAGCCAAGGGGCGTCAAAGGCTATGCAAATCCTCAAGCACACGATGTGCATATCTTGGGGTCTGCCCTGTGCTTTGTGAAAACGTGTTGTGCAAGATCACTAGGTCATCACTTGAGGAGTCTGAATGTGCATGACACAACGCACCGCTAGTCAGCCCGGCAGCGACATACGAATACAGCAGCAACGCAGGCCTTGGTCAGTCTATTTCCTGGACTGCACTTCCCCTCGTCGGACGTCAGCACAGTGATACCTATCTGGGCCTGTTTGGACATGCTCGTCACTGTGTTGGGCTGACGATGGCAGCCACGATTATTGCGGAGCCTACATGTTTCCGGAATCAGAGAAGAGGGCCTTTCCTCGGGATTTACAAGACGATGTCTGCGTCACCAAATCGAGCATCGCCAACAGCATCTTTGTCGGACAAGTCGAAGGCTGGTACTGCGTACGCCGATAAGGGGCCCGGGGACACGGGGTCTGCAACTATGACTTGCACCCCTCTCCTCCCCTGGAGCCACATGCTGGTACTAGCGTCTATCGACTCATGTTGCAACTACTCCGGTGTCAAGTCGGCCAAATTGCAAGCACTTTTCGAGAAGGCTGGACATGCGCATGGACGGCATGGCGACATCACAGTCAAGAAATCGTGGGAGACACCGCCGCCGCCTAGACACAACTTTCGCTACCACACCTGCCCCGCTCTAGCCATGTGAGGTCCAGGCTTCAGGGACCGCGGCGGCAAGACGCAGTTTACCGTCTCTCGTGCAACGGCTGCGGCGGATCTATTCGTCATGTCACACGAGGCCCATGACAAGATTGCCTCTACGGACTTGGATTCCATCAGCCTGACCAACACAGGATGGCTTCCAATAGCGCTCAAGGTATTTGGCCGAATCGAAACCGTAACGTGAATTACTGGATCATCTCCGGAGTCACCGTGGCACATGTTGCGACATTGGCATCTGCCGGCATCGGGGACAAGTGCGCCGCCGAAGGAATGCCTGATAGTCAGCAGTCGAAGACCAAGGCTCACCGAAGCGCGATGAGAATGGAACGGCAAGGGGGTTGCTTGAAGAGTGATAGTACGCTTGCATGAGAGGTCGTCCGAGAAAAGCGTGGCTACCTACCCCGGATCTGCCCCCGAACACACGGTAGCGGCTCTTGCGGAGGACAGTATGCGTACGCGGACCGTGCAATGCGAGTCCCAGTTCTAAGTTAGATCACACGGCTGTCATGCATACGTTGACTGCCGCGAGCCTGGTGGACAACGGGGCGCCGGGAGCGACGGCTGGGCTGCCAAGGCCCGATAGGCGCGTTCTGGGACAAACGAGAGCCTTTGGGGAACAAGCGGAGACTTCGTATGGGAAGCACAGACGCAAGGTCCCGGACATGGGAGCACGTCCGCTGCATCACGGACTATAATCGCAGCGGATAGGGCTCGCCAAGATGGCTTATGCGCAAACGGAGCCGCGGGCAACTGAGAAGTGACGGGACTATACGGCGCCGTAAAGGCCCAAAGCCCGAGGCGGCATTTCCGCAGCCGAAACGGTTGCTTGCTTGAGAGTGGGTGCCGCAGGCCGTCACAATGTTGCGGCGCTGGCCAGAAGGGGCAGCTGGGGGCAGATATGCAAATCAGCGGACGAGCTGTCGGTCACGTTGTTGGGCGTGACGACATCAGCAGGCCGCGGGCGTGACCTCGCGTGGCTGACGGCTGCTTTGGGTGGCAAGCTGTGTAGAAGGCGGCACTTGAAGCGGTGCCGTGACAGAACTGCCTGCGCCTGGAAACCCGAATAGGACCGATAGGACGAGTCGCGAACTGCTGCAAGATTTCAAGGCGCCGAAGGTGCTGTACAAGCCTCGAACAAAAGCGGTCGTGGTTTCCACGATGGCGTTGTTGGTCCGTCGCCGAAGGGAGCGCGGACTTTCCTGGGAACCGGATGCCGGAGCTGTCTCGGGTCGCCCAACAAGGGTGGCCAGCTCTGTGCCCTCTCACCGGCTGACGTATCCCGATGATGATTACGGAGTACGTGCAAGGTAAGATACATTGATTGAGGCGGTGCCGATACATACAGAACAGTGAGGGAAGCTGATGGGCGAGGCGCGTGATCTCGCGCACCCTACAGCAATGGAGATGGGTGTACCTGACTTACATGTTTCGGCCCCAAAGAGAGTTGAGGCCGCCTCCAAGGTACGGGCACTGAGACACAAGGCGGCTGTGGCGGCGCCCTCGCTAGACAGTACCGCTAGCTTTCCTTGTGTTGCCCGAGCATAGGGATCCACGGATGGGGCGCCATCACCGCAACTCACCAGCAGCCAAACCTACCCACGTGGTACGAGCTTACTGACTGGCGGCCGATGCCATTGATCGCAGAAACGGGACATGGCCTCTCAACCGTGCGCACGGCACGGTCTCTCGTTCTCGCTTCGTGGGTAGCGTCTCATTACAGTACAATACCTCTTTACAGTAACTAGCGAGGCGTTCCTTAGGTGGTTTTTGCTTTGGCCGCCGTTGGTCGACAACGGCGCCGCACCGTCCATCTCGTGGAAAAGCGTCTCGTATGCTGCAACCACACACGCGCACAAGCCCGGACGCGCGCACTCGCTTCCGCACTGCCGTCGCTCGGGGACGGCTGCCTAAGACGGCCCGGTTCGATGGTCATGACTGTTGGTTCCTCTTCCCCCTGTCTCTTATACACATCTAGATGTGTATAAGAGACAGGATGGGATGGGCGTGGGGTGGATGACTTGTAAGTGAGACGCAGATGCGCGGTCATACGGATCGCCGCCGCTCCGGAGTTCGTTCACGGGAGGGTGAGTAAGGGCGAGATAGAGTAAGGCGGTGGTATAAAAGGCGCTGCTGCGCGCATCTGATGAAAAGGCGTGTGCTGGTCTTGGCGATCATACAGACTCGGGACTGACACTATACACTGAGCTTCATTGTCTCTTATCCCGTCAGAGTCTCTCGTCCCCTCTAGTCTCATATCTCAACACCTAGGAGAGAGCTTGTTGCAGCAGCAGCAACAGCAACAGCAGCCATGCATTGGTCCGCGTTAAAGGCGCTCGCGCTCGGCGCCGCGCTGCTGCAGACCCCCGCGTCGGGCGCCCCCGTCGAGGGCCCGGCGGCGGCCCCGCGCCACGGCATGCCGGTGGTGCACACGACCACGACGTCGCACGGCCAGGTCATCGACTGGGTGCGGCCCGAGTCGCAGGTGCAGGCCGGCAGCAGCATCGCCCAGCCGCCGCCCGCGTCGGCCATGAGCCAGGGCAAGGCCAAGCGCCAGGGCGGCGGCCCCACGGGGTCCGGCTCCGGCACCACGCCGACGCTGGAGCAGCTGCTGCGGGACCCGTCCGTCAAGGGCCCCGAGGGCACCGTGCCGATCCTGCGCGCCGCCGCCGGCGGACCCACCCTGCCGCCGAAGCGGCTCCCCCGCCCGGAGGACCACGGCGCGGGCGTCGCCAACGGCACCGAGAAGCGCTCCTACGCCGGCACGCACTGGTACGCCAGCTCGAACCAGTTCGTGACGAGCCTCGGCGGCATGGCGACCTACTCCCTCTTCAGCCCGTACACGCAGCGCGGGTCCGACTTCTCGCTGCTGCAGACGGCCGTGGTGCGCGGCGGCGCGGCGCACGCCGGCACCGGCCCGCTCGACCAGACGGTCGAGGCCGGCTGGATCGCGTACCCGAACCAGGTGTCGGGCACGCACCTCTTCTCCTACTTCACGACCAACGGGTACAGCGCCGACGGCGACAACATCGGCGGGTGGAACCGCGACCGCGCCGGGTGGGTGCAGTACGACGCCACCATCTACCCGGGCGTCGCCTTCTCGCCCCTCTCCGTCGACGGCGGCACCCAGTACGAGATGCAGATCGGCTACAGGCTCTACAACGGCAACTGGTGGCTGTGGGCGCTCGACCGCTGGGTCGGCTACTACCCGGCCAGCCTGTTCGCGCAGGGCGTCAACGTCGACGACACGCTCGGCGGCCACTCGGACCGCATCCACTACTACGGCGAGATCTACAACAGCGGCGACGACATGACCACCACGGACATGGGCAGCGGCCAGTTCGCCGAGGCGGGCTGGTACCACTCGGCCTACCAGCACAACATTGTCTACTACGACACCAACGCCAACCCCGTCGACTACGACGCCGGCAGCCAGCTCGTCATCAGCGACTCCGGCCGCTACAGCCTCGTCAAGCACTTCAAGTCGGGCAACGAGTGGGGCAGCTACATGTACCTGGGCGGCCCCGGCGCTGGCGGAGTCATCGGTGGGTGAGGACGAGCGCAGAGAGATGGAGCGAGCGAGGCGAAGACATCATCATGATGTAGGCGTGGGAGTGGACGGTCGCCACGTTGGTGCAACCGAGAAGTGCAGGCGGCGAGACAAGGGACTCAAGGCTGGCTCGAAACGGACGGAGCAGCCACCCGAGGCAGTTTTGGTATATACTTCGGCATCTTGATCGTTGCACGTAAATTCATACCTTTGTACATAATACATACGTATCGCACACCTCTCCGTGTCATTTCTCGGTCCTGCGCACGAGCTAACCACCAGCTGGGCCACGGGAAATGAACAAAATGCACGTCATGCATAGCACGACGCATCGGCCACGTCCTTCCATGGATCACGTCTGCCATGGTATGGCCGCCACGGCGCCGCACCTTGCAGCTGCAACTGAACTCGGCGTCGCGCCCGGCCAATGGCGTCTTGCAGCCCTCACCAGAATCGGCGAGCGGACGAACCTATGGCAAAGGGGCCACGCAGCCGATGCGTCGCGCTCTTTCTCGAGCCCTTCCAAGAGCCTGCCACCGCTTGGCCTGGGCCCGTTCCCTCAACGGGCAATGCAGCCGTGGCGTCGGCGCAAAATACGCCAGGGCGTGCACATGCACGACGCTGCCTGCGCCTCAGAGTCAGCGTCTTATCGCAGTGCAAACGAAGTAAGGGGGGACCTGGCGCGGGCAGCGAGGAAAAAAAAGTCTTTTCCTTTGCATGCAGCGGCTTTGATTACTTCGTACTTCGTACATGTGCGCATCCTTCTCCAAGTGCTCTGCTTGGCGCGCCACCTTGCCCGTCCGCATGCTGGCATCGGGGGATCGTCAGTCCGAGTGGCCCCTTTGGCCGCTGGCGGCGGAGGCATCGCGGACGAAGAAGAGCAGCGTCGCAAACCCGCAGAAGCTGAGCGATTTGCAGCACAGCGAGAGGCCCAGGCGACACGGCCGCCTCGCTGGGCCGGTAAAAGGGGGCGGGACTCATGCAGGTCGCCCAAATGCGGCCACGGACTGGGTTGAAGTACCCACGATGCGAGCTGGTGCTCGACCAGGAAGGAGTCAGGAATGCCCACGTCAGACTCAACAGGGGGTTTGGCTTCCCTTGGCCGATCCGTCGTCCACTGACAGCTGCCAAATGGCAGTGACACACGCCCGATGCCGTCGCGCCATGATGATGCAAGGCACGCCGGTCGCCTGGGCCAGCGCCTGGGTCAGCCAGAGTCGAGCAGGCGAGAGCCCAGCAAAGCGACTGGTTGGTCAGACAGCGGCTGCAAACACTGACTTGCTCGTTGCCCCTGGGCTGCTTGGCCGGTGGCGCAGACGTGCAGCAGTAGGGCGGCCACTCGGTTGGCTTTGCGGAAACATGACGATGCGGATGCGTAGCGATTGCTTCCGATGGCACACAAAAGGGCCGCTTCCTTGGCCCTCGCCGCCGCGCCTAGGCTCGGTGTCGCGAACTGCCCGCGGCGTTGACCGGCCGTTGACAAGCCCTGAGGCGACTCTGCCGCAGACGCGGCAAAGGCCAAAGGGCCATCGACCGGCGGCGTCCGTGCCAAAGCGACGAAAGAACCGACCAGGCCGGACCCTGCCAGGGGACCTGGCGCCCTGGGATCCTGGGCCCCCGGCCGGGCCAACAGGGCTGATCTCCCGAGAAGAGGGGCGGCGCCAACCCCTGGATTATTGGATCCTCGGATCTTGGGTGATCTCGAGATGGCGGCTGGCTGGTAATCGCCTCGTCCGGGCCGGGTGCGGCAGCCTTCATGTCGTCCTCGCAAAGGCCTTGCTCCGTGCACGCGTCGTCCGTCCGGCTGCTCTATGGCGGCCAGGAGTCACGAGCTTTTGCTCCGGACCGAGGGATTCGTCGGCGGCTGGCCAGCAGGGAAGCAGCAGCGTCGACCGAACGCCGGCCCGGCACTTTGTGCTGCCGCGACGGAGGATCAGCGTCGATCGCGAGAGACAGGGCGCGGGCGAAGGATTGCAGCAGGCCGGTCGTCATGCTGCAACCGAGCGAGCACACACACACCCTCACGTGTATGTACGTAATGCCGTCCCGACCTCCAGCGCGAGGCCATATTCATGGACAGGGGTTCGAGGTACCGACGCCGTGGCATCTCGATTCGGATGTAAAGCAAGTGGAAGCGGACGCGGACGGTGGCTGTGGTTCGCAAGAACACGAGGCCAGACGATGCCGTTTACGAATGGTGTTGGCAGGACAGGATCCGGGGGTGGTTTTCCAGCGCTGGAGACGACGAAATACATGGCACGTCCAGCGGCGTCGACGGGTCCAGTAAACCCCCTGTTGGCTCCTGCCCAGACGGCGGACGGACTGGTGTCTCGTGCACTAAACAAGGCATTAAAAGCCGATCGGACGCCAGCGCCCGGAGCAGCCGCTAGACCACGACGACGACCCCCGACCGAGCCGGGCTCGGGCGCCAGCTCCAGCGTGCCTGGACAACTGGAGCCACTCGAGCAAGCAACCTGGACGCCCGCTACCTCTGCCTCCAACAAGCCTCTTTGTCCGCAGGCAAGCGCTGATCCATTGTTTGAGGGATCCTTTTCGAGGCGAGGCGCCACGCATCGCCCCACCGTGCCTGAGCGCCGATGGAGGCGTGGAATTGCCTGTCTGGGCGCTTCGTATGTGCAGTGCAGCGCCTGCGAGGACGCACAGCCTGGGACAGCTGGAGCCACTTCAGCGCCATCGACATGAAGCAATCTCGCGCCTGCAGCGAGCAGCGTCGGGGCGCCGGGCCTTCAGTGGTCAGCCACAGAGCTGCTGAGGGCCGCCTGCAAAGGCCGCATAGGTAGCTTGGCTGGGCCGCTGCACTGCCCAGTGAGCCAGCCGGCGATAGCGGGCAGGTCCCCTCGGCTGGCTGGCTTGAGGCCATTGAAAGTTAAGTGCCCTGTAATGCACTGTACTGCACCGCGCTACAAGGGTCCAGCCACACCTGAGGTGATGCCGTCTCCAACGGCCAAGCAGAGTCTGCAGGCAAACATGTCCGCTGGCCTCGGCGCTTTGCATGTGCGCCGTCTCACAGCGAAACAATGCCGCCGCTGCTTCCACGGTGCGAAACGTTTCCCTGCAGCTGTTAAGAGGCGTGCATGACGAGTATAGCCACTAAGGGGCACCTAGTCAATAGGTACCCGGCAATACTAAGGTAGGCCACGGCAGCGCTGGTGCTGGTGCTCGCTGTGGAGGAGGAGCCTGCCCGCCCGTGGCCGCCGTCGCATCACCTGCCAAACCGGCCTGGAAACGGGGGGCCCAGCGGGAGCTTCTTTTTTTGCGGGCGAGGGGAAACGTGACGTGAGGCGCCTCCCCCCAACTGTCAGTGGACGGCAACCCCCAATCCGCCCCCCGATCCCCATCAGGTCCCACCCCTGAACCGGCATCGCCTGTCAATGCCCTGGGGCCTGTGAAAAAAAATAATTAACTGCCCTTTCCACCGTTCCGCTCACAATTGCTCCTCTCTCCTGACCAGACAAACTTCAGGTCACGAGGAGATCTGTCCTTGGCCCTCGCGGATCGTCCTCGTCTCCTCCTCAACCTCCTCCTCCTCCTCCTCCTTCTTCTCCGAGCTCTCTCGCCCGTCCGGTGGCCTGCTTCGCCTCTCCGTCCAGCCCGTCCATGCAGCTCGACCCGTGGTGCTAAGCCAACAGCTGTTGCTGCTGCTGCTGGCGCTGCTGCTGCTCCGTCCTGCTACGTAGGCGGTGCTGGTCTGCTTCTCTGCTTCTCGACACTCGCTCACTGGCTGCTTTTGCCTGCTTGCTTCCCGGTCTGGCTCGCATCACCCGCACCTCGACGCTCCTTATGGTACTGCCAGAACCTGCTCCAGCCGAGGAGCTGCACTCTTCTCCCAGAACCCCTTCTGCTTTGTAGTCTCCGCCGTCGAGACATTTCGCTCTCTTTTTTCTCCCCATCCCGGGCCTTTTTTGGCAGGCTAATTTGGCCCCTTGGCAGCCACACCCGCCGCCGTCATGGCCACCCAGGCTCCCGACTCCAGCCAGCCCAAGACGAGCGCCCCAAAGGACAAGAACTGCCCATACTGCGGGCAGGCCTTCACCTCGTCGTCCCTCGGCCGACACCTCGATCTATACATCAAGGAGAAGAACCCCAAGCCTCCGGACGGCATACACGATGTCGATGCCATACGGAAGATGCGTGGCGGCATCACGAGGCGGCATCCCAGGGGCTCGATCGGAGGGAGGAAAGAGTCGACACCCGCGGGTACGCCCAGGCAGTCCTCGGCCAAAAGGGAAACGTCGGCTGCCGAGGCCGAGACGTTCAAGCCGGCCACCATTCCCAAGGACGGCCAGTACGCCGTCGACTCGACCCTGAGCAAGTTCCCCTTTGTGCCCCGGTGGGAGGCGACGGGCGTCATCAACGACATACCTGGCAAGGGCTCCTGGGAATCCAGCGAGACGCCGCAGGATCCTGTTAGGCGTCCGGGCATGCAGCGTACGGTTAGCAAACAGGCTGCCCAGAAGGCACAGTACGACGTGAAGCAGAAGCTGGCCGATGCTATGGACACTGCTCGGGCCGCGGAGCTTGCCCTGCGCGAGCTCCTCAGCTCTTGGCGGGCGGCCAAGTCAGTCGGACCCTTGGACCCTTGACAACTGTCCCACCAGATGCTAACCCCGTCGCAGGCAGCACATTGACAACAACTCGATGCCCTTCGACTTCGATCCCCTATCCCTCGACTTCCCCGCCCTCACTCTTCAGTGCCTCTGCCCGCCCCCAACACTCTTCTCCTCCACCCAACACCCGACATCGACCTCCTGGTCTGTGCAGTCCCCAGGCCAGCGCGAGTTCGGCGCCCTGCAGGCGTACTTTGAGGAGGAGTTCCGTGCCTGGAAGATTGCGTGCGCTTCCGCCACGACAGCTGCCTACGAGGAGCTCACCTACCCGCCCTCTGGCAATCCGCACAAGGATGCACGCGATGCTGTCAAGAGGGCGGAGAAGACTGCCGAGAACCTCGAGAAGCAGGTTGAAGAGCATCTGCAATCCGCCTACGACGTGTGGGACTCCCTCCCCGCTGCAAGGCAACAAGAGTTGTGGATCTTGGAGCTGGCCCGCGGTGTCGGCAGGAAACACAAGGAAACGGAGAAGATGAAGGAGCAACAGCACAGGCTGCAACAGGAAAACGCAAACCTGAAGATGCAGATCGACCAGCTGAACCGATTGCAGCAGCCTCGCGAGTTCAAGCTGTTGTCGCCGACCACGATACCCATCGAAAGGGATCTCATCAGCCATGCTTACGAACAGGGCGTCAAGGGCGGCAAGAGTGTTGGCTTCGACCTCGAGGACCGTCACCAGGATCTCGGCACGGTCGTGACGAGGTCAATTGAGCGCTGGAAAAACGTAATCACGTCGACCCGTGTCACGTCGGGCGGCATGAGTGCCCAGAAGTCTCTGGACCAGGCCGCTCAAACCCCAGGCGCCGCGAATAGCCCCTCGCATTCGCAGCCGCAGAGCATCTCGCAGACGCCACAGCAGCATCCCTCGTCCCATCAGACCCTGAAGCGTTTGTCCACGGCCAGCACCAACGGACCCGCGAGCGAGCCCACAACGTCCGCTAGCAACACCGGCCCGCCATCCATCGAGGAGGAGATGAGCGACCAGGACGCCGACGCCGAGATGGAAGATGACGACAGCTTCGCCATGATGAATGCCTCGCCCGCCAAGGCCCCCCACGCCCCCATGCAGCAGCAGGCGACGCTAGACGTGCCCCGGACCCGCGGTCTCGTGCAGCAGCAGCAGCAGCAAAACGCCGCCCAGGACATGCGCTTCATGATGCAGAACGGGGCGGGCAGCCCCGTGGGCAGGGCCGCCATGACGATGAGCCGCTCCATGCCAAACATGGCCATGGCGATGCAGGGGAACCCGATGCAGGGCGGCGACATGGGCATGATGCAGCAGGTCCGTGGCGACCCCATGTACATGGAATAGGAAAAACGTGCTGGTAATGTCGGATCCGGCCACGTCTCAGTGAGTAGCAGGAGGAACAGGCGAAAAATAAATCTACAAGGGGTAGGGGGTTCCTTGATTGAGCGACCAGCGACTTGTATAACGATAATGGACGGACCTTAGACCGAGCGGATTGTCATTCTTGCTCATGATGTGTTAATACGAACCATTCTTGGATGTAGTCTTGGATCTCCGAGACGATGCCGTCAGTACTGTTCAACTCCCGGGGTTTGGTGTGCGTTTGTGATTCTTGTATTGTATTGGTCCGAGTCTATGCTCTCCAACGTCTTACGGATATATAGAGTAGAGAATATTAGCACTCTCCGTCTGTTCCTTTCTGTGGTCTTGTCGAGCAAGTGTCCTATCTAGTCACACATATTCCTACACGCTTTTCGTTTCTGATCTACACTGTGTATGGATGCACAAATCACTTCTGAAGCTGCTTCAACCGCTGTTCCAGCATCCGCACCGTCGGCTTCGGGATATGCAGACGATGTGACAGCACGAGCGCCCCCGTGAGGACCATCAGGGCACCTGCCTGGTGGACCGCGGCCAGCGAGATGGGAACCATGTAAATGAGCGTCGAGATGCCGAGGGCGGCCTGCAGCGTTACGAGGTGGACCAGGCCCATGGTGCCCTTCTTGGCGTTCCTGGGCAGCACGGCGGCGACGCGGCCGGTGCGCGAGTAGGCGAAGAGGGCGAGGATGGTGCAGAAGGTGCTGACGGCGAGGATGCGGTGGTCCAGCTGCACGGTGCTGGGGTTCTCGAGCATGTTGCGCCACCACAGGTCCGAGTTGTCCTCGCGGCGCGAGTAGAACTTGTCCCAGAGCTCGGACCGGGGCGGCGTCAGGCCGAGGCCCATCTTGGGGAACTCGTTGTAGATGAGCCCGGCATCAAGGCCGGCAACGAGGCCACCGGACATGGCCGTGACGAAGACGAGGGCGGCGACGCCGAAGACGGAGCGGCGGAAGGCGTTGAGGGCCGGGTTCTTGAGGGCCTGGAGGACACTCATGCCGGCTTTAGGATCGGCAAGCATGCGGTGCGTGCGCAGGACGGCGAGGCCAGAGAGCAGCATCCACGAGTAGCACACAAACGCCGTGGCCAGATGCGCCGTGAGGCGGTACTGCGAGACGCGTGGGTGCGAGCCGGGGGCGAAGAGGTCGTCCTTGAGGCCGGACTTGACCATCCACCAGCCGATGAAGCCCTGGAAGCCGATCAGGCCCGAGATGCCCAGCAGGTTGACGGCCATCTTGGGAGTGACGCGGCGGCGCGCAATCAGGTACAGCGTAGGCAGGACGAAGGACATGCCGATGAAGCGGCCCCAGAGCCGGTGCGTCCACTCCATGAAGTAGATCTTCTTGAACTCGGAGAGCGTCATGTGCGGGTTGAGGAGCTTGAACTCGGGCGAGGCGCGGTACTTTTCGAATTCGGACTCCCAGTCGGCGGCGGACATGGGCGGCAGCGAGCCCGTCACTGGTCTCCATTCCGTTATACTCAGACTGCAATGTTTGCATTAGCCGGGTAATTCGCATAGACAATGGCAGAGTGCATGGAACAACGAGAACTCACCCAGACTCGGTCAACCTAGTCAATCCGCCAAACACGACGATGCCAAAGACACTGGCAGCGCTCCCGAGGAGCCAATACGCCACGCCCTTGGACGTCGTCTTGGGCCACGCGCTCTTGGCAAGCTCCTGCGCGGCCTGGGGCGAAGACCGAGCGGCCATTTGGTCCGCCATGCTGCCCAGCGGCGAGACGGTCTTCGCGTCCGCGAACCCGCGCGATCGTACGACATTGAGGATGCTGGACGGCGAGGCGCGCCGCGGCGCCTGGCGCAGGCATTGGTTGCAGACGAAGAACTGGGACGGCGCCTTGAGGGCCGCCCTCCTGATTCCGGGGACGAAGAGGGCCATGGTGTTTGCCGTGTGCGAGGGCGTGCGCCTGCTCAGGGAGAGGAAATCATGCCATGGTCTAAAACGGGCGGGCGGCGAATGTTTTAATCGTAGCTCCGGGGGCTCTTGGTTTAGCGGGCCCTTGGGCGGCCGAGGCGTCCGAAATCAACGGGGACCTGATAGGCGGGACCCTTGCAGGGGTCCCCGCCAAAGGAACCCTCACCGCCAAATTTTTCGACGCGGCAGAAAAATCAAGCAGTGGGCGATTCGATACCCGCTCTGAAAGTCGAGACGACCCATCGACAATCTCGCATCCCGTGAGCAGACGTCGACAGAGAAAGCCACGATGCCGGGACGACAAGCACACGGCCGGCCTCTGGTCTCCGCCCCCAAGGCCAGGGCTCCGAACAAAAAGTCCAAAGCCAGGGCGCAGAAGAATGCGCTGGACGCCTTTGGCATCGCCCAGGAGCGGTTCCCGACCAAGCACAAGAAGACGCCCAGGGCGCGGGAGCTCGATGCAGAAATTGAGCGGAAGCACGCGCGCGACGAGGACGAGGACGAAGAGGATGAAGATGAGGAGGAGATGCCCAAGCGGAAAAAGGCAAAGGCTGTCTCTCGCCCCGACGACGACGACGATGCCGAGTACGGCAGCGACAGCGAGGGCAACGAGTGGCGCCTAGGCGGGCTGCGAGAGGACGACGAGGACTCTGAAATCGAAAGCGACGACGCTTTTGGTGACAGCGACAACGAGAAATTCGAGGAATACTCGTTTCGAGGATCCAAGTCAAAGAAGGCCGAGGTAGGCGCAGCTTCGACCAATGCGCCAATACATCTCGCTAATTACATTGCACAGGATGATGACTCGGAGGACGATTCGGAAGACGATGAGGGCCAAACCCTTGGAGCAGACGCGATTGACCTTGCCACGGCATTGGACCAATTCGAGGAAGAATCCGAAGACGAACCCGAGGCTGACGATGAATCCGGCTCCGGAGACTCCGACGAAGAGTCTGACGGATCCTCTGAGGAAGAATCTTCTGAAGACGAGGAAGACGATGAGGCCGACCCCGAAAAGCTGGAAGCACTTCAGGGCCTGGTTTCTGACTACGGCGGGGCGCGAAACGATGAGGACCAGCCGACGTCCAAGCCCAAGATCAACCTCAGCGATCTGGGGTTGACAGGCCTCGACGATGCGTTCATGAAAAAGTCCGTCAAGCTCATGAACAAAGAGGAGAAGGAGAAGCGGCCCGGTGCGACCAAGCGCTTGGACGTGCCGCTGTCAAGACGGGAGCAAGGCCGTCTCGATCGAGCTGCCGCGTACGAAAAGACCAACGAGACCTTGGACCGTTGGACAGAGACAGTCAAGCAAAATCGCCGAGCAGAGCATCTGATCTTTCCGCTGCCGCAAAACTCAGACACCGCAGGACTGGATACAACAGAGATACAGCCCCTCACGGCCAAGCACGCCAACAACGAGCTCGAATCCACCATCATGTCCATCATGGAGCAAAGCGGCCTCTCCATGGAGAAGAAGCCGAAGCCGAAGCCGCAGGAATTCGACGAAGAGGGGAACCTGCTGTCAAGGAAGGAGGCGTTGGCAAAGAAGCGCCATGAGCGTGACCTTGCCGATCGGGAGGCCAAGCGCGCCAAGCGCATCAAGAAGATCAAGAGCAAGGCGTATCATCGCGTGCACCGGAAGCAAAAGGAGCGCGACGAGATGGCTGAGCGAAAGGCCAACGAAGAGGCCGGCGAGATCGACTCCGAGGCGGAGCGCGAGGCACAGGACCGACGCCGAGCTCTGGAGCGGGTTGGCCAGCGCCACAAGGAGAGCAAATGGGCCAAGATGGGCGCTAGGACTAAGCGGGCGGTGTGGGATGACGACTTCAGGGCCGGCCTGACGGAGATGGCTCGCAAGGATGAGGAGCTTCGGCGGCGCAAGGAAGGTCGGAGAGGTGGCGTGGACGACTCCGACTCGGACGCAACGAGCAGCTCGGGCGACGACGATGACGAGGTCCTTCGTCGACAGCTCGATGAGCTGCAAGACGAAGACGATACACCGCAAACCGGAATCATGGGCCTCAAGTTCATGCAAAAAGCCGAGGCTGCAAAGAAGAAGGCCAACGACGACCTGATCAAGAAGATCCGGCGCGAGCTAGATGGGGACGACGCTGTCGAGTCGGAAGAGGAGGAGACGGGCGAGGTCGGCAGACGGAGCTACGGCACGGGCAAGGCGAACGCCTTTGAAGCCGCCATCGACACAACCAAGCGAAGTGGCCGGAGAGAACGTGCTGCAAAGGACCCCAACGAGAGCGACGGGGATGTTGTGATAACGACAAACGGCTCTTCGAACGCAGCCTGGAGCCAGCCCGCCCACACGCCTGTCGAGATGGCCGCGTCCAACCCCAATGCGTGGACACAGGGCGAGACGCGCCGCAAGAAGAAGGGCACCACCACCTCCAGCTCGCGGGCGGAGGGCCTCGACTTCGACACCACCGTCCAGAACGCCGCCCGGCCGTCCAAGCCGAAGCCCCGCCGGCCCGCCCAAAACAACAACGACGACGACACGAGCGCGTCCGAGTCGGAGACGGAGCAGCACCTGCCGCTGGCGATCCGCGACCAGGATCTCCTGGCGCGCACGTTCGCCGGCGACGAGGTCGTGGCCGAGTTTGAGCGCGAAAAGGCCGAGATCGCCGAGGCCGACGACGACAAGGTCATTGACAACACGCTCCCCGGCTGGGGCTCGTGGGTGGGCGACGGCGTCAGCAACAAGGAGAAGAAGCGCCACCAGGGCCGCTTCCTGACCAAGGTCGAGGGCATCAAGAAGAAGGACCGGCAGGACGCCAAGCTGGAGAGGGTCATTGTCAACGAGAAGCGCGTCAAGAAGGTATGTCCTGAGCTGCACACATATCTCTCCTCCCATCATTCACCGGTTTCCCCTGTCCTATCATGCTAGCAAACCGAGTTTCAAATTCACTGACCGATGTCGCCACTTCACAGAACGACCGGTACCTCGCCTCGCAGCTCCCCCACCCCTTCGAGTCGCGCCAGCAGTACGAGCGCTCCCTCCGCCTGCCCGTCGGCCCCGAGTGGTCCACCAAGGAGACCTTCCAGGACGGCACCAAGCCGCGCGTGCTCATGAAGCAGGGCATCATCGCGCCCATGTCCAAGCCCACGGCATAAGGGCAGGCTGCTCGGCCATGGGATGCCCCTCCCCCCTCCCGCCCCTTGTTTGTCTGTGCGTGTGTTTGCCGCTCTGCCGCCCCCCCTCACCCGGCAGGAGGGAAAACACGACACGATATGATGAAGATAAAATATCAATCGCATTTTTCTCCTCGCAGCTACGCCATCATGTATATGTACCTCATACATCGAAATAGCATACTGCGTGTGGTGCATCGCGACTCGCACCCGACAATGGCTGTGCCTCATTAGGTAGATGGCGCTCTAGCCATAATTGACAAGTAGCAACATGAACCGAAAGTGAGGTGGTACAAAATCGCAATTGTCAGCGTGCGACCAAGATGACTTGCCCACGAGGCTATACTTGGGGCAGTTATGACCCCGTGCACATAGTCCACGCCAGTACGTAGTACTCCGTAGCGTGTTTCCGCATAATGCCCAGGGGTCCCCGGCTACACACGTACATGGCAGCATGTTGACACGGTGTCTGACATGTGATGCAATGATTTGGATTCCAATCACCCAGACTCCTACCTCGCTAATCGAAGGTATTGACAGAACCCCCCCTGCAGCACTTCGTATCAAAAGAAATCTTGTTTTGGGGCACGATGTCCGCGTGGACTCCTCCGACCGTTTTCAATGGCTTGATAATAGCCCGCTCAAGCTGTCTCGCTGCAGCTTCGCTACCGCCTCCCACACAGGTGGCCTCCGTAGTAGTACACACAAGGAAATTGCTGCTCGCCACCAGTCGGTAAAGACCGGTCGTTCGCACTGCAAGCATTGGCGATCCTGAAGAGTCGTTTTAACAACCTTCCGTAGCAAAGGAAAAGGAAAGATCGGACTCGAACGAGTTGTCCAAGCGGAAAGAGATGGCTTGGCCGGATCGACCACATTACCCCATAATGAGGCTGTGAACCTGGTCGAGAGCGTCGGCCGGGGTGGCGTAGAACGCAACCGCGATGATGATGTAAAGACCGAGAAGCATGGCGCCTTCGAGGTAGTTTGATTTTCCGTCCTGTACCGTGTAGGTGACCACCAAGACGGACACGGCGAACGCGACAGTCTCGACTGGTTAAGCGTGTTAGATATAGGCCACCCCCTCAAACAAGGAGCAAAACTCACAGGTCTCAAAGTGCAGGCTCATGGGCCGGTCAATGATCCAGCCAACAATGACAAGGAAGGGAGTGACGCCCAGGGCGATCTGGATGGAGGAACCGATGGCAACACCCATGGCCAGGTCCATCTTGTTGCGCAGCGCAACTACCACTGCCGTCACATGTTCCGCGGCGTTGCCCACGATTGGGATCAAGATTAGACCGATGAACGCTTTGCTGATGTTCGCACTCTGCACAATGTCGTCGATGCTTCCAACCAAGTACTCGGCGCAGATGGCAACGAGCACGGTCACGACGACGAGGACACCGGCGGCAGCGATGGCACCCATGTGAGGCTCCTCCTCTTCTTCGTCGGCAGCGGCCTGCCTCTCGGCGTCGAAAAGATTGCTGTGCGTGCGGAGCTGGAAAATGAGATAGAGGACGTAGAGAAGGAGGAGAATGATGGCGGTTCCGCGAGACAAGACGAGAATGCTCTTGCCCTTATCCTCGGACCCGTTCTGGTTCATGACGGCGTACAGCTGGCCCGGGTTAGCATGCGTTTGTCACGGCCGATGGAGAAAAGGGGGCATACAGCAGCGGGAATGACCAACGAAGCCGAAGACAGCGTCATGAGCGAGCAAGTCGTCTGCGCAACGGCAGCAGAGAACTCTTGCTCCGTGCCGCTACCATTCGTGCCGCGATGACGGAGGCCACCAAAGAAGAAGCACATGCCCATAACAAGGAGCAAGTTGGACAGGATAGAGCCGAGCATGGAGGACTGGACGACTTCGATCTGGCCATCCTTGAGAGCGACAATGCTGACCTAGGCCTTGTTAGCTTCCTCGCATATTCACCTCTGCCCGAGGAAACGTGGGGCGTCGCATACAATCAGCTCGACAGCGTTGCCAAAGGTGGCGTTCAGCAGGCCTCCCAGTGCTTCTCCGAGCTTCAATGAGATTTCTTCCGTGGCAAAGGACAGGACGGCGGCGAGCGGAATGATGGCGAAAAAGTTGAGAACGAAGACGGCGGTTGGGTTCCAGCCCATGACGCCGGCGACAATGCCTATCGGCACCATGACAAGGAGGAAGTTGACATAGTCTGTGGCCCGTCAGTCGGTTTGTAGGGAGCGCAGTTCTCTTGTTCCAACGTACTGCTGAGCAGGGTCACCTTGGTAATGTGCCAGGTGTAAGCCAAGCTCCGGATAGGCAGGCTATCGCTGTCCCTGCCGGGCGTGTGGTGATAATCGAGGAAGAAGGCGTAGACATCTGAGCGCGGCTGCTGGACGACGTGGCCATTGTCTGTCGACGACTCGCCGTTGATGAGCGGCGTGCGCTCGTCGGCGCCGCGGTTCGGTTTGAAGCTCATCTGGCGTCGCTGCTGTCGGGAGCTGAGGTTGTCTGTCAAGCACGCGCGGGCCGGTCAGCTCATATGGATCGGGTAACGAGAGGCTGCACGCTGCGGCGGAAGAGGGCTCGCGGAAGGGCGGCAGCGGACACGCAGGAGTCAAGTCGCACCAGGCGCGTCGAGGAGGGAGTTGCTCGAGAGTGAAGCAGTTGAGACCGAGGTGGGAATGGAGAGGGGCGAACGGCAAATAGGAACCCAGGACAAAATAATAAAGCCGCTGACAGGGTGTGTGAAGCCAAAGCGAGCTGTGGCGCACCCACGAGGGAGCCGGTGCTGCTGAGCCGGGTCACTTGAGGGAGTGGGGGGGTGAAAATGGTAGCGCGTTTGGGACAAGTGGAGGGAAAGGGCTTGCAAGCTTGAGTCAAGGACAAGCAATGCGTGGAGACGGATGGGCTCCCGTTGTCACCGGCAGAGGGCGAGCGAGCGGGTGGGTGGGTGTTTCGTTTGAAGGATCGTCGGGGAGATGATGAGGCAGAGGCGTGGACGAGGGACGGGCGAGTGGGCGCGCGTGTGCGGGAAGAGCAAGCAAGCAGCATGGCAAGCATGGGACCGGCCGGGGCGCGATGGGGGGCGGAGCCGACTTACACAGACCGCCAAACACCATGACGAAGATGATGAGGGCGACGACGAAGCCGACGGCAGGGGTGAGGATGAGACTGGTGCAGGGCCGTTGCGTTGGTTCGCGGACTGAGCAGCAGCGAGCAGGCTGGCGGATTGGAGGCGCCGAATGACGATGGCGCAATATAAGGTTAGACTGTGGGGTAACGGCTGGAATCTAGACTGGCGGGCGGGCAAGGGTAAGCAGTTGGGCTTCCAGAGCAGAGCAGTGCGACGAGCGTGATTGCCGCCGTACCTTGTGGGCGGGCGAGGCTATCGCAGTGTGGCCTGGCGTTGCAATGGGCGCCTGCAGTTGGGGGAGGGAGGTTGCTGGGAGGACATGGTGGTGGTGGAGGTGGTGGTGACACAAAGACGCGGTGCGCGCGGATGCTGCAGGATGCTGGTCGCTTGCTAGTGGCCGATCGACCGGAAAAAGCTTGGCCTCTTGGGAGGCCTCCTCCGTCTCGCCTCAGACGGCGGGCGTCATGATGGAGACGGGGGGGTCCAAGTCGCTCAACAAGTGTCCAGCTCGTCGAGACAACGCATGCACGCCCGCACCGGGGGCCTCGTGTCCCTCATGCAGTTCCAGGGCCCCAACGCTTGTCAACCGCCAGCCGTCCAATTGCTGCTGCTGCTGTTGCTGCCGCCACGTCGTCGAGCATCATCGAGGTCAAGCTGCCTGCGCCGGCGAGGGCAGAGCTGCTGAAGCTGCCTGTCTGGGTGCCTGAGACTGGTCTGCAGGGTGGGGGAGCTTAGCTTGGCGCGAAAAACGGAGCCTTGAGTGGTACAAGTACCTCCACCAAGCTGAAGGTTGCTCACGTCGAAGCTGATGCAGCTCCGGGAGCTCCTGCCGCCCGGGCTCGCCTGTCCAGGAAGATGAGGAAAGCTCTGACCAGGCGCCCCTGGCACCTTCAGGTTGGCGTTTCATTCAGCGACGAGGTCTGCTAGCTCTCAGCGGTCCTACGCCGCCGGTACACCGTGCCTGAGGTACCTCCCTCAGATATCTCGTGGCACCGCTGTGCCGCAGGCTCTTTCCCTCGTACTGCGTAATTGCCCTGTGTTCCTGCCCTTTTCAAGCTCCACTCGACGTCATCATGGGGCCCTCTGGCAGCCGCGAATCCGCGCAAGCCGCGGCTCAGGGCCTCTGCACCGTGCTCGCCTTCCCTCGCGAGCGGCAAAGAGGAAATAAACAGCAAGAACCAACAGTCTGGGGAAAGGAGGTGCGGACCACCTCTTGCATGCACGGATGCCCAGAGCAGGTCGGCAGGGACCTAGGTCGCGGGCGCGAGAAGGGTAGCAAGCCAAGACAGCCCAGGGCGTGGTGGCTTGTGCGCGGGGGACAGGGGTCACCACGGTCCATCAAAGTCTCCCTCGCCTTCGACCGCTTTTGGTCCGTATTGTTGACCATTTCCCCTTTGCATCTTGGCGCTGCGGCGTTGGCAACACACACCATCCTCTCTGGCCATGTGCTGCGACCTGACCTCCTCAGTGGGCAACATCCGTCCGACACTCTCTTCTTGCCGTCGAGGGCGCCGCCAGCCACAGGCATCACATCCGATCCCATCTCGGACGTCGTTCCATCGACCCACGCTCCGAGTTGCTCAGCCACCGTCAACCCACGTTTCTGCCGCCATACCTTATTTCAACCCCCATTGATGCGGCTCTGCAGCACCCTGGCCCCCCCGCCCGCAACTGCACTGCCTCACTCGACATGCAACCGGCTGGCTGGTTTGAGCAATCAACGTTTAATAAGGTACTTCTTTGCCGATACGCATATACTCTTGTAGTATCATGTACACGCGCCACTATAGGCTCCAGATGAGAAGCCACGCCAGCGACCAAGCCACCAGCATCGTCCCCGCCTGACCTGTCACTGCCACCATCCCGCGAGCCGACGATTCACCACCATCTTTGGACGTGCCGCCAGATCCGCTCCCCGATCCACCCTTGGACCCCGTTTCCTTGTGGTCCGTCGCATTGGTCGTAATGCAGTCGTTGCGTCGCTCCAGGTCCGCCTCGACATACGGACCGCAAGCCTCGACGCAGTCCTTCGCCTCCCGCGTATACGACTGGGTGTAGCCCGGCTTGTCAGGATTGAAGTACTTCACCATGCACTTCCTCGCGCAGGTAATCACGTCGCAGGAAAAGAGGTATGCGCCGCCGCCAAAGATGGACCAGCCGTTGTGTTTCTCGTACTCGGAGAAGGCCCCGCTGCCACCCGTCAAGTTGAACCTCGCACCACCCTTGTCTGGCGAGACAAACCCGCCGGGGTCCTTTCCGGGTTGGTGCGACCCGTAAATCTCGGACCATATCTTCATCTCAGCCCCGGACGGGAACGCATCCTTGGGAATCGTGACGTTGAAAGCCGTGACGTTTGTCCAGACGCAGGGAACAAGGACGCCTGTTTGTTTGCCATGCGCGGTGAGCAAACTCGTCTGGAAAACAAAGCGAGGCAGGGCAACCACTCACAGTACACGTCCGGAAAGAATTTGGTGGAATTCTGTTCCCCCTGCGCGTTGAGGTAGATTTCCATCTTCTCGAACCCCCCGTTGGCATACTTGCTGTTGGACACATTCGTGTAGATCATGACGGGCTCGCCCGCGGGCACGAGTTCCCCTTGGATCCCCAGCACCCTGTTCTCATCCCAGCTCACGTCTGCGTCGGCAGCGCCCGCCACCGCCACAAGAGCGATGGGTGCAAGCAGCCACGAGGCAAGTCGCGGCACCGTGAGCCACGTCATCTCTGATCCTGCCTCGTGCGTACCACGGACTGAGAAAGAACAACTGAACGAAGGTCAAGGCCAGGGCACATGAGAAGGGCGAGGGAAAAAAATTATCGTCGCGCGTCGGCCGGCGTTACAGTCATCCCCCGTGCATCTTCGGTTTTGCCCCCTTTCGCTTCTTAGTGCTTTCCCGATTGGGTAGGCGCCGACCGAGGTTTCGCTCCCGGCCGAGTCGCCGGACCCGAGGCGATCAGCGGCCCAGAACCTAGCTGGGCTCAAGACCGTACTGTAAGTCTGTTTAGTCGCTGTGATTCATGATGATCACCGTCAAAGTAAATGCTCGCAAAGAATGAAGAAAAGAGATTGTCTTGCCGGCGGCTAGGCCCGTGCTTGGCGTGCAGCCATCTCGGCAACTCCCGTCCCCACGCTCGAGAGAGAGCCTTGGCATCTTGCACTTGCATGCCCAGAGGGCCATCTCACTTGGCACCAGCAGACGTGTCTCGCGGTTCAAACAAACATGCAGGGTATCGATTGTATCTATGAACATGCGGCTACGGCTTCTAGGATGTCAATAACATTCGCTCCTATGCACAGTAACATCTAGGTCTTCTGCCAGTCGCCAGATCCAGTCATGGCTCGCCAGGTCCCTGGTACACATCGCAAGCGGCATCATCAAATATCTCCCAGTGCTGTTTAATCGTCAGTGCTTGAGTGGCATGTTAAAAGGTAACGCATTGAACTCACCCGCGGCGTACGCCATGAACCACGTCAACGACGCTCCACCGTCCAGCCACTGCGGGTCAAACGTCTTCGAGGTGAAAAACTCCCACGCCTTCTTCGGGTCGACCGTCGCGTAGCTGGCGTATATGATGCCCTTCCAAGCATTGCGGATATTGTCTATGCGGCCGTTGCTGAAGAACGCATCCCATTCTTCCCTGACAAAGTCACTGACGCGAACAAAAGGCGTCGGCGGCAAGATGGGGATCATGTGTATGCCTTGGATTGCTTCGATGTGCGGGTCAAAGTACGTCGTGTGGTCGACCTTGTTCTCAAACAAGATGCCTGCAACTTTGTTGCCGATGAACTGTTTCGGCTGAACCGAGTTGTCGTCTCGGTACAGGTAGTAGCTTTGCAGGCTGCGCGAGATTATCGCCAGCTGCAAATTACTCCTATGAGACCGTTAGTAGTGTATAAGTGCGCCACATAACCCGACTCGACCCTTACCTGGCCTCCAGGTCGGCGTTCCCAGTGACTTTACCCCACATCTTGAGAGCATAGGCATGCATCATGTCTTCTGAGCTTGACTCTTGGTCCTGTACGACCATTAGCATTGCGACATCATCCACCCACAGTTCAGAGGCGCACCTTGCCGTCCATAGCGGCATAGAGACCATGAGCCCAGCTGTGACCGTGATACCAATCGAAGTTGCGCCACATGGGGAAGAATCCGTCCTTGGCGCTGGGGTTGGCAACATCTCTCACAAGTGTGTTGACGTAGTCGGCGTTTGCCTTGGCCCATTCTGGGTCCAACTGGCCGATGGTCGCCGCTGCCAGAATATGATAGCCGTAGTGGAAGTGGTGATCATTGTAGTAGGTATTGCCAAAGTCGACGCCCGCGTCGCCAGTGACATAACTTGCAGAAGACACCACTCCGCCCCAGGCAGCTAGTGGACCAGTCAGTTTCGAAGCGTGCCAGGACGGATGTCAAGTGCATACTCTCATGGGTGAGGGGAAACTTTTGCTTGTTTGCGGCAAACGTAGCAAAGGCTGCCTTGAGCTGCCCCAGCCCAGTCTGCGCGAGGGCCTTGTCCCCGATCAAATTGTTGATGACATACAGAATCGTGGCAAATTTGGCCAGTGCCTGCGGGTGTTAGCCAGGGACGGCAATCAGCAACCTGGCTCTCACCTTGCCACTGAAGTACATCGAATCCAAATTGGACTGCGAAATCATGTCTTGAGACACCTCTTTGGCTGCAGCGGCGCGAATCGTACTCTTGGCCTTGTCCGACAGGTGGCTGATGTTGCCTTTCTCTGGGTGCCACGGGTCGAATCCAATATCGACGGGCATGTGCGGTTCAACCATTGTCCACTCGGTTCCCTTGACCAATGTTGCCGTGCCCTTCGTTGTTGACTGCAGCTGGGTCTTCTGAACCCGTTGCTTTGTCTCGCTGTTGAATGAATCGACATGATGTGGGAGCGCGTACATGTACAAATCTCCTGCCTGGTGCCCCTCTTTCTGGAATTTGAACGAGTAGTTTCCCGTCGCGCCGGAGGCTGAGCCGGACAACGCGACAGCGACAGGGTAGATGCCGGCACCGTCGTCGAGCATCTTTTCGGAGTCAGGGGTGCCAGGATCCTTGCAGACCTGGACAATGCCGTGGAACGGCTTCCTCGACTGGGCTAGCCCATTATTGATAACCTCGAGGTCGAGATCGTCCCCTTTGCTCTTCCATGCGTAAACTCGCCACGTCGTTCCGTCCTCGAGGTTAAAGGTGTATTTGGTGACCTGCTCCTTGGGCTCTCGCGTAATTCGACTCATAGTCTTGAAGTACACGCCGGTCTGGAGCAAGGGCAATGCGCCATCGAACTGTGCGGTGATGTATGCCATCCCTTGCACGAGTGGGAAAAGCACCGCCGGCGGCGACTTGCTATCCTTGCTGAGTCCGACTCGAGCGGAGAAGGCTGTGATGCTGTCGAGGGACAGGTGTGTCCCATTGCCTAGCTCTTTGGCGGAGATAACCATGGACTGAATCCCTACAGGATTGAGGTAGTAAGACACTGCTCCATTGAACTTCTCCTGGCCAAAGACTCGTTGGTGAGCGTCAATGTGCGAACATGACATGCCCCAGCTCGAGCTCGCGCCCTTTCCCCCCGCCCACTGGACAGAATAGGGAAAGGTATACGTCGGCCCGAGCTGATCGCCAAGGAAGAAATTGGAGTAAAACTTGTTTGTCTGGAGCGGCGCCTTTGTTTGGATGCCCTTTCGAGGCACGGGGTGGTCTTGCCGGACCGCAATGTTGGACGGCGGCGCCTTGGTGTCGATGGGCTCGGCAAAAATGTCGTTGGAAACCATGGTGCGGAGAGGCGGTGACGAGGCTGCAACGCTCGTTGCAGTTCCCGTAGCTGTGAGTATGCTGGATGGGCTTGATATATGCTGGCTTAGAAGAGGGGCCTGGGTAGCTTTGCCCTTGACGTCAAGCTCAGTATACACTGTTCCAGTCGTATGAGGCGTGTTGCTGCCGAGCGGAGGAGGGATCTGGATCGTGGCGCCAGGAGCGATGCTGGTCTTTATAGTCAAATTTCCGAAACTGTCGGCAACTGAAGATCTTGGAGAAGTAGAATTTGCAAAGGGTGGATTCGAAGCTGGCGCGTCGTTGAGCGCCCGGTGCCAGACTCGTGGATCGTCAAATGCGGCGACTTCACTTAGCGAGATGAGTCTGGGGCTAGGCGGTGGCCTTTGTACGCTCGTCGACGAGCTGTTTCGAATGATATAGGCCTGCGTGCAAGTTAGCCCGCCGAGTATCGACGTTATAGTAATCAAGCCCATGGTGAACGAATGCGACTCGAGCCCGCGAGTCCAAGCTAGTAGTACTGCAAGTCGGCTCTAAAACGGCGTGCAGTGCCAAGGACCGCCTGCACAATAAAGACAATGAAGGAAGCGGAAGAGGAGCCATTGTATTTCGTAGCGACTAGGTCTTTTCTGCATTCCGAAGTGAGGTGCGTCAAGCTGCCACATTGTGGAGGTGATTCAGGTCCACGCGCGGCGCGGAGACCGGCCATGGTCAGGAATGTTTGTCTTGCGCGAGGCCGCGCACAAGTCATCACCGCCGTACGCCCACGTACCGTTTGATTCAGTTCACGGGAGCTTTCACCGGCAATCAGGCGCGGGACGGACGGGATGATTGGAGCTAAAAATGCACGGGAACTTGCGTAGGGTCCTAGGAATAAACGTCTCGAGATGAAGAGGCTCGAGGGTGATGAAAGGCGATGGATGCGGAGACAGACCTGGGCGTCCTGGGCGTGGACGCTATTTACATAGCCTCGTGGATCACCATGGCGGCAACTCCGACGCCTAGGGGCTCCTTCCTCAAGTCCTCGCCTTCCTTTTCCTGGCTTCGTCGGTAACGTACGCACGAGACGACGCGTCGTCACGAAATGTGAACAGGAACCTTGTTGGGTGCCTCGGGGTTTCGTCTCAAGCCACACGCTGCAACCCTTCTCTAAGTGGCCATTGATCCGTCAAGTCACAGATCCTTGTTTCGACCCGTCATGCCTCTCAACGCGGTCTCACACTTGCTCACTGGGCCTCGGAGCGGTGGACGCAGCAAGCGGCCTCCCCACAGGCGCCAGCTGTGGCTGAGCATTAGCACTTGACATGGTGCGTTGGAAGAGCCTGGTTGGTGAGGCTCGGTGTCGTCGTGGGGATTGAGACACGACGCGACCTGTCTTACTGGGGGCGTGGAAAGAGTCATGCTGTCCCGGCGCCCGCACCGGCTGGCCTTTGTGGCATCGCGAGTGATCAGACGTGGTATTAGGACCAGCTATCGCTCTAAGCTCCATCTCCCGTGATCACAGAATGATGACCCATACGTGCGACCGCAAACCACACGCGGTGATGCGAGACAAGCACCGTATATCACAGACCTAGAGCGCTGTATTTCCCTGCAACCTCCAAGGCGCCGCCGCGGATCAACTCTCGCATGTCGTCCTTTGTCGCCCGGCTGCGCGCGCTCTTCTTGTCCCGAGAGCTGGCCGCCGTGCGTCCGCACGATTCCTCCTCTTCCTGTCTCCGGATACTCTTGTCCTTAGCTTCGGTGCGCCGTCGCTTGCGTGCAGCATCCTCTTCTGATCTCTCTGCCTCCTTGCGGCATCTCCGCAGGTCACGATGGCTCAACACCCAGGGCTTGTCGAGGACGGTTCGCCGAAACTCGGCACGCTTCTCCCAGAGAAGCACCTCATGTGCCGTACTTGGCACGATGACCATATTTTCGACCATGACCTGCTTCTCGCCCCGATACACGGAGACCTGACCCTTGACATCGACCACGCTGCCCACGTCGATGTCTTTGTATTTCTCCGGCACCCAGGCGGCAGCGGTCGTCGTCGTCGTCGGCTGGGCCTTCTCTGTCGCCGTTCCCTTGGCTTCCTTGCCCGTCGGCCGCGTAATTAGCGCCTCGATACACGTTCCGCTGCTGTCGTCAACAGTGTAGGCGCGCCGGCCGAAGAAGTCGTCAATCGCGACCACGACGCCGACCACGCGCACCCATTTTATCGGCAGGTTCTTGTAAAAGAAGAAGTTCTCCCCTAGTGATGCCCAGTCAGTCGCGGGGCCGTCGCGCACGGGACGCAGATGTTACCTTCAAAGCCGGCGTGCTGGTCCAGCGCGTGAACCTCGCTTGCGTGCAGCAAGCACCACTTGTTGGTCGTGGGCGACAGGTGGAAGCAGTAGCGCGGGTAGATTTCGGGACGGGGCGCGTCGTTCATGGCATGGCCAGTGCCCCCTGCGCCTGTCCTCGGGGACAATGGCGCGGGATCACCGTAGGTGTTGATGCGCTGCGGTCATGGAGCGTTGCACGGAGGCAAGCAGGTGATTCACGCAGGTATGGAATGTCGGCGGGCCGCGCACGGGATAGAGAGTTGACGTGTGGACCGCGAGTGCCGGCCAGTGCAGGCCAGATGAAGCAGCTTGGCAGGGACCCCGAGCCAGTTTGCCTGTCCTGTGGCTGCCCCGCAGCTGCCCCCACGTCCGATGCCATGAGCCTCAGCAGGTCAGCTAGGGAATACACGAAGCTTCGGCTTGCAAGTCACCCTGCGCGCACCAACACGAGAAAGGCACGCATACGTGGAATTTCAAGGCATGATTGTGGAGTGCCGTGACTTCGTAATAAATTCAACCTATTCCGGGAACAAGTGCCTCCGCGCAATGCCATGTATGCATCCACTCCTCCAACCAAGTGTCCATAACGCCAGCCATAAACTCCTGCGACCAACGACGGTCGAGACCATCTTCTTATCGCCGTGACTTTTTGGAGCTTTTGAGCTTCGCGGCCGCGGCCTGGAAAGCCTCTTCTGAGGGTTCCTCCTCTACCGCCCTCTTCTTGCCCTTCTTCTTGGGCTCCTTTGCGCCATACTTCTCGGCGAGCTGGTCTAAAAAGGTGGCCGACCTGTCTTGCTGCCGTTTCTGAATCAGAGCAGCCAAGTCGTCCTCCGAGTTCCCCTTTGATTTCTTCGACTTCTTCGCTCCAAAGAGTTTGTCGTGCACTCCCAGCTCCTTAGCGTAGTCCTCAGCCTCGGTCGCCTCCGCCTTGGCCGCCTTCAACCTCGCGGCCCGCTTCTTCTTGCTCTCTTTGGTGTAGGCGTCAAAGGGCGGCACGTCCTCCTTCTCAATCGCTTCGTCGATTATGCGGCGGAACCGCGCGTCATCTTCCACCACGTCGCTCAGAATCACGCGCTCATAGATCTCATCCATGTCCCCCTCGCACTCCTCGTACGCGATGAGCAAGTCGTCTTTCTCCTCGTCAGAGCCCTTGTACTTTTCTGCAAACTTGCTGATGGCATCAGACGATATCGCGTCTTTGAACTGCTCCTGGTAATAGTCGCTCCAGTTGAAGCCCTCAGCGTCGACAATGGACTCGGCTGTCGAGCCTGTTGCATCGTAGCGCTTGCGCCTCGCAGGGTCGGACAGCACGGCGTATGCGAAGGCGATGGATTGGAATCGATCATGCGCCGCAGACTTTTGATCAGCCGGGACCTTGTCTGCATTCGAACGGGTCAGCAAGCGTCACAATAGGTAGCCTGCCGTGCGATGGAGAGGTGTACCAGGGTGGTTCTTGAGGGCGGCCTTGCGATACGCGCTCTTGATTTGGTCGGCCGTGGCATCGCGCTCGAGGCCGAGCACCTCGTACGGCTCTATTGCGGGCGGCTCGCTATCCACGACATCCTCGTAGTCGGACATGTTGCTCGGCCTTGTGCGTGGGATGGACGGCGATGCGGGATTGATGATGCGGGAGGGTAGCGTGACGATGCTGCCGGCCCAGGTGACGCGCTGAGACGCGCCTGGAGCTGCGCAGACGGGTAGAGTAGCTTCAGTGGGGCCCGTGCTGATGGGAGCTGCTGTCATACCCGTTGCTCTCGGCATTTGGTGCGCCGAGCGAACGGCCTGGGCGCCTGCAGCGCCGAAGTCTCCAGGGCTCCACTGGCTTGGAATCATTTCCTCCACAGAGGGGCATCAACTTGCACCGAACCGCTTCCTTTATTAGATGCCCTGAAAAGCATGCGCAGCACTTTGTCGCGTCCTTGCATTGCATCTGCCTCCTCTCCCTGGTCCCCCTTACGGCCCTCGTGCCTTGCTCGCCTTCGCAATGCAACCCAGGACTGCAGATGATCACAAGACGGCGATGGAGCAGGCCCTGGCCGAGGCCAGGAAATCGCCGCCAAAGCCGACCAACTTTCGGGTCGGGGCCCTTCTCGTCAAGCTGGACGACGAGAGCTTCCCCACGACCGTGACGGGATACACGCTCGAGTGCGAAGGCAACACGCACGCTGAGGAATCCTGCCTGCTCAAACTGGCAGAGCGCCATTCAACCACGGAGGAAGGGCTCGCCAAGGTCATCACGAGCCCCCATGCGCTATACACGACCATGGAGCCATGCTCGAAGCGCCTGAGCGGCAAGCTGCCCTGCGTCGAGAGGGTCCTCAGGCAAAGCTCCTGGATCAAGCAGGTCTACGTTGGAGTCCAGGAGCCGGATACCTTTGTCCAAGGGAACCCCGGTCGCCGCTTGCTGGAGGAGGCTGGCATCGAGGTTCACCACGTCCCTGGGCTGGAGCAGGAGATTCTCGAGGTTGCAACCGCAGGTCACGGACAGGATTGATTCCGCTATCCATTGGTCAGGAGATCGAGGTCGTTATCGCACTTCTGGAAGCTCCCGATGCGAGGAGACTGCAGCGGGCTGGAAGTGGAGGGGCGGAACGTCGGCCCGCCTGTATATGCCCTTCACAAGCTGCGCCGGCGGAGCAGATTGAGCGTCTGCACCCAGACAGACGCAACGGCGACGACGACAATGGCACGACCGTTCCTCCCATGGCGGCCGTTGGTCTGGTGATGAGGTCTCCGGGGGCTGAGACGGGTAGGGTGGGGTTGGATCGGCGCTTAGACGGGAATTGGTCTCTTTCCACTGCATCCGGCTCACGCTGCCTCGTTACGCGCAATAGGCTTTCCCTGTGCCTGGGATCGGTTTCAACACCCTCACTCAAGGCACATCGTTAGCCTGGACGCCAAGAAACTCGCTCCGGCGTGATCTGCCGCTCTGCTGGCTGCCCCGACCCCGTGGCGTCCTGTTCTCTCAAAGACGTTGCACTGTAGCTGCGTCCAATGACCGCGTGACGAGCACGCCAAACTCAAGAGGCTCTTCTGCGTGTCTTATTGTAGTCTATTACATCCGCCATCCATTACAAAAGGCTCGGCGTTGCTGCGGCCGAGAGAGGCTGCCGTCAACACCACCCGACCCCTCACCGATCTGACACCACGCCATTATGTTTGAGCAACCAATCGTGGCCTTTGAGCCTGGAAAAGGCTTCGACCTTGTCGGCGCAGACATCTTCGTCGAAGAGAAAGAGCCCGAAGGCGTCTTCATCGCGGCGCGGAACTTGGTCAAGGACTTTGCCAAAGTCACCGGAAGTGGCGGCAATGCGGTGATCTCAGAGCGCCGCTCACCGACCAAGTCCAAGTCGGTCATCATCATTGGTTCCGTGCCGCAGTCTTCGACGATTCGGAGCTTGCATGATGGTCGGAGCATCGACACGACACCCATCGAGGGCAAGTGGGAGTCTTGGATGACCACTTGCGTCGCCAATCCGTTTGAAGGTTACGACAATGCCCTGGTCATTGCGGGCAGTGACAAGCGAGGAACCATATTTGGCATATACTCTCTCTGCGAGCAGATTGGAGTTTCACCGTGAGTCCCAAACAGCCCCGCGTGGAAGGACAGGGCCTAACACTGTACAGGTGGCATTGGTGGGCTGATGTGCCGCCAAAGAGGCACGATGAGATCTGGGCGCTGCCCGTGTCGACCGTCAACGGCGAGCCAAGCGTGAAGTATCGCGGTATTTTCATCAACGATGAGTCCCCAGGCATGGACTCGTGGGTGCACGAAAAATTCGGTCCCAAGTTCGATGCCAGGCTATACCACTACATCTTTGAACTCTTGCTCAGACTCAAAGCCAACTTCATGTGGCCTGCCATGTGGCGAGGATATCCTTATCCGGGCCGCTCTTTCTTCGTTGATGATCCCAAAAACCAAGCCCTCGCCGACACGTACGGCATCGTCATGGGGACGTCTCATCATGAGCCGATGCAGAGGGCGATGAATGAGTGGTCCACCACGCAGCCCGATGGGACCTGGGATTGGGACAGGAACCGAGCCAAAGTCACGCAATACTTTGAAGAAGGCGCGGAGCGAGCGAGGCCCTACGAGTCGTACTTTACCCTAGGGATGAGAGGCGAGGGCGACAATCCCATCAACGGCAGCGACCCGCCGAGGATCTTGCGCGAGGTGCTCGCCACTCAGCGAGACATCATCAAGAAGAATTACGGCCGCGAGGATGGCGTCCTCCGTATGTACTCTGAGATTCCTTGCTGGCCATCGCTGACCTGGCTTCAGAGCTCATGGCCCTCTACAACGAAGTCCAAAAATACTATGACAATGGGCTGGAGATTCCGGAGGATGTTACTCTCTTGTTCTCCGACGACAACTTTGGCACGCTCCGTCGGCTCCCAAATGAGGACGAACTCAAGAGACCTGGTGGATCCGGGGTCCGTTCATGTCCGTGTTCTTCTTCTTCACTCACTAACACGGGTTCAGTTCTACTACCATTTTCAGTACACCGGGTACCCGCGTTGCTACAGGTGGATGAACAGCAACACTTTGGTATGGTCACCGATTTGCGTCTCGTCGACTCCCGATACTGACGCCCGCACAGGGCAAGGCGTGGCATCAGCTTCAGCTTGCGTATGAACGGGGAGCCAATCGCATCTGGGTGATCAACGTTGGCGATCTCAAGCCTATTGAGGTCCCAATGAGCTTCGCCTTTGACCTGGCCTGGAACGTCAAGTCCATCCGCGCGGACGCCTTCACCACCTACTACAAGGAGCTTGCCACGCGCGAGTTTGGAGGCGATCATTCTGAGAGGATCGCCAAAGCCTGGAACGATTTCGACCGCCTCGTCGCGTTGCGCAAACAGGACCACATCGACGTGGACACCTTCGTCCTGCTCAAGTACAATGAAGCGGACACCATTGTCGGGCGATGGAAGAAGCTCTACCAAGACGCCAAGTCCATCAACGTCGAGCTTGACGAGCAGTATAAGTCCGCATTCTTCCAGCTCGTGCTTCAACCCATCAAAGCATCGTATCTCTGTACCTTGTTGCGCGTAACTCAGTACCGGAATCAGCTTTTTGCGAAGCAGCGCCGGAACACAACCAATGTGCTCTTCTTCCGGAGCCTCAAGCTTCTTGACAAAGACCATGAGCTGACCGAAGAGTATCACTCCATTAACAATGGAAAGTGGAATCACTACCTCCGGCAGCCGCACTACGGGTATGGACCAACGGGCGCGCAGCCATCGAGGAACATGATTGAGGGTCTATGTTACGTCCAGACCAAGGAGGACTCGAACCCCAGCATTGGCCACATGGGCATCGCTGTGGAGGGCATTGAGGGTATCAACCCAGGCCACATCAACGAGGACTCGGATCGGACGCACCCATCACGCAAGTGGCTTGAGCCGGGCGTCACCCTACCATTTATCACACCCTACGGCCCCCAGTCGCGATACTTCGAAGTCTTCCACCGCGGCACGAAAGCCTTCTCCTGGGTTGCCAAACCGCAGTATGACTGGATCACGCTGTCGCAGTACCAAGGACACCTCAACCCGCAGGACGATGATACCAAGGTCACCATTCTCATTGACTGGCCCAGGGTGCCGCCCGCCTTTGACGAGAATGTCTACATTGAGATTGTCGGCACGCGTGACGGCTACGAAAAGGTGCACGTCGTCGTTCGAAACTACTTTGTGCCTGATGAGTTCACCGGCTTCGTGGAGACGAGCGGACATCTCGCCATCGACGCCGGCAACTGGGCCGCGGCACCCTACGTTTCCTTGCCGGCGCTGGGCCGCCCGCTCGCCGGCTCCGTCACACTCCCAAACGACACTGACTTCAGCAAGGCCGACGAGCTGCCTTTCCTCCGGTACCCGGTCTGGGTCTTTTCTGGTCGCGACAACGCGAATCTGGAGCTGCAGTTCAACATGACGCTCGAGACAGACCCGCGCGACCGCATGGAATACGACCTTCGCTGGGACGGGGCCGCGGTGCAGCGGTACCGCCTGACCGAGGACGACCCGGGCAATGACAAGGGACTGCCGCGCGGTTGGAACGTGGCCGTCATGGACTGCGTGTGGCGCAAGAACCACAACCTGAGCGGCGTTGGCGTGGGCGCGCACACGCTCGAGATTCGGTTCCGGAAGCCCAACATGATCCTGGAGAAGCTCGTGATGGACCTGGGGGACTTGAGATACACGTACCTTGGGCCACCGGAGAGCGATTACGTGGAAGCCACCGGCGGGAGTATCGTGGAAGTGGGGGTTGAGGATAGCTTGGCTTTGAGGTTGGCTCTATGATGGGCACGATCACGGGCATCTTATACACTCATTTCCGTATCAGGGACGAGAGTAATTGCGTATCGCATAGCATGAACACACTCTTTGAAGCTGCAATTTCCCAAGTTCCCCACGTGCAACATCTCGGTCGCTTGAACGCTCCATCCCCTTACGCCTGCCTCCTCAGCCCGGGCACAGTCTTTTCGGAGGCACAAGACATCTCACACTGCTTGCAGAGGCGCTTCATCGCGCGATATTCCCATCGCCAGATCGCGCAGGGCGGATCGCACTCCCACTCCACGCCGTGCTTGCCAACGATGTCCTCGCAGCCAAGAGTGGCCTGCATCCAGGAGACGCAACGTTTCAGGGACGCGGGTGTCTTGATGGTGAGTCCGTGGCCGCCGTTGGGCCAGGTAGCTGTGACGGGGCATTGGGGGTGCTGGCAGGGGCAGCGCTCGCGGATGCCACAACCGTAGCACATGGTGTGAGCCGAGATGTCCGATGTTGTCGATATGAAATCTGCTGTCAGTGTTGTCAGGTTGTCACTGCTGTTACAGAGTACATCACCGGAAGGGTCACGGGTGCGTGGGCATGCTTGTGCGCCGCCGGTTTTGAGATTGGTTCATATTTATACATGTATTACCCATACTGTTTTAACAGCCAGTTCTTGTTATGGGTTGTGTTCATGGTGGTGATCGAGTTGACCAACAAAAGACTGGGACGCAGACGCTATGCTTTGTCCTACGGCTGATGCTGAGTGTCGTGTCGTGAACGATACATGCAATAATTGATTCACTTGGCTTTGTGGTCCTGTTCAAGCAGCGCATATCATTGTTGTAACTTATGAGAGCCCAAAAGACCCTTCGCGGAACGTTGACAAACTTGCCAGCACTGGACAGCAACAGTGGTAACCTGGCGTTGACACACCAAACTTCACGTGGGGCCCCGCGACTAAGACACTCCTCCATCACCACACCACGCGGCACCTCACTCAGCATCGAACACCAAATCGATCCAACAATCCAACTTTAGGAACACGCGACCGCAATGCCCGCAATCAACGCAAGTCAATTTCTCCTGACTCACAGGGATCGTCCGGCTGACCATGCCCCCAAGGAAAATGAGTATGGCAGCCTCAGCCAAAGCCCGTACGGGATCCTGCGAATCCTGGGTGGCTGGGGCAACGTGAGGTAGTTATCTCATCCCCCCCCAAAAACGCCCACCAACGTCTTCACGTATCGCGACTTGTCCCGCTGACGCGCGCGCCTCTTCCTTCACCGACCCAGCGGCCCGGGCCTCGTGTGAGTATCTATCTATTCTCCCGCTCCCCCTGCGTGTCCCACGCGCGCAGCAAGCACCGCGTCACACTAGACCTGACGCAAGCACAGCATGTTCCGCAGCATGATCGCCGGCACGTCCACGGCCATGATCCTCGGCATCACGGCCAGCATGGCCAGCAGCCTCATCTGGGGCACCGCGACGCTGCCCTTTGTCGTCTTCTCGTCGCTGGGCTTCGCCCTCGGCAGCGCGCGCTGGTACATGGTCTCGAGCCAGGAGGCCTTGCTGCAGCTGCGCCGCTATCCGGCCCTCCTGCGCATGCACATCGTCGCGAACTTCCCCTGGCTGCCCGAGTACGCCGCCCGTGACGTTCGCTGGTTTACCCCGGAGCGCTTCGCCGTCGACTGGGTTCAGAGGAGCGTCCTCGTCGCTGGCTGGCTGTCTGCGCAGCCTGCGCTCGAGGAGCTGCACAGCCAGGTGCAGGCGGCCATTGTACAGAAGTATGTCGACGAGGCGCCGGGTGAGGAGGAGCACGAGGCTACGAAAAACTAGTTGGCGTGTAGGAGTGCGCACAAGGACTGTATTACCAAGTGACTTTGCGGAAGATGCGCCTTTATGGATCACGAGCTGCACACAGGACACGCAGAAGAACAAGACAAGAACAGTAAAATTTTCCCTTTTGAGAAGCCAATTCTGTGACGTAAGTATTGGACCAGATTCAGGTGCCAGACAGTACATGCTAGTCAATCCTTGGGGTTATGAAATGTTTTGATAGAAGCTTGACTTAACCTGACACTATCGCGAGCTCGTGGGCTACTCCCGCGGCAGAGCGTGGCATGAGGACGCCATGCCCCTTCCACCCTCCTTCAAGCGATTACCTGCTTCCAAAGTTTCTAGCATTCTTTCGAGCATGCCTCGCACAGCACGTTACGGTCGTAGACGGATATCCACAGATTCGGGCACATGTGCGGCGGGACGGTGCGGTCGTCAAGCAAGTCTGGGTCAGCATTTGCGAGCCACTAGTGGCAATACAACCATCCCCAAAAGTCAGTCTCGTAGCGAAGGATGTGGCCTTTGCTGCCGTCTTGGATGGTGGTTTGGCCGGGGCAACTCCTCGCTGCACATCGGCAAACGATGCGCCAGCGTGCGCCCGAACACATACTCGGCGATTTCGCAGCCAGAAGGCACGAAGCTGCCGTGTATCGAGCTGGTGCTAAACCTGAATGTCGGTTTGCAAGCTTGGAAAGTGAGGTTTCTGCTTGTCCGTGCAAGATCTCTGGTCTCGGCAGTAGACAATGGAGCTGGAGCTGGAAGTTTTAGGAAACGTTTGAGGGCGACCATGTTTACAAACACATTGGAGTCAAGATCACGACAACTGCTTTGGCTTGACTCTTGTAGCGCCGTTGTAAGTCGTGATGATGTGCCGTGTGCCATTCATGTAGATCGTGAGTCCGTGATATTCCAAGTTTGCTCACCCTGGCCCCGCCTTGGCAGAGTTCGCTGACGTTTGCTCAGCGGCAGCAGCAAGCTGCTCCTCGCCATGGGGTCTCTCAGCTTGCTGTGTGCAGTGCGTGCTCGGCACTAGGATGCCCTTGGAGCCATCACTAACGTCTTGAGTCGATCCTGCTGAGCTATGTGCGGCGAGAAGCGTTCCCGGCCAGCCAGTTCACCAGCAAGTTCTGGTGGGCGGCCACACAGTTTGGTCCCGGCCTATGGTAGCTGAAGTGAGTTGATCGACTGTGGGATTCAACATGCTATCGCCTTGACTCCGGCCGCGAGACGCTCGTCAGACTTGCCGTGGTCGCTGCTTCGCTCCCAACAGGTAACTGGTCAGCTTTGCTTCAGCCAGGTCAGACAGAGGCCAGAGCCGACAAACGGCGCAGGTGGAGGTGAATGAGCGTGCGCTGGTCGCACAACGTCGGAGCAGCCCGTCCGTTTGTGTGCAACCTCCAATCACCAAGGCAGCTGTGAAAGACTGTCGACGACGCGGTGGTCAGTGGCGGCAGATGCCGAGACGGTGGTAGGAGACCAGAGGGTCGTGCACGTTGCACGATGCAGCACTGCAGACGCCAGTGCAAGTCGCAGTGCATCGTGCAGATTGCCGGGCGGGACGGCAGTAGAGCCGAGTCGCCAGAAGCGGCCTGGGGCCCGGGACGCGACCTCAGCCAGCAGCCGGAGCAGGAGCAGCTGGAGCAGCAGCTGCTGGGGCGGCAGCAGCAGCAGCAGCAACAGCAGCTTTGGTGGGACCTGCCCAGCGCTGGCGGGCCCCATTTGATTGGCGTCAGGCGACACAGGCAACGAAGGCGCGACCCGACGGCGCGGGAAGGAGCAGCTCCGCCCAATAGAACCGTGGCGCGACGGCTGTCGTTTGTTGCTTTTGTCTCTCCTCTCGAGCTTCACCGTCTTTCTGTACCCTTTACGCACTCAGTTCCCTTTGCCGCTCCTCTGTCCTAGCACTCTCCCCCCTCCCGCGCGGCCCAATTGCTGCCGTACGCCCGTCCGGGGCACAGTGTCGAGCTCGGTTGTCCGTGTCCGTGCGTGCCGGTCCGTGGACGTGACGTGACGCCCCCGAGCAACGGCCACCAAGGGACAAGCTTCAAACGGGGTATCACTCTTCAGCCCGTTTGCATCGGACGACCTGTTTCACGCGGTTTGCCATCAGCACTCGTGTGGTACTGTTGGCGGAGAACGGCTTGCATGGAGCGCCTTATAAAACGTCCAATTTGCCCTTGTCGACAGGCCCCGTCTCTTGTCTCTTCTCTCCGCGCATGGTTCGGTATTTCCATTTCGACAACACCGGAGGTGAGTTGTGTCACACTCCCGTCTCATCTCGTCCTTGCCTCCTGCATGCCTGTTTGCGTATCCTCGACCCATCTGCCGCCGACAGAAGAGCATGTAGGCCCAGGCCAAGCTGTCTAGTGCGACCGTCGGGGCTCCATTTCTACTCATGCTTTCTTTCTTTTACGGCCGCCCTGAGCATTACCATATCTGCCTTTCTCTGCCGACAAGAAAGTATTCTTCTGGCCTTCTCCAATAGGGAGGCCTATTGTCCCGTGTCCTTCCATCACCATATCTAGACATCCTTCATCTTGGCTCATCCTTACTTCCGCAGGGAATATCAGCTTAGATCCCAGCAGCAACAAACCCGCCTTAGCTTGCCATGGCTGATAGAGGAGGTCGCGGCGGCCGAGGACGGGGAGGCGGCGACCGGGGCGGCGGACGTGGTGCTGAAAGAGGCCGTGGTCGAGGCGGTGGTCCGCGGGGAGGATATCGCGGCGATAGTCCTGGCCCCGGATACGGCGGCGGCGACGCTGGCCGTGGCCGCGGTGGCGGAGCCCGAGGAGGCTATCGTGGCGACAGCCCTGGGCCTGGATACGGCGGCGGAGACTCCGGTCGCGGCCGCGGCGGCTATTCTTCCCGTGGTGGTACCCGTGGCGGGCGAGGAGGACGAGGTGGACGTGCTGAAAACCCCGAACTCTCCAAGGCATACAGGTATGTTCTGGACCCGTCCCATAAGGGCCGTGACGCTCTCGATTGACCCATCTCTAGCATGAGCGGCACATGTCCGTCACCAGATCCCAGCATCACGGCCCTGGAAGACATGATCGTTACCTCCCAGTCTGGCTCTCTGACTGGGTTGGTGTCGCAACTAGGACAGGTCAGCCTTCAGCACGGTGGTGCTGGCGGCTCCAGTAGCAGTGCCTCAACGGATCTGTTCCCTCTTCGGCCTGCGTTTGGCTCGGCCGGCCGGCCTGTCAGCCTCTGGACCAACTACTTCCGGGTCAACGCCAACCCGACGGTGCTGTTCAGGTACCACCTCGAATTTGCTCAGGTCGCGACCGAAGTTACTGGCGAAGGCGGACAGACGGAGTCAACCAAGTCTGCTCGGGACGTCAAGGGGCGGAAGCTCTACCTGGCCGTCGAAGCTGCCCTCAAAACCTTGCGCGGCGCCGACAGATCCCTCGTGCTCGCCACCGAGTATAAAAGCCAACTGATCTCTCTCAAAAAGTTGGACTTGACCGAGAACCCCTTTCAGATCCGTCTTCCAGTAGAGACGAGCCAGACAAAGGTCGACGTCATCGACGTCACCGTGCACGGGCCATCCGAAGCGCCTTTGCATGCGTTGCTCACTTACATGGCGTCCATGAGCGACGGCCCCAACGACGGCATCTTCCCCAAGTACCCAGATGCCGTCGATGCCCTCAACGTCATCCTTGGTCATGGACCGCGCTCGAAGCTGAACGACATAGCTGCTGTTGGTAGTTCGCGTTTCTTCCCTTTCGGTGCGAACAAGGCCACGGCCAATCTCGACCATGATGGCCATCTGCTCATGGCGGCACGCGGCTTCTTCCAGTCGGCGCGCATTGGCACAGGCCGCCTGCTTCTCAACGCCAACGTGACACATGGCGTGTTCAGGGTCTCCGGGAAAATGGACCGACTGTTTGAGGGCCTTGAGCTGGGTCCTGTCATGTCGAACGATCGCTACGCACTTCGAGTCATGAAGGCTGTCGGAAAGTTCATGCCCAAGACTCGCGTCTGGGCCGATTTCATGCTCTCCGATGGGAGGAAAGTGCGCAAAGCCAAGACGATCCACGGCCTCGTTGCAGCCACGGAACTCACCAAAAAGGGAAAAGCCGCTGCTGATGAGAAGCCACTCAGGTTTGCGAAAAACTATGAGTACCCAGGCCCCAAGGAGGTCGAGTTCTGGCTGGAGGTTAGCGGAAATGGCCGCTACATCACCGTTTACGACTACTTCCTCAAGAAGTACAATATGCACCTCAAGAACCTGCCTCTCATCAACTTGGGTCGCGCTGACAAGCCCACTCTGTTCCCGGCCGAGATGATCGAGATCCAGCCAGGCCAGTCGGTCAAGGCTAAGCTCACTATGAGTGAGACGACAGCCATGCTGGACATTGCCTGCCGCACTCCGTACGCCAACGCGTTGTCCATCAGTGGCGACGCCCGCAACACCCTTGGCCTGGACGACGAAAGCCTTACCAACTTTGGCGTTTCTGTCGATAAATCGCTCCTGACAGTTCATGGACGAGTCTTGCAGATTCCCATGCTTTCGCTCATGACCGAGAAGAAGCGAGCCGACGAATTCATACCCAGGGACGGCAACTGGAACTTGAACGGGAGAGTCATCGCCCGCGCCGGCCGCCCGATTCAGCGGTGGACGTACCTGGACATCATGAAGCGAACAGGAAACCCCGCCTCTGTGGGCATGATGAAGAACTTTGCCGCGCAACTTATCAAGACGGGAATTCCCATGTCCACGGATCCAGTCATGCCGCCCCATGGCAAACTATTCATGACTCGTGACGAGGCGATGGGCCCTCCCTTGACCAGGTTTTTCGCATGGGCGCAACAGGAGAACGTGCAGTACATCTTCATCATCCTGCCAGAGAAGGACACATCTGGACTCTACCCGCGAATCAAGACATTGGCGGACTGCGAGTATGGCATACACACCAGTCTCGTCTTGTCCAAGCACATGGGTCAGAACGGACCCAGCCCTCAGTATGCGGCCAATGTCGGGCTCAAGGTGAACCTGAAGATGGGTGGCCTAAATCACAAGCTCAAGAACGACATTGGACTACTGAGAGAGGGCAAGACCATGATTGCCGGTTACGACGTGACGCACCCAACCAACATGCCGGAGAGGAAAGACGGCAAGGAAGCCCCAAGCTTGGTCGGCCTGGTGGCAAGCATCGACAAAGACGTCGGGCAGTGGCCAGCGACGTCGTGGGAGCAGTCGGCTAGACAGGAGATTCTCAGTGAGACGCTCGTGGAGGCGTTCAAGTCCCGTCTCGACCTCTGGGCCAGACACAACCGAGCCTACCCGGAAAACGTCATTATCTTCCGCGATGGCGTTTCAGAGGGCCAGTTCCCGCAGGTACTCGAGCAGGAGCTCCCGTCGATCCGCAAAGCTTGCCTCGAGAAATGCGGAAGCAGGCAGCCGAAGCTGACCATTGTGGTGTCCGTGAAGCGCCATCAAACGCGGTTCTACCCCACGTCGACGACCGACATGTCCAAGTCTGGCAATGTGGTAAACGGCACCGTAGTGGACCGTGGCATCACGCAAGCCCGCTATTGGGACTTTTTCCTCACGGCCCACCACGCCCTGAAGGGCACCGCGCGACCTGCGCACTACACGGTCCTGCTCGATGAGATCTTCCGCGACAAATACAAGGCCAACGCCGCCAACGAGCTGGAGCGGCTGACACACGAGCTCTGCTACCTCTTTGGGCGGGCGACCAAGGCGGTAAGCATCTGTCCCCCGGCGTACTATGCAGATATTGTCTGCGAGCGGGCCCGCGCCCACCGGCCGGAGATATTCGATGTCGACGACGCATCCTCGATTGCGTCTATGTCGACTACCCGTGGGACGAACCGCCAGGTGCACGTGAATCTCCAGGACACCATGTACTACATCTGAGTCTGTCTCGAGAAAGATCCGTCGAGGAATGAAATACCTCGGACATGATGGCAGGGCCGGTCGATATCTGGTATGAGTCCTTGGATAGTGAGCTGGCTTGGGCATAGACAGTGGCGTGGTGTGATAGAGCGGCGCATGTAGCAAATCCACATTTTCGTGATCACTTGAGGAATCTAAACTCGTGCATCTCATGCAAATCTAAACGTCTGGGCAATTCTATCCAAGGTCTATGTGTCTCAAGCCTTATATCTTTGGCTTCGGTGGTATCTTTGCCCCGTTGCTATCTTGTACACCCAGGTAACGCCTGTATTCATCACTTACTGTCGTCCTCTCGGCCAGCGGCTTCTTCGTCCACTGGTCGTACTCCTTCTCCTCGGCCCACCATCGGTCCAGCTCGCCTTTGGCCCACTCGGCGGCGTGTCTGGCGCAGTACGCCGGTGCCTCCATAGGAATCAAGTGGCCGTGGTCCGGGTGCGTCACCTGTCTTACACGGCCTTGCGCGGCGCCTCCGCTACCGCCCGTGCCCGTGCCCGTGATGGCCGTTCGCTCACGGACGACATCGGGAGTGATGGTAACGCTCTGCCCGCCAATGACGTAGAGCACGGCGGGACGGACGTTTGGCAGGCGAACCATGGTGTTGCCGCCCTCGGCGCGGTACAACGGCCAGTTGGAGACGGAGGGGTTGAGGTTGTCGTCGAGATCGGGACACCGCTCCTGGTGGATGACTTTGGAGCCGTCGGCGTTGAAGGCGGGCCAGCTGGGGCGCAAGAAGGTAAAGACTTCCTGGTGCTTAGTCGTAGAGAGCGTCACGGGCGGCGGCTTCGCGGCTGCACCATCATCGTCGCCCTTGCCAGCCGGCGAAGCAGCGGAAGCGGGGACGTCGCGCAGGCCAAACTCGATCCAGCGGTCGAGCACGCGCGGGTCCCAGGCCTGGTAGAACTTGCTCCTGCGGAAGGACGCGGCGGCGTCAGCGCGCGATGGCCAGACGTCGCGACGGTTGACGCTCAGGGCGGCGGGGCCGAGACGGAGGGTGACGGGGGTGGAGTCGAAGTGCCCGATGACGGGGTCGAGGAGGACGAGGCCGGCGGAGAAGAGACGCGGGTGGAGGAGGGCGGCGTTGGTGAGGGCGTTTGCGCCGAAGGAGTGGCCGACGGCGAGGAGGGGCCGCGGGGGCCGGAAGTGGTTGATGAGCTGGACGATGTCGCGGGCGTAGTCGTTCCAGCCGGCTGAAATGAGAATGCGGCGGTCAGAGCTTAAGGTCTTTCTGTGGCCTCATGAAGGGGAGAGTAGGGGGTGACGAACGGTCGTTGCCAAGCTTGCCCTCATTGAGGATGCCGCTGCGGCCCTGCCACGCGGCGTCGGCGATGTAGATGCTGCGGATGCGGATGCCGAGCCTTTTCGCCTCGAGGTAGAATTCGTCCCAGAGGGGTTCATACAGCTCCTGGGCCAGACGTGAGTACGTGGTGTGTATAGAGGTGAGTTTGAGTGAGTGAGGGAGAGTAGGCGGGTTTGAGATGTGAGCGCCAGGAGGGTGTTGTCACGAACCTTGGGGAAGCCGTTGGCGTGGGCGCCGATGACGGTCAAGTCGCCCCTTTGCGGCTTGGGGTTATCCTTGGGGACGTACTGCTTCACGGCGAGGAGCAGCGCCTCATCCTGGGAGGAGGCGGTCGCGCGGGGAAAGTCGCGGATGTGAGACGCCTGGATGGTGTGCTCGGTGATGTTGAAGAGTGACATTGCGGCGGCGGCGGCGGCGGCGGCGTAGGTGAAAGGGTGGGCTTATTCGGTTTACCGACACATTTGAGGATGAGGTCACAGCCCGAAACTACACAGAATGCGATGTGTATGAGAGAAGCAAGAACAGGGTCCGGCGTGGTTGCGATGACGGAGGTCAGGGTTCAAATGACGAAGGGAGAGAGTATGTGAATTGATGCGGACCCTCAATCCCGTTCGTCGTTTGGAGACGGATGCCGCCGCCCCCATGTTTTGTTCCCCGTGTGCCTCGGCCCGGCCTTGGGGGTGGCTCCTGCGCCAAAGACGGAGCGCGGGGTGCTGCAAACGCTCAAGGGATCCATGCTGGAGCACTGGTGGCTAGGTTCGTGGGTAGCGTCAATATTAGTGAGGTGAAGGTGCACTGAGGGCCTCTGGAGGTCGCGCCTTGCTAGCCGATCGGGGACAACAGGGTTATGACAAGATCTCCACTGCGCCGCGCTGCGCTGCGCCGCTCGTGCCTGCCTGCCCTGCTGCCAGTGGGCGGGCGGGGCGGGTGCCTTGCGCTTTCCTCAACACCAAAATTGCATGAGCTGGAAGCTACCTACCCTGAACGCTCGTGCTCGCGACGACCTAATCTTCAAGACTGGCTGGCCTTGCAGACACAATTCCCCTACCGTCTTTTCTACCTCACCATCAAACGGTGATCATCACAGATCTTGGCGTTCCAAATGCATGTGCCGCGCCCAGCATGGGGGCCCCCAAACTGATGCTCCTCGCCGGCGCACCGCTACCCTCAAAAGTGGACGACGCGTCGTGCACCGTGACCAAATTGGACAACGCATACAGCATCCTCCTGTGCCTCGACGATTTACAGAGCGGAGACGCTGCGCCAACCTCATCTCATGCTGTGTGGCGCTCATTGCCCTTGGCAAGACAACCTCTGCACACTGGCTTCAGCCAAATCCACGACTTCCAGAACACACAGTTTCGTGAAAGTGCCGGTTTCTTCACTACGGCAGATGTGTCCTTTTCAGACTCGTCACACCTGGCCTCTACACGCGAGGACGCCGAGGATGTCCTGACGCAGTTCTGTGAGCAGGCCCTGGCAGAACACACGTCAATCTTGTCCTCGCAACCTGATGACAGCTTCGTCTCTGAGGAGGAGACATCCTTCCTGACGACCGCCTCGTCGGCCGACAGGACCAACCATGGCACGATGCGGCCACCCCCTCCTGTACCGTCACATCTATCTGACCTCGAGGACGTCCCGCCCGCCAAGCAGATCCTCGCATTGCAGCCCCAGACGGTGACCCTCAACCTCATCGTCGGGGTCATCTCCATTGCTCAGCCGCGCACCGTCACCACGCGCTGGGGCACCACGCTCTCGCTGGTCGAGGTCCTCGTGGGAGACGAGACCACGGCCGGCTTCGCCGTGACCTTTTGGATCGGCAGCGATGCCGACCGCAACGCCGGAGTGCTCAAGCTGCAGCGGCAGGATGTGGTTCTGATGGAGAACGTCGCGTTGCACGTGTTCCGCGGCAAAGTCTACGGCCAGAGCCTGCGCAAGGGCTTGACGAGGATCAACCTTCTCTGGCGCCGTGACGGGAGCGGGTACTACTCCACGAGGACCCTGTCCAAGAAGGGAACGACAACGACGCGCCCGCAGCAGGACAAGACGGCGCAGGTCAAGGACTGGGTGTTGCGATTTGTGGGACGAGACCCGGCGAGGACGACGAGAAGCAGCGCACGAAAGTCATGGGACAGGCCACCGGACGACTCGCAATGACGGCAACGTGAAGAACTCAGCACAGCTTGATATACCCGGGACGACGAGCTGTCATCCCACATCTATTACTCTATACTACCGTTTCATTCCATTATACAAGACCGCGCTTTAGTGGAGATGGCCTTGGCCTCTGCCGCTCTAGGATATCAACGCCATAACAAAATGCAATCGATACAAGCCATCAGAGAGACTAGACGGCCACAGCCGCAGGAGCCTCCTTCTTCTTGCCATCAGGCCCGTGCTTGACGGACCTCCACTCCAGGCCGAGACACATCAGAAGGGCCAGAGCCGCGCAGGCCACGGAGATGTAGTAGGTGTGGCGCAGGCCCTTCATGTACGCCTTGAGCACCGCGTCGAAAGCATCGACGCGGCCCATGCGCTCGAGAACGTGCTTGATCTCGGAAGCGCCGCTGTTGATGAAGACCTTTCCATCGATGCCGATGTTCTCCTCGTTGATGGTGTCGATGAGACCGTTCTGGAAGAGAGTCTGAGCGACAGCGACGAAAATCGCACCGCCGAGGGCCTGGAAGAACTGGACGCAAGCGGTGCCGACGGGAACCATTTCCTGGGGCAGCACGGTCTGCACGACGAGGACACCGATTTGGAAGCCGGCACCAATGCCGAGACCCGTCAGGACCTGGTAGCCGAACCACTCGCGGAGCGGGGTGTCGACGTCAAAGGTGGTGATCATGCCGGAGCCGACGGTAAAGAGGATCATGCAGGGGATGATGACAAAGTTGTAGTACCCAATGGCGGTGATGAGGCCGCCTGACACAATGGAGATGATGACAGTGGCGAGGAGCAGGGGGAGAATCTTGATGCCGGCCTGGACGGCGCTGACGCCCTGGATGGCCTGGAAGTACAGGGCTGGTAAGGTTAGCATCCTGGTCAAGCGATTACATGCCAAGGGCCGGGTGCTTACAGAGGTAGTATATGAGGGGGAAGAAGCCGGCGCCGAAGAAGAAGGCAAACAACATGGAGAAGAGGACGTTGCGGTTCTTGAACAGGCGCGGGGGCAGTGTGCCGTTGTCGCCCTGCCAGAACTGGATGCCGATGAAGATGGCAATCATGAGACCAAAGCCAACGAAGAGGCCGATGATCTTGGCACTGTTCCAGGGGTAGTCGGCGCCACCCCACTGCAGGGCGAGGAGCAGGCAGATGATGGCGGGGATGAAGATGGCGGTGCCGGACAGATCAAGCTGCATGATGCGGGCCTTGATGGTCTGGCCTTCGGAGCTGGCCGTGTTGCGGTTGACGTGGACAAAGAAGAAGACGATGAGCATGGCCAGGCCTCCGATGGGCAGGTTGATGTAGAAGCACCAGCGCCAGGTGACGTTCTCAGTGAAGGCGCCGCCGAGCAGGGGGCCGGCGACGGAGGCAATGCCCCACATGCCGCCGATGAGACCGAAGGCCAGCGGGCGCCTGTTGAGGGGCATGGAGAGGGAGAGGATGACGATGGAGCCAGAGAAGAGGCCGGCGGTGCCGATCTGGCAAAATGGTCAGTCGGGAAGCCGACAACAAGCATCCGGGGTCGAGCACAACTTACACCAGCGATGGCGCGGCCGACGATGAAGGCGGTCGACGTGGGGGCGACGGCGCAGACGAGACTGCCGACTTCGAAGATGAAGACGGCGAAGAGGTAGACGAGCTTGACGTTGAAGAGCTTGTAGACGGCGCCGTACATGGGCTGCAGCGCCGTCGTGGTCAAGAGGTAGGCCGAGCCATACCAACCCTTGAGAGTGTCAGCATGGGGACCAGCAACTCTATGGGGATCAGCCACTCACAATGTCCTTGACACTCTGAAACTGGGCAGTGATTGCGCCCAGGGCGGGCGCGATGATGGTCTGGTCGAGGGCGACGAGGAACACGGCCAGGCAGAGGGCGGTGATGATGAGGATGAGGGTCAGGCCCTTGGGGTAGTTGGCGGCGGGATCGTCGTTTGGCGTTACGGCAGCGGCGTCGCGCTGCTTCTCGTCGACGTGCTCGGCGTCATGGTCGTGGTCATGGCCATGGTCGTGATCGCGCTGCTTCTCCAGGGCTTCGTGCGGCGAGACGACTCCAGAGCCCGTCTCCGTCCTGTCGGTGGACAGGCGCTCGGTTGAGTGATCCGGCATGGTTGCCGTCGTTGTAGGTTGTGTCATGGCGGGAAGTCAAGGTGAGAGACGTCCCTTTTGTACAACAGCTTGCTTATGCGATTTGCGGCGTATGTGGCAACCGTCAAGTCTGGAGCTGTTCCGGGTTGCGGCCGATGGATGGCGATACCTTCAGCAGAAACCAAGCGTTCGAGAACGAGCAGCCACAAGCGAGGAGTGCGCCTCAGCCTCTTATACGCCCGAAAGCATCGTCACTTTATTAAGGAGAAGGAAAAAAACAGAGTCTACCGGCGCGCTAACAACAAGCTCGTCGCCCACAAGGGCTTACAGGGAGGGAGGTCCCGGCCGCCGGGTCGCGCAAGTTGCGCGAGGCGGGTCAATGGCCGGGGGGCCCCCGAGCCTCGAGGGCAAAGGGGTGGGCGTGGAGCGTCAGCGCATGGACGGGTGAATATGCCGAACGCCGGCACCAACTGGGCAGCCCGTCACTGCTGCGTTCGGACTGGGGCACCTCTTTCTTGCTGGCCTGCCTGGTTTGTTCTGCGTTGCCAACGGCGGCCACACACACAGGCACACACCCACTGGGCCAGGAGGGCGTGGAGCGTGGTCCCGATCCGCTGGCTCGCGTTGGATCCGACAGCCGAAAGGGCGACCGATGCCTGGCTGCCTGGCTGCCTGCCGGACCCTTGATTGCAGCGGATGCCGCATGGGCTGGTCGCGGGATTCATGGGGCACGCTGTTGCTGCTGCTCGGAATGACGAAACTGTTGCGCCGTCTCAGGCACGCAGCTGGTCTCTCTCGCACATTGCGGCTCACGATCGACGCACGACAAGACTACGCCTGGCACAGCAACTACGTGCCGTGCTGGACGAGCCGTCGCAACGCTCGACACTCGTAGCATCAAGCGCGACGAAAGAACCCGGTCTCGCCCGCTGCCCACAGCTCGTCCGGGTGCCAGATCCCATCCGAAACAAGCACGCGCATCAACCGTGACTCACGACGGACCGCGAGAAAGCGTGCAAAAAAGCAGCGACGAGACAAGGGACGGGCCAGTGAAACCCACCTGCGAGTGAAACGTGCGCCCCAGAAAATGGACTTCGGGCAGGCCAGCCGCTGCGAGGGTCCAAGGTCGCACAAGCTCGCGGACTTGGTACGTTTGCCGATGTCCGAGCTGTGGGTCGGCCGCCTTGTGACTGAGAGACCGTGAAAGAGCGGGCGCCGCCGTCGCCGCAAGAGGAAGCACGACGATGAGCTGCAGCTGGCACGGCTCACGCGAGCGGCGGCGAGCCCCCCCCGTTCATGTCATCATTGACTTTTGTGCTCGCGCGCGCTGTCCTCCCTCATCGACGCCATGGAATCGGGCCACGATCAAGTCATGGGGTTATGGCACCGCGCGGCGTCATGCTTCGTCATGGGGATTCGTGGCCGCACGCGAAGCGTACCCGCGTTGGCTTCCACTGACGAGACGGATGCAGCTCCTTTGACTTCCTTTCTTTCTCTACCCTGTCTCGTGAGCTCCAGCACAACGCAGCAGTGCGTTGCCGCCGTCGCGACGTGCCTCTCTCGTGAATCAAACAAGGCGTGCAGGGCCGGGCAGTAAGCACAAGGGACCGGGATCCAGGCACGGCGCGCATCGCACGCCGAGACCCAGCACTTCCCCCCACAGGGCTGACGGATCCATCCCTTCGCAGTTGAATCAGAGGCCTGCAAAATAGCCAAGTCGGCTGCCAAGCTGGGTCTTCCCCCACCGCCAGGGAGGGAGCGAGGACCACGCGCTCGCCCACCTGCGGGACATCCACCCTCCACCACACTGGCCTGGCACACACCCCCCTACGGACAACGGAGCACAGCTCCTGTCGTTGCTCGTCCACACGGGCGAAAGCGGGCCCCGGCCAGACGCAGCCACACGGGCAAGCATCAGCCAGAACGGCGCCGGGACCTGCTTGTGCTGCTGGCGACTGGTGCGAGTTGGTCCGGGCAGGGCACGCGCGCCGGTGCCAGATGCGCCGACTGGTCCGGGGGCACCAGCCCTGCGATCGATAAGATGCGATTGTGCAGTGTGAGGGCGTCCCGGCTCCTTTGACGACCCGGGAGAGGAGGCCTCAACTGCCTTGCGGAAGAAGGTGGTGTTGCTGTCGTCTCTTGGCGTCCTCTCACCAACAGTCAGCACCAAACATGGCAGTGTTGAGCGAGCTTAGATCCAAGCTGATTACAAAGTACGCCATTAGCCGGATGGGACTCTCTACGATCTCCGAGGCAGGTGAAGGCGAGGGATGGGTCATCATCGCCGTCGTCTTCGATTCACTCAGCCATGGTACCGGAATACCTATCATTCCGCAGCCGGCGAAGTGACGTGACGACGGCCATACGTACGTATTTACGTAGAAGAAGTCATAGCCTTGCAGCGCCGTGAAACTGTCTTCCACTCGCTTCGCAGCTTCATGAACGCTTCCCTTGGCTCAGTCTGGATGCGCTGCTTGCCCGCTGTCTTGCCCGCAGCAGCTGCAGCACGTGGTAGAATGTCGTGAATGCCACAATTCATTGTACTGTACTTTATGCTCGCGCTGAATCTACATGGCCGGCCCCTCCCTTCCTTCTAACCATTCGTGAGAGGGACAAGCCGGACCGAGTATTCGTACCTCGCAGGTACGCGGGCTACTCCCCGTTCACTTCACCGTTCGTCCCCCGACTCCGACGCCGACGCGCCGTCCGCCGACGAGGCAACCTCCCCCGGCACCCACACCAGCAGCCCGTCCTTGTCAATCTTCATGCCCTCGGTCGGGATGATGCGCAGCACCTTCTGGAAGTACTTGTCGCGGACGACGAGCCCGGGGCGCACGTACGCGCCCGCCACGAGCGGCAGGAGGCGGTACCGCGTCGTGCGGCGCGACATGGGCAGCAGGTGCACCGTCGTCTGCTTGGCCCCGGAGAAGGCGAAGGCGTCGCTCGGCTCCATGGTCAGGCCGAACGTCAGGAAGTGGTTCGACGGGTTCTCGATGGTCATGTCCAGGTGCATCACGCTCGGCCACGTCTCGCCCGGCGCGTGCGCGTGCAGCGCCGAGGCGAGCACCCGCGGCTCCGTCCCGAGCACCAGGTACTGGCCCACCGGCATCGTCGTCGTGTTGACCGCGCCGTCGTCCGCCGCCGCCGCTTGTGCCGTCCTCCTGCGTTTCCACCGGATCACAAACGCGAGGTCGAGCGTCACCGGGTGCCGGTCGTCGAGGCTGAGCTTCTGCGCCACCAGGTCAAACTGCGCTTCGTGCATCGTCTTCGGTGCCGCCACGATCCCTTCCGCGGGTACCTCGGGCCGCTTGACGACGCTGCACTGGGCCCCGCCCACGCATGATAGGATCTCCACGTCGACATCGCTGACCTCGAGGTCCTCCGTCGCAAACGATGCGTAGTGGCACATCAAGCACCACTGCTGAGCAAACCCTCTGGGCTGCGTCTTGCCTTCTCCATCCGCAGCCTCGTCCAGCTCCTCGTAGTTGAACAGGCTCGGCCACGGGTCGGGGTGGAGCCGCGGGACCAAATCGTAGTTTGCCTCGAACGGGGCCACCACGTTGAGCTGGATGGGGAGCAGCTGTATGATGGGCGTCGCGCTGTCAGAGTCGAGGTGGTACGTTGCTCGCAGATGCATGTCGTAGCTTGTCGGCGCGCTGGCCGGGTCGATACGTATGGAAAGCACCAAGGACGACCCCTTGGCCATGTGGCCGAGCCCGACACCACTGATGCGCGACTCCTCCTCTGCGCCGTCTGCCTGATGCTTGTTTCCGTCGGCGGTGAGCTTAAAGGCCGGTAATGCCTCGCCGAACAAGAGCACGTCCAGCTTGACGCTTGCATCCTCGTCCTCGTCGTTCCGTAGTTCGATTTGCACGTCAACCATCTCGTTCGTGTAGTACTGCTCCTGAGGCTCCAGCACTGCAATCTGCAGCTTCGGCGGCCGAGGCTGTATATGCAGACTTCGCGCGTCAGACCGCGGTTGTCGGGGTTTGTGCGATCCTCTTGTGAACCACCCGACAGCTGCGTCTGTTTCCCTAAACTTGAGCGCATACTCAAGGTCGAAAGCGTCACTCTGATACGCCAGGGTGACGCTCGACGCCTCTGCATCGCCGGCCTCTCGTAGGGGCACCGCCATCTCAAATATCAGCTGCTGCCCCGGCCGCAATGTGAGGTTGGCGTGGCCCCTGAGCTCCGTCGGCAGTTCATCGTCCGAGTCTGCCGCAAACTTCTCCTCCACTTCAACGGCAGTGACCGTCTCGTTTTCCGCTGCGCCTAGGGCCCCCTCGTCGTGGTCAATGATGAGGGGTTTCAAGCTTCCATCAAATTCTACTCGCACAGACGACAAGGTCAGAGGCGCCGAGCCCTTGAGCGCGTGCGAAGTCAAGACAAGCTGCGCGGCACATGTTTCGCCGGCTTTGCTTTCCTTGTGGCGAAACACAAAGCTGGCAGAGACTAATGTCGAAGCACTCTCGTCTGTCAGGCCGACGACAGGCTTAGTCTCGGCCTTGAGGCCATCGAGGGACCTTCGTAGATCGTAGTGCCAGTGAGCTCGCCGTGAGAACTCTGGAGAACTGATTAGCACAAGTCCAGTCCCATTTGCATTGCTTCATGTACTCACTCGCATTCATCAGCTCCCAATCAATGGAGACGACGAGATCCCCCCGCCCCGTGGCGGCAGCAGCCCTTCTCAGTAGCCAACACAGGTCCTCGGACGCGTCCAGCCATTGCTCGGACCGGAACGAGCCGTCATCCCACAACGGCCGCAGCATCGCCACAACCTCCTCCCAATGGCCCTGTGACGCCATCTCCCGCGCGCACTCCAGCGAAATCTCAGCAGCGAGACGCAGCTGCTTGCGGGCCTGGAACTGCGTCCGAGCCATGATCAGGCAGTCGATGACCAGCTGCGTGTGGTCGACGCCTTGGCCGGATAAGGGGTACTCCTCGTGCGGCGCTGGGCACATGTATGTGTCGTATGCAAACGACTTGCTGCCTCCTTGCGCAGACGACGTCGAGTCTGGCGCAGCGCGATCCTCCTCCGGCATCATATGCGCCAAGGTCCTCCGCGCAGCAAGGTGCCGCGCCGCAATCCGATACCAGTATCCTGTGTGATGAAGCAGCTCCCACGGCCTGAGCCGCTCGGCGAGGACCGCTTTCTCAGGCGGCATGTAGATTCTCATCGTTGCTGGTGTCAGCCCGGCCACCTCGACCTTTTCTATCAGCTGAGCCATGACCGTTGCCCACCGCGCCTCCCACGCCTGCCAGCCATAGTTGTTCGTCCCGCGGCCTCGTCGGTCTACAAAGTCACCGATGCGATCTCGGTGAGCTTCCCACCTGCTCACCGCCAGACTTGTGTGCCCCATCCATAGCTGGATCCTCAGGCAGCGGATGGAGATGAGGTCTGCCAAGAGTCGGGCCTCGTTCCAGCGAGGGCTCCAGCTTGGCATAATATCCAGAACATCAGCACCCATTAATATCCCGTATGCTTGTTCAAGGGAGCGGATCGCGGCATCCGGCTCCTGTCGAAACTCGGCAAAGACGCCAGCCTTGAAGTCGTAACGAAAGTTCCAATCCGGCAGCGACAACGTTCGCGACGTGCCTGAAGTCGGCGGCACGGTCGGCCGTGGTGCGACGCCACGCGACCGCTTCTTCCTCGCATGGCGTCCGAGGTCGCGATAGTACTCGACCGCCGTACCATACAGCACTGAGAGAATATTGTCCATGACCTTTTTCAGCTCTGTCGGCGAGCTCTGTACCGGAATATAGAATATTGACTTGGGATCCAGCGCGGTGCCCCTCCGTATCGCTTCCAAGCGGTCTTGCACTCCTTCGGAGAGCTGCGCGGACCCGGATGATGCGTCGCCGAGCAGGATGACGGCCACCCTCGTCTTGTACCCAGAGCTTGCGAGCATCCTCTTGAGTTCGTTGATGTCTGCTTTCAGCCGGTTGTCGTTGGCGAGGGTGTAGAAGCAGGCATAGATGCTAGGGACGAGCTCCTGGTGCTTCCGGATCCACTGCGCGTCTATCAAGCCGTCCGGGTACAGCGCTGACACTGGCGAGAGGGGAGAGAACGGCGAGTGCAGAACCGACGCGGAATCGAGCGGCTCGTCGGATTCGGGGAGCTTCGCGCGGTGGGGAGGAAGGAAGAACGACTGTTAGGAGTCAGCATCGAGAACGTCACTCCGGGCCGCCATGAGACTTCCCCGTCCGACCGTCTTGATGCGGAACCGATACGGCTCGTCGCGAGCCACACTCGTCCACGACTTGCCATGGCCGTCAATCTCCTCAAAGTATTCCCCCAGCACATCGGCCTCTTTGCCCTCCAGCGGCGGCAGCTCCGACTTTAGCAGGATGCCTTGGTCCTTGAGGTCGCCCTCGAGCTGGAGCTCGGGCAGGGCCGCGTTCAGGCCGGATGCGACGAGCAGCGGGACATTGTGGTCGAGGCTTCCCGCGGGGTAGCCGTCCATGGTGCCGGATCAGGACGTCGGGAGCGCGCGCCGCGGTTCGGACAAGGGGCGTGCGGTCTAGTCGTCGTCGTCGTATGTTTGAAGCTGTACTGCGCCATCAGCATCTCGGGTTGCTGCCCCTCCTCGCTGCGCAAGCCGCGGAGATGCAATTGCGTACCATGCTCCTCCCCCTTTGCCAAAGAAAAAGCTTTGAAGCTGGCTTGCGCAACGCTCAAGACCGGTGATGTTTAATCATAGAGGGATCGGAGGGAATTCAAGCCGCAAGTTGACGTCCATATTACTGCTGATTGAAGCTGGTCGCGGAGAGCTGCGGGCACCTTGGCTAAGCCCCAGAGCCAGGCGTGGTGCAGTGGGCTTGGTGGATGCACCGCGCGCCAGCGTCCAGCTCCGGATCGGAACAACGCCGGCAGCCGACCCTGACCGGCCCCGAAATTTCCAACGCCCGTCACCTTCAAGACTGCGATCACGCCCAGTTCCGAGCAAACAACCACCGACGACTACGAAACTGCCGCCTACGCAATCGCGGGTCTGCGCGCATAACTCATCCCTCCGCTAGATCGTCTCCGCGCGGACGCGAAGAACCGCCCACCATGAGACCGACGCAAGCCCTCTCCGTGGGCCGCTACCGCCACCTCAAGCTCACGACCAAGGACGTCGGCCGCGGCTTCTACAAGGGCAACCGGACGGGCTCCATGGGCCGACACACAAAGTACGGAGGATACGTCATCGAGTGGAACAAAGTGCGGACCTACGCCGTGCCGGACCTGAAGGAGTTCAAGGTATGGACGCTGTTCCCGTGACACCCTTGACAAAATGCCGAGGAGAGGACGTTGTTTCTGACGCAGGGACGGAAACAGCTCACGCCGTTCGTGTCGCGGCAGATCAAGGCGCAGTCGGGCGACTACAAGGGGCTGGAAAAGGGACCGCAAGACCCGTACTTTTACGTCGAGCAGTGGAAGCGGTACAATGGCGTGGATTGAGCCACGGCGGGCGAATGCGATACGACGACATGGGATGGGAGACCCCTGGATGCGACACATCGACCTGAGCGCCATGCGGCGGCGGGTATGCGCCTCGAGCATGAAGAAACACATCCATCGACATTGGCGTGGGAGCCTCTGCGATTGTATATACCCAAAAGTGTACCATCATCACCAACGGCGCAATGTACCAGAAGGATACAGACACAGCGGGCCATGATATTCAAATGGCGGCAGGCGCTTATGCCTCGCGATAGCATTATACACAAAAAAGAACTAAACCAAACGAATGTGCTTTTTGGTGCACGGGGATATCTCTAGGTATCGTGTGAATGCAGTGGAGGGGCGTGCATGCTCACGCAGCGCCGACGGCCGCTCCGTTTTGCTCCGACTCCTTCTCAACCTGGGGCACGCTATCTGAGGTCACGATGGATTGCAACCCAGGGCGGTTACCAATGCCTGCGAGGAGCTGCTCCGCTCGCATGGCGTCGTCGGGGTCCGGCCTGCCCGACACGTCCTGCCGCGACCCCATTGGGTTCGGGCTCATGGGACGGGAGGAAGTGCCTGGTGTGATGGCGGAGTTCAGCGTCATCATGCTCGCGGTCTCGGCATCCTTCTTAAGGCTGAAGGGCATCGCGATGCCGTCGATGAATGGTCGCTTTCCAGCCACGCCGGTTTCGGGCACGAAGTTCGGACTCAAGAGGCCAGCGCCAGACGCTTCCTTCTCTCGACGCTGGTTGATGAGCTGTGCGACGGGTGTGCTTTCATCCACAGCTGCGTCCTCTGTCTGGTGCTCGTCCACGACGGTTCGTCGGCGAGAGCGGCTTCGGCTCTTTGCCGCGCCCGCGACGGGCTGTTGTGCCTCGATGTCATTGAAGGATCTGGCGCCACGACCCTCGTCGCCCGTAACGGATAGCGTCTCAGGTTCCTGGCCCGCGTTCTGTTCCCGCAGCACCGTTGCCTCGTCGTGCTTGGAGCCCCAGCCTGACCACAGCGCCAGACCAATGCTCTTCCTCTTCTTGTGCTCCCTAAGCTCTGACTCGATGCGTCGTCGCCCGGCCAGAGCCGATGGTGGTGGATGTTCGCCGGCCCCGAATTCGTGGAAGCCGGCAACCATGTCCTTGATGATCTTCTTATGCACCTTTGCCTTGGCAGCCGAATACCGCACGTCCCATTGCTTCTTCGCGCCCATCCACTTGCGGACGGGGCCTTCCTTGACAACACCCACTGCGGTAGGGTCCATGCTGCAGCCCGGAAGCTCCGATTCGGGTGCCAAAGGAGATGTGTGTCCGTGGCGAGTAACCCTTTGACGGATCATGTGTCTCCTGAAAGGCGGCAGCGGGTCGCCGGCTTTGCCAACCTGGCCGGCCGCAGCGGCGTCCTCCTTTTCCTTTTGCTTCTCCTGCTCCAGCTTCTTGCTCTCGTCCGGTACCTCGCTATCCGATCCGCAGCTCGTAATCACGGATATGGCATCGTCATCCATGATATCGATGCCCGTCTTCTGAGCTCGCGCCAGTGCCCACGCGCCAAACTGCGAAACAGACCGGTACATGTACTTGGCCGGGCGCGTAAAGCTGAGCGTCGGCGCTACGTGGCACAGGTCGTCCCAGACCTGGAGCTGGACGTCGGTCGGTTTATACTTCTGAAGGAGTTCGCGGCCGCGTGCGGTCAGGGCCTCGGCGGGCGGCGCATACTTGGCTGGATTTGCGCATTTGTGCGCCAAGTAGATCTGTTCGTCTCGCAGGATCTCGCCGCCGCCCACCATAATGAGCAGTGGTGGAAGGCCACCGAGCGTAGGCTGCATGACAGGGCTAACAAGGGGATGCGAGAGGAGCGCGTTGGTCGTGTACATCTACCCAGGTCAGCGGCGTGTGAGGCACCCAAAGGTTTCTTGGACAGCGTACCTGAATTTGGTCCTTAATGGTGATTTGCTCGCCGTCAATGTTCACCGTGAGAAACCTCTCCGTGTCAGTGTGGATGCCGCTGCTTGTGACCTGTTGCTCATCCTCTGGAGTCAAAGGTTGCCCGTCCTTGACAACGAGAGGAGCCTGCTGCTTGCTCTCAAGCTCAGACGAGCTCGGCGACTTCTTGCCTTGGCCGTTGGACCTCTTCTTTGCCTCTTCGCGCAGCATTCCAACGTCGTCGTTGTTTGGCGGCGGCCACGCTCGCGAAGGCTTGTGATGAAACCCAGCCTGGGGGATGTAGTCGAGCGGCGCATCGCCCGCGACGCTTGGGAACGAGTGCGTCAAGTCGACCCAAGGGCTGATGAGAATAGCTCCCGCAGGAAGAGCGATGCCTTGGTTCCGGAGAACGCAGAGCAGCGACACGACCATGCCGCCGCCCGCCGAGTCTCCGGCCAGCACAATCGTGCTTGGGTCCTGCGTCTGAAGCAGATGAAGATACGCAGCCAGACAGTCCTGCAGACCGCAGGGGAACGGGAACTGCGGCGCCAGCCGGTACTTCGGGGCAAAGACGCGGGCCTTGAGCTTCCGCGCGTGCCGCTGCATCTGGTAGCGATGCTCATCGACACTGCCAAAGAAGTAGGCGCCGCCATGGACGTACATCATCACGCGCCGTCCCGGGTCACCGTTCTTCTTGCGCTCGCTGGCGTCGGACCTCATCTCGATCCACTCGGCCTGCAGCGGCGACTTGGGCTTCCTCCATTGCCACCATTCCGTACCACCGACTTGACGGATGCCGTCCGGGCCCAGCTCCTCCTGCAGCAGGTGGGCGGCGCGCAGGAGCGTCTGATCCGGGATCGTGGCATCGTCGACCTTGACCCATTGCGGGTGCGGCACCCACTGAGCCGTAAACGCCTGGAGTTCCTCAACGGTGTGATGGGAAGCGTAGTCGAGGAACGATCGGATGAGATGTAGGCCCTCGTCGTAGGACAGGTGAGCCGTTGGTCGCTGTTTGAGCGGTCCTCGCTTCAGGTACTACAGGTGTAACGGTCAATTGAGTTAGCTCGACATCGGACGGAATGCAGCATAACAATGGAGGCACCCCAAAGAGCAGGGCAATGGGACGAGGAGATTCGTACATGTGAGAAGAGCGTGGACACGACGGTGGGCGTGACAGCCAGAGAGACCGTCGTGGTGCTGAGCTTGGTCATTGCGGCGGCGTCGAGGGTGTTTGGCCAGGCAGCATAGTCAGGGCGAACGCTCTCGAGGACGGGATCTTAGGATTAAGTTCGAGAGTTCTCCTGAGCGGTTGGCATTAGATCGTTCCTCGAGCCACCCCGGATCAGGGGTCTCGCCTATTCATGATGTCATTTCGCGGGATCCGATGAAGACGGCGTTGCGCGCCGCACCTGAGGAAGCCGCACGAGACCGGGCCCCATCTGGGCGCCCCATGTCACCCTGCAACGCCCCAGTCCGCTGTTGCCACTACCCACAGCGATGTGCGGCCCACCGTTTGGGCTATGCTGATCTCTCGTTGGCTCAAGAGCGGCATCTCGGATCGACGGGCGCTGCTCCAGGCGAAAACCCAATGGAGCACTCCACTGGAACTGAGGCCACCGATCCTGGCCTCCGCTGGCGTGTTAAACCACCAAAATTTTTGTCCAGCGCGGCCATCGCATGCCCCTCCAGCAACCAACCCCACCATCAGTCAGACAACACAAGATGGCTTCGTCTGCACAACCGGCGCAGCTGCCGCCGGCGAGTACGTAGCCTTCCTCGCCTTTCCTCTCATCACAGCGACCAGTCCTGCTTACATCACCGCTTCTTCTTCCAGGCACCCGCCAGTCCAACTTCGAGCAGGCCGTCGCCTACGCCCTGCACCTCTGGCCGGCCCTCACCCTCTCCGTGCAAAACAACTGGGGAGGCCCCGACTCTGCCGACAAGCGAGACTGGTTCGCGGGCGCCGTCGTGGAGCTCTTCCCCGAGTTCACCGATGCGCCGCCCAGCCAGGCGGCCGCCAAGTCTAATGCCGCGGAGGAGCCCGACATGGAGGACGTCGAGACGGTGCTGCTGCAGGTCATGATCGATGAGTTCGAGGTCAACGTGGACGACGACTCTGGCGCCGAAATCGCCGGCCACATTGTCAAGGCCCGGGCGCAATGCGCCATCGGACAGTTTGACGAGGTCAACACGCTGAGGGAGAGGTTCACGAACCTCAAGGGCAAGAAGGTGGACCAACTGTTCAAGAAGGCCGAAGACGCAGACCAAGACACCGACTGGGAGTCCGGCGACGATGACGACGACGATGACGACGTGGACATGGACGACGCGCCCGCTGTGGCATCGGCGCCCAAGGAGAAGCCTGAGCCCCAAGTAGACGAGGATGGGTTCACAATGGTCACGAAAAAGAAGAGGTAGATGCAGATGGCGTACAAAATAATAGATCCTGGGCGTGCGCCTCGCGGGCTGACGGCGCCGCCCGTTGATACCCAACCCAAGACACAGACCCTTTGTTGCCCTTGTGTGGCCTCGTTCAGCCAGAGCAAGCAGACCAAACGCCGAGCTACCCATATGACACGCGCTCCCGAATTACACTCCCCGATTGCATCACTCCCAGTCGTCATCGCTGTCGTCGTCCTTCCTGACCTCCTTGGGGCTGTTCGGAGCCTGGCTGGTCTTGCCCGATGCGGCGCCCACGACGTCGTAACTCGCTTCGCTATCCGCTTGAGACTTCTCGTCGTTTGACTTTCGTGACTCGGTTGGCTTGAGCAGTCCCTCTCCCTTGGGCTGGAGGGTAGTGGACGAGGTGGCTGAGGCCGCGCGTTTCGCGTGGACCTCCTTGCCAAGGTCGGTCTCGTCGTCGGAGTCGCCCCATCCAACGTCCTCCTCGGCCTCGGCCGCTTGGGGCTTGTTAGTTGCATTCAAGTATGGGGCCTCACGTAACGTACCCTTGAGGAGGTCTCTCCGTCGCGACTCAGCCGTCTCAATGCCATGTCGCAAGAAGTAGTATCGCTTCCAGAAGTCGGGGTACGGGACCTGATCCGGAACCAGCTTCTCCATCGTGGTTCGAAGCTCAGGATACTTGGCCAAGTCGGCGCTGATGTCGTCCGTCTTGCTGTCGATATCAAAGTCCTTAACAAACGCCTCGTACTCTGCGCCTGAGGGGTCTTTGGCAAAGCCCTCCACGGCCGTGTGGATCACATGAAGCTGGGCGTCAAAGCGCGACGTGTGGATCACGCGCTTGCCTTGCGCATCGCGGCTCTCGAACAAGACGGTGCTGCCTTGCTCAGACTCATCCGGCGGAGCAACGCTGATGGCGTCGCGGAGGAAGTCGCGGACGTTGCCGCCGAACCGGAGGAGTGCCTCATCGGCAGCGTCTTCCGCCTTTTGGAGATCTTTAAGTCGCTTGGCGGCCTCAGCCCTCAGACGCGAAAGCACAGTCTCTGATTCGTGCGCGGCATCGTCGGATGGGCCAGCCTTTGTCTTTGTCGGGGTGGCCTGGTTGTCTTCGCCGTCCTTGGGGGCTTCGCCTGGCGCCGATGTGTTGATCGACAGCGCTCGTGTCCGGCTGATGATAGATTCGCGCAGGTCGGTGAAGCCCTTGGTCGCATCCTCCGATACTTCGGCGAGCTCTTTCTGAGCCTGCGTATAAACAGACTCGCCCTGTACAAGTCAGACGTGGGGAAAGCTCGTATCACCAGAGCTAGCTACCTGTTTGACCACATTGCCGAAGAAGCCACCAATCTTCATGCCCCACGCGCTGGATGAGATGGCCTTGTAAGCATCTTGGATATCGGCCTCGAGCGACGACGACTGCTGCTCCTGGTCCGGCTTGGAGGTTTCGGCTGAGTCGTTTGCTTCTGGGGCGGTCTCTGGAATGTAGGCGTAGGCGAGATCCATTGCTCCAGAGCCGAGCGTCGGCCACGGCGGTTCTGTCTAGGTGCTTGATGAAATGCCAGTCGAGCCCGGGAGTGTCTCGGCGCAAGTTCGAGCTGCAGGCCGCGAGGTGCTTCCACTGACGAGAGGTCCTGACCGCATTCGTCGTCTCCTGAGCTACACTGACCGCGGAGTGCCGGCGGGGCCGTGCACTGACCACGGGGTCCCTCACGTGACCAGCAACGACGACGTCATTACCCGGTAGTCGCCTCCTGTCACGCTTCTCAACCCCGATACGTGCAATACAAAATCGGATTACCGAGGAGATCACTGCCGGGCGCGGTGCGAATGCGGCACGAATCTTGTCGGATTGAATACTCATTCGAAATGGTGTGGCTGAAATTGAGAGGTGCTCATTCCGTAACCGACATGTCAAATCTGATAGCGAAACGTCCGCTTGGGACGTTTGGACTTTCGGGTCGTTGGGTAAAGGCATTCCGCATTCCAGCAACATTGTACAACGTGCAACCTCTCAACTCGAATTGTTTAACACGTCTGCGGAAAGCCATTTCGATGGCAACACAACGACGTCAAAGCGATTCCCAACTTCGGCAGGATGCATTCCGGTCGCTGGGTCGAAAAGGCGAAGTAGACCCCGACACCCTGGTTCCTGAGCAAGGCTTGGTGATCGGCGCCCTCCGGACCCTGAGCGGCCAGGCACCTTCAAAGAGCGATCCCGGGCCATGGCAATTTGGCCACGCAATCCGCTGTTGAAAGCTGGATACTCGGCAGGGACCATCGCCATTCGGCATTGGCCAAATAGGTTGTCGGGGGCGCGAGGACAGCAATGCAGCGAAGGCCATAGAAACCGACATGTGAAGCTCGCATTCCAGTGCCATCTCAAGCCTCTTTCCCCGGCGTAGATCTCGATGATGGCCCTGCGGTGCTGTCGTGCTCATCGGGTCCCTTGCCCTGGAGAGCGAATCAGCGCGTGGCGTCCGTCAGTGCCTCCTGCTCCAGCACCTATTCGGACTAGCACTGCCAAGTCTGGGCCATCAGGCCATGCGAGTCTCAACGAACGGACACGGCCTTCAACGATGGAGGCGAAGGTCGTCGTGTCCCCTCTGAGCCGTGCCGAGCACTAGAGAGACTATCATCAAGTCCAGAACGTTCCGAGTCCACTTGGGCCGGCACGCGGCATGTAGTTGAGGGGTCCATCGCACAGCCAAGCCCGGTTCACGATGTCACCGGCAGTGTAATATTCGCGACATGGCTCCGCCGTTGCAGGACGCGGATCCCAGGTCAGCTGATGCTGTTGAGCCGATTGAGGAAACGTCCATCGGTATGCGTTGATCGAACAGGTCGCTTTGGGACAGCGAATACTACTCCCGGCCTATTTCGATGGAAGTCCTGGCCTGAGCTGGACCTTGCAACGCTGCGGGGGCGTTGGGTGTCGAGATGTTGGCTCGCGGCACGTAGCAACCGAGGCTGAGTATCCACGATGCCAAACATCTAATAACGAGGAGACGAGTTCCAAGTTCAGTGTCGCAAGAGAAGCAATGGCGTCATCATACATCCACTGCCAACGGGACGTTGACGCCCACGATCACTGGTCGCGACAGTTCAAAGGACGCGTGCAGATATCCACCCAGCATCGGGTCTCAGGAAACGCCCCCACGGCAAAGATACAAGGGAGCTGAAGTTTATTTGCGGCCCACGGGGCGCCGGAGACCAGATGGCAAGCGCAAATGGCCAGTCGGAGGTCGTTGGCAACAATCCGGACCGGCGACGGAGCCGCCAATGTCGTCATCGGGGTGGTTCGGAGAACCCCTGCACGGCCACCGAGCCCCACCTCCAGCGGTCGCGGGGTCACGCAGTGACGTAGGTTGACACTCCCCCTTCGCGCGATGCGTGGGTGTGGCGCTCGAGACAAGGACAACGAACTTCACGTGGGACCTCTGGGGGCCTGCCCCTTGTGGCTGGGCTGCCTGTCGCGATGGAGAATGGCAGTTCACGATCTCGATCTCGTCTATATAAACCTCAGACTCTCCCACGTTCGAAACTTCTCTCGCCTCATCATCACCATCATCCCCAACACTACAACTACAACAACACAAACACTTTCAAGACCTTCCAGTCTTACCAAACAACACATTCACAATGGAGAGCGCTAAGCAGGCCATCAACTACGTCTCTGAGACCATCCAGGGCGCCGCCTCTGGTGCCAGCAAGGAGACCAACAAGGAGATTGCCAAGGACAACAACGTCAACGTCGGCACCCGGTAAGAACCACCCGATTCATAGCAAACAGTTGAGAGTGAAGCCCGTTCTGACATCTTCACACAGTCTGTCCGCTGCCAAGGACGCCGTTGGCGACAAGGTCGACCAGACCACCCACGAGAACAAGGCCGAGGCCCACAAGCAGTACGCCAAGGCCTAAGTGCCATCCAGCGAAGCTATCAGTTCGGCATGGAGTTTTGAGGCGATCGGGAACGGTTCAAGACCGCAGTCGGATTCGTCACCTGTATACCCTAGATATTACGACAAATTAATGGAAGTGTAAAACACAACAACTGAGTCCTTTGGAAACTACGTGATAAACAAATTTGGGCTGGATCTTGCTGAGCAGCCGTGCACGTTCTCTGCAGTTACACCACAGTTGCCGGACTCGCCTTCCATGGTAGTCATGTGACTGCAAAGCACGTAGTGGTTTTATTTGTGGCCTTGCCATGCCTGCCGATGTCAGTGGATGGAAAGATAGCGCACCTGGTGTGCCGTCCTCGAATGTGGCCGAGCTGTCAGAGCGATCCTTGGTAGCTGGGGACGATTGCCCAATAGCGACACACCTGTCCCTGACACGCATCGATCTTAGCCTCTCAGCATATCGTGGCCTGCCACATTGGACATGTTGCGTGCCACGAAGTATTGAAGGACGCTCATGTACGACGGTGGATATATGTTGTCCGTGCGCACACCGCAGTCACCGCATCGCGATCGCCACGCATCGGCAACGTAGCCAACGGCAGCAGGGCCAGTTGTCCACGGTGAGGGTACGCACAGAGCAGCGACATCCAGCATGTCAATGTCCCCGGCGGAGGCGCAAACGGAGGAGAGACCGGGGGCGCGCGCACTTGGTAAACGTATCTCGCTTGCAGCCCTGCCGACAGTGCTGTCCAGCTGGTCTGACAGGCGCCCATCAAGCTGTCACAAGGGGAAACGCGGAAGCGAGGTCCGCGATGCATAGGTGGCGGGAAGATTCAGGCGGGGCATGGCTTCGGCGTTAAAACTGGCGCTATCGAGGGAAGGGTATCGCGCCGCGGGTCGGCGATGCCGCGAGACTTGTGGCAGTTAACGGTTCTGGAATGGGAACATGCCACCTTGCCCCAAAGCGCTGACTGGGCGTTGGGGTTGGCGACGAGCCCACGACCAGTTACGCCGGCTTACGGGCGGAGGCGGGCAAGGCCCCGCCAACGAAGGGGACGGGAGTGAGTAAGTGCTCATGAGCAATGAGCATCGAGTGGCAATGCGAGGCGGGCGGGCACACAGGACACATCGCAGCTTCCGTGATGGAGGACGAGCCGGTGCGACTCGGACCGTGACGGATGATTGATTCCAAAAAAGACAGACGGCACAGGAGGACGGGCGGACAGGACAGGGAACCGGCTCGGTGGAAGGGCGTGGGCGCATGGCTGTTTTAAGAGGCTCGGGTCGCCTCAGTGCATTCTCGTACTGTGCGGTGCAGGCGGTATCTGCAGCCCTGCAGGTCTCGACCCCTCATCGAGCCGCACCGGGCCCGCCGAGAGCGATGCACCGGAGCCGATGGGGCCAATCGCGGCTCGCCGCGCCCGCTGGGGCCAGCTCTCTGGACAGGCGCTTGGCGCTGAGCCTCTGTGTCCTGCGCCGGGACGGGTGAAATGCCCTGGGTGAAGACGGACGGGCGCCTGGGTAGGTACGTACCGCCCGATCCTGCGACCGTTGAGCAGCTCAAGTTGCTGCACTGTCTGCCCCGCCGTTCCGGGCTCGTACTTACGCGCATTCTGCGCATTTGCACCAGCTTACAAATGCACCTTCGCTCTCATACCATCGCCATCCTCCCTTCCCGCCCGCTGCTCCCCCGCCACAGGCTCCCTGACTGCTGGAACCGTGACTTTTGGCTCCTTCCACGGCTCACGGACAACCGACCCCTGGAGTGCCGTTTTGCCGCTCGACTGGTGGCGGAACCGACTAGAAGCCGTCTGCCGTCCTCTTCTTTGTGACTCAGGCACCAACTTTTCTCCCTCCTGCATCGTCTCGCCTTCCCGCCAGCGCCGCCCATCACCCGCTGGCCCAGGACCCTGAAGTGCGTCAGCGCACCGTCGCCTCCCCCCAACCCCGTCCTCGCCCCCGGATCACCCGTCGCGTCTCTGTCGACGATTTTTCATTTCGCCATCCTTTGTTCCGCAGCAGCGTCTTGTTGCTGTGCTGCTCGACCATCAAGCGCCCGTCCGTCGGCTTGGGCGGCGTGACAAATCCCCAGCATCCCTCGTCCCACTGTTCACGCACCGCCGCCCGTCCTGTCGTTGGCGCCCTGCCGTGACGACATTGCCACTTCACCCGTCCAGCGCCGCGCATCGACCTTATTGCTGTCCCGCCTCCTGCGACCCTCTGGATTGCCATTTTGATTACTACTTCCCGGCCGCTTTCGCCTCCCACGGCAAATCGCACATATGGCTTCGACCGGCGATGGAGGCGGCTCGCTGCCGCCAAACTTCTTCCTGACCCCGCACCAGCAGAACCTGCTCTTCGCTGCTCTCAACGCCAACAATCCGCAAAAGTCGGCCGCTTCGACCACGAATGGTGGTCTCTCGCTGTCGCCCAATTCCTTCAAGGGCTCCCCCATGCAGAACCTGGATAATGGCGGCTTCCAGGAGAGCCCCTACCTGGACAACTACGACTACGACTTTGGCGACTCGAGCTTCGACTTTTCCTTTGCTGGCGGCGACCAGGCTCAGATGATTGGAGACGTGCCTGGCACCGTCAGGACCGATTCAACCGAGAACGAATCCAATGAGAAGAGAAGCCATCCGGATGACGAAGAGGGTGATGCCAGCCCCGGCAACGACTCCAAGCGTCGCGAGAGCACGGACAAGGCCCCCAAGAAGCCCGGCCGCAAGCCACTTACATCGGAGCCCACTTCGGTAAGTCCTGTTGCAGACAACGTCTGGCTTGGTGCCACGTCTAACGTTTCGGCGTCGCAGAAGCGCAAGGCTCAAAACAGAGCGGCGCAGCGCGCTTTCAGGGAGCGCAAGGAGAAGCACCTGAAGGACCTCGAGACCAAGGTGGAGGAGCTGGAGAAGGCGTCGGAAGAAGCAAACCACGAGAACTCCAAGCTGCGAGCGCACGTGGATCGCATCACGTCGGAGCTCAACCAGTACAAGCAGCGGCTCGCCGTCATGTCCAACGTCAAGCAGCCGGTGCCCCGTGAAAAGGTACCCTTCGGAAGCGCGGCCCTCAACAACCTGAGTGATGTTAGCTTCCAGTTTGAGTTCCCCAAGTTCGGCGCCCTCCCAGGCCCGCCGGTCGCCAAACGACCAACGCCGGCGTCGCAGCCAATCAGCCCGCCCCAGAACGGGCAGACGGCCAGCCCCGCCCGCAGCCAGAGTAACGACGGCAGGTCGCCGCAGTCGGCCCAGCAGTCGATGCAGGACGACCTCGCCAAGTTCTCCGGCATCTTCACCCCGTCCATGAGCAGTTCGCACCGGGGTGGGTCAAGGGCGAGCCTGGAGTCGGCACATCTCAGCTTTGGCGGCGCCACGAGCTCCCCTTCGGCCTCGTCCAATTCGAACGCTGGACCGAGCTCGTCGTGTGGGACGTCTCCAGAGCCATCGAACCAGTCCCCCATGGGCTTTAAGCCTCTGGAGACACTGACCACAATTGGCGAGGAGCAGCCGGCCACGTCCAACACCAACCAGCCGTTTGCTCAGTTTGCCAACGTGGACATCGGCAGCCCCAGCTTTGACTGGCTCGCAAATCAAAACGGCGGCCATTTCGACCCTCAGCTTTTTGGTGATTATCGCGAGCCACAGGACAACGTCCTGTCCAACCCCAACCTCGATGACTTCTTCAGCGATGCTTTCAACGCCGACTTCTTCACGCCGTACAATATGCCTGCGACGACGAAGCAGGCGGCGCCGAAGAAGAATCTCATTGACGAAATCGACGCTCAGCAGAACTCACTGGATGATGAGCCGCCAAAGAACAACATGAACTGCAACCAGATTTGGTACGACAGCTTGCCAATAGATGTTGACTCGACTGGATCACTAACACGCAATAACAGGGAGAAATTGCAGGACTGCCCTAAGGCGCAGAATGGCGAGTTCGACTTGGACGGTCTCTGCTCGGAGCTTACCAAGAAGGCCAAGTGCTCGGGCAGCGGCCCGGTGGTGGGCGAGAAGGACTTTGACACCATCCTCAAGAAGTACATGGGCAAAGACGTGTCCACCGACTGCGTGGCCAACTCCCTGGGCATTTCCGTTACGCAGGAACAGCCTAACGGGGTTTCGATGACCTAAAGCAGTCACGACGCTGCGTATGATGACTGGCTTGACCGGTGTATTCTAAGGGCGGAGTCTTGACGTCTGCTTGGATATTCGGGAGGCAACGGAAAACGATAAGATGGATGACGGCGTTGAAATCATCAGAAGGATGGAACGGGCGCACTGCTCTTGCTTTTTTAGCATTCGCGGGTCTGGGCGGCTTTTTTTGTTCCCAACTATCTGCCGTCCCAATCCGGACCCCTCCCTGCTTTCGACCTCAGTCTACTTACTCTGCAGCCTAGTTCTGGTGAACTAGGGTGTATGAAGGCTGTCGACGTTGCATGCCGCTGGAGTCAACGGTCTGGTAGGCAAGGGGGGTTTTCGTGCTGGTTTTATTGCTTGCGGGAGCATTTCCGGTGTACATCAGGGACCGAGGCCATATACAAGGCGAGCAGTTTGCCATGATCTCCACATGCAGTATACCGAAGGCCCCTCCGCTCGCGACCCCCAGCCGCCGCGACTCGTGCATGCCCCCATGACCATGACCATGACCATGACATCGTGCTGGAACCACGATACCTGCGTCGTGGCCCTCCTGCAGGTCCCACCCACCGCACGCAGGCTCGCTCGCCCAGTCCTTGGCACCACGCGAGAAAGACAAGCGAACGAGCGCGCGCCATGGTTGAGACGTGAGTGCTCGAGCGTGCATGAGCAGCACGCAATGCATGATAAGCCGAACGGTGGTGGCGTCCGCCCGCAGCCTCCGCCGCCGCCGCCGCAAAAGCGACCCCCGGGCCGGCAGGGCAGCGCAGGGACATGGACATGGCAACCTCGGCACCCCTGCCTGACCTTGTGAAGCACGGGGCTGTTTGCTCCTTTGTGCTGAACGTCCGGGCCTTCGCGGGGTTTCCGGTTCGCGTACGGCGCCTATTCGCAAAATACGTTTTTGGTACGAGTAGGTATACGCAAAAGACCGGACCGTTGATGCCAAGGACACTGAGAGCCGCAAGGGCTACCAAGGGAGCGGGCTACGGTGACCGTGGGTGTGGTTGGCATCCCGGCTTGTGGAGTGGCCGGGAAGAGTGTTAATACCTAGTTATTTACAAATCTACCTACATAAAGGCAAGGTATTGCACGTGGTTATCTGGGTGGTCAAGGGCAGCAATGCGAGACATGCATGGAGACAAACAAGGCTCGCTCAGCACGTCACAAATAATAAGGTACCCTTGCACTGTCAAACCAATGTGTCCATTCGCTGGCCGTGATGGCTGCTCGCGCCCTTGATGCCCGCCAGCAACGATACTATATGCAGTGTCGCCTTATCCAAAAAAAATATGCAGACTCGTCCCAGATCTGCGAAAGCAAAATGCAGCTCGGGCGTGCGGTGCCGAGATTGGCCGTCGCCCCCATCTGTTGTACACGCACCGCTCGGGCCGGTGCTTCTGTCTCCCGCGATGATACCCAGTCGTCGCAGCTATGCTCTCATTACCAGTGTTGAAATCCTGTCGCCCCAGCTCATTCTAGTGGCAGCCGAGCACTTCTTATGTTGGTGCCTCCGTGTGTCAAGCGATCGCCCGCGCCGGTAGTCCTGCGTGAAAATCCACTAGCTGATAACGACTCTCGCACCTTCCTTGCCGAGTACACCTCTTTCTTTAGGTTTCGGGCTGTTGTTGCGTCCCTTCTTGCTCTTCAAGAACCCAAACATGCCACCAGAGCCTTCGTTCTTGGGATCTGCCGCAGCAGCGGCGGCATCGGTCGGCAGTGTGGCATCCTGGCGTGCGAGCTCTGACCAGCTGCCGCCGCCATCCAGAGTTACTTGGACGCCGCCTGTTGGGCTTGCAATGCGGTTGCTAGTCGGGGGGAGCTGACGAGATAGGTATTGGCTCTGATATTGCGGGGGTGGCGGGGCAGGTCTTGAAGGCCGGCTCTGGTTGCTGCTGTCGAGACTAGAACCACGATCCAGCGGTGGCGGCTGGAAGCTCTGGTTTCCGTCGGTTCTCGCAGGCATGGGTGTTGCCGTGTCGGTCGTGAGCGCTTGCGGTCCATTGTTAACCTGCTCAGTCTGGCCAGGACCCCCAGCAAGACCTTGCGTTGCCTCCGTAATCCTGAAGCTAGAGTCAGCTGCGGTTCCTAGACGGCTTAGGTTGGGGACGCACTTCTTGTATGCGGCAACTGTGTAGTCAAATGGCCGAAAGTCCTTCTCGATCATCCGATACAGCTCGTCTTCTCGGATCTCCTGGTCCGTCGCATCCTCTTTTAACCGCTCGCGAGGCTTTTGTCTCCGAGCACGAGCCTCAAGGGGTGCCTCCTCCAGCAGAAGCTCTTCCAGATCGTAGGTAGCATCGAAGTTGGTCTTGTCAGACGAAGGGACGAAGATCGGCTCTATACGCTTCTGTTCCAACAGATCGAAGTCAAATTCCCTGAAGAAATCGTTGTAAATGAAGCTTTCCCACGTGGACCCGAGTCGAGTCTGTGGATTGGGATCCAGAGCGGCGCGGATGGCGTAAAGGCAGGTCAGCGAGACCGGCGGTTGTGTGACTGGGTATTTGGGGAATGTCGTCAAGATCTGTTGGCTCAGCGTTGATTCGCTGTTACCGTCGAACGGACGCTGCACACAGTTAGTGCACGGGGTCCCTCACTGCCCAACAGGAGCAGACGGAATGTCGAGCTGCTCCGGGGGCCGAGACTCTCTCTTACGCACCTTGTTATAGATGCACTCGTAGAACAGCACGCCTAGGGACCACCAGTCTGCCCGGACGTCGTAGCCTTTCCCTGAGTACACCTCCGGGGCCAGATATGCCAGAGTCCCAGACTTGCTGGTGAGGATTCTTCCCGGGATGATATCCGATGCGACATTCTGCAAACGTAAGCGGGTGCACGATAAGAAAGCCGGGATGCCGAGGTGCTTACAAAGTCGGTCAAGTGGACATGACCGTCTGCGTCGAGGAGAACGTTGTCGGGCTTGACATCGCGGTGGATGATGCCCTGGCCGTGAATATACCGCAGCGCGCAGCCGAGCTCGGCAATCCAGAAGCGAACAGCCTCCTCTGTGAAAGTCTTTCTCGAAATGTGAAATCGGAGATCGCCGCCGCTCATGAGATCAACCACAAGGTACCTGTAACACAAGTTTCAGCCGTCGCCAACTTCGACGTCGCTCGCAGGGGGCGGAAGCGGGAGAGGCGCACATGTACTCGATATCTTGGAAGCTGTATCGCAAGTTGCAAATGAAAGGATGGTTGACGTATTCGAGCATCCGCCGTTCGCGGATGATGTTGCGCACGCTCTCGGATTTGACGACTGGTTCGCCTCGCATCAGTACTACATACACTCGGCAGGGACTCGTGCGCCGAGGAGCAATCGGGCAGCTGCCTTCCACGAGACCCAAGCGGTGTCATTATGGCATACCTTCATCTTTGCGGATGTACTTCAGCGCGAACGACAAGTTGGTGTCCTTGCGCTCGACGATGCGGACTTTGCCAAAAGCACCGCGACCGACGACTCTCAACAGGCGGAAGTGATTGAGATTTACTGGATGAAGAGCCGAACATTAGCATTCTGATCGTGTCGCACAGCCCGTCCGGAGGTGGGGCCCGAGGGAGGGGACGATGGCTCGCGACAAATGCACGTGCGGGTTTATCGTGAAGACATCGGAGATGCGTTCGAACCCCGAGTGTCCAAGCCAGCCCACGTCGCGCGAAGTAACGAGCGAGTGATACGTACCTTCACCTGTTAGGTCGACGGGTTTTCCTTGACCGTTGCCCATGATCTCGACGGCAAGAGGCGCTGGGCGAAATGGGGGGATTCTATCGCAAATAGAGGCCAAGAAGCATGCTGGTCAACGAGCCGGGTGGGTTGGCGGGGTTGTTCGCTTTTTACAGAAGTCGCAGGGAGGGCAATCCGTTCCGTTTCGTCTCCCAAGCCGGGGGGCGCTCGCGGGGTGCGTGAACAGCGCACGGGGGCAGAGGCAGCACGCTGGAGTTGCACGACGTCGCCGACAGTGCGAGAGGGGCTGGAGGCCCAGGCAGGCGGTCGAGTCCGGGCGTGGGATCCTCGGCGACGGACGCAGCGCAATTGCGCAGCGAGTCGAGCACCTGAGACCGACGACGGTCGCTGAGCAGAGTGGACGCGGCGCGGGAGGCAGTCCGGCGTGGTCGGAGGCAGGGCGGAGAGACACAAGTCGAGGACGGCGAGAGGCGAGGTGGAGGATGACGACGATGCTGGCGCGCGGCGAGAGAGGACCAAAGGTTGGCGATTAGCGACCTTGGCAAGGTCAGGCAGATGTAGGTACTTGGTGGACGCTGCTGCTGCTGCTGCTCCAGCCAAGGCAATTTAGTGCTCGAAGGAAAACGGGGCCAGCTAAAGGCAAAGTTGAAGGAGAGAGACCCGAGTTAATGAGGCCGGGTCCGGGACTGGGAGATTTGCCGTGCAGGGCCCTGAGGGAAAGGGCAGCAGGGGGGCCGGTTGATGAGACGGACGGGGTGGCTCGTGTCAGTCCGGGTGTCTGGAGGGCGGGCGGACAGGCGGGCGCGGGCTACTGCCGTGGCTGCTGCGAGTGCCTCTACGGAGTACCCAACTTGCAGGTTCTGACGGTCGACGACGGGCTGCGGAGGAGATGAGGTGCAGCTGCAGGAGTCAGGACGCAAGATTCAGGCCCAGGCCGGCTGGCACTCGGAATGCAGGGCGGCGGGCGTGGAGGAAGACGGCGCGGGCGATTGATGCGTGACGGGACGGGGATGGATCCGTGGACAGCCAAGGTAACTTATTTAACGACGTAGGTCCTCGAAGGTGAGGGAGGAGGTCGACCAGGCCGGGACGGAGGCGTGGGCAGACGGACGGACGGTAGAGGCAATGGAGGACGGAGGCGAGACCAGAGGCAGGTTCCAGGTAGGGAACTATCCTCCGTACCCTCCACTCCCACTCGTCGCGGGATTACCTACCGTACCTTGCCTACGGATACGGTGGGCGGAACATAGATGGGCCAGGCGCCGCAGTGGTGGGCAGTGGTGGGCAATGGCGGGCAGTGGTGGGCAATGGCGGGCAATGGTGGGCAATGGGCTTGGGCAGTGGCGGTAAAGGGCTGCTGCTGCCGTCGGTGCACCAACTGGACCCGGACCAAAACCAAACAAACCTCCATCCCGCCCAGTCGGTCTTCCATGGGTGTTGGGGAACCGCTGTTGGCGGCTCCGTCTCCGTCATCCAGCCCACTCGCTCACTGGAGTGCCAGGGCCGCCGCTTTGGTCCATGCCATGGATCAATTGCCCGCGCAGCGCAGGGCCCCCTCACTGTTGCGTTGCTGGCGTGCCTGAGGCGTGGCGGCCGCTCGCCGCCTTGAGCATCGAGGCCGCCGCCGCCCACCCCGTCGCTGGCGTCGGCGCTGGCGCATCCACATGCACCTCGTTCGCTCCCTGGCTCGCCGCCAGTCCGCGTGGGCAGCTGCACCGAAACTCGGCGCCGCATCTCGACGTCGACTAGAACCTGGGAAGCCACTTCCAGCACCACCACCACCACTCGCACTCACGCATGCACGCTCGCACGCACGCACACAACCCACCCCCCCTGGCAGCGCCAGGCGGCGTGGCCAGGCCCCCCCATGCCCCCGGGCGGGCCAGCCACTGCGCGCCTCGCCTTGCCTTGGAAGACGCCGCCGAACAGGGAGGGACCCACGCTCCCACGCGAGAGGGGCGTGGCCCACCGCTTGGGCTGTCCTCCTTTGGTGGTGTCGCCGCTGGTGCAGAAGGTACTGGGGGGGTGGGAATCTGGAGGGTCGGTTGCGCGATCCAGCCAGCTGCTCTGCCATGAGGCGGCCGTCCGCCAGCTTTCCCGTCTCGTCAAAAGCCCGTTGGTCCACGGCCATGCCGCTGCAAAACCCTATCTCCAGCGACTCGGTGGCAGAGAGCCACAGTTCCAGTTAGTCCCGCGATCTGTATCCTCACCTTGTCAGCCGGCTCACGTGGCCAGCCCTCTGTGTTGGTTCGGCCACTCTGGAGCCCCCCCCCCCCCCCCCGGCGAATCTACGAGTAATGGCGCCGCGCTCCGGTTCGAGTACGGCGGACACGACGCACTCCGTAACTTACAGTGCCTCAGCGCGGTTTTGTTCCGATCCTGGAAACCTGCTGTGCAAACGCGGCCCGTGTGTCCTGCGCGCGTGGAGATCTGCGTCATGGCTGGACCCTGAACCGGTCGGCCACTGTCTCGAGGCCAGCGATAAGGTCTTGGTCATGGTAGCCTAAGAGACCCATTACTCAAGCGTCAGCGGCGTGCGTGGTCGGTCCGGCATATGATGTGCATGGCACGCAAATCCATCGAGTGTTTTGCCGCAACATCAAGATGGCAGCACCTCTCACCGTCCGGCGAGCCTGCCCGCCACATTTCCACATGCCGCGGCAAGTCCTCGTTTTCGCGGCGACAAACTGATCAGTGATAGTGCTCAGCACTTGTCCCGTCCGGCCTGCCGGAGCAGCGGGCATCTGTGGAGTTGTGGGCTTCGGGGTGGCCGGAGCGGTCTGGGCGGTGGCTTGGTCCAGGGATCCAGTCAAGACGGCGCATGTGGAGATGACGGCAAACATGCGCTACGAGCCTACGAGCACAAACGTCCCGAAACCGCGGAGTCAATGGCCAGCTTACGACTTTGCGGTCTTGCTAGAGACTGGCTGTTGACTCCTGCGGTCGTCGGAACCGCGTCGCTCGGTCGTCACGTCGCGTCGTCGCAACGCAGTATTGCTTCACTCAACGTTCGGCTGCGTAACGACCGGAAGACCTCCCCAGTACCGCGCGGCAAGCCGTCGACTTGTCTTTTCTGTCCGCCGTCTGTTACCCCTGCAGCCCCTATAACTGCGGCGGAGACGGCATATTTCTTTTGTGGTCAGCGTCAAGCCTCAGCCAGGCTCACTTGCATGCAGCACTGATATGGCGGGCGATCGTTGTGTCAGCGCCGATGCTGTTCTTGCTTGTGGCTGCATGTCATCCCTCACGAGCGCATCAACTAACAGAGCCATGGTCAGCCGCCGGTTATCGGCATCTGAGGAAGGGTTGGGGGATGAGGCCAGGGTCAAGCCTTGGCTTGTCGAAGACGACAGATTGTTTGGCTCGACAATCAGTGTGCGAGGCAACGAATCTTGCTCAAGTCCAGGGTGACCGTGGTGGCAAACAAAGGGTCAGAAGCTCAGCCGTCGATCTGGGGTCAATCAGGTGGATGCCACGCGAAGATGGCATCAACTGCCATCGCTGAAGAAGGGAACGCCCGGGGTCCGTTCACAAGCTCGAACAGCAACTCTGGTTCGTGGCGTATAACTCCTCTCGTGTGTATTCGTGAACGCAGCGCCGGTTGCGGGCGACCTGATCCGTGCTCGCGACACCAGAGGGATGCCTACCAAAGTCTAGCTAACGATGTGGTGTCGTCGTCGTTATCGCATGAGGTGGCTTGTCCTGTCGTTGTCGAGGTTGTTCGTTGTACACGTCGAGTAACACAGGCTGCCGCCGCCGTGATGTGCCCCCGGGCGTCGCATACGAGGCCAGGAAGCCACAGCTGGCGAGTCTCCGTATGCCCCTCGGCCGCCTGGGACGTCCGGGTTCAGAAGCAATCCCTGCTGGCCCACGTGTCGCGCCGATCCCCGTTGGCCAAATGACCCCAAGGACCCTCACAGGATTCTGAGCGCCTCTGGGAGCTCTTGGATGGATTCGGTACCCTCGCCACTCCGCCTCCCCAATCCCCCGCTGTCGAGGAACCCCTGCTGCCCCCTGTCCATATGCCAGTGTGCTGCGTCACGGGGCTCGTCTCAGCGCCCCGCCGGCGGACCATTGTCGTCGGCGCCGAATTGCGCCCTGTTACTCTAGCCGAACCACTCGTTGATGGCACACGGGCACCAGCATGTGCTGCATTGCTGTCCGCTTTTGATAAGCCTGCACGAAGCTCTGGGACTCGAGGCTCACCTGCGACAGGGTTACTGCTGATGAATTGGCGCGGAGCCCCTTTCTCCAGACTTGGCTGAAGTCCACGGCAGATTACTTGTCGTTGCGCGAAGGTACGAAGTATGGAGTAGAGCAGGCACGTAGGTATAGGTATTTTGTAGCATCGTGGCCCATTTGGTCGACGTGCCAGCGGCTCTTTACTCGTGCATGGCGTCTCACAGGGTTGGACGCACCTGCCGTCCGCTCCTATGCAATGCCGACGTCCAATTGGCCAGCAAGGGCCAGTGAGGCAGTCGGCGATGGAGGAAGGTGCTCCTCAAGCTTCGAGCAAGTGAGCCTCAAGCCGCCTCCGTGAGCCTCCGTGAGCCGCCCTGGGCCTCCGCGAACGCCTGGTGCCGCCCAGGGCGGGCGTGCAAACGTGCATGTACGACTTACAAACAGGTTGCGACGTGAGGACCCAACGCCACGGCGAATGCATTGGAGCGGTCGCAGCCCATGGCGCCCTGTCGCCATCAGCCCCTTGTGCTTGTTGGCTCAACCCCCACCACTTCTTCGTCGTCGCATCCCTCAGAGCTTCCAGAGCTTCCAGAACCGTGGCGCCGTCGGCCGCCCGCCACCTGCATCTAGTATTGCTTTCTGCATCCAACCGCCGCAATTGACGGGACGTCCACTCCGTCCATCCGCGACGCATCACCAACCAACGGTCCTCGCCGCGTCGATTCCAGAACGCGGCCACGTCGTCAATGCTGGACTCACCACACGCTGACCGAGACACGGGACCGCCGCGGATACACGGGCGGGGTCGTCTGAGCGCTCTGCCAACATGTCTCACCGGGCCGCGGAACGTCGAAACTCGAAAGCTTAAATCGTCTTTGTCCGTCTAGTGAATGCGTCAAAAGGGCCCAGAACGGAGTACTTACGAGTACAGGCACACGTGAGGTCGTCTGGGGCGGGAGGGTGCAACAAGGGCCGGGCCCAACCCCCTCCCGTACTGATCCAAGGTGCCGTGGCGAAACCAGAAATGCCGATTCGTCCTGCCGATAGGGTCGGTCATCAAAGAGTGTCGATCCCGCGGGAGCCCGCCTGAGCGTCGGGCGGCTTGGGCGGGTGTTTCCGCGAGATTCTGATCGACCCTACGAACACGCATCGACGACTCGCGATCCGCCCGAGACATTGACGCACCAGTTTGAATCAATAGTGTGGCCTTCGCCACAGCTCACCAAGGTGAACGGGCCAACCAACAATCCCCCATTAACGCGATAGCCACCGCGGGGTTGCCGAGGCACCTGTGCCGGTCGAGTCCTGGGGCAGTGGGCCACAATGACAATGACTGAGATCAACAGGCACTCAAAGAGAAGGAGTAAATTGGCTTTCAGCCTATGCTGGTTTCTGGCCAGGCGCCTTTGATTTTCCGCCTATTGTTTCCCCCGATTATGGCCTGGTTTTCTCATGTTCTCCTCGCTCTGGCGCCCCCTCTCCTTGCCTGTGAGTCCGCTAATGAACCACCGCGGCAGGTATTGCGCCAGCTTGTTGCCATTCCCAAGGCCTTCGAATTCGATGATGTAGGCAGACGTGTCGAGGTATCGCTTGGCGAATGCTTCCCAGACTTGCTTCTGGATTGGCGACTCCTGCAGGGGCCTAGGGAAATACGGATCGTTCATCCTAAACGCCTCTATCGCCTGGAGGACGCCCGCCAAGTTCATGGTGATAGGCCGGACTTGGTTGAAATCCAGCACCCACAGGTCGGTGACACGCTGCAGGAAGTCGGGGAACCCTCGTGAAGATGGGCCCGTGTACGCCTGCTCCTCGATGCCAGCAGATTCTCCGACAAGAGCAGGTCCAGGTGCAACCAGTCGGACCCTCGGCCTCGACCCCCCGAGAACAAACTCGATGTCTCTTGCATCTATCTGGGCGGACCAGTGCATGATTGCAAGAGCCTCTGCCATCCTTCGAGCTATATCTGTTGCGTTGATATCCAAGTCTCGCATGTGATTGAGATGCAGTTTGAAATTCCTCAGTGAGAGAAAGCAGATGTCGTTGCCATGCATTGATCCCAGATAGGGTCTCACCAAGCAATCCTCATTGGCTTTACTGGACATGGCCAACTCTCGAATATCTCTGCGGCAAAACCTCTGGACTATGGCGAACCGCGTAACCTTGGGTAGAGGCGAGATACGCTCCATGGCCAGCACAGCGCAGGGCGTGTCGCATGTTTCCCTCGCCCCCAGAGCAAGGCGTTTATGCCGCTCCCAGAATAAGGTGTCAGTCTTGGGCACAAAGTAGCCGCAACTCGGGATCTGGAACCGCGTAGAACCATAGAGAGCGAATCTCTGTGCAATCCTCTTGTGCATGCGGTAGTCGTTCCACAAGTCCGATCCATCTTGGTTCTTGGCCAGCTTGAACGCGTACGGCTGCCCTGGCTCGGCGAAGACGGCACCACAGGCACCGACCCCAATTTTTACGTATCCTTCTCGCTCCTGGATAATCTCGTTGCAGGCATCACCTGGGAAGAGGGCCTCGAAACGCGCAGTTACCCGGTCACCGATGGTCAAGAGATCTTTCAGTTTGATGGATGGTTTCACCTCTGATACCCAACACGGTTCCGAGAGAGGGCGGGGGGCCGATGGGGCAGGATGGCAATGAGCGTCGTCTTGGCTCGTCCGTAGCCTGCATGATGTGAGGTCTCGTCGGTTGGTCGCGTGCCGGTCGGCGGGCTCTTCCACTCCGTCGGGGCTTCGCGGGTATCGACTGGGATCGAAGGCGTTGGGCCCGTAGAGAGCTTCCTCGAGGGTCCTGCTCTCTACGGGCGCCCAGTGGACGTGCTTTTTCCTGGACAGTACCATGTCGAACAATGCGAGTCGGCTGGTTAAGTGATGGATTCTCTGATGCAAACCTGGATTCACTGGGCGCAATGTCGCGGGTCAGCCATCTCACGTGCGTATGATGTAGTAGGCAGAGACAGGATGCTGTTATAGGCTTTGCCGCGGCAGAAACGCAAAAGGGAGCCATCGCGGTCAAGGGCAGGCCAATGACGGCAGTAGTCAGCTGCAGATGAAACGGTGCAGCATGGGCGAACTATGAGATGTAGCGAGCAATTTTACGAAAACGCTCGGGCAACAACACTTTGTCGTCGAGCATCCAAGTTCACGCCAACGAGACGTTGGGGCACTGTCGATGCTTGCAGCAGCGCCCATTTATACCACTCTGCCGATTGCCCAACCCTTGGCTCGCCTCGCATCTGGCCACGCCGCTGCTTCCCTCATGCCCCAAAGACTGTCTCTTATACACATCTAGATGTGTATAAGAGACAGGGGTGGCTCCGATCCGATGATGCTGTGCGACGTGGGTGCGCAGGCGGCTCGGCGACGCTGCCGGGCGGTCACATATGACGGAGACGAGGGTCACGTATGTCTGCGTAACACTTCCCTGGCCGTCGCTGCGGCCCCCAAGACTCCAGGGTTTATGTTATGCATGCGCATTCGGGACAATGCACACGCCCCGTTTCTTCCGTCCAACGACGTGGGTGATGGTAGTGGTCAGCGATCCGCGGAACTCCAAATTTCTTTACGCCGTACCCCAGGACAGTGCTTCACAAAGATATGCGGAACCGAGGATTTTGAGATTTTAGTATCTGCTGGAGTTTGGACGCCTTGTGGAAAGTGCATGCATGTACCTCCGTAGATAAGAGTGTTGAACTGTTGATATGCAGAGTCCAGACATCGCGCAAGTGACAGCATTTAGGACTTAACCTAAACTACACAAATGGAGGGACCAGGGAGGCAGAGGGGCGCAGTATATGAAGTGAATGCATCTAAAACGCATTTCAGGGCGCCACTCTTGACAGACTCTAATTACATTCCTGACTGGGAAATGGCCCATCAGTGGTGAGCTAGAATGGTGGTCGTCGGCGTGCTGGCGATGGCGCTGCATCATCATTCATGACGTCAACGCGGAGGGTCAGGTCCGGTGCCGTGCCTGGGCGTCATCATGACTTGGACATGGCTATATCAACGCCTAGTCCATTGCTTCACCACGGACTCTTTTACTTTTCGATATAAGTCTTCCTCAAGTCAATTGAGCCATATTGGTGCACAAGCAAACATATACGAGTCACTGCACCATCATCGCAGCCGCCAGCCATGTCACTCTCCCTACGAAGCGCCGCCGCCCTCGGCCGCCACGTCCTCGCCCCCCGCCGACCGGTCACCAGAACTACCGCCGCCGCTGCCGCCTCTTCTTCTTCCTCAGCCGCCGCCGTCGCGCGCCAATACCACACGACCCCCCGCCGGGCGCTGCCCTACAAGGACTCGCAGGACCGCGAGACGCTGCGGCCGCGCACGGCGGAGCACACGGCGACGGGCCGCGACGACGACGTGGCCGGGGCGCACCCGGACGCGGCCTTCAACCCGAGCAAGACGCGGCCCGAGACGGAGCGGCGCACCGCGGCGGCGGAGGAAGAGAAGCAGAACGGCGGCAAGGGGGGCAAGAGCGCGGTGGAGGGCTCGGCTGCGAACCAGGAGCTCAGCAAGCCGCGCGGCGATGAGCGTTCGGACGCGGACCGGGGAGCTGGGCGGGAGGTGCGCAAGGGAGGGAGGAGCGGCGCGGGGAGTCCGCCGAAGAAGGGCGAGGTTGGCCGTGGGTGAAGGAAGCCTTTTGCGTGGTAGTTAACGGACGGGTGGGACGAGACTGGCGCTGGTGATGATATACAAGACACAGAAAGAAATACCAGTGGTGAATAATAATAATATTGGAGCGCTTCTGATCTGTTGCAATACAAGCCATTGAACACGGCCGACGGCGTCCCGTCCACTTCCACTTCATCCAGGCCGCCGGCACCGCCAGCCCGCTCCGATTCGAGCGCTTGTAGTGGGACAACCTGGAACCTACCTAAGGGACCCGTCCACTGGACCTCATCAGTGGAACGCCCGCCCCCGCACCGCGATCCCGCCGGGTCCCTCCCGACAGGCACCCCTCCATCCCGGACCGCCATCACCATTCACCACCCGGCAGCCCGGCCGAGGAAGCGCAACGCGTCGGCAAATCACCACGCTCGAATCTCGCAACGATGGAAACACGAACAGATTCGAGCCGGCGGCTTGCGGGGTGCCTGCCTCGCATCCGTCCGTTAGTAGTAGGACTAGCAGATTGGGCCTCGACTCCCCCAGGGTGACCCTCCTCCGGCCCGGCAAGACGTCACGCGTTGCCGTCTCCGAATATCAACCCGCGGGGGCCCCTCCTCCCTCCCCACGACCCCTCAAACTCACCCATATTCGTCGGCCCCTTCAAATCTCAACCGCATTGCCCTGGTGTGCGTGCCTGTTTCATTCTCTCTCCCGTCCGCGGCTTCCTCGAGTCGTGCCACATCCTTTCACCTCAATCACCCCACAGTCGCAAAATGGCACCCTCAAGACCTTACGACGGAAAGTTGGGCATCGTCACCGGCGGCTCACGAGGTGAGTAGAAATGAGCTTCCAATGCACTAATGAACGCTTCTTATAACTGACCTCGCTCGGCACAGGCATCGGCGCCGCCGTCGCCCGCCGGCTGGCCGCCAAGGGCTGCAACCTCCTCCTCGTCTTCACCTCCGAGTCGTCCAAGCAGCCCACCGAGAAACTCTGCCATGAGCTCTCGTCGGCACACCAGATGCGCTGCTCCTCTGTGCAGGCCGACCTCTCAGGCCCCGAGGCGGCGGCGCACAAGATTGTCGACGCCGCGCAGGGCTTCTTCTCGACGTACAACACCTCGGGAGACTTCCAGGTGGACATACTCGTCAACAACGCCGGCGTGTCGTCCAACCAGGCCATGAACGACGCCGCGCTGGGCCCCATCGCCGCCGACGAGTTCACGCGCGTCTACAACGTCAACGTCCTCGCCCCGCTGCTGCTCACGCAGGCCGTCGCGCCGCACCTCCCGCGCGACCGCTCTGGCCGCGTCGTCAACGTCTCGAGCGTGAGCTCCTCCATCGGCTACCAGGGCCAGAGCGTCTACGCCGGCAGCAAGGCCGCCCTCGAGGCCATGACGCGCACCTGGAGCCGCGAGCTGGCCGAGCGCGCCACCGTCAACGCCGTCAACCCGGGCCCCGCCTGGGGCGACATGTACGCCGAGGCCGGCGAGAAGTTCTGGCGCATCAACCAGCCGTACGTCGACGCCGCGCCCCTGGCGAGCTACAGCGGCGAAAAGGCCGTGCTGGACGCGGCGGGCGACGACGCGGAGCGCTTCGACAAGACGGTCAGGGAGGGCATGGGCGGGCGCAGGCCGGGCTTCACGAGCGAGATTGCCGGCACCATTGACATGCTGTGCTCGGCCGAGGCGGGCTGGACGACGGGCAGCGTGGTGTGCGCCAACGGCGGCATGAAGATGTCGATAGCATGAGGAGTGTTTACGGCAAGTAGCTTTGGCCATGTTCAAGTTGAAATGTATAATGCGGCCTGGCACCAGAAGAATCGAAGGTTCATAAGTACATGAAGACCGCCTTGCGGTCACCTCCCCCCGCATCTTCCATCAAACGCGCAGCCCCCGAGAAATCGAAATCAAGACGCCTTGAACTTCGCCTCGGCAGTGGGTTGAGGGCACGACTTCACGCCGCCGAGGTTGGGCTGCGGGTTGTCTTGCAAGTTGATCAAGCCCGTGACGGCGCCGGCCTGTCCCTCGGCGAAGGTGTCGTACCGGGCCGCGCTGACGACGCCCTCGCCGCACGAAGCGGCAATAATCTTGATCATGGCGCGGAGGCTCCCCGCCGACGCCCACGCGCGCTTGACGCCCGTGCCCCTGTACACGAAGACGCCGACGTCTCCGTTCCTGGCGTACATGGCCTGCTGTTCGAACCACGTGCCGTTGCCGAGCTGCTTGGCGAGGTCGTCGATGGCCTGCGTGCCGTTGACCCGGTCGAAGTGGTGGTCGCAGGCGCAGTACGTCGAGATGCTGTTGGAGGCGATGCCGTTTTGTTCGGAGCGGCGGGTGGTGGCGCCGTCGGGGTTGCTCAGGGGGGCTGCGAGCTGGGCGACCGTGGAGGCAACTGAGGGTCCGGCGACGCGGGCGTGGATCTCCTGCCCGCGGGCATCCAGAGACACGGTGTAGACGCCGTCGGCGAGGTCTCTCGGGATGTTGGGCCGGTATGAGCCCTGGCTGCGAGGGAAGCTCAGCGCCTGGCCGAGGGCGGCGAGACCCGTGATGAGGGCAAGGACGAGCATGATGACCGAAGCAAGCAACAAGTACGGCGTAAGACGGTATGCTTGATGTGCTTCGAGCTCAGGAGGTGAGTGCAGGCGATGAGGGGTCACGGCATCAACGGCGAGGAGAAGCATCGTCCTATATACTGGTCCGCGCTCGCTTAGACTACACACTACACCCACCGACTAACACGCACGAGTCGGCAGAATGCTTCTATCCCAAGAGATGCTGCACCGTTCCTGCATGTACGGCTGCATCACAGACACAGCAAATAGCGCATTACTCGGACGCAACTCGCGTACGGGGAAAGCACCACCTCGACGAGCCGAGTCCCCCTCACGAGCCGCGTGGAATACGATGAAAGACGCCGCCCGCTATGCGTAAGAAGGGGTTGAAACAAACAAAGAGACAGCGAGCGGGCGGGACGGACGGCAGCCCGGGGCCGGAAAGGGGTCCCTGCGGACCCACGGATACGAGCCCACGAGCGGCGGCATCTCGACCTTGCGGGCTTGCGGTTGTGGAAGCCTTGCCGTTCGGCTGGTGCTCTGTATCCTTTGTGATCTGTTCGCAGCCTCCGTGAAACCTTGGGGGCACTGGCGCGCGTCGTCGTGCATGCATGGACGGACGAGCTATGGACTCGAGTGCGGGACCCCCCGTTCAGCTGCAGTTCTGGTGGGTGATGGCACCTGATGGGGCCGCGCCTCACGTGTTTCGACTCGGGTCGGCTGCATGGCCGGCGGGTGCCGGACTCTGACTCGGAATATGTTTACAACCCGATACTGACGTTGCAGCTCGAGAGTTGTGTTTGAGCAGTTGTCCTTGCTGTTACTTTGCCCAGGGGGGGCAAGATCGTGCCTGGGGCTCCACCACTGATTGGCCTCTTGTCTGTCGCCCCACTGCCTATCTTGGCAGGTGTTGGAAAGGCACCCAGGCATGCTTCGTTAGCAGGCCGTGGTTCGCCGGGGGTCCCTGAAAATATGTGGCTTCCAGGCTGCCGAGGGGTGCTGTGGCCTGCCCCGCCTCCCCTCCTCAGTGACGCAGCTCGTCCTGTCCTGTGCTCCCGCCCGCCCACGTCCCGAGATCCGCATCGCCAAAGCGCCGCGGGGCGGGCAGGCGGCGCTGCTGCTGCTGCTGGATCCAGCACGCATGACGCCGATGCGCAACGTACACAGTAAATCTCTCTCCCGCCTCACGAGCATTCGGACGACGCATACGCTGAGACCGCCACCACCACCGCCGACCACAACAGCAGCATCTTCTCGCTCGCGGCTGCCTTTGCGTCCAGACCAACAGCTGCAGCTACGACGTCATTCACCGAGCACCCCGCCGCACCATCACCACAACCACCATCACCACAACCACCACCACCACCACCACCACCAACCTCACGATCCGAGCTGCCGCCTGCGGCCCGCAGCAACCATGGCCGCCGCCTCAAACAACAACAACATCGACCTCTCCTCCCTCGCCCCGGCCGCCCCCACCGACGGCACCGACGCCGCGGCCGCCGCCGCCCCCTCCCACGAGTCCAAGATCCTCGAGGTCCTCGGCGCGGCCGTCAACGGCGCCGCGCCCACTGAGCTCTCCGCCGAGGCCACGGCCGGCGAGGTCGACAAGCTGTACGCGGCCGCCGCGGCGGGCAGCGACGCCGAGGAGTTCCTCTGGGCGTGGTGGTCGCTGCTCGTCGGCGTCGTCAAGCTGATCCCCGCCGACGACGCCCGCATGCAGCTCCTCGTCTCCGTCATCGCCAAGCTCAAGGCCCGGCGCGACGACGAGGTCGAGATGTGGGGGCAGAAGACGCGCGTCTGGTCGGAGCTGCCCATGCTGGGGCCCAACATGAGAGACGCCTGGAACAGTGCGTGTGACACCATCCCACAACCGGATGACGGCCGGTGCGGCCTTGTCGTTGCCCCCCGTATGCAACAAAGAGCGACTTGATCTTGCTGACAAGGTACATTTACTCATTAGTGCGTCCCATGTTTGACGGCTCCGACCGCGACAACGAGGCCATCCGGGAGTGGATCTCGCTCAACTCGTTCGCCGCGCGCATGTTCGGCACCAAGCTGCAGAGCTGGGACAACTTTGCCATCTGGGAGCTGCGGTCGGGGCTGGAGGAGCCGCCGCTGAGCACGCCGAGCGCCAAGGAGACGAGCCTGGCGACAGCGTGCGAGTGGATCACGCACGCGGGCGACGAGCTGCACAGGCAGGGCCACGCCGGCCGCCAGCTCGAGGCCATGGAGGAGCGCGCCCTGAAGCCGGGCCAGCTGTTCGCGACTGGCAAGCCCGGGCTGAGCGACGAGCGCTGGCGCTTCTGGAGGGAGAGGATCGGTGCGCTCGCGGGCAGCGCGGGCAGCGGACAGCTCAAGGAGAGGGCGCAGAAGGTGGTGGACAAGATGAAGGACCTCGACGAGGGGTCTGCGTGAGCATGGCGAGGGAAGATGTACATGACAATGCCCAGGGCCCGTAACGAGGGTATGGGTGGGGAAATTGGCACGAAAAGATAGAGACAAGAGTCCACTAGAAAGTGTAGATTCAATCCAGAAGCACCTGATGCGGCGGTTGGTATATGAATGATGCGTCGCAAAACCCGCCAAATGCCACGATGAGACTCCAGAAGACGCCATTTCCCTTGACAACCCCCTACCCGCTTAGCAACCCACGCTTCCACCTCGGCGAGCCGAGCTCTGGCTACCCGTACATCATGTCGTCGTCCTCCTCGTCGTCCTCGACCACGGGAACGGGCTTCTTCTTGCCCATCTCCTCGCGACACATGGGACACGTGCCCTTGCTGCGCAGCCAGGGCCCCACGCACTCGAGGTCGAAGCGATGGCGGCCCTTGCAGGGCAGCTCGACGACGAGGCACCACTCGTCCTCGAGGTAGGGGACCTTGCAGATGGCGCAGTCGTCGTCCTGGGCGAGGCCCTTGCGGGCGACGCGGTCGAGGGTGTCGACGAACTGCTGGTCGACGCCGCGCAGCGTCGTGGGCGGGTCGATGATGTCCTCCTCGAGGGAGGCGACGAGGCGGTCGAGGAAGTCGCGGTTGTCGGGGGTGGGCGCCGTGGCGGACAGCGTCTGCAGCTGGTCCTGCAGCAGGCGGAAGAGGGCGGCCGTGTCGACGGGCGTGGGCGTCGCGTGGGGGTTGTTGTGCGGCGAGTGCCCGCCGCCGCCGCCGCCGCCGCCGGTCGCGCCCGTGGACGGCGAGGGGTCGCTGCTGAGCTGGTTGAGGAGCGAGAAGAAGGAGGCCATGTCGACGCGGCGGCCGGCGCGGCGGGGCTCCGAGAGCTGGATGTTGTGCTCGACTTGGGGAGTGACACAAAAGTTAGCTCTCCTCTTCTTGGTGTGCGGCGGCGAGGCCGGGCTGGAAGACGGAGATGCGAGCTTGAGGGGGGAAGGTGCGGGTTACCTTCGTATTGAGTAGCCATGATGGGCGGCCGGAGGGACGACGATGTGTGTGTGGGAGGAGTGAGGCAAGCCCGTGTGCCTGTAGTGGACGCGCAGAGTTGGGGGATGCGCTCGAGATCGGAGGCTTGAGTCTTGGAGGCTTGCGGGTGGATGTTGGCGGGCAGGCAGAGATGTCGTCGCAAGTCGACCAGGGTCCTGCGGGAACGGAGCGGGATTGCTGGGTGGTGGATGACCGGCTGGGCTGGGTGGAGGGGCAGCAGCGCAAAGTGGCACAGTAGGTACAGCTCAGCTTGTGTGGCGCCAGCTGCAGCCTGGGGCAGCGACACTGGACGGAACAAATTGCCAGAGGTGCAACAGGGCTGGAATCAAGCCCCCCAAGGCCCCCCGCATGCAGCCTCAACTGCCTGCCCTGAGCTGTTTGCTCTCACGGAGCTTCGCCTGCGTTATGGGCTGCAAGCACTCCGTAGCACGAGATGATAGTGACAGAACTTAGGTAGACTCTTTATCTCAAGACACAGATTCACACGTACTTTACTTTGGACCTGGTCCAAGGGTTACCCGCTGTCGACTGGCACGACGGACAGCCTCGGAGCATTGACAATGGCTTTGTGTTGGCATTTTAGAAGGTCGAACCCCAAGAGGCCTAGCACCAGGGGACCAGATTCCACGGCGCCAACTTCGAGGAAAATGAACCCCCAACGCACGCACGGACGCACCCTGTTTAAATGCCCTGGGACACCACCAGTGGTGTGAGCGCCGTTACGGGCAGTTCTGCGCCGACGTCATGGCCCCTTGGGCCTGGCCGGCAGCGACGCCTGGCCCATCAACCAGCTCGACCATGTAGCGATAGGCGCGACGATGTGATTAAGATTGTGGTTGCGCAGGCGGGCCGCCATGCTTTGAGCTGGCTCAATGATCCTGTCCCAACAGGCACGGCTCTCTATTTTGTAGCCGAGAAGCACTCATCGCATCCAGGCCGAGGTCCGCAGTGTCGCACCCACCCAGCAGCAGCGACAGCTCCCCCCAGGGCGGAGTTTGCCTCCACCTTCCGATGCATGCACGCTTTGTCCGCGGCGGCGTCCCCAAGCTGCAGATTGACTTTTGGCTAACGAGCTCCAGAGTCCAGACCCTGGCCGCTGCCCCTCGCATGAAGCTTCGAGATTGACATCGGCTGGCGCACGCAGGCAGCGAATTGCGTGACGAGTTGCTGAAACGCTGCAGGTCGAGGCAAGTTGCTCCGGGGCAGCTCCTCCCTCCTCCCTTTGGACCAGTTTGATTGCGACATTCCTGCCCTCGACCACCACCTCTGCCTTCAGCTCCATCCAGCTTCCATCACAACCCCATCTTTGCTTCTGCAAGGCCATCCAAAGACCCCATCGCGAGCTGCTTCCCCATCCGTCAAGGAACATCACCCTCATCGTCACCATCGCAAGCTTCGCGCAGGCGCACGACCCACCGACCACCGTCCACCATGTCTTCCGCCGCCATCATCGGCTCGACCGGCCTCGTCGGCTCCAACATCCTCTCGACCCTCCTCTCCCTCGATACCTTCAAGACCGTCCATACCATCTCCCGCCGCGCCCCCAAGGCCACCGCGGCCAACCTCGATGCCATCGTCGAAGAGGACAACTCCAAGTGGGCCGCCGCCCTCGCCGCCATCGCGCCGCTCCCCACGGCCGTCTTCTCCGCCCTCGGCACCACCCGCGCCGCCGCTGGCGGCATCGAGAACCAGTGGAAGATCGACCACGACCTCAACATTGAGCTCGCCGCCGCCGCCAAGAAGGCCGGCGTCAAGACCTTTGTCTTTATCTCCAGCGGCGGCACCCGCGGCTTCCTCTCCAGCTCGTTCCCCTACTCCAAGATGAAGAACGGCGTCGAGGATGCCGTCAAGGCCCTCGACTTTGACCAGGCCATCATTCTCCGTCCCGGCATGCTTCTGGGCAACCGCGGCGAGGGCCGTGCCCTCGAGGGCATCTTCCAGGGCGCCGTCCGTGGCCTTGGCGCCATCAGCCACGGGCTCAAGGACTCGGTCGGTCAGGAGGCCGATGTCGTTGCCCGCGCTGCCATCAGGGCGGTGCAGCTCGCCAACGAGGGCAAGGCTCCAAGCAAGTACTGGTCCGTCGAGCAAAAGGACATTGTCAGACTCGGTCGCACCGAGTGGCCCGAGAAGCCCGCACCGGAGACGGAGACGCCTGCTGCTCAGTAGTTGCGACTGGCAGTGGGGTGGTGCCGGGACGCGTTTCCAGGAGGGTTGCGGAGGGGAAGTTTGGAAGTGCTGGCGGCCATGCCGTCGTACACCGCAAAGCTTGAATCTTGCTGTGCATCTGCGACGACGCAAGGGTTCATGTCAACGTTACACCGGGTTGTGGTCTGTTTCCCTGCGGCTATCCGTGATACGGGCACCTCGCGCGGCAGCTCACGTGGTCCATGCAGTCTCAGGCATGTTTCTGCCCGGGGTCGGGATCCTGGCCCGACATGCACCGGCTTTTCGCAAGTGACACGAAGGACGAGGTGGATGTGCGTTCCCGATGCTATGACGCGCGACGGGGCCTTGGAGGCGTAGAGTAATGGACCGTGGTGGTGGCTTTGCTACATTTGTATGTTTTTCTCTTGCGATTCGAAGCCGAGATACCAACGAAAAAATGTCAGACATGTTACGAGCGCGAACTCATATATTGGCGCAAGCGCCATCTAAGCCGTGTCCACGTGTACTGACTGCTTACTGCACGGTCTGTACCTCGATGGGCCCGACCGCTTGGGCCGGTCCATCCCGCAGCTCGGTGTCGACATCTCTCCGACCGGGGCGGGGCCGCTGACGGCACTCGAGCGAGGGTCCCCAATTGCCCCGCCATAAAAAAGGTGGGCATGTGCCATGCCATGCAACCACAGTCATCCATCGATGTCCATTCCGCCCTGGCTTACCACATCTCTCGCTCACTCACCGGGACCGGCAACCCACGATTCTCATTCTCATAGACGCAACCATTGGGGCGTCGTACGCATTTGAAACTCGCCCCGGCAAATCAGTTTGGATAGTTGTGCAAAAGGGCGAACGGGAGCGCTGCCCGAGGAGCGAGCGAGTTGGGACGAAAAAGCCGCTCCGAGAACCCCGCGGTAGATACAGACAGACATGTCGTCGACCGACACAACCGCCGCCGCGGCGCGACCCGACATTGTCGGCCCGGAGGCCGGGCCCGAGGCGCCGTACCCGCTGCGCATGGAGGGCAAGGTCATTTCGGGCTTTGGGCGCGGGTCAAAGGAGGTGAGTTTCTGCCCCTCCCTGCGTGTCTGTGCATCACCTATGCCCCGTCCGAGGCGGAAGGGTGACATGGACATGTCATCCTGGTCGTCTTCCCCTCGTCCGCCACCAGCTCCTCTCCTAAGCTTCATGTCCGTGGAGCGTGGGTAGAAGGCTCCTCTTATCTCTCGTCAAAGAACACAACGTGCAAGGAGGTTTTGGAGGGAAAGTGGGAGTGAGAAGCCGTGGGGAGGATGGGGGCGTGGTGATCGAGGGCGAAGGGCATCGGACATGTTCTGAATCACCCGGGGGCACGCTGACTGACACGGGAAACGCACGCACAGCTCGGTATCCCAACCGCCAACCTCCCCGTCGACGCCTCCCTCACGCCCTGGATCGCCGACGCCAAGTCCGGCGTCTACTTTGGCTACGCAGCTCTCGACCTCCCCGCCTCCCACCCCAACGCCGCCGCCAACTCCAGCACCAGCAACGGCACCGCCGACCCCTCTTCCACCACCACCACCACCACCACCACCACCAACTCATCATCCCCCTCCTCCCCCTTCGCCGTCTTCCCCATGGTCATGTCCATCGGCTACAACCCCTTCTACAAGAACACGGTCCGCAGCGCAGAGGTCCACGTGCTGCACCGCTTCGCCGCCGACTTCTACGGCTGCCACATGCGCCTCCTCATCCTGGGCTTCGTCCGCGAGGAAAAGGACTACAAGAGCCTCGAGGCCCTCATCGACGACATCAGCTTTGACTGCGACGTCGCAAGGAAGAGCCTCGCGCGCGAGAACTGGAGCCCCAGCGGGGCGTCGGCCGAGGGCGCAGAGTGGCTCGTCAAGCCGTTATAGACTATTTCCCAAGACCACTGACTGGTTGATGGTGGAGAGTCAGGTGGACGGCCCGGGCGGACCGACACGCGGATAGGCGGACAGACAGACAGAGCAGGGCAGCAGGATAGCGCTCACGATGGCTGCGTTTAGAAAATAGAAGGCCACATGCTATTCCCTCCTCTGAAAAACATGCACGTGCAGAATCAGCGTCGTCTCGTATTTGCGGGTATCTTGTCGAGCTCCCATAATCCCCACGGCCCAGGCGCACCGAGCGCCCGCCGTCCGTCGTCAAACCGCTTCATTGCCCACTGGCTCCTCCCGAAAGGCCCAGTGAATCCGTTTACATCCCATTTAAACCCAACCCAGTCCAGTCCCTTTCTTTGCAAAGAAGGCTGCGACAAATTCGAACAAGAAACAAAAACACCACCCATGCAAAAAGCATCTCGGCGACACGTAGGCTATACCGCAAGTTGGTGCGGTTCCTGGTTGGGGTAATATCTCGGTAAGAACTGCGCGTGCGGCTGTTAGTTCCCCGTCCTCACGCACCCATCCAGGGCAGGACTGATACTCACATTCATGATAATCATCATGGGAATGTCAAACACGTCTCGCTTAATCGTCCAGCAGTACGTGCAGTTCACCTTGCCGTCTCTTTCGATGCGCGAGATGCCGTGCTCGCCATCAATTCGCGTCACTCGGCTGCTCAGGATCCCCGTCCTCGGATCCTTGCGTGAGGTCCCGTTCTTCCCGTCTAGGTCCTCCTGTGTTCGGTACTTCATCAGGCTGCAGCTCCGCTGTACCTTGCCCCGGCTGTCCTCAAAGGCTAGTTGCGCAAAGTCGCGGTAGAACTGCACGACACTGTCGTCGTCGAGCAGCTCCGCCAGGAAAACAGGATGCGACCGGTTGCCTGCCGGCTCTTTCGCCCGCGGCGTGGAGTCGCCGGTCCGGGAACCGCTATCGCCGTCGACGGACCCGCCATTCGACGCCGGGCGGACGTGGACGTTTCGGTTCGGCTCCTTGCCCAAGAGCACTTCCTTTGTCCATCCCGTCAACGCGGTGAACTCCTTGTTGACGGCAGCAACCTCGCCGGATCGTCGACAGACTATCGTCGGAGCGCAACAGTGCTGGAGGAAGTCGTCGAATTCAACCAGCGTCCGTTGGAAGCACTTCTCCATGAATACCAGGTCCTCGCGTGTGAGGTCCTTGGTGCAGGATATGAATGATGGTCGGATCTCCCCCAAAGACTTGGCTATCAGCAGGAGCTTGTTCAGCGGCAGTCGGTCCTTGATGACCGAAATCATGTTGTGGAACCCAGCCGTATACGGGTATGGCTCCTTGACGCTCGCGTAGACGGCCGCCGAATCTCGTTGTCTCTTTCCGAGAATCGTCTGCGTCAGCTTGTCCTGCTTCGACTTCATCTTCGCCGTAGCGGAGACGCCCGGCAAGCTGCCAAAGGCACTGGTTCCCGGCGAAGCTTCTATAGCGGCCTGGGGGCTCGCGGTTGCGTCGGTGCTGGGGCTGGCAAGGCTATTTGGGCCGGCCGCAATGGCGTATGCATGTGGCAGGCCGTGCTGGAGGTTGCCCTGCGTGTACGTGTTGGGGCCAGAGTCCATACCAGAGTAGTCGCTGCCGATCATGGCATCGTAGCCAGCGCCAGCTCCGTTGCCGAAGATGGCCGCGTAGTTGGCCTCTGTTGACGGCGTCTGCGACATCGAGTTTTCCCGTGGCGGTGTCTCGGCCCCGAGGGCCATCTTGTTGAGGATGCCAAACTCCCACCCGGCGTACTGGCTGCCGAAATTCAAGCCTTCGAGGTCAAAGTTGTACAGCGCCGGGTTGCTGGGGTCGAATAGGGCGTTGAAGTCCATGGTGTTGCCCGAGAGCATGTTGTCCATCTGCGGGGCGTTGTTGCCCTGGAAGGACGGAGATACCGGCGAGGCTTGGGGGTTAAAGGTGATGCCGTCCATGGCAACCTGAGGCTGGGTGCCGGTTGGGTAGACGGGGAACGGCGCGGCGCCGCCCTGGGTGAGGAAGCTTCCCCCTGTCGTGGGAGTGGACATGGTGTCCGACTGGCCAGAGTTCTGTCGCTGGCCGTTCTGCCGCGTGCGCGCGGCATTGTAGTTTGGACCCAGGACGGGCCCGAGGGCTTCCTCGGGCGCGTCGTGAAGGTATTTGGCCTTCTTGCGCACACCATCCTGACAGGCGTCGGCCAGGCCGCGCTTAATACAGCGTTTGCATGGCCGCTCGTCACCTACATGGGCATGGGTCAGTGAGTTGGCCGATGCGACAAGGAGCGGTGACATGTCGGAAAGAAGGCACCGCCGGAGCGTGGGCGAGCGTCCGAGTCGCCAGCGGCGGTGGCCATCAGTTATCACTTACCGCAGGTGAGGTGTGCCCTCTGGCAGGCGTAGCATGCCCGCCTGGCCTTCTTCCTCCTGGGCCTCAGGGGGTCCTTGGGGTCGTACTTCTTCTTGACCTCGCCAGAGCCGTCGTTGTCGCCCATCTTGGAGTCGTCTCTCAGAAAAGATTCCGACTCGTCCTCATTGTCGGACATGTGGTCCGAGACCTCTGCGTCGTTCTCCTCCATGTCGTCGGGCATTTTGCCTGGGTCTTATATCGCGGATCCGTCGGACCTGGGCACGGCAGCCTCGACAGCACCCCGGTTGCCACTGCAACGACGCTCACGCACGGTCAAGACGGCTATGCACGCTCCGGACTCCAGGAGCTTGGCTCTCTGGGCCATCCAAGTGGCTGCGAAACCACACCGGCGTGCGCCTCGGTTGCACAGAGCTGCGGCGGAGGGGTCAGACCGCTGGTCGAGGAGCGCCTCGTACGGTGAGAAGGTGGAGGCGGTTTCGCGCAAAGGGTCCACCGAGGTTTGGGGATCGGGGAGGTGCTATGCGCCCCAAGGCGTCTGTCGGCTGGAGCGCGTGCGGACTGAGACAGACAGGCCGAGCCGCGGGCGTGTGATTGGGCCTGGGACAAGAGTCGCGCTGGCAGAGGAGCGGCCGATCGCTGTGACCTGCCGTCCAGGTGATCGGGTACCCTGCCGAAACAGGGCTCTTGGACGTCAATGTCTGCTCGTATTCTGAGCAGAGGGAGCGCAGGCGACGTCCAATGAAGCGGAGATGGGCCAAGAGCGTGGCGCTCCCGTGTAACGCGGGCGGCGGTCGTCAGTTGGGCGGCGTCGAGGTCGGCCGCATGAGAGACGGGAGGCGGGCGTTCGCTGGCAGCACGGAGGCGCACCCAAGATGTTGGAACGGCGGACGCGGCTACGTTGATGTGCTGGTTGCGCAGCGGTGATTCGGCTCGGCTGGCGGCCGAGAGGAGGCGAGGGCGCGACTCCTGTTGGACGTAGATATGGACGAGAAGCACGCCGGCCGGTGGCGGATCTGACAGTGACCGCGAGAGACAGAGTGTGGGGGAGCCGTGGTGGTGTCCTAGACGCAGCTACCCGTTGCCCATGTGCCTGCCCGCATCGACCATTGACGAGCGAAGGGGTCCGCTGGGCGCTGGGCCGGACGTGGAGGAGCAGAGACGAAGGCGTCGTACAGGCGGGCGTCGCGGACGAGCGGACGAGCTGGCGTTGGCGTCGGCGTCGTAGTTGGGGCGCGCGGCGGTTGTGCAGCAGGTGTCGCGCAGAGATGAGGCATGCGAGCAGAACCGGCACGCACGCACGCAGACACACAGACACACACCCAGGTTCCTGGTGCCCAAGGTCGGCGTCGAAGGCGGCTCGCGAAATACTTGCTCTCCAGGGGCGCGAAGAGGTTAACGGGGATCTCGTGCGGACGGTGACGGCGCGCGAGAGGCGAAAGAGAGGCAAAGGAGGAAGTGCGGGAGAGGAGGCAGGGTGTTGGAGGTTGGTGTTGAGTCAAGCTCGGCTAGTCGTAAAAGCGCAGTCGCAATGGCTGTTTACGTGATGGTGCGGGACCGGCCTGGAGGAGCCCCATCAATTTGGGCCTGCGGTTTCCATGTGGGATGGATGGATGGGATGGGATGGGATGGATGGATGGGCCACGGCGTGGATGGGGAGGGATGGGATGGGACCGGGATGGAACCGGGGAGGGAAACAGGATCCAATGCCAGCCAATGCCTCCGTCAACTGCTCAGCCGGTCCATTGGATGGATGGGCCGAAGGCGACGTTGAGCGCCTTTCAGCGGGCATGTCGCCTTTTTGCAGCGGCCATGCGGCCCAATGCCCAGGGCACCGCGGCCGGCAAGCCCGCGCGCACCTGAATGCGGGGTTTTCAGCGCGTCCCAGGACGGGATGGAGGCCAGGTTCCCAGCGCGCAGGCGAGGAGCTGTCTCTTATACACATCTAGATGTGTATAAGAGACAGTCCCAGGACGGGATGGAGGCCAGGTTCCCAGCGCGCAGGCGAGGAGCCTCCCCGCCTCGGGGCAGCGGGCGGGCCTGGAGCACCTCCAGCGTGAGGTGGGCGGGCGGGCAGGTGGCGGGCAGGCTTGGGGAATCAGCGTCGTCGTGGTTGGCCCGAGGTTAGCGGAGGGGCAGCCCGGGGCCGGTACCGGGTACGGCGGGAGTGGAGGCCGTTTGTGCCGGGACGTCCGCTGCACTGGCGACGCAACGCAGGTACTCTGTACCGCGGCCGTTGAGGCACGCCGCAGTGGGCAAGCAAGCTGGTGCATCGAATCCCATCCTCAACCAGTCTCCAGCAGCACCTCGACAGAACTCGAGGGAGGAGTGGAGCTGATCCGCAACACCAAGACTCGCTCCAGCGCGCTAGTCCAGGGTGCCGCGACCGAGATGGGATGGAAGGCAGTTCGTCGACGACGGCGCGTGGGCAGTTGCCCAGAGCGGCTTCGTTGATGACAGTCGTGCGCCTCCAAGACAGCGAGCGGGCCATGCCGGATGCCGTGGGACGTGCCTGGAAGGGCACTGACAGACAGGGTGAGGCGCATGAATCAATCTTCATGTCTTGGGGCATAGGGCCACGGGCGGCGCGTGCATCAAATTTGGTGGCTTGCTGGGCCGGGGGCGGAGTCGAGAGTTGCGGGCTGGCCAAGGTTCGCCGGCCGTCAGCCCGTTCCTGCAACGGCGCAGCAGGTGCGTTTCCAGTTTCGTCTGGCTGTTCGGGGAAAGTCGTCTTGTGTCTTTTTGTTTCGTGTTCTGCTTGGAGTACATTGCCCTGCCTCGCATTGCCTTGTCTTGCCTGCGTTTACGTATGTGTCCGGCCGCGTGTCCTTTGAGCGACGCATCGGACGGAAACGCCTGGTACCTACAAGCACTTCGTACCGATTCTTCATCCACCAGCAGCAGGAGTGCCAGCACCCAGGGGAGTGGCCGTGCTGATCCGCAAGCCGCCGGGCGCCAGGACTCGCATTGGAACGACAGCACGTCTCCTTCGATCCGGCTGCAGAAGCCCGCGGCGACACAGCAGCGGACTTCTCCGGGAAGCGAGGCGACGCCCCCTTCCGTCGGTGCCCTGCCTGCCTGCCTGCCCGCCGAGGTCGAGGCGCACGTACGAGCGAGTCCAGCCCCCAGAGGTTCTGCACGTAAGATCAGGTAAGGAGTGGAAACATGATGCAAGGTAGCGTGAGAGGGCCAACGTCTCGGCACAAACACCCACAAGGCTACGACCGACTGCATTGTGGGGGTATTGTTGCTCGTGCGCTGTGAGCTGGGGACGGACTGTTGGCAGGGCCCATGAGGCACAATGTACATACGTACTGTATAACGTACTGTACAGTACATAACTATTGCCTGTTGCCTCAATTGATCACTGTCTCGCCTGCGCCTTCCTAGACAATCAATCAATCCACCACTGCATTGCTGACTGAGGCCACCACTTACTTATTCGCCGTCCCCCAAACCCACGCCGCCCCGGCATCTTCACCATCAGCCCACATTCACCACCTCCACCTCCACCACCACCTCCTTCACCACCGGTCAACGCGCCCTCGAATCACGCCCGCTCCCCATGCGTGCGACCCGTACGGTATGGGGACGCATTAACCGAGAGCCGAGCCGACCGTCTTCCCCAGGCTTTCCAGGCGCCTCCCCGCCCCTCCACGCACGCTCCGGAGTCCGAGTCCGTGCGCCTGCTGCTGCCGCCGCCGCCGCCGCCATCTAATCTGGCCGCACGCCTCCATCCATCTCATCGCAGATTCATACCTCATGCACCCAGATACATACAGCGACGCCCACATGCGCATGCTCGTGCATGCCTCTGTGCAGGTCCGTCTGGATCCCGCGGTTGCATCGCTGCCCAGTCCTGGCGGTGATCGTGGGCCATTCGCACACGGCCACATGCTGCGCCCGTGCTTTGCTGCCTCTGGCATGTGAGGCAGCAGCGCATATCCCCTGACCCGGACGCCTCCGCCCCTTGGCCGTGGCCCTCGCACGTCAATGCACCCTGCTTGCTTGATGCCAGTCCGGGGCATGAATCACGAGGGCGCCTCCAGCGGGCGCCTGCGAGGCGTCAGTCCCGACTGCCAACCACGGCGCCGGGGTCCCCCCATCCATGCTCTCCTGCCCCAGTCTGCTTCCAGCTGCAGATGCTGTGATCCGTTGCTCCGACAGGCACAGGGTGTCAAGGATCGCATCTTGCTAACCCGCCACCCAAGGTATGCGAGTGATGTGCTGCTCGCGCCGACTGGTGAGACGCGCCGGCCTGAGCTACACCGACTCTCCATCAGCGCCGGCGCCCCTCGTCACAGACCAGCACACCCAAACGGTTGTTCGTCAGGCCGTGGCGGGGGGTGACAAGCCGAGGCGCCATTTCGGCGTCGTGTGACGGGCATCGAAAGGCGCTTGCGCTCCCCAGATGCTCAGACGGCTCGCCTCGCTCGTCGGTCGTCGTGCAGCGCGCTGGAGGCAGAAGACGGCAGGCAGCGCGGCTCAGGCTCTGGGCAGCCCTGTCCGCCGTCGGCAGTCTGCGTGATGTCGTTGTGTTGTGCTTCGTATTGTACATTCGACGCGCCCGCCTCCATCCTCGTATCTCGGCTTATACAAGTGGCAGCGGTGACGATGCCTGTTTTAGTCTGGCGCTGACCAACTACATACTACGGTCGGCGGGCGTTCATGCGATGCTCGACACGCGCCTCGGCCCGCGAACCCTGCAACTGAGACAATGTTTCATCTTGGGTCTAGGCTCTAATAGCTGTCTAACCACATCTGCCCAATCCCCCCAAATCGTCATGCTTCGTCTAGCCCTTGGCGAAGCGGCTCTTGCGTCGAATCTGCTTGCCGTACCGGAAGAAGATGTACGGGAAGGGAAGCATGGCCACGGTGAGAAATGCCAGCAAAGACGATGCCCACTGGTAGCCCAGCTTCTTATACATCTGGTCCCCAAACAGAGGAAACGCCGCTGCGAGTATATGTCAGCATCAGCTCGTGACACAGGTATGGAGGCGAAACAATGGCGCTGCTGCGTCCGTCGAGGGCAGCCGTGGCTTATGGCGTCGCGTGCTGCCGGGCTGGACCTACCGGCAAAGAGACAACGCACGAATGCGTTGGCAGCGAGTGCGCTTGCTGCATACAAAGGATAGGCGTCGACCTGTTCGCCAGTGTTAGCGACTCGGTTTGGCGTGGAGCGCAGCCACAACTTGACTCGATATGCTTCTGTGCAAAGTACCCACCAAAAAGGTAAAGATGCCCGTGAACAAGAGCACGTTCCTGTGTGATATGTCTGCGTTAGTTCCACAGCCATGACGGATATCATCAAACACGCGACGCGCCATCACAAGAACGGAGTGAGACAGCGGGCTGCACCGGTCAGGGCCGTGTCATGCCCGCCGGGGCCTATTCGCCCGCTCCACGGCTTACTACTAAAAGCAACGACTGGAGCTGGGGCGCCGGCCATGCGAAGACGGACTCTGATGATGCAATTGGGTCGCCGCCTGGGTCACGATAGCACAGGGGTTGGCGGCGTGACCCTCCCGCGCAGACGATGGTCACAGTCACCGTCACCATGTACGGGGCGGGCATGCGGTGCAACAAAGGGGCTTGGGGAGCAGCACTCACCCCATTCCAAAGATGGCAGACCCAATGATGGGGACGATCCAGTGCACCCACGGATAGGTCGACCAGCCAAACATGAAGAGGCCGGCGGGGGCCAGCAGGGAGCCCAGGATGGCGGGCGGGAGGCGAAACTCTGGCTCGCTGGCGCCGCTGACTCCGGTCTCGCGCTCGTACTTGCGAATGAGGCGGGCGCGGATGCGGTGCCACAAGGGATCGGTCGCGACGCCCAGCAGCATGGAGACCATGATGCCAAGAAAGGCCAGGCCCGTCTGCCAGACGTTGAAGCCGTGGTTGTTGCCGAAGACGAGAGGAAAGGCGCCGAAGAAGAGATAGAGAATGCCGAGCAGGATTGCCGAGAAGAGGCAGAGGTTGAGACACATGGGCTCGAAGAGGAGGAGCTGGAAGGGCCGCAGCAGCGAGCGGCCGATGGCGCGGGCCATGGACTTCTTGACACGCTCCGACGGGGCGGTCCACCTGCTGTCGCCGGTCTGCTTCCGGAGTGCGCGTGCCTTGTTCCTGAGCAGGATGGGGTCTGCAGAGACACAAGGAAGGTGAGATGAGATGAGATGAGATTTGAGGTGAGACACGCATGAGCGGGAGGGGGGAACGGGGCAGGGGAGGGGACAGGAGAGCAACAAACTCACGGTATGTCTCGGGGACGAGAAAGACAATGGCCAACCAGAGGGCAAACGACCAGATGAGGAGCACATAGTAAGTCCAGCGCCAATCGACGTTGTAGTTGATGAAGCCGCCGAGCAGGGGCCCGAGGCTGGGTCCGATGAAGGGCGAGACGGAAAAGAGGGCCATGGGCGCCTGGAGCTCATGGCGCGCAAAGAGGTCGCCTACGGTGCCGCCCGAGACGGCGAGGAAGGCGCTGCCCGAGAAGCCGTCGAAGAAGCGGAAGACGAGGACGACGGCGACGTTGCGGGCGACGGCCTGGGGCACGAGCCAGACGAGGTAGGTGGTCCAGGCGACGAGGTAGATGGGGCGGCGGCCGTAGAACTCGCTCAGCGGGCTGAGGAACATGGGGCCGAAGCTGATGCCCAGCACAAAGGTCGAGAGGCCCAGCACGGAGACGATGCGCGAGTTGCCGAACTCGGCCTCCATCTTGGCGTAGGTGGACGTGTAGATGGAGCTGGCGCAGGTGCTGTTTGTTTGCGATTTGTTTGGGTCAGCGTGTGAGTCCGTCATGCTGCTTCTCCTCCCCCCCTTTTCTCTGTCTCTCTCTCTGTCCTTCGCATATCTCGACTTTGACTTACACGCATAGGCTGACGTGCGAGACGATAAAGACAATCAGCCACTTCCGAGCTTTGCTGAAGCTGCGCGGGCAGAGGGGATCGCTGTCGCCGTTCTCCCAGCCGACCTCGAAGGGGTCCTTTTCGCTGCTGGCGCCCCGGCCATCTGCTCCAGGTCCAGGGGCTGGTGCTGCTGCTGCGCCGCCATCGCCATCACTTTCGCCGCTGGGCTCGTCCGACACGCCGTAGCCGTTCTGCGACCGGATCCTGTACAGCGAGCGGGCGGGCGCGGTGCTGCTGCTCGTCGCGGAGCGCCGCAGCTGCAGCTCTGCGTCGCCGCCGCCGTTGGGCGCGTTGTCGTTGTCGCCGGTGACGCCATCGTCGCGTGGCGGCTTGCGCTCGTCCATCGTCATCGTCATGGACTCGGGGAACCGGACCTCAACGCTTTGATAAAACGCACAAAAAAAGAAAACCCTGCGCTTCACAGTGGTGAACTCTCATGGGTGACCACAAGGAGGAAGGGTTCCAATTATGTACGTTTTCTTGTCTCTCTCTCTCTCTCTACGCCATCGAGGGCTCGCTCGCGCTCGGACGAAGCGGACGGGTGAGTGAGTGAGTGGGTGAGTAGCCGGGCAGCTTGCGGAGAGGGATGATGACGCGACCAGGGCTCAGAAAGGGAGCATTGCGAGGTCGGCCGAGCTCGACGACCTTTTTGATCGGCTCGTATGTACTGCCTTCTTTTTTTTGAGCTGCGTCCCCATAGGGACCGGGTCATCCCCAAGTGTCACTAATCATCAGACACGAACGCGACCTGCTGATAAATGCTGGCTCTGAGCGGCTGCCGGGGGCGGACCGGGTCATTATTCCCGGGTCGGTTTTAGGGGCCCTGGGGGCGTCACTAGGGCGCCAAATGTGTGCCGTCGAAACTCTGAAGGCGAAGGGAGGATGGGAGGCTAGCGGGTCGATCCATGGCTAGCGAAGCGAAGTAAACGGCGGGCTCCATCGTGCCGGAACTCTGCTGGCGGCGGGCCCTCCCCAGTTCAGCCCCGGGGACTGGGTCATCCTTCCTCCCAGCAGGTTCCTTCGGTAGGTAGGTAGGCTATTCGGCAGTGGCCGAGCAATGATGAATGAAAAACGCGTCCGTCGGCACAGCTGTCGAGAGCGCCGAGTTGGCCAGCTCCTACCGCAACGGACATGTCCTCGGAGCGGACCTTTCGAACCCTCCCCCCACGGGGCGTTTCCTCGGTACGCACGGCACGGTTTCCGGGGGGCCACCTCACGGTGACTCAGAGAGAGAGTCGAACGGACGTACGGTCTCGGAGATGGCGGCGACAAGGCCGAGCTTCGCGCTTTGGGCTGGCGGCGCGAAGGGCCGAGTCGGTGGAGCCCCGTGGCGGCGCCGTACGGGACGTGCCGGTATGTAGAGTCGAGGAGGAGCAGAAATGCCGGTCGGCCGAAGGACTGGGGCGGTGAATTGCTTGCCTGGCAGGGCCATTGCCAAGACCGGTGATGAGCATGTGAAGATTGAAGAGGGAGAGCGGCTGATGATGTGGAAACAGTTTCTCGGTTGTCTTCCTGCTCGGTGCGTAGACGGCAAGGGGGAGGGTATTCTTTGTCCAGTCAACTCCCATGCATTAACGACGACAGAGTCCAGAGTCTGACTGGCTGATTGACCGACTATGACATAACGTACAACCCCGTGCGAGCAACACATCGCAACCCCGTCTGTCCCAATTCTTGACCCTCCATCTATAATCGCAAATTCGAGTTATTGCTGCCGTCCAAGCAACATCCATAAATATCACCCAAACGCCTGTGTCTCCAGCTCATGCCACCCCAATGCCTGTCTCTTATACACATCTAGATGTGTATAAGAGACAGCCCGGACGATCAGTACGACTCGGACAGCCCCGAAAAGTCGGGCACGTCGGCGTCGCAGTTAAAGTCGCGCTCGTACGCCTTCTTGGGCAGGATGCCGGCCTTGAGCCCGGCCTCGTAGCTCCACAGCGCCGCGCTCTCCGTCTTCCACGTCCAGTACCACCAGCCCCAGCCCTTCTCGAAGCTGTGCATCTGCGCCTCGGCGAACATCTGCAGGAACTTCTTGTAGTCGTCGCTGAACTGGCCCGGGTCGGCGTTGGCCTTGGCGCACGAGCACGCCTTGTCCTTGGTCGGGCAGCTCGGCGTCAGCACCGACGACGCCTTGTCGCCCGTGTCGTACGTGCCCTCCCACCGGCTGCCCCAGCCCACGCCCGTCAGGTACCGCGCGCAGTCCGTGTCGGCCTGCGACCACTCGGCGAAGATGGTCGGCCCCCCGTACCCGCGCGCCGGGTCCATGGCCAGCTCCGCCTGCTGCGTCCACCCCTCGCACGCGTACTGCACCTTCTTCTGGTGCGTGAAGGCGATCTGGTCCTGGTTGAAGATGACGTACTGGTGCACGTCGAGCGCCATGTCGTCGTACCCCGGCAGCAGGCCCTTCCAGTTGTCCAGCCCCATGAAGCCGTCCCCAAACACCACCAGCGCCTTGACCCCGTTCTTGCGCACAATGTCGTGCGCGTCCTTGGTCCACTGGATCACGTCGCTCGTCTTGAGGAACGTCATCTTGGGCTCGTTGACCAGCCCGTAGTGCGTCACGATGTTCTTGTACCGCGCCTGCGCGAAGAACTTGGACAGCCGGTCGTGGATCTCGAGCGACCGCTTGCCGTTGAGCTGCCCGTCCGTCCCGTTGAGCCACCCGATGGTGCCCCAGCGACCGCTGTGGTTCCAGCCGTTCTGGCTCCCCGGCAGGCCGTGCACGTCGAGGTTGACGCGGAGCCCGTACTTGCGCGCCCACTCGATGCCGCGCAGCAGGTACCGCCACGACGTCCGGAAGATGTAGGGATCCCCGTCGTAGACCTGCACCGCCCAGTACGAGAACGGGATTCTCACATGGTCCATGCCCGCGGCCGCAATTGCTTTGAACGTGTCCTCCGTGACAAACGACGCGTAGTGTGCCTCGATCGTTTTGGATGCCGAGGCGCCCAGATGCTTGCACAGATTCCACTCGTCGATGACGCCCAGGTTGGTGTTATAGTTGAACAGGGATGGTGTGATGAACGGTTCGAGCGATAGCCATCCGCCCAAGTTGACGCCCCGGGCCGGTCTATCGCCGTACGACCCCCATTTCTCGTTCAGTGCCGGCACCTTGTCGTTTGCCTTGTTCGAGTCGTCCCACGACGTGAAGAGTCCCATGACCGGGAGATCGCCCACCATCTCCTCCGTAAAGGTCACGTTGAAGCCCGTTGTCGTCTGCCACGTCCACGGGTCGAGGTACGTGTTCTGCCACTTTGTCGGGATCTTGCTCCGGTCCTTGTCGCCCAGGCTGGAGTCCTGGGAATCATCATCGCCTGCTTTCTTTTTGCTCACCACCACCGCCACTACGATGACGATGATGAGAACCACCAGACTGCATGCCAGCAGAATCCCTAGATGCAGCTGTTAGCCCCAACATCCCCCAAGCCGTTTGCAAATGTCCGGCTCACAAAGCTTCTTTCGCGACTTCTTTTGCCGCGGCCGGTGGTAGTAGTCTTCTTTTTCCAGACTGTCCTCGCTCCAGCGACCGCCACCCCTTAACCCAGACCGTCGGACCCTGCCCTCTTCCATCATCGCCCCACTGACGACTCGTCGTTTCTTGTGCTTGTGCTGATGCTTTCTCGGCTTCGGTGGCGTCATTTCGGGTTCGCGGGGCTCTTCGCGGCGCGGTCGTTTCCTCCTCGTCTCTCCATGGCCGCCCCCGCCGGATCTGTGCTTCTGTCGTGCATTCTCCCTGTTTAGCTGAGCCAGCGCCCCGGACGATAGTGAGTTCGTCGCCCGCTCCTCCCGGCTCTCGTCCGACGCCGTAGCTGGTCTCCTTGTGCCTGATTTTCGTTTTCTGTGCTGGTTTCTCCTGGAAGGATCTCCGCCGCTGCCTCGATGGCGGTGCTGTCGTTGCCCCGCCGGCCGCGATGCCGACTCCCTCGGCGCCATTTATGGAATTCGCGCTCCGTACTCGTCTGAACAATGGCGTTTGGTCGGCCGCGTCGGGTATGTCTATCGTTGGAATGCGGCGAGCCCGCACCGCTCGTGTAAAGTTGGACGCGGCGGCATTAAAGCATGGAGGAGAGATGTCTTGGACGACGCGTCACTCGGCAATTTCGACCCGTCATGCGTGTGGAATCCCAAGGCGTCCAAGATTGGCGAGGCGCATTAGGTTCCTTGTTTGCGCCTCGTCTTGGCGGCGGGGCGGTTGTTGGCGGAGCAACAATCTTATCGGCAAAATCTGGGGTCGCGCCAGTTGAGCCGGGGTGCCGCCAACGCCGCCAGGGCCGCTGGAAACCCACTGGCCCGAGCCCCGCGAAAGGCCGCCGCAAGCCGAGTCTTTGACTTGCTTCCCATAAGCCTCCTCCCCGGGGAGCGACGCCGTGCTTTCTCACGGACGTGGCGCTGCTCTTTTTCGCTTTCTCACCCTTTCTTGTTGCTCTCGTCACGTCGAGAAAGGAGCAGACGACACATCCCAGCCATGAAGCGCCAGGCCGTGCGTCAGCTGCGCAGCGCAGTCGCGTCTCCGCGATGCTCAACGCATCTGCCCCTCCGGATCGCCCGCTGGTACTCGTCTCACCCTCCGAATGCGAAGCTCAACCTCCCCATCGACTACTCCACGACGCCGATACTGGCCCAGGGCGGTAAGCCCGCGCTCGGAAACGTCAACGAGATCCCTGCCGAGGTCCGCAATGGCCCGACGAGGAAGATGAACCTCTTTCAGGCCATCAACAACGCGCTGGGCACCGCGCTGGCCGAGGACGACAACGTCTTGGTCTTTGGCGAGGACGTCGCTTTTGGAGGCGTGTTTCGATGCACGATGAAGCTGGCCGAGACGTACGGCGCGGACAGGGTGTTCAACACGCCGTTGACGGAGCAGGGCATCATGGGCTTCGGCATCGGTCTTGCGGCGCAGGGCATGCGGCCCGTTGCCGAGATCCAGTTTGCCGACTACGTGTTCCCGGCCTTTGACCAGATCGTCAACGAGGGTGCGAAGCTGAGGTATCGCGAGGGTAGCTGCGGCCCACACGCCGGTGGCCTCACCGTCCGCATGCCATGCGGCGGCGTCGGCCACGGAGCCCTGTACCACTCGCAGTCCCCCGAGAGTCTCTTCACCCACGTCCCGGGCTTCCGGGTCATCATCCCACGCTCACCAATCCAGGCCAAGGGCCTCCTCCTGTCCGCCATCCGCAGCAACGACCCTTGCCTGTTCCTGGAGCCCAAGATCCTCTACCGCGCTGCCGTTGAGATGGTGCCCGAGGCTGCGTACGAGCTCCCGCTGTCCAAGGCCGAGGTCCTCAAGGAGGGCAAGGACGTGACCGTCATCTCCTACGGCCAGCCCATCTACAACTGCCTGGCGGCGATCCAGCGGGCCGAGGCGGACCTGGGCATCTCGGCCGAGCTGATCGACCTTCGCACCGTCTACCCCTGGGACAAGCAGACGGTGTTTGAGAGTGTGCGCAAGACGGGTCGCGTCATCGTCGTGCACGAGTCCATGGTCAACGCCGGCGTCGGCGCCGAGGTGGCGGCTGCGATCCAGGAGGATCCCGACACCTTTGTCCGGCTCGAGGCGCCCGTCGGGCGTGTGGCGGGCTGGAGCATCCACAACCCGCTGATTTTCGAAAAGTTCAACATTCCCGACGTTGCGAGTAAGTCATCCAGTCCTGCGCAGGAGTCTCGCTTACCATGCTGACGCTTCACAGGGATATATGAGAATATCAGAAAGAGCCTAGACTATTGAGACGGAAGCCAACCGGGGGCAATTGGACTGGTGTAAATAGCATTGCATGTCGTCATGGTTTTAAACTAGACAGAAGAAATGCCACAAGCGATTGTCATTCATTTGCCATGTCCCTTAGTGGAAGTCCTGGTTCATGCATGAGTGTCGACACTTGAGTGCGCTGTAATACGGAGCGCTTAACGAGGTACCTCGACATGACGCGAGTTTAGTGTGTGTCAGCGCGTATTGCCTTAGCGCAAGCTGACCGCAGAGCTCTGTTGACGAGCTTGGCTGTGCCCCTCCCGTTCTGCCCCGCCCTGCGGTGCGCGACCATCTCCTTGACCGCATGTGCCTGCATTGAGCGTCGATTCACCATCAGCCTTGCCTGGAGACTCGCAAGCCCCATCGTTTTCTTTGTTTTGTTCCTGCTGGTTCTCTCCACCGCGCCACGCCATGTCGCAACTGGAGACTGTCTCTGCATTCGTCGAGGGCGCGCCGCCGGGAGAGGTTGGTTGACCTTAGCTCGCCGGAGCTCCGCGTCATCAACGCCAAGCTAACCGCATCGCAGCTCGCAGACGTCGTCGCCGGTCCGTCCCGTGTCCCAATCGATCGCCTGAAGTAGCTCATGCACTGACGCAGCGCTGGCAGATATCAAGGCTTTGACCGATTCTCCCAACATCGTCTCAGAACTCGGTCCCGCCTTCGAGAAGTACAATGAGGAGCAGTTGACCACGGTGAAGCTGCCGGGAAGCAGCCAGGCTGTGAGAACCATGGATGCACGAACGCGCAGGGGCTACCGCTGACTCTGCCTGTCCAGGTTCTGGTCAGCTCCCACAACTCGCTCGGCAACGGCCGATACTACGACGTCGAGAGCTCCTCCAGCTTCGAGTTCGACCACGCAACACAAGTATGAGCGACGGCAAGACCCCTTACGCAGACGGCCGGGTTCTGACCAGGAACAGAAAGCTAGCGCCGTTCAGAGCCACGTCATCGAGGGATCACAAGCAGATCTGGTGTAAGTCGGAGCCAAGGTTGCTGCTTCCGCAAGCAACATGCTGATCGCGTGGCAGCAAATCGACTCTGAAGAGCCTCGGCACCTACGTCAAGGAGCATTTCCCCAACGCCGCGTACGGCGTGTACCCGATCGAATCCGATTCCAAGGTGGCCGTGGTCGTCGTGGCGAACAAATACAGCCCCAACAACTTCTGGTGAGAGGCTGCCAACGATCCGAGGGCGATCGACCAGCTGGATGCTGACCGAAAGCAGGAATGGACGATGGAGGTCCCTATACGTGTTCGACCCTTCGTCCGGTAGCCTCGAGGGCTCCATCAAGGTCGACGTTCACTACTACGAAGACGGCAACGTGCGGCTGCTCACCAACAAGCCCGTCTCCGCGTCGGTCTCCTCGGGCACAGGTGCAGGCATCGCCAAGGAGATTTCGGCCCTGGAGAAGAAGTATCAGGAGGAGCTGAACAAGAGCTTCGTCAACCTGAGCGAGGGTGCCTTCAAGGGCCTGCGGCGACACCTGCCGGTCACGAGACAAAAGGTTGAGTGGGACAAGGTTGCCAGCTATAGGCTGGGTCAGGACATTGGAGGCGGGAGTTCTAAGCGATAGGCGCGAGACGGCGGTGGTACCACGTCCGCGGCCTGAGGATGCTACCCCAGCGACCATCATGAGATGATATACAAACGAAAGCCTCGATCAAGAGTTCCCCGCGCCTGCCGTGCCGCCTACTTCAGATGCCGCGTCACAAGTTCACGTGCGGATTGCGGAGCAGCTTACGTAGATGCATGGTGCGGTGTGGTGGCACAATGAGGGGACGGCAACAGCCTCGGGACATGGTGTGGTGGTGCCTTGGAACGGCTGCTAAGAGACGATGACCAACGCGGCCACATCCAACCCTTTCCCACTCGCGACAGAACTAGCAGAACTACTGGCAAGAGCCGACGTCACTCTCGAGTGGCAGTCTCGGTGCATATCGGCGCATATCGGTACACGGAAGAGCTCGAGAACAGTGACTCCTTGTCGTCGGTGTCCGTCCTGCGTCGGCGGCTGAGCGAACGCCGGTCGCAAGCCATCGGCATGGCCACGCATTAGTCCCGTAACCGCATGCACGGTGGTCAGCGGAAACGACCAAAGCCGCACAAGCCGCAGACCTGCCGATTCCGCGCTCCGGTCGGCGCAGGCGAGATAAGACAGGAATGGCGTTGGGTCATGCACGCCTCTCGTACCGTCCAGCACTACATACATCGTACATGCGCTTGGGGATGCATGCCGTTTTGTCGAAATCCCGGAGGAGGTCCGAAACCCCGGATTGCGTCCCCCAGAGATTCCGAGCGTCTTGGGCGCCCACGAGGGGTAACGAGCATCACAAGCCAACAACCCAAGAAGAAACGTCTGAGCTACTAACTTAGTAGGTGGCCCGACGTGGCGGGGCCTAAACTGCCCGCGTGGGATGCGCTGCTGGATAGGACCACCGGGGTAACAGTCGGCGCCTGCCCACCGGTTCCAGGTTCCCAGCGCCGCGCGCCCTTCCTTTCCGGGGACGGGTTCCAGCGCGCCGTCCCCCAGCGCAATCCTCCCTGCGAGCACAGCAGAAGGCAAAACTCAGCGGTCCGCTAGGTCCAGATTCCCGGCCCGCTCCAGGGTGCAGCAGTTCAGCACCTCGCAGTCAGTGGATGGATGGCCCGCCAGGCCAGGGGACCTGCGATCGCCCCGGTGGGCGAGGCGGCGGCGCCCTGGGCGAATCAGGCGCGCATGGCGGTAATTTTGCGCGCGCCGATTGGACAAGCCGCCCGCTTGTACCTCCGCGGGTCCCACCAGGCCACGGAACTTGCGAGGACCGGGTGGCCTGTCTGTCTAGGTGGTTCTCCAGCCAGCTGGCCTGCGCTGCGCCGTCAGTGGCAGCAGCCCGGCCGGCGGTGGAGGCCCATCAAAGACCCCGTCTGCGACTCAGTGTCCTCGAAATTACCTGCCGCGCGACTCGTCCCTCTTGCATCCTCGCTTCGTCTCGATCTCCGTTTCCTGCCGTTGCCTCGTCTCGTCTTGCGTTTTTCTTCGCACGCAACCGCATCCATCCCCGTCGTCCGACCGCTGTTCGCCCGAATCGTTCGAGAGCCCCTGGCCGCCCTTATAGACACGCATTCCGCCACACAGCCCTCCACCACCACCCCCCAACCGCCAAAATGTCCAAGGAATTCACCTACCAAGATGTTGCCGAGTACAACACCAAGAAGGACATCCACGTCGTGATTCACGACAAGGTCTACGACTGCGCTCAGTTCGTCGACGAGCACCCGTACGTTGCTCCTGGCCCCGCCCCTCGGCGCACCCCCCGTGCCCAACGCCGACCGCAGCGTTTGCTAACCTGGTCCGTCTTGCAGCGGTGGTGAGGAGGTCATGCTGGATGTCGCTGGCCAGGACGCCACCGAGGCTTTCGAGGATGTCGGCCACAGCGACGAGGCCCGGGAAACCCTCGACCGGCTGCTTGTCGGCGTCCTGAAGCGCCAGGTTAGTGATACCCGCCCGTGACCCCTGGAGCCGGTAGACGAGATTCGCTGACTTTTGTCGACGACAAACAGCCCGGTGACCCTGCCCCCAAGGCCGCCCCTGCCGCTTCCACCTCCACCTCGAGCAAGTCCGACAGCACTGGCCTCGGCATTGGCCTCTACGCCATCCTCCTCATCGGCGGTGTCATCGGCTACGGCGCCTTCCAGTACCTGGCGAAGCAGCAGGAGGTTCAGCAGACTGCCTAGATGCGCCCCGCGGTGCTTTGGCTTTCTGATACGACGGGCGGCAAGGGCGACGCCCTAGAGCGAACCCTGCCGCGCCGGTGGTGATGGATCAAAAGGCGCATTGATTTGGTTTTACCTTTTCCCCCGCCCTCGCGTTGTGAGGCATGCACAGGCTCCCTTCAACGGCGGCCTTTACCCGGGCGCGCGCGTGGGGGACGACCGAGATAGAACGCCTGCGGTCTGGCATTTCTTGCGCTGGGAGATGGAGCAATTGGTTCAAGGTAGATTTCTCCATGCGTGGGATCTGCGCCATGGATACAGGCTTTTTTTAATGAGGACGACTTGATGTGGACTCTACGGCGCAGCGTTGTGAAGCAGTCAGCGCAGACGTGCCGTTGCGTCCGGGCGGGCGACAACGACAACAGCAACGGCAATGTGAGCCTTGCCTGGACAATTTCGTAAATGTCACACAGGCGTCGACACGGCGGTGACATGCTATCCATCGACTGCGGCCCAACAATCCCCACGTGCGGTTTGCGACAGTCGCGCCAGCCAGACTTTTTTTGCTGGGACCGCGTATTCGTACAAAGTACTTTGTACCCCGAGCCTCAAGCCACAGCACCCAGCGAATGACGGAGGGCCGACGACCGTGCGCCACAGGCATGGTTGCCTGGCCTTATTCAGCCTCACCTTTAGAGTTAACGACCGACCTTTGCTTGCTGCTGCATCATCCACGAACCGTCCGTCAACTTCATTCTTGCACGCGTCCGCATCCGACAACCTCGCTTCCTGTCCCGGCTCGCGGTGTTGCCGTCCATCTCTGCGTCGCTCCCCTCGTTTACGCGTGACTCCGCGATCCGCCCTTCCGCGTCACTTCATTTTGCTGGCCTCCGAGTCGGCGTCTGCGGCCGGCCCTCGCTCACCATGTCGTCGTACCTGGAGAAGCAGTCCGCCGCGTTCCGGGGCACCCTCGCGTCGGCCGCATCCAAGCTGTCCAACCCGTCGGCCGTCAAGGCGGCCTCGCTCGCGCCCCCGTCACCGTCACCGTCCGCCGCGTCGGACAGCGCCACGCCGACGGCGAAGCGCAAGCGGGATGCCGTACCCGATGTGCCCTTCTCGCAGCCGCAGCTCACGGGCTACGGCGCCGAGGTCAAGACGCAGATGACCTTTGCGGTCGACTACCTGAAGAAAAAGGGCGAGCCGAAGAGCATCACGGACATCATCGACCACCTGAGCCTGCGGGCGTACTCGGACGAGCACAAGAAGGAGCTGACGGACGGGCTGAGGGGTCACCCGCGCGTGGACTGGCGGCCGGATCCGAACCTGACGGAGCAGACGTGGAAGACGGGCACGTACACGCACCGGCCCATCATCCCCGGCGTGAAGGACGCGACGTCCCTGCTGGCACACCTGCAGCGCAAGACGGACGCCTCGGGCGTGTCGGTGAAGGACCTCAAGGACGGCTGGCCCGACTGCGAGGAGACGCTCGCCCAGCTCGAGCGGCAGCACAAGGTGCTCGTCGTGCGCACTAAGAAGGACAACTTCCCGCGCTACGTTTGGGCCGACGACCCGTCGCTCCAGCACGCCGTGCAGCCAGAGTTCCAGTCCATGTGGCACCGCGTGCCCCTGCCGTCGCTCGACGACATGCACCGCAAGCTGGTCAACGTCGGGCAGAAGCCGACGAGCGAGGACCCGCGCAAGGCGGCGCAGGCAGCGGGCGCCGGCAAGCCAAAGACGCAGAAGAAGCGCGCCGGCAAGAGGATGGGTAAAGCGACTAATGTGCACATGGCGCACCTCATGCAGGACTACAGCCACATCCGCAGGTGATGGGCTTCGTTGCCTACAAAACGTTTGGGTCTTGAACTTCTTCTTTGGGCGTTTTCTTTCACAATGGGCCAAATGAAAACGGAGCGGGGCTTGACGACAATTGGTCGATCTCACACGGAGATCCCTTACAGGGCGGGATGCATAAATGTACTGGCGTTTCGGGGGCTGGAGGCGATTCATCGAATCGATTTGTCAATTTGGACTGCGTTGACTTTGGGGCGACTAGGCAGACAGTTTCTCAATTCAAGGGACGAGCAAGTCGTTGAACATACATCAGCCTGGAGATGTCGACGTCGTGACTATCTATCGTGATGCATCATGGGGAGGCGGGGACGCCGTGCCCAGCCAGTGTGTACGTGCTTCCAAGCTCCCCTTATATTCGCGACGTCTCGCCCTGTGCAGCAGCTCTTGGGGTATCCAATTCCAATGAAGCAATCTTTGGTGGCTCGGCATCACGGTCATTCTCCATCATGTCCCCTCCGTCGCTCCAGGGGTTCCCGCATCCTCCGCGCCCATACCCTTACAGGATGACGGCATATTCTCAGCTCGTATCCTGTCAAACAGCGTCTCAAAGACATCCTCGCGCTGAAACCCACCCACCTTGTACCTCCCCAGCACAATCACGCACGGCACCGCCTCCACGCCGCGCTCCTCGACCGCCGCCTCGGCCTCGTCGTCGACCTCGCGGCCGCGGTCATCGTCACGCAGCTCCGCGCGCACCACGTCGGCGGGCAGGCCGCCCGCGTCGCGCCCCACGCCCACGAGCCACTCCTCGTCGCTGACGTCGCGGCCCTCGGCGAAGTGTCCCCGGAAGAGGGCCTCGACGACGCGCGCCTGCGCGAGGGCGCCGCGCCGCCGCAGGACCGCCGCGATGAGCACCTGCGAGAGCCGCGAGGGGCCCGTCGACCCCGTGACGCGGAAGCGCAGGTCCGGGTAGGGGGCGGCGGCGGCGCGGACGCGGTCGAGGTGCGCCTGGAAGGTTGCGCTGCCGCCGGACCACTCGTCGTAGAGGGAGAGCTTGTCGCATCCTAGGCACACACGGAGAGGGCACATGTCAGTCTTGCCCTAACCCCCTTTTTTTTTCATATCCAGTAGCCGCCATCGCATCCTCCCCAAGGGAAGAAATTGGGAGAGCAGGGGCCGGCGTGCAGGGGAAGAGGGGGGGGGAGGGAGCTCTCACTTGTCTTGAGGAGAGGGTTGAGGCAGAACGAGCGCCAGACCAGCTCAAAGTCGACGTCGGGGTGCTTGGCCTGGTAGCGCCGCATGGCGGCCTCGATGCTGCGCTTCTCGACCCAGCACCACGGGCAGAGCGTGTCGGAGAAGACCTCGATGGGCACGAGGAGCCTCTCCTCGGCCGCCATGTCTGGGTTCTGGTGTGTGAGGTGTGTCGTTGAGACGGGGGCTGGCCCGCTCTGGTGGTTGGTGTGTGAAAGGTGCCACCGGGATGTGAGAGTGTTGCTCCGTCGGAACAGTTGCCGGAGTAAGGAGATGTTAAGGGATTTATGGACTATTCAGTTGGTGGGCACGCATATATATCGGTTCGCAGAGCGTACAGCGTCTGACCAAGGCCGTTGCCGCCTTTTCTTGCCTTGCCGGGGTTCCGGTGGTGGTGAGACGCAAAGGGGGGGGTGGACTCCAACGTTGAACGTCAACGGCTAGTAGTCTCCGCGACGCAAGGGTCGGGAGTGAAGAGCGAGAGAGAGAGAGAGAAGAAAGAGACTAAAAAGCAAGCAAAGTTCCTGCACACGAGGGTTTCTCAGCTGGCTCGCCTCGCCGGTGCCCTGCCAAAACCACGTGTCGTATGTTGGAGCGCAGCGGCGCCACCGCAGAACATGGTCCGATATGTGCGTTAGGGTACTACTGCGTGTGTGTGAGGGAGCGAGCGAGCGAGCGTGTGCAGTGCAGTGCATGAAGGTGCGTAAGTCCAACGGGGGAAAACAAAAGTGTCAGGGTCCTCGGCTACCCCCACGAGGATATAGTTTACTCCCTCCTCCTTTGGTCCTGGGCTCCTGGCCCTTACATGGACCGACCACATGTCATGTCAAGTTACGACCGCGAGACAGGCCGCTAGTATTTACCGCGCACGTCATCTTGGCCGGAGCGAAACGTCCCTCTCTTCTCCTCTCCTCGCCTCTACCCACACAGGCCTCCATCCTCTGTCTCCCCCATCACAGGCTAAAGGGCAACGAGCAAGGACAAGGGGATCACGCACACACACAGCGGTGGGGGGGAAAGAGAGACAGACAAACAAGAGAGGGACAGCCCCGGGGCGTGTGCTCCTGCGCGGATGCAGATCCCGCGCTGTTCGAGCGCGCGCGGGCGGGCGGGCAGCCGTCATACTACCTGTCGCCTGCCTCCATCCCCATGCCGACTTACACGCCTCACCTGCGCCGTGCCGCGAAACCTCCGCCCGCGGTTAGTAATCATTAAATCGAAACCTCACCTCTCGGCACCACCACCACCCACCCAACCCCCGCCCTCTCGGGTACCCCAGCTTCAGTGAAAGTTAAATACCGCTTTTTGCTGCTTGCCGTCGCGGCAAGAGAAAAGAAGAGTAAGCTTTACCCGCCCCCGGCGGTGCAATGGGCGGCGGCGGCGGCGGCGGCGGCGGCGGCAGGCGTCCGTCAGCTCAGAGGGCGCGCGCGCGTGATGACGAGGGGCAAAAGACCAAAGAACAAACACTCCCAAATTAAAAGAGTGTGTGTTCCCTGTCATCATGATGAAGGGGGGCAGCACCTCGGAAGCGCGTCCTGACTCGTCTGCGCATGCGCCCGAGCACGCACCCAACCCGGAGAACAAACCCCCTGGCCGTCCTTGTCTCTCGTCTCGACGTCGCATCGCGGGTGCGGGCCGCCAGGCCGAGTGGCGTCTATCCCATCGGAGCGATGCGCACCTCGTGGTACGACGTAACTTGTAACTGGTAAGTAGGCATGTGTGTATCCGCGCAAGCATATCATGCCTTTGTACATCCAGGTACGTACTGCGCACGAGTAAGTGGACTTGAACAAGGTACTCTCGGCAAACCACCACCAACCCACCCACCTCACCCACTCTCCCATCTCCATTCATACATGTCTAGCACTCAACCGTCGCAGCGCCAGTGGGACGTGGGAGCTTCGCGCGCCCGCTGGGCTGCCCCGACGATGCCAGCCCGGTACCTGCCTAACAGTACTTATCCACCCCGGGTCCTCATAAGTTTCAACTACTTACTTACTACCTATGGAGCACGAACCCATACTGAAAGGTACGCCGACGCCTCCAGGCTTGCCTTGCCTGCGACCCTGGCGGTCGCGATCCCGCCTGCCTGCCTGCCGGACCGCCGGCCGCCTTGCCTCATGCGGCCCGCAGTGTCGGCTCCGGCTGATGCCGTCGTCGTCGGGGAACCTCCTTGTCCAAATCGAACCTGCCAAGCCCCCCGCGGTCGCCTGCCGCGCCTCCGTCGCGTGGCACCCGCGGCTCCAAGATTAGTATCATCGTGCTTTTCAAGATCTGGCCTCGATCAGTCTCACTGGGCGCTACGCGGTGAGTCAACTACGCAGCGCCCTTGTATCTTTAGCCGCCCCGCCGCGCCCGGTCGTCGCCGCGGCAAAAGCCCGCTCGCTCCGTCCCGTGCCGTGACACGGGACACCGATTCAAAGGGTTCCCGGTCCGACGACTGACTGGTCTGCATGAATGCCGCCTCAATGGGCGCAAGTACCGAAAAACTCAATTGCATTTCCTTGTCCCACGCATGATAAATGACTTGGTGTCGCCGGGCAGCTAGCTTGCCCTTGCGTACATGCTCGCCTACCCTACCAGCGGCCAAACGTGAAATCATGTCCGCCGCCTCGTCTCGTCTTCAAGCCCGCCTCTACACTGCCGTGGCGACTTGAGCCCTTGCACCCCGTCCCTTTGCCCGTGCCGAGCACAATTACTCCATTCGCGAGAGGCATCCCGCCCGTTCACGCCCGCGCCCGCCCCAGGCGTCCATGCATCGTCCCAGCAAACTCCTTCTAGCCGTCAACCAGCTCCTCGCAGTAGCAACGCGGAAAGTCAAAATAAATGCTTCGTAGTCGTCAGGTGCCCGCATCGCCTGTCTATGGTCGGTCTCAACAAAGGAAAAGCCACTGGGCAAAAACAAACCCGCAACAAAGGACACGCAGGAAGGGAAACCAAAAGCCAAAAGGAACCGCATGTTTCCGCCCCAAGATCAGGGCAGGCGACAGAGAGCCGCACAGTTTGGCGTGCCACGAAAGCGCACTGCAAACTATTGCTGCAGAGGCTGCCCCTGGGATTTGCGCAGAACTCGCGCTCTCCCTTCCATTAACACAGCCGTCGCAGACATGCCGCCGACCAGCGTCTCATTAGTGCTCGCTTCTAACAGGCTTGTCGCAGAAAGGACACGGAGGTATCAGTCGGTCACTTCAGTCCCTAGGAGTCGACCGTCGTCGTCGTTGTCGTCGTCGCCGTCGCCTGCCATTGCCAGCAAGCTCACACTAAGCCATGTGCACCAGGCCAGAGTCTGCGCCCTGAGGCCGGCGCAGCTGGTGTGGTGCGCCGTAGTACATCTGGCCCATGGCCGCGTTCTGCGGGTAGTTGTCCGGCTCCGGATAAACGTAGTTGGCTGCGTTGTGTGACGGGGACGGAACGTGCGACGGGGACTGCCATCCGACGCTCGACATGTGAGGGCTGCCGCCATTGCTCCCCGTCGCGGCCTGGTGTTGCTCCAGGCTCGGCTCCAAGGTCGGAGGCGGTCCGTAGCCGGTCGGGTGAGACGTCGGCCGCATCCCGTTGGTGCTGTAGCCACCGGCGGGAGACGCCGAACCGGGGCTGCCAACGCGGAGGTGAGGGGGCAGCGGTCCATTCTGTTGCATGTACTGCGAGAAGTCGGCGGGGTGGCGGTTCATGCCGCCCGATCCCGACATGTCCATGCTTGGCGACATGGACATTGGCCTATGCGCGGGAGACGGCGTCGTCATGGGCGAACCATGGTTGGAAAGGTGGTCGCCGTCAGAGCGAGCCTGTGGCACATGCTTGGCCTTGGACGCTGCCAAGGCGGCCGCAGTTGCGGCGGCGGCTTCCTCGATTGTGCCACTGTGGTGGTTTTGGTGACGGGTGAGCGTCGTGCGACGAGTAAACGTCTTTTGGCAGTCGGCGTAGGGGCACTTGTACGGCCGCTTTCCAGAGTGCGTTCGTCGGTGGCGAGCCAGAGAGCTGCTGTCGCTAAAGGGCTGCGATTCTTGCGTGAGTTCCTGGTGGCCAAGGGCGAGGGCTGAGCGCCAACATACCTTTGCACATGTCTCGCAGTGGTGCGGCTTCTCGCCGGTATGGACGCGCTGATGGACGGTCAAGGCTGACCGCTGAATGAACATCTTTCCGCAGCCCGGGTGGTCGCAGACGTGAGGCCGGACTCCCGTATGGATTCGCTCTGGTTGTCCATCGTCAGCTTCGCGCGTCTCTAAGGGGTGACGAGGGGGCGTTCCTACCGTGGCGCGCTAGATCGCTCCGTCGCGCGAAGCCCTTGCCGCATGTGCTGCACGGGTAGGCCTTGACAGGCGGCGGCGGAGGCTGGTTGGGATGGCCCATCTGCTGCATGGCCAGGCTCGGGACACCCGCCATGCCTCCAGACATCTCCGGATACGCGGGCATCGTCATGGCGTTCGCCATCGACGTCGGCATGTGCATGGACGCGTGCATGGCCGATGGTGAGCCGTACGACCGCGACAGGCTGTGCGGCGTCGAGTACGACGAGTGCTCTGACATGTGAGGGGAGACGGATCGTTCCATTTCGGGCTCTTGCTTGACGAAGGGAAGTTGGTGAAGTTGATAGTCGTCCTGGGTCTCGGGAAGTTGCTGTTGCGAGACTGAACCGCCTTTCTTATTCAGCATGTTCGTAAGATCCATAACCCAACGCCGTGCCTGCGAGTCTGATGGCTTCTCAGTCTGGCGGGGCCCATCAGTCGCCGGTCCCAGACCGTTGGGTACGGGGGAGGGGGTGGACGTACTGTACGCGGAGACGGTCAAACCGTTGTCTCACAGTCACGGAGGCAGGAAATCAGCGGGACTGGATTGTTCTGCCAGTGTTAGCTGCCGAGTGGCCAGGATCATTGCAAATGGCAGAACCAACAGGTGCCGTGGTGGGGATGGGGTGAGGTGGTCAAGACCAGACGGTTGGCACCCGTCACCAAGCCACGGCCTGGCAGCAACACGATATTGACGCTACCGTGAGCATGGACCGCTCCGTGGCCCCTGACCTGGCGTCTGGATGACAGACCCCTCGACCACCCCTCACGATGCATCGTGTCGGGGACAGCTGGATGGTTCTCGACTTACCCTCTGGTGTCCACGGGGAAGGCGTTGGCGGGGGTTGGTCCTACGCCGTCGCAGGAGCGCTCGGTGCGCAATGTGGCCTGGCCTCGTCCGCGATATTTTGAGACCCTGCCAAACCCCTCCAGTCCTATGGTCGGAGTGACGCCTCCAGCAGGCGAATGCTGATGTCAAAGGCTTTTGTTTCGGCGCCAATCCCGCTGTTCCCCTTGGCGTACCGGGCGAGGCTGGCACAGGACTCTACAGCGTACCGACCAAGCCACGGGGCGAATAGTTCGAAAAAAAGGCCCCCAGCGTGTGCCCAGTGTGCTTGCGGAGACAAGACGATGCAGTTGGCGAAAGCTGCAGGATGCTGCGAGCTAGGAGGCGGGCGGCGGTGCTGGTTCTGATGCGCCGAAGCAGCCTCTTTGAGTCTGAGTTTGTATCGACCATACACGCACTGGAGACGGCGGCGCAGACGGGGCTTCCACCTTTCAGTCACTTCTGTGCCGCGAGTTATGAGCGTCAGTTGTTGCTGTTCAAAAAGCGCCGCTCCAAGGCGACGGGGACGTTGGTTCCGGCAGCTGTCCGGGGTTGCTTGCTCGGCGACAGCGCAAGGGACGAAGTAGGGCAGGCGAGGTACGTATCGAGCAGACGCACCTCTATCGGGACTCGGGAGCCTTGTGACGGATGGGTCGCAGAGTGGCCGAAGCGTGCGCGATCTTCAAATACACATGGAGCTTTGTTAGTCGCGTCGTAATGGACTCGGGCGTGTCATGACCAAACAAAACAGGTCTGGAGAATAGGTAAGGAAAGGAGATGAGACTGCAGGCAGGCCGCTGCCGTGGCGCAACGTTCTGCTTTGGAGGTTTGCAAAAGGCGAAATATGGACCTGCCCTGGGTGTCGGGGCCAAGGGTACCGCCGCCCGTCTTGGGATCGGCGTGGACCCAACTTGGGCGGGCCCAGTGGGTGGGCAGGACCCAAAGAACGGCCGTGACAGGGCAGCGGTACGGTATTTGGGGGGGCGGGACCACTGGCTGGCGGACGCCCCAGTGGCCAGCCCAGGGGTGTGTTGTGTGGGTGTGAGGTAGGTGGTGTGTGGTGCCCGCCCAGGCGTGTGGGAAATCAGAAATAGGGAAGATAAAAAAACTGAGAAAAAAAGGCTGCACCACAAATTCTCCTGGAACCCCCCAGCGCAAGGATGCGCCCTGGCTGAAGGGCCAGTATCAAGCAAAGCAGCCCGGCGGGCGAGCGCGACAGGGATAGGAACACGCCACAGGAGAGGCAGCGCAATTGCAAGTCGCGACGCGACGCAGGGCAGCGCCGGACTGGGGGGGATGCTCAGAGGGCTTGCTTGTGGCGGGCAGCATGCTGAAGCGCAATGCAAGCCCGCCAGGCACCCTGCGCGCGAGAGATAGGGGGAGGACAAGAGAGACTTGGCTTTACGTACCGGCTCTTGGTTCAGCGGACAGGACAAGAGACCACGGCTCTGCCCGAGTCACGAGCGGGCAAAAGGCAGCGCACCGAGCGAGCGGGCCCGGGTCCGTTACCGTGAGAGCTGATGACGGTTGGCACCGACCGATCCCGACAGGGCTGGTCGTGCACACGCCCGCAAGATCTACGAACGGACACCCAGATGCCGAAAGGGGACAGGCAACTCGGCGGCCCTGTGACAAGGTGAAGAGCCGACGACAAGGCAATGAGGACGAGATATGACCGCAGGTGGGCCTGAGAGGGGATGATTACACGTACGAATACGTGGATGTATGGCGCCCGCGGCGTTTTATGTGTATCAGGCGGCGAGATCTGAGACCTGCGTGATTGCAAGGCTAGCGGCGAGCGTTTCCTTTGACAGTACCGAGTACGTACGGTCGTACGCAATGCTCAAGGTAGGGACGTCCGAGGGGGAGCAGTCGAGACGCGCTGAGTCAAAGATGTCGTCAAAATAGCATCGCGGGAGCCTTGGAGGGCTATAACCGGGGCGAGATGCAGGAGGACGGCGAGTGCGTGCGAGCAGCAGCGGCCGAGATTGGATGGACGTGAGGAACGAGGCCTTGGCTGACAGCGGGAAGGGCTTGATTGTGCTCCCTCCTCTCGAGTTGAAACGGACGGGATCCCACAGCTGGCCAGAGCGTCGCCGCAGCGAGGACGGAGAGGTCGACTGAGGACGGGATGGAGGGCTGCCATCTGGGTGGGTGGATTGGCTTGTGGGTTGCGGGTGGGTGCAGCATCCATCTGGACGGCGGGAGGAGCTGGGCTGGGCTGGGCTAGGCTGGGTTGTGGTCCTTGGGACCGGTACTTGGGGCGCCGCGGCCAGGGTACCTGACGTCGTGGGGAAGGGCCTTGCATCATGCCGCAGCGCCCTGCGAGCACCAGGTACCAGCGCCAGGGCTGGGGTAGCCGGCCTAAGTGCCTCGCCCAGTGCGTGCACAGTGCAGGGCAGTGCAGCCCGGGCGATTGCCCTGCCCTGAGGTGCCCTGAGGTGCTGCCTGCCCTGCTGCCATCCTGCGTCCATTAGTAGGTACTGCGTCTCGCACTCACAACTCGCCAATGTACGAAGTGCGGGAAACAGCAACCCACGACTTCCTGGGCAGGGGCATCTCTGGCATCTGGAGACGCCCCCTCCCTCGTCTCGCCGTCTGTTTCGTCTCTGCCTTGCTCCGTACTTCATGTGCGTTTGCCTTCGGCGACCAACTTCATCACTCAGCAACCACGAGGCCGGCCGATGTCTTCTGCCTGGGCAAGGTAGGTAAGTACAGTACATACCTACTACGAGTACGCGTGCCCGCGCATGTTTGTTCCGCCTAGACTGGGATGCCCTGACAAAGCGCCTTGTAGATGCGAGGCGCTGACCCTGCCAACGGCAGCCGCCTCGGGAACTCCCAGAGCCGCCGCATCGGGCGCCGGACCATCTGGTGCCCTGCGCTGCCTGGTGGGAGGCGCCTGTCAAAGACCAGCCATGCAAGGAAGATCCGATTTTGGTACATGAAGTCGCATTGAGCCATCTTGGTCCCCTCTTCTCGATCCGTGCTCACGCACAAGTCTGGGGAAGCACGACGCACGACCTCGTCGGTGAACACGACGCACGGGTGGCGCCTTACATCGTTCGACAAAGGCGAACCCCCGACGGAGACGACGACTTCGTTGACAGCGCCCCCTCAAAGGGTACAACGGCGACAGACGAGTTGGCGACGGCGGCAATCCAGGTCCAGGCGAGCCTCTCATTGTCGCTTCGGAGTCAATCAGAGGCGTCCTTCCGAGCTCCGCTGGCTCTGATCCGATAGGTCTCCCTCGGTCGACGTTTGCCTAGGCCTAGGGAGATTGCCCGCAACCGCAGCGAATTAACTATCTCCTTCGCTCTCACCGACACGTCTTTCAGGCGGATGGTTGGTCGTTGACGCACGCTTTGCCCGGTTTCTTTTTTTCTCTCGCGCCCTGGCCTTCCCACCGCTTCGGAGGGCGCTAATTGGGAGCAAGACACGACTGGCAGCGTGGCTAGATGCTTTGTATTCTCGAGCCCTTCTTACCAGACATGGGACGCTGCGGCATCTGAACTAGAGCAGCTGACGCCACTTGCGCGTCGCGCTTCTATGTGCATCCAGCCGCGTTTATCGCAGACCACGGACCTCAACCTTCAAGCAGTCGTGCACTGGGGACACTGGTCCCCTGGCACAGAGGCAACCCTGTTGACCTGGGCCCTAACACTTGAGCTGGTGACGGCCACGATCCCTGTCGGTCTTGAAAGTCTCGCTCGTATTGTCCAATTACACTCATCGGACCACACCCACTCCCACCTCGACTGGCTGGTGCGTATCCAACACGCACAACGATTCCTAGGAAACCAGGATGATAAGCGCGGAGACTTGGTGAGGCACACGGTCGCACTCGGCTATCTAATCTCTGTTCCTCGCACCGTCTCCGCAGATTTGGGTATGGTCCTCGAGATCAGTCTCGCTGGGTTGAGCTTGGACTGATGCGGATGGCATGCGGAGGGTTGCGATCGTGCAGGTCAGCCTCTTGGCCCTCGGACGGCCGTCTCCACCTCACTGACATTGACGAGCCCAACACATGCGCGCAGCCCGTTGGTCTCTTCGCATGAAGCAGATCAAAATACGGAATGTCTCTCGGTTGCCAACCAGCTGCAACACCTCTGCGGCCCATCGTGGCCCATCGCTGGGCGGTTGCCCTAGGGGCGACGGGCTTTCTAGCAGCAAAAGCAGCCGGTTTCTTGTTGCTCGTTGGCTTGGGTACGGTAGAGCACCTTCATCCACAGGCGTCTGGGGTGCGCGTGGACCAGGCGGCACTGTGCGCGATACAAGCCTCGATGCCGCTGGAGCTCTGGGGGATACCTCGGGCCAACCCACCCTGCCATCGTCAGTTGGTCACGTCGCCCGAGTGGCCGTCCATTAGCGCTTTTCGCTTCCAATTGTCCGACTATTGACAGACGCCGCGACAATGGGAACTGCTAGGCTCGGCGCGGGAAAGCAATTCTCGCTGGCACCGCTTTGCGGCGGATCACACAGCACTGGAATTACTTGGTACCATGGCGGCAGTGGTCGGCGCGAGTCATCTCGTGGGAGCAAGTTCCCTGCACGTGCATGCGATATTTGAGAATGCCGGGCTTCATCAACGGCGACTACAGATGGAGGACTGCCTCCGGAAAGAGTCGCCATCGCTTTTCGTGCCCGATGGTCGCATCACGCCGCATCATTCCGCATCAACTCGTCCAGGAGTCGAGCACCGGACCCGCCTTGTTCGCGTGACCTGGACGACAGGCAACGCCGCGAAGGAGTTGCACCGCGGATGGCTGGTTGGCTGAATGGCGAGGCCGAAAGGGCTGCACGCAGCTGCGATCCACACTGCAAGCTAACAAGGAAGCCTGAGACTAATCCGGTGGTGGCAGGCTTCTGGAAGGTCTCGGGGGCTTCCTTTGCATTTCCCCTGGCCCACCCTCACACCCGCGATCCCAGGCCACCCCACGCTCCTTGACATCCTTGTCAAGCCAGCCCCGTCTTGCGGTGTGGCACAGTTCTGGAGGGCTTCGAGAAGTTCACACGGCGTTTCGAGCAGGTCGGAATACACGCTGGTTCAACGTTTGTGGCGTGCGCGCCAGCAACCTTTCGGTCAGCTGTCAGCCCAGCAATGGGCAACCGGCATTGGCTGATCCGTGGATTGATGCTGCACCCAAGCTTGTTGGTGGACCAGAAGTCCAGGACTGCAACTCCGCCCCTCCGGCCGATGAGCCTCCAGGCATCTCTGGGCCCGAAATTCAGCTGTTCCACAGCAGTGCAGTGGCATCTTTGCAACGCTGTGATTTTCGAAGGGTAGTCGCCGCGCCAGCTCGTCCCCATCGCCAACGGAAAGTTTCTTTGCTGGGGACGCTTCGGTTGCCGTCACAAATACGGAAGCTGCCGTATTCTGTCACTAGGAACAGCTCCAGACAAAAATGACGACAGCAGAAGAGCGGTGACTCGAAGCCTGTCTGTCCAGCACGAGAGTTGATATGGCAGTCACCCAATGCCAGGCCGAGGCCCCACGGCGGACGCAATCACCGTTAGTGCAGCCCGCCCATCGTTGTGGCGGTCAAGTGTTTCCGGACACCAACACAACGAAGCGAAAGGTTACATCAACAACGGCCTACGGCGCACTGTACAGCACAGTTCCTCGTACTAGCACAATTGTCAGCTCTTTGTAGCGCTGCACAGCATTGTACAGTAACCAGCTCATACTGCCGGTGGATTCGGACAAAAGATCGCCATGTGTTTCAGAATCGGCGGCAGCTAAGCTGCCTGGCCGAACACCCATGGGCAACAGATGCTGCGGCGGCGGTGGCTGCTTCTATCGTTCGAAGCGGCCAACGCCACCTGCTCCAACCCAGCTGGTCCAGCTTCTCAACCATCCGATCACATGAAGCGCCCAGGGAAGTGGACCTTGAGCCTGCGAGTAGGAGGAGCGTTCTGCGGGTTTCCTTGTCTTGGCCCACGCCGGGAAGATCTCGCTGCTAGTATGCTGTGCATCTTGTGTGGAGGGTGGCGGACCTCGACATTTAACGCACCAGAGCACCTCGAGCCACCCTATGCGCTTCGCACTGGTCGGCCAGGCTGGTTGCGGGTTTCACGATTGCGGGAGCTTCCGTCCGACGATCATACGTCGCTCGTGTTGTCAACGTGCTGACCACTCTACGAGGCGGGTTGCCCAGTCAATACAACAGGGTATTTCTTGGCCTTGACTTCCCGGCGAAGTGAAATCAACCACATACAGTACATACGTACAGTACAGTATTCACACTCGGTAGAGCATGGGCGAACCCAGTGTCGACCCGTCCGACCCTTCCAAGAGAACCTTGTTACATGCCTGCGGAGTGGCAACTTGGATCCGGTTCCTCGGGTTTCGTCAAAGGACAGCACTGCGTCATTGAGGGTGCGAGAACACCTGGCAACCCCACAAATCGCCCGGGCCTTGGACGGTGTCTCGGCCGGCTTTTCGGGGACCTGAAGGTTGCCTATGGGCGTCAGACGAACTCGGTGGCAAGTGTCACAATGTTGCTCGTGCAGGAGTCGTGGCACACCTCCGGGGGGTGTGCGTTTGAGGTCCCGACGGCGACACGCGAGACGCGATCTGGAAGGCCAGGGCTCGGGGTTACCCACCAAGGTTGATTCGACGATTCTGCCCATGCGCCGACTGTTGGGATGGCGGATCTGCTGTTCTATTACCAAGATTTCCCTTGCGTCGCACACAGCAAACCCACTGCTGCTGTTGCGGCGTACCCGGCTGCACCGCAACTGCACAGAGACGCCGGCGACCCGTGCTCGGTTTCTTTCGCCAACTCGGTGCTGCCATACATGATATCTGATGCAGCGTCAGCCACTTTTGCGTGATGCAACGTGACCCGAGCGAACAAACATTGAGCGACACGTCTCGGGCTTTGCCGGCATCGGCTGCCTTTGCCCAACGAGAACGCAGTCGCACTCGGCCGTTTATAGGTGACGCATTTATCGCTGTCCAACGGATTGTTCGGCGCTGAATGCCTCTTTAGCATCCGACTTGGAGGTCTTTCGGGTGAGCTACGTCATGGATGCAATTGGCGCAGACTTGTGCTTGAGTCGGCGACGCCGTACTGGCGAATGGCCATTGCTTCAGCCCGGGGGGGGGACGTCCAGGACTTCAGGGATTTGCTGCAGGTGCGAAACGGCATCAAGCATGCTGCCACCATGACTTGCCGCTGCCTCGGTCATCTTCCTGATCCATGCACACGCCTTACATGCAACGCATGGAACGCGAAACGGAATGCATCCGTCCACAACCAGGGGCGCCGCACTTAAGACTGGAAAGCTCAGTGTAACCGTCTAAGTGGATCGCATCATGATGAGCGCCCCGGCCAAGGCAAACAAACGTTGGTGTGGCACAGTACTCCGTACAGCACAGTGACTGTACTGCCATCATACGGGTCCAACTGACCAGAAGACCGCGGACGTTGCGTTCTATTCTGGCCGAGGCATTGCCGCGTCGCTTTCAACACGGTCACCGCCACGTACAGCACTTTCAGAGCGACCCCCGCGTCGCCCAACGCCGCTTTATTTCGTAACGGCGAGAGGCGATGCACCAGCCGTTGATGCTGGCATGATAATCTGGGCCAAAAGGCGCAATGATTCGGAACATGGTCAGCCCCGTCCCACGTTGTGGCTTCTTCCACAGGCGAGGCAATGTCTCGGTACAACGCGCATCATGTGGCGGCGGTCGGGACGCACGACGTCTGTTCGACGCATGCAAGCTGCATGGTTCAAGTGCTGTGAACGTAAGGCTCGCCGACATGACACAAAGGCGCGGCGGCTGCCTGAGTCCCCGGTGTTAAGCGGGACCCAGCAAGTGCAGCGAGAAGAGTCTCGCTCGAGGGCGTCGGTCTAGAGAGGCCCGTTCTGTCTGCTTGCACTTACGTCAACTCCAAGCCTCCATCTCGGCCGGTCGTCTGCCGAGACGTTTGTCAGGCTTACACGCGATTGGTTCACCATACGACGGGCGGAAGATGCCGCAGACTGGGTGAGCACCACAACAGCTTCATAGCTTACTCCATGGTCCTTCTCCGCCGTTGTGTCTGGCGTCCGCTGCACGCTAATCAATACATGCCAGCAACTACGGGGTACGGAGGAAGCCGGAGGAGGCTAGCCTAATACGAGACTCATCTCGACAGACACCACTGTACCGCCGAAGCAATGGATTGGCCGACGTGGGCCATGGACGAAAATGGCAAAGAGATCTATTACCGGCACTTCTTTTGCTTTCTCTACGGAGTCCATCGTGGCTCTTCACTCAACATATTCAAGAGCCTCGTATTCCGCCGGTCAAAACAAAATAAGACAGGACCAAAAGCAAAGAAACAGAAGACGCCGACTGCGCAGGTTGTTGGTTCACTCCATGCCTAGCCAGGGCCGGCCCGTTTCGGGCTTGACGTTTCTCCCATGCTGTTGGGTCGGGGAGGGGGTTGGTTGAGCGGGTTCCCGGCGCCCGCCTTTTGCAGCAAGCCCTCGCTCGCTCGAGTGTTGCCTTGCGGCCGGCGGCGTCTGGGCGGTCATGCGAACCCACACAGGCGATCATCGCCAGGTACGATTACGAGTGCAACTGTGAGGTACGATGTATGGCACATTACACGAGGCTTGCGACCCGTCGACTAGTTGCTGCAATCGGTCCTCCCGTTCAGCCTTGAAACGGGCTTGCGCGAAATTCGGAGAATATGAGACGTCGGTACTGTAGCAGCAGCATCCCAAGAGACGGCTTTCCGCATTGGGGGTTTCCGGGGAGCTAGCTGAGCGCCCCCCCGTCTCTTGTCGCCGTCGTCATCGCCGCCGCCGTCGTTGTTACTGGTGTCTCGGGCGAGGCGACCCTTCAGCCAACAACGCCAGCCTTCGGGGGGGCGTGCCGGCAGGACGCGTGCATGAAGCATGGCTGACGAGCATTCTGTGCCGGTTGGGAGCGGCACAAGGAAAAGGGCTTTGTCAAAAACTATACCATTACCCTATTTACAGGGTCATATGATGGGGAGAAAACACTGGTGTCGCGAGAACATTCGCTGGTTTCGGGGCGCCTGCCCGCCACCCCCTCAACACCAAGGGCGGGAACCTGGTAGGGTGAGCAGTTCATCTTGTCCTGCCTCATCTTCAGCCACACGGTGTGTCACACAGTCACACCCGCACTCTCCCTTCTTTGTCTGTCCCGCAGACGAACATGCCCACCGCTCTGCTCGCCCGCTGAAACCTCTCGGGCAAAACGTCTGTGCGTCGGTAGGACGCGTGGGGGTTTCATTTTGACCGAAACGACGGCGAAACGAAACACGCACTTTTTTATTCGACCGTTACAGTACGACCCAATACTCCCCCCAAGGCCGCGGGAGGGAAAAAGTCGGGGTGAGCGGGGGGGACAGAGTCTGGCAACTGCCGCAACTCGCTGCGGGGAGGGGGGGGAGGCGGTCGGCCACTCTGCGGGTCGACGTGTCATGCGGCGGTGGCCGTGACGCGTTGTGGCTACTAGACACAGCCTCTCTCCCTCGTTTCTCGCTCGGTTTGATAGTCCTGCACCCCAGGTTTTCGTTTCTGTTGTTTCTGTTGATGCTGTGTGTGTGGTTTCGGGTTTCGGCGGCGTGTGGACTTTTTTTCGAGAAGCAGCTTCTCCGCGTCGGAGAAGTCACCTTCTTTTTTTGTTTGGTTTCTTTGTTGTATTTTCGTTGTCGGAGGATACGTCACATGATGAAGGTGATGCCCGCCCAGCTTCTTGGAACCCCGTCACCCCCGGGCCGGCACTTCGAGTCCCCCTGTCCCAACGCGCCCGAGGGGCATTTCGCCCTGCCCGTCTCGCCCGTCTCGCCCGGCACTTGCCCGTGGCGGCTACTAACGTACCGGCCACGACGAGGATAGGGCACGGGGGTCCTCCTGCTCTCTCAGAGTTCCCTCTCTCTCTCTCAGACTTGCTCCTACCACCTGGGCTCCGCGGTTTCGTGCGCCGGCGTCTCAACCACGTTTTCGTCTCCAAACGGGTTGTCATCGTCGTCGTCGGAATTGTCGTCGCGGCTGGCGGCGGCGGCGGTCTGGACGGGGGGCGGTTTGCTGAGGCGCGGCGGCTGCGGAGGGCCTGCGTGGGGGGCCATCATGGCCTTGGGCTTCGTGTTGAGTGACAGGCCGGACAGGTCGGGAGCGTGAGCGGACTGCGGTGAATGAACCTTGTCCTCCTGGGCCTTGAGAGTAGCCACTGTACAGTAGTATGTTAGTTCTGTATTGCAAAAGCCTTGTGGCGACGAGGACAGGGAGGACAGGGTAACTCACTTCGGTACATGTGAGCCTGCTCGGCAAGCTCGTCGTCCGAGTCGCTGTCCGCATCGATGGACTGATCCATCTGCTCAAAGGACATGAGGGCACGAACGAGTTCGTCGTTGGCATGTAGCAGGCTCCCCAGCCACTGCTCGCTTTCCACCTGGTGAATCTACAGCGTTCCCTCTGTCAGCGACGCTCGCTTTGAGGTACGGCAGCACTTCCTAGTGCCCGGCGAGTCACTCACGTAGCGCAGTATCCTCCTACGGAGCTGCTTGCAAGCCTCAAAGTGGTGCACGGCGACCTGGTTGTCCGAGATGCGCTCCCTCTCGCGGTTGATGCTCTGCAGGGCGTTCATGAGGTTCGTCGAGGCGATGGACGACTCGGCGATGACCGACTTCATCTTCTCCTTCTCGGCCTCGAGGTTGAACGGCTTGCGCCCCTTGGACTTGGAGGACGAGGACGACTTGTCCTTGCTCTTCTTCTTGCTGCTGCTGCCCCAGCGAGGCCCGTCGCTGGGCTTCAGCGGGCCGTCACGGTCCATGGCCGGGCCGATCTGCGGCGCCCATGTGCCGCCCCCCGAGGACGAGGATCCCGCATGGGCGTGGCCGTCTCGCGCGGCGCGCCGTTCGGCTTCCTCCTCTTCGTCGTCCTCGAAGGGGTTCTCCGTCTCCTGGATGACCTTGGAGCGCTCTTGCGTGACGGCGACTTTGCGCTTGGGCAGTTCCTGTGTTGCGGAAAGGCATAGGTTAGCAGGTCTGCGCCTGGTCGGTCTTCTACACGCTTCCCCCCTCAGGTAGTCAGGCAACGGAGGGAGGCAGGGAGACAGAGATAGAGAGATAGACTGAAACACAGGGGGAACCTGTCAAGGGGACAAGAAGAAGAAGTGCCAGTCGGGTCGCTCAGCTCACCTTGTACAAGCGGGCGATGCGCTCGAGGCCCGGCGTGGACGCGTACTGGGACCACTCGCGGAACAGCTCGGTGCACTTCTTGCGGACGGCCGGGTCGGAGAGGTCCGAGGTGCCGCAGACGCGGAGGCGCTCGAGGAGGGGCTCGTCGGCGAAGCCGCGCTGGAAGCCGGAGCCGGCGTTCTGGATGAGGCCGTCGAGCAGGACGAGGGCGCGGACCTGGCGGTGGACGTTGCCGTACTTGAGCTTCTTGCGGATCGCGCGGGCGGCCTCGGTGGGGCCCGAGGCCTGCAGCTTGATGACCTCGACGAGGTCGGGGATGCCGCTGAGGTCGTCCTCGGGGTACGACTCGGAGGTGAGGTTCTCGATGGTGACGGTCACGGCCGAGTAGGGTTTCTTCTGCGCGAGGGGGAGAGGCCATGGTTGTTAGCTGATGTTGTCCGCCGCGAAGGAAGGAAAGGGCATAGAGGGTGGATGGCCCTCATAGGGGCCTGGGGCCTGAGCCAAGCCGGGAGATTACGTACCTGGGAAAACATGGCGGGCGAGTTGTTGTTGAGCACGAGCTGTGCGTACGTCGTCGTCGGCCGATGCTAACTTGTCCGCGCGGGGATGATGCCTCCGACACAGTCAGTGTCACTGTCTCAGCGACCCTGTCCCAGCCCATCTCCAGCTTACCTCAAAGCAGTCGCACAGGGCTCCGCGCTCTCGGCCTCGTAATCAGCACAGCAGCAGCGCGACAGCCGATGAAGCTTCGCAGGATCCGCTCAATCGGTTCAGCGCGCGCAAAGCTTCCAAGCTCTCCCCTTGTCGAATGCCGACTCCGCTGCTCCCCAGTCTGCGCGCCCTGTTGTCGTAGGTCTCTGCCGAGGCAGCGCAAGCTCGAGCGCGGGGAAGACGAGTACAGGTGCGCGACAGATCGGTCGCACCCTTCGTGGGCGGATGTCGTCGCGCGGGGTGGGAGTCAGCGATGTTCGTGCGCGGGCGCGTGTGGTGTCGCAAAGCGGTCTCCGGGCGGGGTGGAGGCTAGCTCCCTGTGGGCGTTCGAGGTGACGATGGCGGTAGTAGCGCTGGCGGCGGCGATGATGACGATGGCGATGGTGACGATGTGAGGTGGGCGATGGGACGCTTCGTGCGGCGAGCTGCACCGGGGTAATACAGAGGGCGCGCCGTATCGAACCCTGCCCGGCTGGTATCGTATCGCACACTCACTGGTGCTGGTGCTTGATCGACCGACTCGTGACTGACATGTGCTTGGCGTGTTGATGCGGGGGAGCGTGTATTGGCGACACGGCGAGCTGAGAGCTGGGAGCTGCCGGCTCGAGGAAGTACCCATGGCGGGGCACCTCTTTGTGTTGACGTAACTCCCCCAAAGCTACCCGACTTTGGACAAGGGGTCGCGGATCCGCCGTGGCATCACGACTACAAGCACCTCGGTCAACATCTTCAATTATAATGTATAAATTAAGGAGGAGTGCTATTCGTAGAGCCAACTTTTGCTAGTTGTAGAGGGCCCCCCTACAGTATTTTTCGCGCCCTACCCCTATGCTGCCCCAGTGATTTTTACTGCGCACTGGCGCAGGCATGGGACGGCATATTGCTTTCGTTGCTTTCGTTGCTTTCGTTGCTTTTGCTCCTATGGGCTCTATAACTAGCAAAAGTTGGCTCTACAAATAGCACTACTCAAATTACGTTGCATAAACACATGGCTCCAGACTGCTCAGCCCGATCGTAGCATCAAAAACGAGACGAAGTGCCGATTGATGAATGCACACATGAATTAAAGCTGCTGCTGCAACATGCCTCTACTATATCCAAAACTCCAATGCTATGCTCACGTCGTTTAGTCCTCATATGTCTCATGAACAGCGCAAATGCAAACCCCAGCGCTCATGCGCACGGCATACCCACCTCTGCCGACCCCTGTCTATGTCAACTCAGGCCTTGCCCAGCCCCAGAAGCACCAGGTTCGCGACGTTCATAACGCAAATGACAAGCCACACCAGCAACCCGGCGACGGTCAACCACCACGGATTCGACATGTCGATGCCTCCCGGGAGGGCAACGCTGCCGGTGAGCGGCCGCCCCTCGTCGTCAGAGTCGAGCATGTACCGCGCCATGCCCGGCTGGACTGTCATGAAACGGCTTCGAGCGGTAAAGTAGATCAGGGGCAGCGTGACGAATGGCAACACGCTGCTGAGCACCACTTGCGACCCGGTCAGGGCGGCATTCAACCCCGGTCGCCCCACCGCCGCAGCGATAACGACTGACGGGACGATGCTGATCGATCGCGTGACAAGCCGGCGCAGCCAAGGCTTCAGCTTCCAGCGCAGCGCTCCCTCGCTCACCATCTGCCCCGCGATTGTGCACACGATGCCAGCCGAGATGCCCGAAAGAAGCAAGGCCAGAGCAAAGATGGTCCCTACAGCCGGTGAGATGCTCTTGGAGAGCAGGTCGTGGATGCCGAAGATGTCGGCGTCGAGGGCGTCGGGGTTTTGGTACAGGGAGGCACCGGCGACGATGAGAATGGCCGAGTTGACGAATAGCGCAAACGTGAAGAGCGACAATCCAAGCTCCGTGATGGAGTACTTGAGTGAGTGTTTGATGGCCGCATGCGACGGCAGATACGTGGGCTTGTCGTACCCATCGCTAGTGGATGACGCAGCGGACACGGGTTCCTGGGGCATGAGGCCGTGCCTGGTGTCGTATTCTCGCAGACGCGGCTGCACAATCCCGGACCCAAGGAACAGACTGTGAGGCATGACGGTGGCGCCGAGAATACCGCATGCTTGGTAAAGGCTGGGTGGGCACTGTTAGCACAGACACCGGAGTGCACAAGAGGCCGTCCGCTTACCCTTCAGACTCGACCAAAGCGCTTGACGGCAGGTACCCCTTGAAGACAGTTCCTACACTCGTCTCCTTGATCATTGAAAGCTCAATGCAGAAGCAAATCACCACTCCTAAGACAAGCAGGCACACGAACGCCTCAAAAAGACGCAGTCCCTTCATGGATCCATCAGGCCGGTAGAAGAACAAGATGGCCATGACATCGAGGATAGATAGCGCGCAGCCCGCGACGAGGGGCAGCTTGGGGATGAGCAGGTTTAGCGCGATGGCGGTGCCAATGACTTCGGCAAGATCGGTGGCGATGATTGCAATCTCGGCGAGCGCGTAGAGCGTATAGTTGAGCCATCGCGGCAGGTAGACGCGGCACATGGAGGAGAGGTCTAGGCCGGTGATAGTGCCGAGCTGGATGGCAAGACTTTGCAGCAGGATAGCGAAGAGGTTGCTGAGCAGTACGACGAACAGAAGCTTGTACTGATACGAAGCGCCGGCGGCGATGTCGGTGGCATAGTTGCCCGGATCGACTGCGTCGGCTGTCAGCAACTAAATCTCGTCATCGATGGCTAGACGGGATATCTAGTATCGATGGCTAGACGGGATGTCTAGTCTGGAGGATTATTGGAGAACGCACTATACGCCACGGAAATCATGAAGCCGGGGCCAATGAACTTGGAAAAGGTCAGGGCCCAGTGCTTCATCTTCTCAATCGCCGTCTTGGCCTGCTCAGCGCTGTTGCGTCTAAATGCGGCGGTTCGCAACACCACGTCTGGCTGATCCTTGCTGGTGGGCCGTTCCTCGACGACATCCTCGATGATGGGCTGGATGCCGTCGCTGCCCCCGGCCGCCTGGGCCGCCGCCGCGAGGCTCACGCCCGTGGACCTGCCCGGCCTTCCCATGGTTGAAAATTGCGATGCGTCGTCCGGGGGGCTTTTTTTTTCTTGGGGGGGGCGGGCGCCTCAAGCCGTTCAGAAAGATGCTGGCGGGTGTTGCAGCAAACCGTCGTGTAAGTCTGTGACACAACTAAACCACCTCCAGCAACCTTGGAACGGTCGGTCGTCCAAGGAATTGCCAAGACGCAAGGTGTCAGATGCACCACGACCGTTGAAGAAGTATGCGTTGCGGGGACGGGGGGGACACTTGGAGGGCGGGCAATGACGGCCTTACGTATTTCAGTCCAACTGCCGGGAACCGAGATGGTGGTGGAGGGCGGCGGGAGGGGCGAAAAGTTCGAGGATTCTTGACTCATTCGTGGTTGCTGGCTCTTTCCTAAAAGAGTAGTACTATTCGCACAGACATATTTTGCTAGTTGTAGAGGCGTCCTACACTTTTCTTTAGCAGGTCCCTACCTGCTACCCCCATGCTGGCCAAGCGATTTTTACTGCGCACTGGCGCAGGCATGGGACGGCAGCGGCGCTATCTGTTGCTGTCGTTGCTGCCGTTGCTCTCGTTGCTGTCGTCGCTCGCTCTCGTTGCTGTCGTCGCTCTCGTTGCTCTCGTTGCTGCTAACTAGCAAAATATGCCTGTACGAATAGCACTACTCTTCCTAAAGTGGCGCGCTTCCGAGTGCACCCGAACACGGCCCGTGACCAGATGCGCTGCGGCGTCCAACCCACAGCCACTGGAGTCTGGGAGCGCCGCGGCTTGGGGACTTTTTCCCCCCAGGCGTCCAGGATTTTTTAGCTTCAGCCCCCTCCGCCGCCCGGTTCGCAGGCGGTACGTACGTATGGGCGTCGTCGTTCCTGTGGAGAGGCTGCGGAAGCATCCATGCCCGCCCGCCATCCAGTACGTATCGTGGATGGATGGATGGACAGGTGGATGGATGGAGGGGCGGCTGTTGGGTCGTCGTGTTCAAGACTCGACGTCGGGGATGGCCTCCGCCGGGAGGATCAAATTCCATGTCAGATCCACCCTCCCTCGTGCTGGTGCTGCTGCTGCTGCACGGACCGACACCCGGCTTGGCCATCTGCACGGCAGCAGCCATCTCGCAGCGCCAGGCCTCGGGCTGGCTGGCTGCCAGTTGCTGCCCCGCCACGCTCCCCCGCGCTGTCGGGTGCTTGGATCCGTGACCCGTCCACTAGGTAGGTTGGCGGGAGTCAGACAGCCACCGCCTTGGCTCGCTCTCCGTGCTCTACCTACCAACGACGTCCGATTCACGGATGCTGATGCACCCGGCGGCGTCGATGGCTACCCGACGGCGCTTTGGGGGTCCTGGGGCGCTGCCCTCCCTGGGCTGGATTCCCATCATCGTACGACGACACGCCAGCACCCGATCTATCTAACGCCTGACCCGCCCTCGATCAACGAGTAAAACGTATTCGCCCGTTTCAGTGGAGCTTCTCGGCAGACGAGTGCCGTGTGCAACGGTGGCCCGCCACGTCGATGTGTCAGTGCAGTAGAGTATCACTAAGATACAGCACAGTGCATCGCAGGCAGGGTATCGGCATCCGTGCAGCTTCGCTTACAATGCAACTCGTATTCACACAATCTGTTTTTATAGCGATGCCCAAATCCTTCCTCCTGCGCCAGAAATTTGTCCGACTGGTTGATGTCGACGATGCCTTCCCCCCGCCCAAAACTCCGGTTCTAAGCCTGTTGAAAGGCCCTCGCGATTACGACAGCAGCAGCAGCTTCTCCCCTTCCCCCATTCTCCACTGCCGTCCATCGAAAGGCTTCCACCCAAAACGACAACTAAGTTGGTGCACTGCCTCACCTTGGAGACGAAGCGAGGTGAGCTGCGCCCCCGAATAGTCCGCTTTCGCGATCGGGGCGCGTCCCCGACGTGCTCCTCCTCCATGAAGCCCCCCTCCCTACCTCCCCCCTCGCATGCCTCCTTCGCCCCCTTCACTTCTGCTTCTTGCCGGCCGCCGCACGCTCGCGCTCCCGCTTCGCGTAGATGCCCGCCGTGAAGGGGTCCTCGTACCGCAGGGCCAGGACGTACACGACAAACACCCACGCCGTGAGCAGCAGGCCCGCGGGCTTGCCGAACAGCAGCGCCGTGCCGAGGAAGCTCATGGTCGAGCCCCAGTACATGGGCGCGCCGCACACGTTGAACGGGAACCCGGTCACCATGTGGTCCATGAGGATGCCAAAGTAGTCGCCCAGGAACGTGCCCGTGATGCCCAGCGCCCACGTCGACGACACCACCAGCACGTTGCCCGCGATCAGCAGCGTGTACGCCGCCGCCTGCGACGGCAGGCTCAGCAGCAGCGGGTGCGATGGCTGCTCCTGGATCGCCGTCTTGTACAGGTAGTCGCGCACCATGCCGAGCGAGAAGATGGTCGCCGCGAGCGCGTAGCACGCCGTGCGCGACTTGCCCCCGAACAGGTTCGTCAGGATCTTGTTGTGGTACTCTACAGCCCGGTCAGAGGATGCCCTCCCGTATTAGCCTCCTATTCGGATTCTCGTCTCGCGGGCGTGTTCCGGCGGGGACGGGGCAGAGCGGGGACCGTTGATGCGGCATAGGGAAGCTCGAACCTTGGCGGGCAACGATGCTGCAAGCGCGTCCAGTTAGCCGGGGACTCGTTCTCCTTGGGAGAGACTGCACACAGTACGAGATCCAGTGCAGAAGGGACAGCCGGGGGAACATGCGACTCACTTCCAGAACAGCGGGTTAAACGCAATCGAGCACGCAGACACTGCACCGAGCACAGACACCGCATTAGACACCATCCGCAGCACGCAACGGCGCGCCACCGCCCGACGGACAAGTCGGCGCGGCAGCAAGACATCTCAGGTCCAAAAAAACTCACCCAGCAAGCTGGTCTTGTCGAAGTCGACATAGGCGGCGACGTCACTAGCAAACGACGCCATGGTGAACGGGGCACGCGTTGGTCAAGGACCCAACAAAGAGAACCGGAGGGGGGAGAAGCGAGCTGTTCCTGCAGTTGCGCGAAAAAAGAAGACAAGCTGCAGTCACGGCCAATTGATCACCAGGCGGCGGTATCACGGTATGGTCACGGCGTGGATGCAGCTTCACGGAGCTCCACGGAACGCGATGCTGTCCTTTTTTTGTGCGAGAATAAAATGAGGCCCGGAGGTGCCCAGGTCCCGATGGCGTCTCACATGGCCAGGTTGCCCACGCAGCGTCATAACAGGTACCTGGGTACTTTCCAGGTTGCACCTCCCCGTCTGCGCTCCGCGGCAAGGAATGGAGACGCTAGCCCTGACGCTTCGGAGGGGCGGGTGACCGGTGCGGGGGTCCTGCCGCCGCTCGTGTCACCTGAAAGGCCCGCGTGCCGGCAGCCCACAGAAACCTTCGTCCGCCGCGTCTTCAACCGATGCTATCCCGCGACGCCGAGGCTCACCACAGGCACCCTACGCTCCAGTGCCATCCATATCACTCTTGACAGCTTCATTGTTGGCCAATACTCGAACACTGGATTCTGCGGATGGGTAGTCTATAGCACTTCTTGCCTGTGATGCGCTCCCACCCACACCGTCGATGCGCAACGCCGGCGCACCTCAAGGCCGGACTGAGGCAGCCCGGGGCCAAGGTATCAAAAACATGGACTATAAGGTACACAGCCAAGGTACCCAGGCTTGAATCGCTCTGTGAAAACATGCCGTCGTAAGGGTTTGGTCATTAAATCGTGGAGCCCCGCCGTGGAGCATGCAGCGTCGGACGCGGCGGCTCACTGCCGGCGGTTTCGAGTCTTCTTGCCCGTAGTCGTGGTGTCCTCTTCCTCTTCGTCTTGGCCCTTCTTGAGGTCCTCTGACAGGCCCCATTCCTCCTTGTCGTACCAATCCTCTCCGTCGGACATGTCCCGGTTGGGGCCGCAGTGCGCCTCGGCCTTGGCCCAGTGCAGCACGTTCTTCCGCAGCCGCTCCGCTTTCAGCAAGCCCTGGTAGAGCCTCGAAGTTCCGCGACAAATTTCCTCCTGCTTCTGCACATAGAGCGCAAGAAGCCTCCTGATGTCTTCCGCTTCGTTCTCCGGAAGGCCGACGTCCCGGTCCCGCGTGGCGCCGCCTGGTTGTTGGAACATGGGGTGCATAAATGGCAGTACTGCATCATCCAAGGCTGCCAATGCTCCATTTCCCGCATTGCCGGCGTCAGGCCGGCCGCCTGGCGTGGCGTCGGCTTCGCCCATTGCCACATCACCAGACGGCTCTCCGGCGGGTGTGTCGACCTCGGTCTTCTTCGACTTGAGATTCTCACCGGGTATCTTCTCGCCATTATCCGCCCCATTGCGCTTCTCGGAGGCTCCATTCCTGGCTACAGCCCCCTTTTGATCGTCGGAAGGCGTGTCCTTGCCAATCTCTTGTTTATCTCCCGAGTCCTCTGGCTTCGCTTCGCTGGCTCCCTTCTCTGCAGTGGCGACGTCTGTCATCGATAGGTCGGCATCGTCCGCCGTCTCTATTGTTGGCTCTAGACGGCTTCCGCTGGCAGATCCCGAATCGTCGCCGCCAGCAGCCTGGCCACCCGAGCCATGACCATTTGGCGTACCAAGGGGCGGTGATCCCGCACCATTGGCTCTGGCCAGGGAGAGCAGGTGTCGCGCGACGAAATCGTCCGAGTATATGTTCAGGTCGTTCGGGCCGATCATCTTTTCGCAGGGCATCCAGTTGCCGTCACCACACAGCGCAGTCCACATGTACCTGACCCTCCACAAGGACTTGTTTTCCTTGCGTGCCATTGCGCTGCTCTGTTGGACCAGGTCTGTAAGGGTCTCCGAGACGAAAGGCTTCGAAAGTGTCGAGTGGGTAGGTAGGTCGGTCGAAGCGGTCAGTGGCGCCAAAATGTCTGTCAGTTGTTAGGCTTGTCCACGGACCTATGCTAGAAGGAAAGGTGCACTCACGCTCCAGCCGGACATTGGCGTACGGATTGAGCTCGGCGGCCGTCGCCTCGGCCTCTTCCACCTGCTCATCGTCGTCTTCGCTATTGACCTCGTAGCCTTCGTCGTCGATTAGAGGGGGGTTGCGATGAATTATAGTTCTCCTAACACCAGCATAGTCGATCGCCTGGGGAGTGGTTAGCTTGCTGCTCCGTGCGAAGACGGATTTGTCGTCGCGAGCTGGCACGCTGCAAACGTACCTCCCTGTAGAAACTCGGTCCATCGGTCGGCGCCAGTTGTCCCTGTCGCGCGAATCGTGCCCTCTTCTTGAGCTTGTTGCCACGGTTGCCGTGGTTCTCAATCTCGGAGTCGGAGTCGGATTCTACCCAAGCGAGCAGGGTTAGTGGGCTGTTATCAAGGCGAAGGGCGGGAGACAAATTACCATAGGCCTTCCTCTTGAAAGCTTTCTTCATGCCGGCTATCGTCTCGGCGAACAGGATCTGCTGGGAAGCCATGGCGGGCAAAGCGGCAGCCTGAGGCCCGAAAACAGAAGGCCGAGGGGGGACGACGGGGTTTCCCGCCGACCACGCGGCGAGGTGGAAGACGGTAACCCTGGAGAGGCGAGCCAAGCGGCTCAACGAGCTTGGGGGCTTGGTGCTAAAGGAGCGAAGCTTCTGCGCGGCGCGGCGACCCCTTGTGCAAGGCGCGTCGAGGCTGTCGATCGATGTGGTGGTGAAAATTGGTCGGAAAGGGCGAGGAGGAGAGCTGCACGGCAAAGCCAGGCAGAGCAGGCGAGGCGAGCGAGGCTGGGCCTGTTCTGGCTTGGGCTGTGGCTGCCCACCTGCCCTGCCCGCGGTCACCCAGGCTCACCCACCAATGACCGTCCGAGGCACGGCGCCAACTTTTGCCGACTCCGGACACCCCATTCAGCCGAGGTTTAGCCGTGTCACTACGTCACACACTCGGCTCGCAGCACTATCGAGACCGCCCATCAACGACATACATGAAACATGAGATGGAAGGATGGCAAGCTCACAGCACCACACTGGCCTACACCACTAAAGCAGATTGCACACATAGACATGGAAAGTTCAATTGAGAGTATCTAGACTCGGTATATACTCGGTATGAGAGGGATTGGCCTGTCAATGTGTCCAAATGCGACATTCCGACCGACCATGTAGGGTAGGCGGCATGTCGGGGCCAGCTTACCTGTTTCGAGCTCGTGTCGTCCACCCTCTCACCGAAACAGATCAATCATGGCAATGAACAGGGACACTCAGGCAATAGCCCTCGATGGGGGTCATTGCCATTGTTCAACGACCTGGGCACTTGTAGGAGCTGATCTATCGGCATAGCCAAGTTCCCCAAATCGTTTGGCTCACCGCTCCCCGGCAACGCATGTCTTCCACGCTCTGTCTGCTTTCACTTGCCGCATTGTCGTCTGTCATCCACTGTCATGATAGCATCCAACCTATGATACAAAAAGATTTCCAACTGCGCTTGACATGTGCTAGGCAACAACTTGATCGCACGAAAGAAAAGGCTTCCAAATCTGGTATTGCAAGTCGTTCAAAGCTGACAACTGCGACGCCGTTAACATCTAAGCTGCACTCGCGCAACAAGACGATTACCAATGGGAGTACTCACACTTCAGGGGAATTTGTGATCTCTTCAAACACCTGCAGAATCTCAAAGCCCATTGCCAGCAACGGCTCGTTTGCGTCATCCACGACCTGTATAGGTTAGATGCAACCCTTCCTTTCGGTGGGCGTATACGTACCCAGCTGACCAAGGCTCTTGATGCCTTATGACTCTTGCATTGACGCACTCCCATGAGCGCCAGTCCTTGCAGAACCAACGTTGATTGGGGAGTCGAGGGCACGATGGGGGCGATGATACCCCCTACATCATCCGTATGGGATGCGAGCGGTGGTACGTAGGTAATCAAGGCACTGTTCTGGCGACAGATGATGACCGTCCCAATCAAATTGCCGGAAGGATCCTTGGCTCTCACAATGCCGCAGGACTTGTTCTCGCCGAGTGCGTACTTGTAAAGCTCGAGCACCTCAGGATTGGCGTTCGTCCGTACGTGGTGGAGCACGCTATCTGCGTTCTCCAAGCCGTGGATGAGGTCGAAGCTGATACTAGCCCGCTGGATGGTTTGCAGCAGCCCCTCTGGGACGAGCCAATTGCCAAGATCCTTGATTACCATGTTCGTCAGCTTGCGAGGGAACTGTGTGTCCCAGCCGCTGTTGGCGAACCAGTCTTTGACGGTGCTGAGCTCGAGGTTGGAAGGAATGCCCAGAAAAATTCCCGGGAAAGGCATGCCGAGCTGGACCTTCTTGATGCCTCTTTGCTGACCCAGACTCTTCAGCGCACGGCGATGAAGTGATCGGCCAACCGACATGCCCCGTTTGCCAGGGTCCACGAAAATGGCACCAAGAATGCCAACACCGGATGTAAAGTAAGTGGCCGCGAAACCGTACAGGGCTTGCGTGCTGCTGTTTCGCACCACAAAGTGGGCCTCTTTGATGGATGAGATGTTCAACTCGAACGAGGCCGGCGTTGTTGTCTTGAGAAATTCGAGATCGGGCGCCGTTGCTCGATGGACTGCGCGAAGAAGATCGGACAGTCCCTTGGCGTCCCGAGACCGGTCGTATTCCTCTACCAGCCAGTGTTGTCTCGACTTGAGGACCTTTTTGCTCTTCCGCAGGGTGCCTGGCATAGTTCCCACAGGAGGATCAATCTCTCCAACCAATACACGAACCAATGCGGACATGGCGTTCTCGGTGAAGTCAAAGGTGCAGATGTAGGTGCCAATCGACTTGTCCATGGCGAAATCGTAGGGTGAGCTGACGGCAACCACAATGAGCTGCTTCTTGTTGCCCCTGCTTCTGTGCATGGAGCACATCATGTCGACATGCTTGGTAAAGCCGGCCTGATAGAGATTCCGGTTGGCGTCTGCCGTCACGATGATGATGCAAGATGCCCTGGCGATGAGGTTCTCATGCACTGGCCTGACACCGTTCGCGGTATAGCTTGTATGTAGTAGCTTCTCATTGCGGTAGCGGGCAAGGTTCTTGCCAAACTCTCGAAAGACTCCCTCGCCGCTCATGATCACACCCTTCTCTCGCTGATGGACCCAAGCGTCGTGATTTGTCGGCCGGCTCGAGTAGCTGTTCTTTGCGTCCAGAAGGTTCTTGGTCATGGACGATGCCGGTAGTGGCTTCACTAGCGGGGTAAGCAGGAGAAGCTCTTCCCCGGGATGCATTGAGTTTGAGAGTGGCAGCAGCTTTTCCTTGTCTCGAATGACCGCGATGGAGTCGTCGTATGCCTTTCTGGACAGGGTGAGATGGGAAGGGTGGAGTTGAGAAAGCAGGGAGATCCCAGGGGGGTTAAGGGCCTTGGCCCACGACGTGCACTGAGCCTTGAGCTTCAACACCCGGCGTAGGGAGGTAAATATCCTCTCCTTGGTCACAATGCCGTTCTCATACCCCAGTCGCAGACCCTTGATGGCTTCGAGCTGAACGTCGTAGGCGCGACAAAGGAGAACGAGATCACATCCCGCCTCCACAGCCATAACGACGCCGTTCTGAACGCCGAGGTCGTGGCTGAGAGCCTCCATCTCCAAGCACTCAGAAATGGCGACGCCTTTGAAGCCGAGCTCGTTCCGGAGCAAGTCGTCGACAACCTGATCTGAGAGACAGGCATGGCTGACATTCATAGATGGGTTTGAGATGCCACAGCCACCCACGAACATGCCGTCGAGCTGTCCAGACGCAATGGCATTCCGAAAGGGTACCAAGGCACTCAGGCTTAGCTCTTCTAGGGTCTGAGTGATGATGGGGACATCAAGGTTCGATCCGAGGAAATCTAGGTTGCCGTATGAGGGGAAATGTTTGCCGCAGGTAGCGATTCCGGCATCACGAATGCCCCTCAGTGCAGCAAGGCCGTACTGTGAGACTTCCTGAGGGTCGTCTCCCGTTGCTCTGACACCGAGGGGCTGATACCTGGCATTGTTGAGCACGTCCAGAACGGGACCCAGCATCAGGTTGACGCCGCATGCCGAGATCTCCAGAGCGGTGGCTTTGGTGGTCTCATATGCCAGGTCTGCACGACCAGTGGCTGCAATACCCATCGCGCTGGGGAATTGGCAGACATAGTCCTCATCGAAGAGACTGTTGACGCCTCCGTTCTCCTGGTCAAGCGCAATGAGCAGAGGCTGAGGATGACCGGCATTCTTTGCAATCGTCTGAAGCTCCTGCACCAATCTGGTGGTCTGCTGGGCGGCTATGATGACGGCAAGTCAGCAAGGCCAGCGGAGATTCACTACTAGAAATCGGGTAGGGAACCAAGCAATGATGTGCAAGCGCTACCGAGTCGGCAGCAGTGAACGAGAGAACAAATAATACGGGAACATACACTTGAGGTTCTTGGCGGTGAGGATGATGGAGCCGAGATGATGGTCCTCAATGAGGCTCCGAATCTGGGGTGTGACCTCGGTCCCATCCCAGCCCATGATCAGGGTCTGGCCGATGGCCCTGTTCACGAGGGTCAGCACCGTGGGTAATCAACTCATGTTACATGACCAAGTAGACGAAGAGATGAGACAAGCCTCGCCATCATCGCATGCACAGGGTCGACCGAACGTACCAGTCGAGGTTCTGCCATAGTGGGTCCAGATCGCTATCCGCGTTGGAGTTGGAGGCCATGGTGGGCAGATGTCGAGGATGGAGGATGAGCTATCTCGGGTCGCCTGGGCATAACAGCTCTGGCGAGCGCTCAAGCAGCACTTGGAGTCTTGCCGTACCGACCGGCTGGCGTACTGCTCGGTCGATGTTGATGCCTCCTGCTTGCTCTCGGGCGTCGAGAGAGGGGGCGGTTTGCTCGTGCGAGGTGGTGGTCGTCGCACTCACTCCCAGCTTAGTTAAACTAGCTGACGGGCCTCGCCTGCTAGTCGCGATAGCTGGGAAGGAGCCAAGCCGGCATAACGTCGGCTAACGGGCGCTGGGGGACGTTTTGGGGGCCTCGCTTATTAGGGGGCCAGGCGCCTAGGCCAGCACGGCAGCTGGGGGCGCTGTAGCTCTGTGCCGGGCGCCTGGGCAGTCTGGGCTGGCACCTGCATGGGCGGGCACTGGTGCTGTACAGGGCAGCGCAGCACACATCACCCGCTAATCGAAGCTGGGGCGTCCTGTCAAACCCACTGGGAGCCGCCGCCAACGATTTCATCGAGCCCACCTCTGCACCTCACCCGACTTGGACGGCTTCGGCAGGCGGGGATGGACGGGGCCATGATCCATCCATCGTGCAGCTGGCACCTCATCACCAGTCTGCAGCTCCACGGCCCACGCGTGGCCTGTGCACGCCCTGCCCCGTTGCCCAGAGTGTTTGCCAGAGGCTTGCTTGCTTGCTCGCACTCCACTCCCTGCTCCCCGCTGGGCACAAGCGTCGATGGAAGGTTCGGGGGGGCTGCCCCAGTGCGCCCCAGCAGCCGGGTCGAGCGTGGGTGGCGGCATGGGCTGCCGTCCACATCGCCCATCCATCCGCACCAGCGTCTGACTCTGTCTGGCACGCCGCCGCCGCCGCCGCCGCCAACGGGCAAGTCAACGTTACATGGGGGTCACACCAGGCGTGTCCCGCGACCGACGACGTGAGCTGGGGCAGCGCCGTTGCATCAAACAGATTCTGATTCACCCCCCGCGACCGGCCACGAGGCGGGCGGATGTCCACAGGGAGGGCCCCCGTGGGATGCAAGTCTTCTTTTCAAAGTGAATCGAGGAATGCCGCACCCTCGCTATCACGCATCGAGTAGTCCCGGCGCCTCCGCCCGCCGGCCTGCTCACCTCGAGGTCGCTGATGCTCGTGGCGGCCGACTCCACCCGGCAGCCAACCGTGGGCCGTAGCATGGCACCGTGACAGCGACGATGGCCGGACGGCAAGGTTTTCCCTCGCCTCGCCGCTGCTTGTCGCTCGTCACTGCTACCACGCGCCGCTTTGCCGCGCCATTCCCGGCCGGCGTCAAGGTTGCGTTTCCGCCGGGGATCCAGCAGGGTGGAATGAGGTCTTCGTAGTACTAGTACCGGCCGAGTCGCCTCCATCGCGCAAGTGAAGCTCGTCTTGGTCCGCTCGTGGATCACCGACAACCACCGTTGTGCTCTCTCTTGATACCGTAGCTGACTGAGCAAGCCGGCGTCCTATCTGGAAGCCTGCCTTGTCTCCCGCCGCCGTCGTCTTCTGCGTCCTCCCGCGATACCCGAACCCACCAACGTCAGCCACCATGCCTATCGCGTTGTCACCGACGACGCAGCCGCGCAACGGCCTCACCAAGTTTACCAACTGCCGGCTCGTCAAGGGCGACCGGCTCGTCAACGAGGACCTCTGGGTCAGCTCGCAGACGGGCAAGATCATCCACAGCCAGGCCACCTTTTACGATGACCTGAACCTGCCCGATGAGACCATCGACCTCGGCGGGCGAATCGTCGCCCCGGGCATGATCGAGTGTCAGCTGAACGGCGCCTTCGGCTTCAACTTCTCCACGCTGCTCGACGACATGTCGCAGTACGGCAAGAAGGTCAAGGACGTCAACCGGTTGATGATCCAGACGGGCGTCACCTCGTACATCCCAACCATCACCAGCCAGCGCCCGGAGCTGTATCAAAAGGTATCCCTTCCTGGCGAGATGGACCCCAGCAAGACCACCCTGCGGCCCTGGCTCCGAAGCGGGTGGGGGCGCGATGCTACCAAATCCGTGGACCTCAGTCGCTGACACCACCTTCTCGCATGCAGGCACTTCCATTTCTCGGCCCTTCGGGAAGCCGGCGAATTGCAGATGACGGAGCCGAGTCGCTGGGCGCACACTGCGAAGGACCCTTCCTCAACCCGACCAAGAACGGTGTTCACAACGTCGACGTGCTCATCGAGGCCCAAGACTTCTCAGATATTGAGGCTTGCTATGGCGCCGAGAACCTCAAGCCGCAGACGCCTGGGGGCACGATTCCCATCAAGATGGTCACGGCGGCGCCGGAGCGAGGGCAGATGATGAAGCTCATCCCCGAGCTGGCGTCCCGCGGCATCATCTACTCCATCGGCCACTCGGAGGCGACGTACGAGGAGGCGTCGTCGGCCGTGGGTCAGGGCGCCACCATGATCACGCACCTCTTCAACGCCATGCGCCCGCTGCACCACAGGAACCCGGGCATCTTCGGCGTCCTGGGACTGGCTGAGAGCCTGCCCCGGCCCTACTTTGGCATTATCTCGGACGGCATTCACCTGCACCCGACGACCATCAAGATTGCCTTCAACGCGCACCCGGACGGCTTCATCCTCGTCACGGATGCCATGCACCTTGTCGGACTGCCCGACGGCGCTTACCCGTGGACCAACGGCGAGCAAACGTGCAACATTGTCAAGAAGGGCTCCACGCTGCTGCTCGAGGGCTCCGACACGATTGCGGGGAGGTCAGTTCTCGTTCCCCTAGTCCCTGTTCTAGCCGTATACAGCAGGGTCGCTAACAAACACGCAGCTCCATTACGCTCCTCGAGTGCGTCAACAACTTCCTGCAGTGGTCTGGAACCGGCATCCCCCATGCCATCAAGGCCGTGACGGCGACGCCCGCGGCCATGCTGGGTCTCCAGGGCGTCAAGGGCACGCTCGATGCCGACGCCGACGCCGACCTCGTCATTTTCTCCGAGGACACGTCGAGCGGCTGCAGCCAGCTCGTCCTCGACGAGGTCTGGAAGTTTGGTACGAGGCTGTACCGCACTCCCAAGAAGGCCATCTGAAGCCCCTGCCCCGGCAACGGAGGAGTGTCCTGATCGACCACAAGCAACAGCGCATTGCGGCCGAAGCGCTCCTGGAACCAATCACGTAGAATGTATAATCGCATGACGACTTTGACACGGCTGCAAGACGGGCTTGGGGTGGGGTTCCTTGATTTACAACCATTATTATCTGATTAGCGGCGCATTGCATGGGGCGGTAGTCATCATCTTAGTAGTAGTATATACCAGAGAGAGAAAAGGGGGCGTCGAGAGCGCAAGCGCAGTAGACCAGAACCGCTTGGGAAACCATGATCAATAGACGAGAGCGGCGTTCTTTTGGGGATATCCAAAGTTTGGAACATGGCTGAATAGTGAAGAGACATTTGGCGCCACGGCTGACGGCTCGCCTGGTGCGACGCGCCGGGCCTCTGATCCATGTTGGTTAGATGCGGGGAGATTTGCATTGCCTGCTTGCTCACGACGGTTCCAGGCGAGCCGCCAAGCCTCCTGCACTTCTAGAACTTGCCGAGCCGGTGCGTCAGACGACGGGCAGGGCCGTCGGCGCTTACAAGCATGGACGGGGTACGGACTACTGATGACTGACGCCGTGCTCTCGAACAGTCCGTGAAACCAGGGGCCGCGAGGAGGCATATCAACTGGCACTTGGATATGAAAATAATTTGCCTCTGCAGTCCGGGGTGAGAGATGCTCATCACGAGCCAGTGATGGTTTGCTGCAGGGAGGCCCGGCAAACCAACAGGGAGTCGGGGTCGACGGCACGCCACGACGCAGCGACCCCGGCACAGACGACGGCGGAGGCTCTGGCGATCATTGCGCGCGGGTGGTGACAGGCAGGGTGTCTCACCTGGCCGTCCAGCTTTCTCCAACGACGACGAGAACGTGGCAGCGCGACAGTTTGCGGGGAAGCGGATGATAGGCTGGTGGCGACCGCGAGGTTGGTGGCATGAGATGGCTCTCTGGGGCAGCTGGGGGGGTCGCATGGCCTCGTCGTGCCTCCAGCCGGCAGGACGATGATGCTCGTTTTGCGCTGGATGGACGGGGACCATGCCTGGGCCGTGGCCGCCAACCCGCCCGCCACCATCCGCCATCCGTCGTGATCCATGCTCATGCCATCCTGGAGCGTCCATCCACCATCCCGCCAATCCCTCCGCCTCCGCTCCGGCCGGCCACACATCCACCCCAGGGAGGGAGCGAGCGACGGCGCGATATCTTGGCCTGCCTTACGGGCTGGGAGGGGACAAGACCTGCGCTATCTTGCAATCACCTACCCCAACCAGCGACACCAACTTCGGTACTGGCTCTATCGGGCCCCTGCAATTTGGGGCGTGCCCCCCCCTCCCCGCCTGGTTCTCTATCAGCAGCGCGGGCAAGGTTGCCTCCCGGTTTGACCTCCGGGAGCGAGCGTCGGCTGCTCGCCGCGGAAGCATCGTCGAGCGTGGGAATGCGCGCGCGCGCACCGGGGGCTCGTGTGCCCAGGCCCTCGGTGGCGTGACCGACTCCGGGCCCTGCTCATCGTCGTGCCAGGTTGTGCGCACGTTGGGCGAAAAGCATGTAAAATGTACTTTGTACGAGCACTGTACTGTACTGGATGCCGTATGTACAGTGCCGTAAGTTCAGTTTGCAGTTGACATCTGCCCGCCCTGGGACCCGACGTTGGTAACGCCGCCGCCGCCGCCGCCCACCACCACCCGCTCGTGAGGTCCGGGTGTCTGTCTGCAAGCGACAGGAGACCAGGGAGGGGACCAGCAGCAAGCAATGGGGCCACCACCACCCCAGGTCCTCCTCACTCCTCCCCCGGCCACCTCAGCGGGCATGGCACGCAGGCGGTGGCCACCCCCAGAGGGCTTGCAGAAGCGCCACCGACTGATTCCCCTCCCTCCGCCCGAGCAGCCAATCCCCGGCCGGCGCCCGCCCCAGAGCGCCCCAGAGCGATGCGGCCATCCCTACAGCGCAAAGTGGCCCTATGCCTGTGCCAGCCTTAGCAGGTTGGCAGTGGAGTTGCGAGCCCAGACACACCCGACCCGTCCTGGCCTGGCGCCTGGGGGGCGACCGGCGACGGTGCGTGCCCTTCTGCGTCCACCCTGCCCTGCCTGGAACCGCAAAGAGGCTTCCGTTCATGTTCCATCCACTCAAGTCTCTGTCGACAACCTCCACATTTGCACCGTGCCGCCGTGCTAGACCGCACACTCCCTCCGGGCGAGGCCCTCCTCACCCAGCCCGACCCTTACCTTGCTTGACTTGACTTGACGCTTGACCCTGCCTACCTTACTTCATGCCACCAGACCAACCTGCCGCAATCGCATCGCTCCGCACCCCGATCCTCGGTACCTGATCCCGTCTCGCTGTCTTCTCTGGCCATCCATCGTCGTCGTCGTCAAACCTCGTCGACAGCCCTCAGCCGACGCTCAAGTGCCGGGTGTCAGCGTCCGTTCCTTCGCAATCGCCGCCGGCCCCCATCGACGTCCGCATCCGTCGCCCAACAGAGCCAACCCACCCCTTCGCCTGCGATTGCTCCCAGCAGCAAACCTCCACTCGTCGCTCTTCCCGCCTCAAATCTCCCCCGCGTGTGGTGTTGACGGCGGGCGGACGATGCCATGGCCACGTTCAACTCTATGCCGGCCATGTCAGCAGCTGGGGCCGCGGACACCATGACCATGAACAACGGCAACGGTCAACCCATGACCATGGAGCATTTCGAGCAAGACCTCAACTTCGACGAGGCCCTCCTGTGAGTACCCCTCATTCGCCACCTCGGGCGAGCCGCCCATGAAGCGACTGGACGACATCGCTGACACGGCTTCGCAAATTGCAGTGACGGCGGTGCCTTGGCTCCTCTTCCTTTCACCCCAGCGTACGACTTTGACAATTTTGCGACGACATTTGAAGACCCCTTTGCCTATTCCGCGCGCGCCTTCGAAGCCCCGACGAATCATGATACCGTCAATGAGGAGTCTTCACCCCAGGAGCTGGATAACAAACTCCTGGGTTTCTCAGATCCAATCCGCAACGTCACCGTTGTTGACGATGCCGGCAATATATCGGACACACACATGAGCGCCGAGCTCTACGGCATGTTCTTCGTGGCCGAGGACGTCTTTGGCGGCGAGACCACCGGCCGGCCGCTCGAACTGACTTGCTATCGGCGCAACCTCTGGCAATGCTCCGGCCTGATAACGCTTCCCAGAGCGATATCTCATGTTGTAGATGAACAGGGCCGGCAGTTTCCGATATTTGAGCTGTCTGCGTCCATCACAGCGGTAGAGTCCATCGAGGGTAAGCCGACAGAGATCATCTCGATACCCTGGAAGAGCTCCAACCCGCAGGGTGGTGAGGAGGCCAAGGTCGCCTCGGCGCCGCCTCATATCTCCCTAGACCTCACCGCGGCGCAAGAGATTGACGCCACGCGTCTCTCCCTGCCCGTGGCGTGGAAGCGATTGCAGTTCAAGCACGCCACTGCCAACAACGGCCGGCGGAAGGGCCTGCAGCAACACTACGTGGTCCAGATTAACCTTCTCGGCAAGACCAAGTCTGGCGAGATTATCAAGATTGCCGAGATCCAGTCCGGCCCTGTCATTGTCCGGGGGCGGAGTCCACGCAATTTTGACAGCAGAAGAGACGTACCCCTAACAGGCGAGAAGCGCCTGGAGCGAAAGAACACGGCAAGTTCGGACAATGCCAGTCTTAAGATGGAACGGGAAAATCTGCAGGCAACCATGCAGAGGTATCAGTCCATGGGTGGTGTCTCGGTATGTAGTGCTTCTTATTGTTGCTGAGATGCTCGTGGAAGCTAACTCTGGCAGACCCCCGTTGAATGGACAAATCCTCAGCCAATACCACAGCCGAGCCCGACGGCTCATCCCGCCAAGAGGATGGCCGTCTCTCCCAGCGTTGCAAGGCCGCCTGTTCCCGCATGGTCCGCTGATGGCAATGGGCACGTCAACGGCAAGGCTGGCCAGGTCGGAGGGCAGGCTCACCGCGGCTCAGTGAGCCGACAGAGCAATGCCGTGCCGATCAATCTCTCGCTTTCGGAGGACGAGAAGAGCCCGAATCGGTCGAGTGCCGAGCTACAAAGCCCACAGATGGGCAAGGCTGCTCCGGTGACAGGCCCGAATGCCGGCAACAGCCCTGCGGACGATCCCGACCCTCTTTACGAGTACTTCCCTCTCACGGTGGACGACTGGTAAGCTAGCCCCGACGAGGACCTGTTTGGGTCGAACATGAGCTGATTTTGGCAGGATGCCCCCGGTCGACGCTGTGTACCGGCCACACGTTGTTCACCACACGATTGTGCCGCCGGAGATCAAGGCACAGCAGGTGCAAAGCAAGGCGAAGCGCTACTTTGCGGCCGAATGATGACTCACGACACGCGGGATGAGTGACATAGCCCCTACGGCTCTTAGCCCGAGGAGACGTGACAAGTGTGGCGGTCACAGACCTCGGCGGCCGTACTGTAACATATGGCGTGGCTTTGTGCGACCTGTGCCAAGTCTCACGCGGGCCGTTTACTCGAGACGATGGCACGGCTGGGCGGAGCACTGCGACAAGAGCATGCCGCATTATACCCAGGGAACGTTTTTGGATTTCTTTGATCTTCTCTTCTTCACCTTGGTGTTTTCAACTTCACATTTTGGGGGGCAAGGATGTTGGTGGAAAATTGGCATGGGGATAAAGACGGTTCACTCGCTCCACGCTACGATGTTTTCTAGATAGGACCTGTGCTCCCGCAGAGGAGGGCAGAGGGAACATGAAAGGCCTTGACACGTCGCTAGATGCTCCCACATCGTGATACCAGCAGGCGTCGCTCGGTGAGGCTGCCACACACACTGGACTTACACTTAGGTAATCGTGCAGGGGATGGCAAACACTGGCAAACACCTTTGTGCTTCCCGTTCCGGCCCGGGAAAAGCACCGTTCTCTACTCCGCGTTTGCCGTTATATAAGTCGCGAGAGTGTGGACGTTCGAGCTTGTCTGCTCTACCGTTCTCTGTCAACCTCCAGCAGGCACATCTCGCTATCGCGGCTAGTCTGCAACAGCCCCGCAACAACATCAAGATGCCGCCTGCTTCGTCCAGCATGGGTCATGCAAACGACGCCATGGACGGAGAGAGGTTAAGCAATGAGAGCATCCTCAGCGGAGAGTGGTCAAGCAACGAGGACATCCTCAACGAGTACGGGTACGATCCGGCGTCGATGAAGAGGAGAGCCGAGAAGTCGATGGCGCGCGTGCGGGAGCTGTACGACGAGGGCAAGCCGCTGTTCACTCGAGAGATGATCGAGGACACGCAGAGGCAGATCGACGAGATCAAGTCGGGCGAGCCGCCGAGCATGACGACGCTCTCCGTCATCGGCATGGACGGCAAGCGACACGAGAACCTGTGGGCGACTATCGTGCACGACAACGAAGTCTCGTGAGTAGTCTCCCAATACCTGACCTCGGAACAGAGACAAAGGGCCGAGACTGACCTGCTGGTTGCCTATACTAGCGACGTGCCGGTCATGAGCTTCCACCACATACAATCGTTGACTGAGCCGACGAGTGACGAGCCTGAGCACTGGCCAAATCGACTCACGCCCATCACTGTCAATTCGTGCTCGAGAAGTAACCCCTACTCAGAAGAGGCCAAGGACATCACCGCGGCTCAGGTAGCTGCCGGCTGGGACTCGTGCATCGAGGACTTTTCCCGCACCGAGACGTGGCGGATGCTCCAGGCCATCTTTAACGGGGCCAGCGCCGCACCGCGGCTCGACATCGACAAGATCGTGGGGTTCGGGCTCGGCAACCTGACGGTGGGCAGCATGCCGCACGAGGACCCATGGGAGCGAACATCCGGCATGCAGCACGCGCTGCTGGTCTCGCTCGCGGATCTCCTGGAGAAGCAGGCGGGCCGTCCGGTGCGGCGCATCGTCCAGGAACCCATCTACCTCGACACGTGCAAGGAGGCCCTCCGCGCGCGGGGCGTCCAGATCGCGGAGCCGGAGACGGGGTTCCTCCTCGTGGACGAGCGGACGCTCGTCATCACGGTGAGCTGCAACGTGCCCGTGAGGCAGATCGTGGCGGACCTGGCGCGCCCGGCGGGAATGATATGGAATCGCGTCGAGCCCGAGGAGAGGAGATTTTCGCGCGGATCGGTGATAGACGAGGACGGGGAGTTGATAGAGTGAGTGTTGCCCCTTCTTCGCGCTTGCCTTTCCCCTTGGCTGCTGCCCCAGTGGCTGTACCCTGAAGCCTAAGCTGACCGTGATGGGGACTCTGCCGCAGGCCATATACGACAGATGAGGCGTCGTCGAGGGTGCGCGACTTGGTCAAGGGGTATACCGAGCATCAACTGCCAGAGGAGGACGACGAGTGGTTCAATGATGTAGCGGTCTACATCCGGCAAGAAATGGAGGAGCTGGTCTAGCATCGGTCTCAAAAAGGGGGGGCACTTCGAGGTGGTGGACCGCGACGTGCCGGGGGCAGTGACATGCTGGGAAATGTGACAAGTTAAACGAGTACGGTACTTGGGAATTGCATCTTGACTTTGCCTGCGCACCCTGTGGCGATCCACCGTATTGTATAATGCTGAAACACGCAACGTTGACCGCGGGTGCTCCAGCATTGACGAAATGGCCCCTGAAGAGACGTCAAGCAGGCCCACGAGAGGGAGAGAGAGAGGCCGACGTTGACCGCCATGGACAAGTCAAGACGGCCCGGGACAAGCGTGCCGCATCAACAAGACGACATCATCCGACGGCTCGGCACTTCGCAACCGTAATACGTCAGCGCCCAGCGGGGACCGAGCACACGCCCCCTCTTCCCTTGCGTTGCCTTCCCTCACCCGAGTCGTTGCATTCATCGTCCCATGGTCGATCATGAGCATCAGCACAGCAGCACCAGTAACTTGCATGCTGTGCGGTTGGATCACTTCGGCAGGGAAGCAGAGCAGGTCCCCTCTCCACCCGCCGTCGTGCTGCCCTACGGATGGATGCTACGTACGTACATGCGTGCATACGAGCCCTCGCACCTGATAGCTGACAGTTTTGAGTTGACAGTTGACTTCAACACTTACTCCCGAGTCCCGACGGAGAGAGACACACAGAGGAGTCAATCCCAGGAAAACCCAAGCGGGGAACAGGGGGTGCTGTGCGGCCCGCGCGCTCGCGGCGCGCAGGACGACGGCAGATGGGGGATCGCAGGGTCAGGCAGACTCGACGTACTGTACGTAACGTCGCAGCGCACCCGTGCCCGCGCCCGCGTGCCCGCGACCAGAGGAGGGTTGTCTTTTTTTGTTCCTACCCCTTGGTTCGTCGTTCCCACCGTGGGTGAGGCTTCTCACAGGGGCGTTGGGCAACGGCTCAACGGCCCGCGAATACGTAGCAGACCAGAGACAATGCGTGTGCTTCCTCCCCTCAGCTTTGGTGGTAACTGCGGTCAACCCACAAAGCACACACCGCGGTGGGTAACAACAACAAAGCCTGTCAAAGAACATGCCCGCCCGGCCTTTTTGGGAAATCTCGGCAAAAAGTGCGGTAATACGTTATTAGCTACCTACCTAGTGCTTCCCCCGATGGCAGATCGCGAAAGTGACCGTGGTCCGCAGCGGAGGGTCCCACTTCGCTCCTGCGCCCATGTGGGCTGTGGATCCTTCTGGTGACGATGGGCTTCGAGGTCGCAAGCCAGGGGGGTTCCGGGATCCGCATGGCAGTTGTTGTTGTTGCAACTTGCTACGTACAAGCCGGAGTGGAGTGGGACGTGCCAAGGCCAAGGCGGCTGAGAGCCGGACGGGGGGTGTTGCGAGTTGGGAGTCGAGAGAGTCTGGACAACTGCAAGCAGCACCATAGGAGGGGCCTAGGACTGGACTGACTGTAAAGGATTTGCAACTTGGACCGAGCACCGTCGATGGGTTGCAGCCGTTCGTTGGATTCTGTGACATAAGATCATGCAGTCGAGTCGAGCCCACCCGCTCGCTGCAGCGGAACGTGCCGCGCCAATGAACGAACGCGAAACGAGTTGATGGTACTACTCGCCTCTCACCTCTTGGGGGCGAAGTAAGTAGGCGAGGCGAATGTAACAGTTCCCGCAGCAGATGGTTGGCGAGTGCCGCCCGAATTGGGCCGACGGGTATATGCATGCGCCGAGACTTGCTCGTGAGGTGTCGCAAACGTACGTTGATCGAGACGGAAGCAAGTCCGATGTAGTAAACGCATCACCACGGAGAACCGAAAACAAAATCCATACGTAGTCTGAAGGTGATTCAAATGCTACATTCTACCCAATTTTGGTGCGTACCTTGAACCAACTGGTATCTAATTCGAAAAAAAGAAGCCGTCAAGAACTCATGATGTTGTTTCTACGTGTAGGCAAACCGACCTCCTGAGTCTGAACAAAGCAAGAGAGTAATTGACAAGAAACCAAATCCGCAAAGAAAGAAAGAAATAAAAACTCCAAAAAAGCCCCGTTTAGCTCAGATGCTTTGTCATAAAGATTACAGCGGGCAAAGGAAAACCCCCTTCCCCAGCGTGTCGTGAAGGTCCGTCCGCAGCTTATTAGGCGCTGATGGCGTTTTGCCGGGCAGCCTGCTGCTCAGGGTTGGGCGTCAGGCGCTTGGACAGGTTCGGCTCGGGGATGCGAGAGGCCATGCGGTCCGGGACCAGCTCCGGGGAGACGGAGCGGATGGGGTACTCGGCGGCCGGGGTGGCGCGGAGGAGGCGCGAGGTGGTGGGCTGCGGGGAGTGGATGGTGGGGGAGTTGACCTCGTCGACCTTGGTCTGCGGGATGGGGCCGTTGCCGGTGCGGACCTTGGAGGGCAGGATCTGCTCGAAGCCGGCCTCGCGGGCGACCTTTTCGATGCTCTTGAAGTACTGGAGGAGGCGCCGTGTCAGTCAATGTGTGTGTGCGCGCAAAGCGTGTAAGTGAGCGCCGGGGAGGGCGCGTGTGTGCAAGTCCCAACTCACCTTGACCGTCTTGACCTGGAGCTCCAGGGTCGCGTCCTCGTCGGCCACAATCATGGGGTGAGGGTGCAGCTGGAGGCTGGAGAGGGTCCACATGTGGTTGACGCCCTGCTCGATGCAGCGCTGGAGGGCGAGCGACTTGCGCTGGCCGAGGATGATGACGACGACCTCGCGGGCCTCGAGGACGGTCTGGACGCCGACGGTGAGGGCCATGCGCGGCACCTTGTCGATGTCGCCGTCGAAGAAGCGCGAGTTGGCGAGGATGGTGTCGTAGGCGAGCGTCTTGACGCGGGTGCGGCTGGCGAGCGAGGAGCCGGGCTCGTTGAAGGCGATGTGGCCGTCCTCGCCGATGCCGGCCAGGAACAGGTCGATGCCGCCGTGGCGCTTGATGGCGTCCTCGTAGGCGACGCACTCGGCCTCGAGGTTGGGCGCGTTGCCGTTGAGGATGTGGACGTTGGAGGGGTGGATGTTGACGTGCGAGAAGAAGTGCTTCCACATGAAGGAGTGGTACGACTCGGGGTGGTCGCGCGGGATGCCGACGTACTCGTCCATGTTGAACGTCACGACATTTTCAAACGAGATCTGGGCCCAAGAGTCAATACGAGAGCTGACGGCCCCGGCGGGGGGGGGGGGGGGTTCATGATGCTGCACTGACCTCGCCGGCCTTGTACTTCTGGACGAGGATCTTGTAGACGCCCTGGGGGCTGGAGCCCGTGGGCAGGCCGAGGACGAAGGGGTTCTCGGGAGTAGGGTTGAAGGCGCGGATGCGGTCGACGATGTAGCTGGCCACGTAGGCGCTCGCCTTGCTGGCGTCGTCGCGGATGATCAAGCGCATTGTGACGGAGGGGGCGTGTGTGGTGTGGTGAGGGTGAGGGTGAGGGTCAGGACGATGATGTAAGTGGGCGCGTCGCGGATGAGGCGGTTAGAGATGCTGGCGTAGGCAAGACCCGGTGAGAGGAGAGGCACAGTTCCTGCGGGAGGGATAAGCAACAAAAAAGGTATTGCCACGGGCCAAAGGGAAAAAGAGGTTGCAAGATTCCAGGTAGTAGTAAATGTTGGGCAGAGGAAGAGGAGGAGGAGGGAAAGGTTGTATGGGAAAAAGGTTTATGGACGGCCCGGCAAAGTATGGCAAAGCCGGCCGGAGCTTCCACTTGGGTAACTACGGGCAAGGCCCCAGGGAAGCTCTACAACGGCGGCGGCGGCGGCGGAGGACGGGCAGGTCGGGGCGCCACCACTGAGAGGCGAAACCGGTGCTGCAACTGCGGGTACTCGTACATTGGGGTCGTGGAGCACCGGATCGCAAAGTACAGTAGCAGCGCTGATGAGGTAGCAGCAACCTCATCAGCAGGCGGGGTGAGTGACGAAGAACTGGAACCTCCCGCCCCTCCTCCACTGACGGACGGGAACCTTGCCAGCCATACCTGTAGCACCTACCAGGGAGACGGACGACTCCAGCGGCGCCCGGGCAAGGTGAGGCGAGGTGGGGTGGCCACTGGATGGATGATGGATCAACTGACGAGCCTGCTGGCCGGGTTTGCGTTCCAGGCTCCAGTCTGCATCAGTCGCTTGCTCGCTTCACTGCCAGGCGGGCATCCAGTTGCAACAGCGCCAGAGGGCCCGGGTCCGGCCCTCGAAGCGCGACTGGCCACTGGCAGGCGGTGCCGAGCCCGAAGGAAGCCCCCCTCTGCGCTGCGGCAGCGTTTGCTACCTGCTACAACGTCAACCCTAGCCGCTGGGCCGCCGCCCGCTGCCGCTGCAACAACGGGGAACATTTTTTTCTCTCTCCTAAGGCGGCGGCGGCGGCGGCGGGGTCACCACGCTGAACCATGGGGCCAGGCGCTGGACGGGAGTCGTCGGAGCCGGGTGTCATCCATCATTCATCTCGCTCGCAGGCTGGCATGCTGGCTGGCTCCAAGCTCCAAGGGGGGGTGGTGGGCCGGCGACGACGATGACACTCGAAAGAGAATGAGACCCAGGAGCGCGGATGGAACGTCACTGCATGTGCCCGCACCGCAACCCGCTGGCCGCTGTGGGGGAGCAGGGGTGGAGGTGTGTGCGGCCGCCTTCTCCAACGGGTGGATGGATCATGGATGGAAGGAAAATATTGGAGACGGGCATGACAAGGTGCGGTGCCATGGCGGGCGTGGGTCCCGCGAGCTATTACGGGATGGGTTGTTGGTGTGCAGACTCCCGTCCAGAGGGAGCTTCGGGGGCATGGGGGGGTCGCTGCCGGGGCGCACCCACCGAGATTCGCCGGATCAGGGCCGGGCCAAAACGTTGCTCCGGAACGAGCAGCAGCACCTCAGTGGAGGCGGGCTGGTGCTCCTTAGGTTCGCAGGTAGCACTGCAATAGCGTAGCGTACCGCACCGTACAGTACGCGCGACATGCAGGGCTGTAATTACAGCAGCCAAGCTACCTGCCGTATCCAACTGCTGAGGTGCCCGTACACAATTCCAGGTCGACACCGGTGACCGTGTTACTCGTCTGGCGCCGTCCGGCACCGTGGCACGCGCCGGGCGTGCTCAACTGGGACAGTGCCAACCGCCAGCACGATGCTGAGCCACTACACGTGCAAGAACTCACTGCCTGGCAGCCTCGACACCGCCCGAGTAGCCAGCGCTGAGGTCAGCACCGAGGTCATCCCAAGGTACCTTGCCTCACCTTGAGCCGTCGTGGGTGATACGACAGATCGCCCCGGTGTCATGCACAGGGCATGGCAGGACAGACCGAGCACATGACCGCGGCCACAGCTGTGGTTGGCGCGGCGCCTACGGCCGCCTTTGTCCCGTTCAAACAGACCGTTGCTCACCCCTAAAACGTGTGCACTTTGTTTCGGATGTAGCCTGGATGACTGCCCAGTGGCCACCATCAGCGCAAGAATCTGTCGCTCCGTCGACAGTAAATCTCGCGTCCCGCCGGCACTTCGCCGACGCAACGGTCGCATCGCCTTGGACGTGTTTGTCCCTGACGATTTTGTGTTCGGATGAAAGACCACGTCGCCATGCGTGTCTCACAAGCCGCCAGATCGAAGGGCCCCACTGGCACCGAAGCACCGGAGGCGCAAACCGATGCCGAGCAGACGCCGGCCTGGCTCCACGGGTCTGAAGCAACCTGACCGGGATCACGGCCGGTGTTTGGACCTCGCCGTCGCCTATGCCGCGGGCGCCGCAGAACGTCTGGGCTGCGGAATGTGCGCGACGTCGTGCCGCGTCGATGGCATGTTTTGTTTTGCGTGGGCCGTGGTTGTATTGTGCTCTATGTGCCGTCGTCGCCGTCGTAGTAGTAGCATGCCACGGTCCCGCTGCCGGCTCTCGCTGGTTCGCAGGATCATGTTTCGAAGTTGAGGGACGGGACGGCATACCGTCCAGGTATACCTCGCGCAGGTATAGCCGTCCCTGCGCCTGCCCTTTGCGCACGGGATGGCGCTGTCTGAGGGCCGGTGAGGAAGGGGTGCGACTTATGAATCCGGCAGATGCATTATTTCTCCTTGCACGGGCGATGCGGCGTCAAGGATTATCAGATGCACCCGCGTGACGCACACGCTGCAGGGCAGGGCCAGGGCAGTGCAGGCGAGCTGACATGGATGAATTAGGAAAACAGATGCCAAACAAAACGCCATGGCCATCTTGTGTCGCGTCAGCGATGAGATGGACGTCTGTTCGTGAGATGGATCCCCCACGTTGGACGGCGGGAGATGGCCCCCAAATCTCCCCCAACGTGGAACGTGGGACGTGGGACGCGGGACGCAGACGAGATGCCAATGTCTCGCAAGTCTACCTTGCATTGTGCTCTGATTCCCCCACGTTGAGCGCGGTCCCATGGTTGAAGGACCAACCGACTGCATGGCAGTGTCTTGGCCAGTCAACCAGACCTGCCGACTGAGTCGTGAGAGACGCCTCGCCAAGGGCATGCGTCGATTGGCCTCGTGCGGCGTGCATCAAGCCACCATCGCGATCCGTGGTGCAGGCACGAATGAAATGTACGGACGGCACGACGGCAGCTCGGGCTGACCACGGGATGGGGCCGGTGTCGATCAGGCGGCCTGACTGGCCACGGCCGCCAGTGGGTGCGGATGAGGCTCGCCGATGTTGAAGATTCTAGTGTTGAGTAAGGTGGTGGTGCACTGCGACTTACATTGCGGTGCGAACCGGTGCGGGAGAGCCGGCGCGGTGGCCGGGGTGGTGAGGGAGCATGCAACGGCCCCGCGCCGCCGTGGTGGTGGTGGTGGTGGTGGTGGTGGTGGCGGCGGCGTTTCAGCAGCGAGAAACGCGAGTTGCGTCTGCCGCTCGGGGACCCCGTACGTACTGGGAGCATTGATTGACTGATTGATTGATTGACTGATCGATTGTTGGTGTCTAGCGCCCCTCGCTGGGCTGGGCTGGGCTGGGCTGGGCGCGCGCCACGGCAAAAGATCTGCTGCAATGATGGATGATGGCAAATGGCGAACCCGGCGGGCTGGGATTGACGCTCTCGCATCTGGCGCCGGGACAAATGGCATGCCACTGGTGGCTGCAGCGCTCGTGCTTGGCCTGCTTGGCTGCACGTCCCCTGGGAAGGTGCGGACGCCATCCCGCAGGGCCCCGGTCCGTCACTCCAGGCAGGCGCCAAATGAGGGAAAGAGCAGGCAAGGGGCCTCCACCAGCCGCCACCTCTGCGACATGGCAACGTTACAGCCCCAGATTTTGCATCGACCTCTGCAGTATTATCGGCTTCGCGCAAATCACCGCCGGACGGGACCTCTCGCTGTGGCAACAGAATTCTTTTGTCCGTGCAGCCAGCACGAGCAGTCGAGCCCAGCCCACAGCCCAGCCCAGTACAGCGCAGATGCTGGCGGCACCCACCGTCCGTTCCTCACCGATCCATGCCACTTCGCCCGCCCATCGGATGACCCCCCCCTGTGCCCGCAGCGTCGTCGCCCCTTGGGATGCCCCCTTCTGGCCCTTCTGGACCCTCGCCATTGGCTCCGCCTGACCTGACGTCCCGAGTCCATCTGCAGCGACCGAAAATACCCATGGGGCGACATCCACAAACGGTCTCCCCATAGCGTCCATCATCGACATTCGCAGCACACGGCGGGTACAGTTTTTACGAGACGACCGAGGGAGGTACTCGGCCGCGCCGAGGCTCGCACGCCTTTCTGCGTACCTACGAGGTACCCATAGCAGATTGCCTTGAATGACGCTCCCGTCTGCTGCCACTGTTGCGGCACGAGCAGATAATCCACCCCCCCGGTGCCGTGCCGTCGTGGGCGTGCGACGTTGGGTCCGGCTGACACGACACACCACACGACCACAGACACAGACGACACCACACGCCGGAGCCAGACATCCCCAGGAGCGCCGCTACCAGCCCAAGCCCAAGCCCAGGACAGGACAGGACAGCCCTGGCCGGGCCACGCCAGGCACTAGCTCATCCGTGCCTCCATCGTCGACGCAACCGCTGCGTGCGCACGCGAGACCCCAATGCCACTGGCGCACGCCTGCTCGCCCTGACCCCATCTTGCCCGTCCGTCCATCCATGGCGCACCGCCCACCTGTTCCCGGCTCCCCGTGCAAGTAACATCCCATCCCCATCCCATCCACCTCTCGGCTCAACCTAGTTAGCTGGGCGGGCGGCCCGTCTCGTCCTTGCTGGCGCCTGTTTGTCCTGTCGGTGTCTGCCAGCCTATGCGACCAGATCCGCCGTCCCTTCCTGCCGCCCACTTGCGCAGCCTCTTCAACAACACGCGCGACGCTCACTCGGCCTCACCTCGCCTGCCCTGCCCTGCCCTGTCTTGCCCTGCGCTCAGCCAAGGTTTCATCAAGGCCCTTTGACGCGCTCGTATAGCCACTCTTCTCCTCTCCCTCAGCGCTGTTCCAGAGTACCCCAGGGTGCCTGTCGATCGGCCCGTCGTTTCTTCTCGATCCAACCGCGCACGACACACGCCCGCATCCCTGCACAAGCGCGGACTGTCTTCTTCTCTTGTTGTTCTCTTTTTATTCCTCGAGCACACCATATGTCACCTTAGTTCCTCTCCACCATACGACCATCCTCACCTGCTGCGGCATACCGCCACGGCCCTATTTACACTCGTTCTCTCCCCCATTCTCTGACCCGCTATCTCCCTCACCACCCCCATAGCCTGCCACGTCGCACGGCCTCTCTACCCCGGATCACACCTTGCATTTAATATACGGGTCGCCTCCCTCCTCCTCCCCCCCCCCCCAGAGTTCCCGTCCTCTTCGCCCATGTTATGCCCTCGCCCGCTGCCGCAATGACGACCTTTCGAAAAGCCTTCATTGCCGCCATCGTCAAGAGCCTGCTGCGAGGCAAGTCTCTGATACAGGCCATCCTCTCCTACTGGATCAAGCCCCTGGGCCCCAACGGCTCCGCCTCGAAGCGCAAGAAGGCATCCAAGAGCCTCCAGGAGTTCCTCAAGGAGGCCGAAGCAGCTCTGCTCGGCCCCGTCAGCGGAGATGGCCTCCTGCAACTATCCGCCGGCTTGAAGACGCAGTTCTTCGAGCGCCTGCAAACCGACATGGAGTGCATGCTACCTTCTTACAGCCACCAGCTGCCTACTGGTGGCGAGGCCGGCCAGTACCTCGCCCTCGATGTCGGCGGATCAACCCTGAGAGTCGCCCTGGTCGAGCTGCGAGGACGCGAGGCCGAGGAAGGAAAGCAGAGCGAGATCGTGAGCATGCGCAACTTCAAAATCGGAAAGCCTATCAAGGACCTCGAGGGCATGGCCTTCTTCGACTGGATGGGTGAACGGATACAAGAGGTTGTTTCAGCTGGCCTCAACCGGGGGCACAGCCTGGAGAAGCCCTTGCCTGTGGCTCTGGCCTGGAGCTTTCCCATCGAGTAAGTTTTGAGATGTGCCCTCCGCACTGCTCTGATCTGACCGCCTAAAGGCAAACGTCGCTCGGTGGCGGCAAGCTGCAGAGGATGGGCAAGGCTTTCCTGGCAGACAAGGGACTGTTGGGCGAGGATCTGGGCGAGATCGTGAAGCAGTCGTGCAAGAAGCAGGGCCTCAACGTCGAGCTGGGAGCCATCCTCAACGACTCCAGCGCCTGCCTTCTATCCCGAGCGTACTCGTACACGTCAACTCGATTTGGCCTGATCCTCGGCACCGGCGTCAACATGGCTGCCTACCTTCCCGTCCTGAGCATCGGCCGGCCCAAGTTTGGCTCCCGACCCATAGGATGGTTCAGCCAAGCGAGCCATGTCATTGTCAACACTGAGCTCGGCATGTTTGGGCACAACATCCTGCCCATGACGAGGTGGGATCACACGCTCACCAAAGAGCACCCGCGGCCCGACTTTCAGCCTCTCGAGCACGAGGTCAGCGGCATGTATCTTGGAGAGATCGCGCGTCTCGCTCTGCTCGAGGCTATTGAGACTACGGGCATGCTTGGCGGCGTTGTACCGGCGTCTCTGAAGACCTCCTACTCGCTCGGAACCGACACTCTCTCTATGATTGAAGCGTAAGAAATCCGCTTCCCGCAACTGTCAAGTTGAATCCCCACGCTGACACTTGAGATAGCGATACTACCCCTGAGCTCACCGAGGCCATCAAGCTCTTCTCTGAGCGACATCCTTCATCTCACATCCCTACCACATCAGACATGCTGGCAATCAAGGCAATCGCTTCGTTCATTTCGATACGATCCGCCGCCATCGTGGCCACATGCGTCTTCACGCTGTGGGACTGCCGACTAGAGGCCGAGGCCGCCTATGTTTCCACTCTTCCCGAGTCCTCACCTGAGCGGCTCAAGGTCGAGGCGGACATGAAACTCGAGAAGACGACTGTTGCATTCAACGGAAGCGTCATTGAGAATTATCCCAGGTACCTCGACACGTGTCAGCGCTACATTGACGAGCTGGTCGACAGCAAGGGCATGGCCGAACCCCGCAGCATCCAGCTTGTCCCGGCCAAGGAGAGCTCGCTAATGGGCGCGGCCGTCGCGCTGGCCTGTGTTGAGCACGACGTTTAAGGTCGTGCCAGGAGGGAGCGCACTTCTTTTTCGTGCGATGCAGGTTGGCGCTGGAGAGCTTGCTATGATACCTTGAATCGCGTTGCCGTGTTATTATCGGGATCACTGGTCATGCGGCAGAAAAGTTTCGCATACCATAGAGGCGTCGGGCAGCATTGCTTCATTTTTCTCTTGGTTTGTTTGGCGCACGACGAGTGGCTTTTGGCGACACATGTAATCAGCAATCTGAGCCGTGACTGAGGATATGGCTGGACATTTTCATTGCAGCGACTGGGCGGCACGAGTGCTTCGGTACAGCCGCTTCATGGCGAATCGAGGAATGATGGGAGCAGCACGAGGGACACACTTTGTCCAAAGCTAGATACAGGATTGGAGAAAGTGCATATTCAGACTGAGAATTCATCTCACGCGTTGAGCGGTGTTGGACCATGTGAGATGCGAGGACTGTGAGATGGCGTTAAGTGGTTGGTGGGTAGGTCGCGTCGCCGGGCCTGTGAAACGTGACATCAGGTACAGAAACGCCGTGGCACTTGTAAGGCACAGGCATTTGCTCGTACATGTACTTGGCCATGTCATGTGACTGCCTGCGTCGTTCGCGTTCCGCCCGCCACTAGCGCATTCACGACTTAGGCACGCGTCTCGCGCACAACACCAGGAGCCGCTGACCGACAGCCTCTCTGCAGCCTGTAGGCAACAAGGCAGCCTCCGACCTTTGCAATTTTGCTCCCCTGTCCGCCAGAGCCTTCGATGCTCAGGAGCTCCAACCCATCTCTCGCTATATAACCTGTCGCAACTGAGCGAAGGAACCGCGGCCGCCTCGAGCCGCTCCTCGGCAAACGCGATCATGGGCGACGTCGCCGGCGCTGGCGTGTTCGCCGAATGCGCGGTTGCTTTTGTGCCCAGCAGCACGCTGGCACCCAAACTCATTAGCGACGTGAGCCAACGACCTTTGACCACGAGACGCGAAGCTTGCGTGAGACCTCGGTGAAGTGCTAACCCGTGAGCCTCCTCTAGCTGTCGGGCATCCTCCAGGACAATGGCGCCACCATCCGCGAGCCTCGACGCGACGGCTCGATCCCCATCGAGCGGGTCACGCACATCGTCTCCAACACAATAGACTTCCCGCAGTACGTCGAGTCGCAGGCGGTCATGATCCCCGTCGTCACGATGCAGTGGATCACGCAGTCGGTCGCGCGGCGGCGGCTCGCCCAGGTTCGGCCGTACTCGCCCGACCCGCGAATGATCTTCGCCGAGGTGGTGGTGACGTGCGCGGGGCTCCCCATCATGGACAAGGAGAGCATCCTGGGCGCCGTCATGGCGCTCGGCGGGCAGGAGTCCAAGGACCCGAGCCGATTGACGACGCACATCTGCGCGCTGGACATGGACGACCCAAAGGTCCAGGCCGCGACGGGGAGGGGTTTCAAAGGCAAGGTGGTTTTGCCTCATTGGTGAGCGCGTCCCCACGCAAGCACTGGTACTGAGAGCTGGTGGTTTGCCAGGACATTGCGCTGACGGGTGCAGGTTTGACGCGTGCTTTAAGCTGGGCAAGCGCATCGACGAAGCTCCATACCTCCTACCGGACCCGGAGATCCTTAAGATGGGTCCCGAGGACGAGCTTCATATTCCTGTGAACAACGCCCTCGATGGTGCCACCTCGATCAACCCCCGGTGGACGCCTCCGCCCGATAAGGAAGAAGGCCACCGCGCGCCCTGTACCGTGTTTCAGGACCGCAAGGTCCTCCTAGCCAAGGACCTGGGCATCAACAGCCGCCTAACCAAGACTCTCAGAGAGATCATCGACAACGGCGGCGGCAAGGTCGTTCAAGAGGTGGACGACTGCGACATGTTCATCTGCCAGTACCGTCACGGCGCTCAGTACGTTCAGGCCTCTCAGTCCTGCAAGGAGGTCGGCAGCTTGTCTTGGCTCTTCTACCTGATTGTGCACAACGAGTGGCGCAACCCGCTGCACCGGCTGCTGCACTATCCGATTCCCAAGGACGGCATCGAAGGGTTCAAGGGCTTGCGCATCACCGTGTCCAACTACGGCGGCGAGGCGCGCATCTACCTGGAGAATCTCATCCGAGCCTGCGGCGCCGAGTTCACCAAGACGATGAAGCAGGACAACACCCATCTCATCACAGCACGGAATTCGAGTGAGAAGTGCAAGGCGGCTCCCGAATGGGGCGTCGCCGTCGTCAACCATCTCTGGATCGAGGAGAGCTACGCCAGGTGCGAGATGCGCAACATCAACATTCCCAAGTACAATCACTTCCCGCACCGCACGAATCTGGGCGAGATTATCGGTCAGACCTTTTTCGAGGAGTCGAGGCTGCGGGACATGTACTACCCCGGCGGCGAAGAGTCCATGTCGCCGCGGGCCAAGAGGAAGCGCAAGATCCTCGAGGCCGCCGAAGACAATGCCTACCACAAGGGCCCCGCAGAGGGCGTCGTCGTCGGCCAACACGACCCGGAGCGCGACTTTGACGTTATGCGGGACGACGACGACGACGACGACGACGAGAACAAGAAGGAGAAGCTCAGCAGCTCCGTCAAGACCCCGGCCAGATCGCGACACCTGACGGCCGGGAAGGAGAACGACAGCCCCAGCGTCTCCGGAAGCCGCAGCGCCAAGGCCAAGGCTCGGGACTTGCTGCAGCACATCGCGCCGGATATTGCTCTGTATGAGAAGGAGAAGAAGCGACACAGCAAGTCGGGCGCGCCATGGGGTGGCAAGCGGGCTGCTGACCAGGCCGAGAAGGAGAAGTCAAGCAAGACGGCGAGGAACGACGAGGGCGACGAGGAAGAGGCCAAGAGACCGGCCAAGAAGTCTCGACCATCTCTACCCGAGGTCGAGATGCGCATCGTCGTGACCGGTTTCAAGCGGTGGGTGGGCGACAGGAGCAAGGAGGATCACGACCGGGTAAGTGATGCATTGGCTCTATGGGTATGATTCTATTGATGCTGACTCTGGACGCAGAGGAAACTCCGCGACCTCGGTATCCAGATCGCGCAAGAGGGACAGCCATGCGACTTTGTCGCGGCGCCGTGCGTCATGCGAACCGTCAAGTTTCTGTGCGCCTTGTCGCGAGGCGCGCGAGTGCTGTCCACCGACTTTATTGAGGCTGCGATTGAGTCGGGCGAGATGCCGTCTCCGGACGACTTCCTCCTGAAGGATCCCGCGGCAGAGAAGAAGTACGACATTAAGCTTGAGAGGTCGTCCTCGCGGGCCAAGTCGAACAAGGGCAGGCTGCTTCAAGGCATCCCCATCTACTGCACTGAGAAGATCCGCAACGGGCCCGACTGCTACCGCTCCATCGCCGAGGGCAACGGAGCCATTTTCAAGATTTACCGAGCGCGGAGCGGCACGACCATCAAGCCCACGACTGCGGAAGAGGACGGCGGTGCCCCGCCTGAACCCGTTTACCTCCTCAGCAACAACACGCCCGAGGACAAGCAAGTCTGGTCCAGGTTCAAGGAGATGGCGGAGAGCGGTCACATGGAGCCCCGGATTGTGGCCCCCGACTGGCTCCTGGACGTGGCCATGGCGCAACAGGTGCGGTTCGACAAGAAGTACCTGGTGGAGAGGTTCCATGCCAGGTAGCTAGGGCTGCCGCGTTTCTGAGATTTTCAACGCATGTCATGACGGCGTTTTGGAGTGATCCTGAGGGCGCGGTGGCGATTTCGCCCAGGGCGTATTAGGCTTGTTGCTTCGCGTCTCAGACGCATGTATGCAGTGCTGTGAGACTGAATGGCATCTTAGTGTAGTAGTAGCTGTCGGCAGCTTGCATCGTATCAGAAGAACTTGACACCAAGGGAGTCTTCCTGGCCGAATATCTGTGCTTTTCCGCGCTTGACCAGGACATTGAGGGCTTTGAGGAGGACCTCGCTGTCCATGCCATGTAGCTCTGTTGGGTGTCAGCATTGCAAGCTTGTCAAGGCACCAAGCTGTAAAGTCAACTCACCTGTTCCTCTCGTGCCCTCGCCTTCTGTAAGCTCATAGACAGTCAACACGCTGCCCTTCTGGCCCGTCTCCTCGACGTAGGCCTCCACGGCAGCGGCCCACTCCTCAGGCTTGCGCCAGTAGATGAAGACGACGTCGCCCTCCTTGCCCGCCGCGGCGGCGCCGCCGCCACCGCCGCCCGACGACGAGTGGTAGTAGTACTCTGCGCGGCCGTCCTTGCGCATGAAGTCGACGAGCTCGCGGATGTCGGCGGGGCCGAGGCGGCGGTCGATGCGGGGGTTGCGGAAGAGGTCCGAGTCGGCGGCGGCGGAGAGGGCGAGGCGGAAGATGCGGTGGTGGCGGGCGTAGGCGAGGACGAGGGCGGACCACTTTGTGAGCTGGGCGTGGTGCGTGGTGAGGTTCGTCTGGCGGGTGAAGAAGGCGGGGAAGTGGTACTCGCGGGGGAAGGCGAAGGAGGAGGATGGTGATGCTGCTGTTGTTGATGTTGATGATGAGGCCGCTGGCGGAGGCGGCTGCGGCGATGAGGTGGACGGGGCCAGGCCGGCGGGGATGGAGCCGGAGAGGTCCGGGGGCGGGGAGGTGGCCGCCGTGGTGGTGGCCATGGCGGGGGTAGGAGCGGGTGAGGGGAGGGAGGAGGGGTGGGAGGCTGAGATGATGCTGTGGTGAGTGAGGTTGGATATCTGAGCCTGGTGACAAGGTGAGTGAGTGAGCGAGCGATGAGCTCGCGCCTCAAGCAATGCGGTGGTGGTGTAAAGTGGGGTGGACGGCCAGGGTCGGAGGGGCAGCACAGCCCGGGACAACAGGCGCACAATTGACGGATGACGCAGCAGCGGCACACGTGCCTGGCCGCCTGTTGCAGCGATGAACGCCCACTGCAGCCAGCCAACAGCGAGACCGCTGGACAGGGCAGTCTCAACTTCCTTCCTCCACCGACCCAAGGCAGCGACGAAAAGAACCCGGCTCTGCTCCGCCCCCAGCGACCACAGACAGAAAGCAGCATCTCCCGAATCTTGACTGAATGAATCGCAATCGCCCGCCGCGCCCGCCTCGAAGCCAGCGGGCCAATCACCCGCTCGAGATATCGCGGTGCCTGGACTGGCGGCGGGCCCTTTATCGCGTGCCGTTCAAGGGGGGGATGCGCCTCAACTGCTGCTCGTGATAAGGAACCTCAGCCAGCGACTAAGACGGCGGCCAATCAGACGCCGCGCATTGAACCGTGTAATCCCTATCAAGACGACAACGACAGTCTTTTGCGTCTCCACAGGCGCCTCCCGCTTTTTGTCTTGCTCTCTGTTTCTCTCTCTCTCTCTCTATTTTTGCCCCCCTGAGTCGCGGGACGAGTCCAGGAGGTAATCCGGGGAAAGGCGGCCCCATCGCGTCGATGTGGTGCTCGTCTGTGCGCTTCATCGCGACGAGGGGGCCTTCCGAGGCAGTACATGATGGCCTGGCGACCAGTGAGGCCACATGCGACGATGCCATCTCCACGGACCCTGAGCCGGGCAATGCCGCAACAGCGGCCTTTTCTCGCCACGATTGATGAGACACCCAGCACTGCCCGTCTCAGCACGCGTCCACAAGGCAGGCAGGTATAGTATACGATAGGCGATAAGCCCTCTCGACGGCACGGTCCCGGCCCCGGACCCACCTCGAAACGGCAATTGTCCTTCTCCGCGGACCACCACCCTCGGCATCGCCCGGGAGGTGATTGGGTGCCGCCACTATCGGCTCGGAGACCCCTTATCATGCCTGTGTCGTTCGATTCTCACCTTGTCACTGCCCTGTGCCTGGTTGTAAGCGTGTTGAGCTTCCAGCCCTGGGACGTATCGCTGACTCGAAATGCCTTACTCCGCGGGATGAGCAAGCCCACCTGATAATCACGAGACACCGTGACAGAGGAGAGAGCATTTTCGGCATGTAGGACATCAGTGTAGTATATACCTCGCCGACGCCCTGTGAGCGCGTGCGGCGCCCCCCTTTCACGTAGCCGAGGAATGGGCGCCGTGACCTTTCTTCCTCGTCCCATCTCATCGTTGCAGACGACTCTGCCCGTGACGTGACGAAGAAAAGATGGCCCAAATACCAAACGCAAAGAGAGTGGTGGTGGTGGGCTTGGGCATGGTGGGCATCGCCTTCATGTAGGTTTTCCAACACACCGACACACCGGCACGACGGTGGGCAAATTCAGTAACAGCAACCTGGCACAGAGAGAAACTGCTCAAGTACGATGCCCGAACGCGAGAGTACAACATCACAGTCCTGGGCGAGGAGTCGCATCTGGCGTACAACCGAGTCGGCCTGACGAGCTTCTTCGAGCACCGCAAGATTGAGAATCTGTACCTGAACCCGGCAGAATGGGTAATGCTTCCCGGCGTTGTTCTCCGCTCAATGCGACGGTGCTGATATCCTGACTGCAGTATACGAGCGCCCCGAAAGACGCCCTCGGATATCTTGTCAACACCAAAGTAGTAGCAATCGACTCGGCGAATAAGACAGTCACCTGCGCCAACGGCGATGTCGTGCCCTACGACATCCTCGTGCTCGCCACGGGATCCGACGCGATCCTCCCGCGGCACACGCCCGGACACGACGCCAAGGGCGTGTTCGTCTACAGAACCATCGACGACCTGGTCAACCTCATCGACTTTGCCGGCACGAGGAAAGACTCCGTCGGGGCGGTCGTCGGCGGCGGCCTGCTAGGTCTGGAGGCGGCCAAGGCCATGATGGACCTCGAGTCGTTTGCACAGGTCAAGCTCATCGAGCGCAACAAGTGGGTGCTCAGCCGGCAGCTGGACGAGGACGCGGGCACCATGGTCGTGCAGCAGGTCAGGGACCTCGGCCTGGACGTGAAGCTCAGCAAACGCGTGAAGAGCATCAAGGTGGACGGCGACAACAGCGTGAGCGGCGTCGTCTTCGAGGACGGCGAGGAGATGGACTGCTCGACCATTTGCTTCGCCATCGGCGTCCGCGCGAGGGACGATCTGGCCCTCAGCTCGGGCCTCGAGTGCGCGGAGCGCGGCGGCGGCATCGTCGTCGGCGACGACCTCGCCACGAGCCAACCGGACATTTACGCCATTGGCGAGTGCGCGAGCTGGCAGGGCCAGACGTTTGGCCTCATCGCCCCGGGCGTGGAAATGGCCGACGTCCTCGCCTTCAACCTGACGCAGGCCAAGCTTCACTCGCCGCGGGCCTTTAAGCGCCCGGACCTCAGCACCAAGCTCAAACTGCTCGGCGTCGACGTCGCCAGCTTTGGAGACTTTTTCGCCGACCGGGACGGGCCGAAGCACCTGCCGCCCAAGTACACAAGGAAACTGAAGGCCAGCGCAGGCCCCGAGGCGGCGCCCGAGACACCAACAGTCAAGACCCTCACCTACAAGGACCCGTTCCAAAACGTCTACAAAAAGTACCTCTTCACGGCGGACGGCAAGTACCTGCTCGGAGGCATGATGATTGGCGACACCAAGGACTACGTCAAGGTGGTGCCCATGGTCAAGAACATGAAGGAGCTCGAGACGCCGCCGAGCCAGCTCATCCTCGGGGCGCAAAAGGAGGGCGACGACGGGGACGACCTCGACGACGACACGCAAATCTGCTCGTGCCACAACGTGACCAAGGGCGACGTGGTCAACAGCGTCAAGGACGGCACGTGCAAGGACCTCGCGTCCATCAAGTCGTGCACCAAGGCGGGCACGGGGTGCGGCGGGTGCATGCCGCTGGTGACGACCATCTTCAACAAGACCATGGCGGCCATGGGCAACGAGGTCAAGAACCACCTGTGCGCGCACTTCAGCCACTCGCGCGCGGAGCTGTACCACATCGTCATGGTGAAGCGGCTGACGACGCTGCGCGACGTGATGCGCGAGGCGGGCAACGACGCCGCCAGCGCGGGCTGCGAGCTGTGCAAGCCCGCCGTGGGCAGCATCCTGGCCTCGCTCTGGAACCGCCACGTCATGGACCGCCCGACGCACGGCCTGCAGGACACCAACGACCGCTTCCTCGGCAACATCCAGCGCGACGGCAGCTACTCGGTCGTGCCGCGCGTGCCCGGCGGCGAGATCACCCCCGAGCGCCTCGTCGTCATCGGCGAGGTGGCCCGCGAGTTCGGCCTCTACACCAAGATCACGGGCGGCCAGCGCATCGACATGTTTGGCGCCCGCAAGCAGGACCTGCCCGCCATCTGGGGCCGCCTCGTCGCCGCGGGCATGGAGTCGGGCCACGCCTACGCCAAGTCGCTGCGCACCGTCAAGAGCTGCGTCGGCTCGACCTGGTGCCGCTTCGGCATCGGCGACAGCGTCGGCATGGCGGTGCGCCTCGAGGAGCGGTACAAGAGCGTGCGCGCGCCGCACAAGATCAAGGGCGGCGTGAGCGGCTGCGTGCGCGAGTGCGCCGAGGCGCAGAGCAAAGAGTATGTCTTCCTCGCCGTCGTCCCCCTGAGCCCCTTTTCACTACCCCCTCCTTTGCCCCCTTAACCGGCGACGATCAACTCCCACCTCCCACCCCCGAGGATGAAAACAGAAACAGTCCGCTAACACGTCGCCCTCACAGCTTCGGCCTCATCGCCACGGAAAAGGGCTTCAACATCTTCGTCGCGGGCAACGGCGGCGCCAAGCCCCGCCACGCCGAGCTGCTGGCCAAGGACGTGCTGCCCGCCGACGTGGTGCCCATCCTGGACCGCTACCTCATGTTCTACATCCGCACGGCCGACAAGCTGCAGCGCACGGCGCCCTGGCTCGAGAGCCTGCCCGGCGGGCTCAAGTACCTGCAGGAGGTGGTGCTCGAGGACAAGCTGGGCATCTGCGCGTCGCTCGAGGCGCAGATGGAGGAGCTCGTGGGCAGCTTCTTCGACGAGTGGGCCGAGGCCATCAAGACGCCGGCCCTGGCCGCCAAGTTCCGCCAGTTCCACAACTCGGACGCGCGCGTCGACGGCGTCGAGGCCGAGCGCGAGCGCGGCCAGAGCCGCCCCGTCTACTGGGCCAAGGAGGCCGCCACCGACGACTTCAAGGGCCTGCGCGGCCGCTGGAGCCGCACAGACTGGGAGCCCGTCATCGAGGCCTCGTACTTTGACGGCGCCGACGAGCTGCCCAACGGCATCTCGGCCAACATCAAGAGGGGGGACACGCAGCTCGCCGTGTGGCGTTTCAAGGGCCGCTTCTACGCCACGCAACAGATGTGCCCGCACAAGCGCGCCTTTGTCCTCTCCGATGGCCTCCTCGGGCAGAGCCCGTGCGACAAAAAGGATGGCGGGAAGCGTCAGGACGACGAGTCCCTGCCGCCCACGCCATCCTCCTCCTCCTCAGCATCATCAGCATCCGATACATCGCCGCCAACACCGGCCTCACTGGCATCAACACTCACATCACTATCCTCCTCATCAACAACTCCCTCCTCCACTACCACCACCACCACCACCACGTCGCAATCACAAACGTCGCCGTGGATCTCGTGCCCGCACCACAAGCGCAACTTCGACCTCGGCAACGGCTCCTGCAGCACCGACACCTCCCTCTCCATCGCCACGTTCGACGCCGAGGCCCGCCCGGACGGCATGCTGTACCTGCGGCTGCCGCCCACGGAGGAGCTGGACGCGGCGCTGGGCACGAGCCGGTGGATGGTGCGCAAGGGCGAGAGCGGCGAGGCCCCCTTTGCGGAGCTCGACCGCCGGACCGCCGCCGCCGCCGCCGCCCTCGGCAAGAGGGGCAGGAAGCCCAACGCCGTCAAGGCCGGGCCGGGGAGCGCGGGCACCAAAATGGTGAAGCCCGTGGAGCTCATGGCTGGAGGAGGGGGCTGCGGGTCGGCGCCCGAGTGGTGACGAGCGCGAATTGCCATTAATGGTATTCTGACGACGAGACGAGACGAGACGGGGTAACGAGAACTATAGACTCTTGGCCCTTTTCCTTTCATCATTAGGTTTTCAGCGGATAGACTAGTTTGCATCTACAGAGGCAGGAAAAGCCAAATCATGATTATGTGCCATGTACGACAGCGCCTTCGGCCGAGTGACCACCCCCTGCGTATGAGCATGATGTTGCGTGTTACGGCCTCCCCGCTCTGTGTACGGACGTCCCGAAACTGGAGCAGAGAGAGGCACTACCTATTCAACGAGCCTTGTGAGCTCGACATGTGGGCTGTGAGCAGCTCCTTTAGGGGAATCTATTGTCATGGTACAAGTACTTGTGTAGTCGAAACATGCCTCTGGCCTACTGCAAGCCACAGTGCTTTTCTATCCTCCTCCCGCCCGTGCCCACCAAGCCCAGCACGGACGGCCAAGGCACAGAGGGCAACCCTCCGCATGAGCCAAAAGTATATTATAAAGAAGGAAAAGGTACGGGGCTGCAGAGCCTCACCTTGTGCGTCTCCCAGATGTAACTTGGTGTGTATAGCTTCTGACTGTACCCAGTTTCGTGCCATTCTGGAGGGTATAGTCCGGACTAGGCAGCCACCTACGTAGCGCTTCCAAAGGCCAGTCGTCCTGTCCTGTCATGTCAAAGATGATCTCCCGTGGACCCAGTTCCGACGATGGCCGTCACGAATCCGGGGGCAGGGGTCGGCGCGTTGGTTGCGATGGGAATTCGTGCCGTTGACTCCTCACGGGCAGATGCTTGCCTGTCGCCAACTCGTTCGTGTATTTGTGTTGATTTGACTTGATGACGACGGTGGTTGTGATGGTGACGAAGACAATCGCTCCGCAACGTGCCAGCTATGACGACGACGACAAACCTAAGGGATCCATCATCGTCAACAGCAGCAGCAGCAGCACCAGCATGTGGTCATCATCGCGACAGCATACCCTGCCGAAACGACGTGCCTCCATCGCGCGTGCCTTATGCACGAGCGCGCCGCCTGCCCGCTGTGTTGAGGCGCAAGTAAACACTTGCGGCAGAAACTTACATCGTCCGTTTCTCTCACAGATGCGTATATAAACCTTCTCCCCTTTCTCTTTCAATTGGCTTCTTTCCCTTCCCCTTCTCTTTTCTTCCCCTCTCCCGTCTCCCCCATTTCAATCAGCACGTCTCCTTCGAGCCCACCGCCGGTTCAAAACCAACCCTCCCCCCCTAACGACCCGTCTCAAACAAAAGGAGCCTTCCATCCCCCCCCAGCCCGCCGCCCACCATGAAGTTCGCCCTCGCCCTCGCCCTCGCCCTCAACGCCCTCTGCTCCGTGGCCACCGCTGACATCTCCGCTGGCCGCGGGACCTTCTGGCCCTCCCTCTCCACTGCCTTCAGCCGTTTACAGTCCATTGACCGGTGCGCCAGGCACTGCTTCGTGGACTCCTTCAAGAAGAACGGCTGTGAGAGCGCAGATGAAAAGACTATGATCATATGCGGCTGCCCCAAGATCGACCAGGTCAAGTCCGACGCCACCCGGTGCGCTCTTGCGGGCTGCGGGTTGCCGAAATTCATGAGTACGTCTTCGTGTCTTGTTTCCCGACCTTGACAACCCCNCCCCCCGGGGGGGCGGCAAGAAAAACTGCTCATGCCTAGCCCTTCTAGGCAACGTCATGCCGCAAATCGAGAAAATTTGCCGTCACTACGCCAATAAAGATGCGTAGGGTTCTGCTCTGATTCTGGGGGCATTGCCTGATCGTGCGTTTCCCATGTATGGGCGCGAACAGGGAAGAGATATGGAGGAGTGCTATTCGCAGAGCCAACATTTGCCGGTTTAACCAGCCCCCCCCCCCCCAAAATCTTTTTCTCGGCCGTGCCCTACCCCCATGCTGCCCCAGCTATTTTTACTGCGCACTGGCGCAGGCATGGGACGGGAGCGGCGCTATCTATTGCTGTCGTTGCTTTCGTTGCTTTCGTTGCTATTGCTCCTATGGGCTCTACAACTAGCAAAAGTTGGCTCCACAAATAGCACTACTCTTCTGAAAAGGCAGTCGGCTCAACTCAATATAAACCCAACCAACCCCACACATGCACCTCACAACAGGTAGTAGCATGGACTGTGCAAACATGCGTAGCCTTTTTGAGCGAAGCGCCATGGTTCAATGTCGCCGTATCTTGGCCTGCCACGACTGAAGATAATTATGAACTGTTTTAGCGATGGATGTAGTATACGTAGACTGAATGAAACTCCGCGAGCAACACCAGTGATGCCTGACCGCATCGGCCCTTCTATATGTCCCCTTTTCGTTCCACACGTCATGCTGGATATTTCGTCCCTGTTCAGTTCCCCCGTTCCCGCTATAAAACAAAGAGAAGAGAGGGCGCAGGCAAACGGTCGCCGATCTGGTCAACGCAACCGCATGCCCTAAATTGTACAATGTTCCGCAAAAAAAAAGAGAGAAAAGGACGCGTCAGAATGTTCATGTCAAATGGAGTGCGTGCAGCCTCTGCACAACCTGATCCCCAAACGCCGGAAATGGATTGACAGCTGCGTCGCGAGCGTCGCTTAGGCCTCGGCCCCTTCGGCGTCGCTCAGGCTGCCGTATCCTGTGTCGCGTTCCGATCCTGCCAGAGCCTTGGTCGCCGCCAAGCACCGCTCGACGACGCTGTCCCGCAGCTCTGAGTTGACTCCGCATTTGCTGGCGTAGGGCTTGCCCATCCAGAGGCGGAGATTGCTCGACAGCTTCGAGAGCGGCCCTTCAAAGTCTTCCTCGGCGGCATCGTACTCGGTCAGCCGCTTCATCAGCTCCATGAATGACGTGAATCCCAAGAGTGTCATCGACGACATGTACTCTGGGCGCGTGAGGGCGTTGATGAAGTTGAGGCTCCGCGCCTCCACGCTGTTCGCCGCCTCCTTGTCTTCCAGGCGCGCGATCGTCTTGGCGCAGTGGACGGCGAGTCGCAGGTCGCGGTCCGAAGAGTGCGGTGTAGGGCCGACCATTAGTGTCGAATTATTCAGATGGCTTCCGATCCTGTCGGCCTGCATCGCCTGACAGGCGGCACGGATATGTTCGGCGCGAGAATCCTTGACAAGCACAGCGCGGGCAACGCGGCCGCGCACATGTGCTATCGTACCGCTTGGCGCAGCCTTGATAGCGGCTTCGATACGCTCAGCGCGGTCAAGTTGATTTTCGGCCTGGTCAACAAGTGTGGATGTCAGTACGCGATGCAGCGTCTCGGTTGACCACCAAGCTGCCACAGCGTCGAGTGGTGATCCCACTGCCGTGTCTTCGACCACAGAATCCATGCCGTCGATCTGCTCGTCAACACCGTCCGCTGTGTCCAGGTTGAAGGCCAAATTGTGCGCTCGCTGGACGACAGCAGGAGTCAAGACGAGATCGCAGTCCTGCTCCACCAGGGCATGAAGGTGCTCTGGCAGTTCTTCGTCGTGCGGCTTCGCTGAGCCTCGGCGCAACTGGATGAGCAGTCTGTTGAGCTGGCGAGCTTCGTTCCAGCGCTTGCGAGCCAGCTTTGCAGCGATGACGTTGACGGCCCCAAGTTGCCAGCCGCTGCTGACGTTCCACAGAAGCACGCGAATGTGAAGCGCCTTGAGCATCAGTCGCATCGGCGTATCAGGGAGTGTCCCAGAGGCCAAGAGAGTCAGAACCAACCGGCTCTTGCAGACATCCATGTCGCCGCCGGCGAGCTGAGAATCCAAGGCAATGGACCAAGCCTTGACACGAGCCGTCTCTTGCTCTTCCGTGAGCCCCGTCAGCATTTGGTAACCATGAACACCGATGGTGTTGCGCAGGCTAAGCTTCACAGTCTTGAGCATGAGAGCAGCCGCTTCCAGGAAAAAGTTGTGTCGAGGTACCCAGACTGTCTGGATAGCAGTGAGCCAGGCCTGGCGGCGCACATCAATCGACGATGCCAACGACGGTGCCCGCTCGAGCGCTGCAGCTTGCTGCTTCTTGAGCTTGTCCGGCGGGGTGGCGAAGAGAGAGGGCACGAAAACCCAAAGCGCGATGCAGAGAAATAGCAGCAGCTTGAGCGACGTGTGCACATGGTATCCCATGATGCGCAGATCGAGCGTCGTTGACAGCTGGCCGAGCAGCTCAATCGGCAAGGCGGAAAGCCCTCGGCCTTCGGGCCGCTCATTGCTCATTTCGTTCTCCCGGACGGCCTCGAGGATCATGAGACCCGCAAGAGATCCGACCATGAGCTTGCCGAAATACGGGTTCGCGTTGTTGATCCATCCGTTCTGCTGCATTTGCTGCTGCTGCTGCTGGATTTGTTGCTGCCGCAAGACGGCGGGGTTTCCAGGGCGGAACGGCTGCTGAGGCACGGGATACGGTTGACCCACTGCCATCTGGGCGGAGATGATGCGCTTCATATCATCTGGCACATTGATCATGCCCGCTGGGTTGGCGCCTCCGTCCTGGGGCGTGCCCATGGGAGAGTTTGAATATTGCTGCCGACCGTCCTGCGGGTACTGCATCGGTGTCGGTGGGTGCTGCATCGGGCTCATGGAGCCGTTCATGGCGCCGGCCATGAATAGTTTCTCAAACGCGGCTATCCTTTCCTTCATGGCCGTGTTCTCGTCCAAGAGCCGGCTATTCCTCTTTTCGAGATGGCGAATGTACTCAGTCGCCTTGCTCAGCACCTGCAATCGTGAATCAGTACACGCGCGGCCTCGGGAATGAGGTTTTGGAGACGCTGCTCCTTGCTTACCGTGGCCTTGTTGAGCTTGTGGGCAGGCGTCAGACCATGCAGTTCTTCGCGGTCCTCGGTCGTGTCCTCGCCTCTGGCGCTCTTGGACATGATTCTCAGACTCGGGACACTGTCGCGCAGCGCCGCAATCTTGTCATTGATGTTGGTGCGGTAGCGCTTCTCAATCATGTTGTGCGCCGTCTTCTTGACCGGTTTCTCCTCCTCGTCCATGTCGTCATCGTCGTCCAGGTCGTCGGACATCTTGCGCTTCCTCGTGTCTGTCCTGCCTAGCTGGCCGGTCACTTCCGGCGAGGAGCTCGCTCCGTGCTTGAGGTCGCTCCTAGCCGACTCGGGGCTAGAGGCGCTCTTTGGTGAGTTGTACTGGAGGTGAGGGGGCATGGCAATGTGTCGAAGCTCCTCATGCGACATGGCAGTCAAGGAACGGGCCTGCGCATGCGTGGTGGCAGGAATCTTGCCTTGCGGGGCATACACAGGTGTCGGTGTCAAGTTGCTGGGCGGCGGGAAGCCGTCGAAGGAAGGGGACGAGTTCGACAGGGGTTGGGGCTGCGAGAAAGCCTGGGGCTGGTCGTAGGTCTGTAGCGGCCAGGTTGTAGGCAGGGCGGAAGCCTGGATCGGAGCGGCGGTGCCGGCAGAGGTGACGTCGAAAGTGTCGAAGGGAGGGGTGACTTGGAAGTCCCACGTGGAGGAGGTGCCAAAGAAGGGCTGGGTGCCGGCGTCGGTTTGGGCGTTGGTGGAATCTGAGTTGGTGTCGGGGCCGGCCGTGGCATCGCCCATGAAGCCAAAGACGGGCTCATCGAGCCCGAAGCGGCCCGTGGAGTCCTCGTCTGCCATGGGTGGCGGATGACCCAAGGGTACGGGTCGGTGTGGCTAGAGTGGAAACGAGATCAGATGTCGAAGCCGAGAGTCAGGTACGAGCAGGCGCCGGGACGGTGGATGCGGCGAGCTTGTCTGGCCGATCCACGAGATGTGCCAATTGCAGCGGCTCGCTCGAGGGCCAGCCCACTGGAGGAGGCCTAGCCGCGTCTGGCTGTCGAGCTCGTCAGAAGGAACTCGGGGTCCTGTATTGGCGAGTTGCGCCGATTCGGGCGGCCGTGGTGCGTGTGCGTGCGCGCGCGTGTGTGAAGCCTTCCTTTGGGCCGCTGGATGGTACGAGGTGGATGGGGTGAGTCGATTGCTGAGGTCGTGGTTCGACTTTGTCTGCAGCCGCAGGGCTAATGACAGGGCAGAGACGGGTCGAAGCGAGAGGATCGCACCACGTCGGGGCTCAGCAGCGGGGTACCGCTCCTCCCAACGGCTATACAAGAGTAGGGGAGGGTCTGCTCGCGCGGTCGTCCGCCTGTGTCCTTTTAAAAACTCGCCGTTGTGCGGCCGCGAAGGAGTCGGGATTGTGCAAGGCGGCAGCGCCGGCGTCCTCGAGTCGAAGGCCGGGCGAGGGCAGAGGCAGCGCGAGAGGGGCGAAAAGGGTCGGACAGCCGAGCTGGCTAGCCGGTTGCAATTGTCGGGCGTCGCACGAGCGCAGAGAGAGCTGGGAGCGCGTTTGGGCGCCGAGATGGACTGCGACAGCGAGGTCAAGAAAGAAGAAAGAGAAAATTACCAGCGATTCAATCCTGCCTTCGCTTCTTCCTCGGGTGGGAGGTGACAGGGAGTCGGATCGGCGCGGCGGGTGCTGCAGCAGTGTTTCGGAGCAGCGTTACGAGCGGGAGGCTGTCGATGGGATGGGGATGATGGGCTGGGCTGGGCCACGCTGGGCCACGCTGGGTCGGCTAGACGGGTGCCAGGCAAGCCAGCCTGTGAGGGGTGGTTTGCCTGCGGAAGCCCGACCAGTGGAGCGCGGAGCCACGGGGAAACAGGTGTCGGCCACGCAGCGCAGGGGGGGTGGGTTGGCTGGTGAGTTTGATGTCTGGGATCTGGAACCTGCAACGACGGGCAGGGAGGCGGCTGTTGCGGGAAGCGGAGCGAGGTGTGGCGACGAGACGCAATGCCGCTGCGAATGTGATGAGATGGAATGCGCTGCGAGGTGATGCGATGCGATGCGATGCGATGCGCCGCGCTGAGGAGGAGCAAGCGTCGGCATGAATTGGGTGAGTGAACAGGGAAACGGGCCAAGGCGAGGCCCGGCGCGGGAAGCTGGAGGCGCGGAATAATAAAGGACGATGGGCGCGCAAAGCCTTGCCTGCGTTGCACACCTTGTGGAGGCGACTTTCAGGTTTGCGCAAAAAGCTGCAAGTACAAAGTACTTGGGCGCGCTCGGGTCCCACGAGAGGAGCCCGCACTTTGCGTCTCTACTACCTGACCTACCCGTCCGTCGGCGTCGTCGGAGCTGGAGCAACGAACACTGACACTGGACCTCACCTCGCAACCGGGCAGCGGCGCGAGCGATGCGCCGGCGAATCGACGTCGCCCCCGGCGCGCCCCTGCCGTTGCGCAAACACCCCCTTTTGCTCTCGCAATATCGCCGCCTTTTCCTCTTTCTCTCTCCCCGTCACGCAGGAACCAACGCCCGGTGGTTTTTTTAGGTTCCTTAGGCAGGTATTGGCTCGGTACTTGGCGACCTGCGTCGCCCGTACCTCAAACGGCCAGCCGCGTACGGAGTTCTGCCGGGCGGCCAATCCTGGCGCCGCGATGACAGGAGGAATCTGCAGCGGCGGACACGGGCGGTCCAGGCGCCGCGACGGCAGCCATTCACGCCTGCGACGAGGTGACGGGAGTTCGGTCAAGGTGACGGGTCCTGGGCCAGGGCCCTCTGCCTCCGTGCGGGAGTACAAGCCCCGCCCGTACCGCTGCCGCGTCGCGCGTGCCACAGGTACAACCTGGGCCATTTTGGGCTTGGAAACGTTAGCATTGGCGGCTGTGTCAATCACAGCGGGGCCCAGGGAGCACGCGGGCTGGCGGGTACTGAGAGGCAGAGGCTGCAGGTGGACAGCGGCGAGCGGGTGCGTGGTGGGGTGGGGCCGCCGGCGCCCGCCCGAGATTTGTCGCAGACCGGGCGGGTGGGCGGCCAGCCTTGCGGTGCAGTGCGGTGCGGGTGCAGCACAGTGCCGTAGGAGGGTGTCAAGGGTGTGGTGTTGCGCTGCAAGGCAAAGGAAAGCAGGATGGGGATAGCGGGATGGCAGATGCCCAGTCGGCGGCGGCGGCGGCGGCGGCGTCGCCAGTGCAGAGGGTGGTGAGGTGGGAATGTGGGAACCGGTGGGTACGCGGTGCTGCAACGGGCGGGACCTACGAGTTACTTGCGGGTTGGTAGGCAAGGTAAGGTCGTGCAGGCTGCGTGCACCCGAGCGGCACCCGCTGTGCTGTGCAGTGTGTGCTGTGCTGCGCTGCGCTGCTTGGCCTGTCCTGTCCTGTCCTGTCCTGTCCTGTCCTGTCCTGTCCGGTCCGGTCCTGTCCTGCCTGTCTTGTCTCGGCTGCCAACCCTGATGGCGGTCGCGGTGGGGCCCCTTGGGAGGAAAGAAGCACTCATCAGCGTGCGCGGCAAGTGCCGGGTGGGGCCAACATCGTACGATTCGGATGTGGGCGACAGATGCGGTGCCCGGGCCCCGGTCCCGGTGGGGTCACATACCCGTGCCATGCTTGCAATGCCTGCCTGCCTCGCCTGCAATGCCTGCCATGCTCCTTCCCGCTGGTGGTGAGCGCTGACCTGCATCGATTCCGCCCGTCGCTCGCCTTATTACCGAGCCTGGCGGCGCGATACGACTCTATCTCAGGTAATCGCAGAATCGGCGGGTGCTCAGGCCTACCCATATCGCCCGCCCCGGCAGTCTGGGCGCAATCGCCTCCCCGGAACGAATCACTGGACGCCCGGCTTCCTGTTCAGGGGGGCCATACGAAGGACGGTAGTCGGCCAGGTACGCAGCGACGCGTGGGTGAGAGTGGAGGTGCTTCTGATGCTGTGTCAGGACTCGCACGTACTAGTCGCCGTCGTCGCTCGCATTGGCATCCGTGGATCCATGCAGCCAAGTCGGCCAATACAGTCAGTACCCTCGTGCTTGGTACGAATGCTGAGCATGCGTCAGGTATTGGCACATGCCCAGGTCAAAACATGGTCACGACGCTGCGGGCTGCAGCCTGTACTCCGTGCAAGTACGAGTACCGACAACACCTCCAGGCTGGGACCAAGGAGCGTCGAGGCCCGCCCAGTCGCAAAACCGCACAGGGATGCCTACCAAGTAGGTCGCCGTCAAGCGCAGCGTCACGGCGTTCCCGCCAGCCCGCACAACAAGTTTTTCTGTGTTTTTTTTTTTTTACTTTGGTTTGGTCGGCGACGAACCGGTGGCAGACTTGGTCCGGACCCTCGGACCATCGGAGCAATCGTCACTGCCGTGACGACGGCATCACGTCCCGAGATGGGACGGCGGACGGCTCCTGGACGAGGTCGTGACGGCATCTCGATGCGCCCCATATTGATCGCTCTCCTCGTACGAGTCCCTGGCCGAGCAAGCACCCATGTCGAGATCTCAGCATCTCCGGCACTTCCTCACGCCGCTTAGATGGCCGCCGGACGCCGGCACACCAAGCAGACACGAGCAGAAACCGAGAGTGCCGTGCCGTTTTGGAACGAAGCCACTGCGCCAGGCGTCTGTCCCAAGGACGCAGAACCATGGATCGGTTCATTGACTCTGGCTTCGCCGTCCGAAGCGACCCGGTCCACGTGCGCGCGCCTTTCCCTTCAAACCAGGGATGACGCGCACCAAAGTATAACGTTCTCAAAAACGTACTCCAGCAGTGTCCCCACCTGGACCCCTTTACGACTGCCAGGTCGTTGCTTGGAATGCTGTCAAGCAACCCCCCTCGGCTACTCCGTAGACATCGCCGCCACGGAGTGGGCACGATCCAATTATGGCAGCCCCGTTCGCGGACGCCCTCTTTTCATCGAAAAGGGCATGACTACGTAGCGGCAAGACGCTATGCAGGCCATCGAGACCACCACCATCGTGCTTCATCCTTGTCAATACCATGCCGATTGCTCGCTCCCACCGGCAACTTGGATTTCCCACGGGGTTCCAGGTGGTCTGCATAGGGGTTTCTATTGATCTCTGCTCTGGTACAAAGTACAACGCACAAAGTACTGTGATGCCGGCCTACATGACTCGGAAAACGCATGGCAATAACATGCAACAGCGGTCTCCCTGAGCTTATGGCTCGTCTCACTTCAGATGCCGCTTCGAGCAGACTGACCCCGCAGGTGACGGGATGTATGTCAAACACAGCCGCAGCAGGCACTCGAGACCGGATGAGCTCGCCCAGTGCCGAACGTCAGTCGCCCCATCGCACCGGGGCTCTTGCGCGTACTTTAGCCCCGTCCTTAGGACGCAAGTCGCGCAAGGCGGAGTGCCTCCCGTCCTCCGAGACCGTCCCTACCGGCCCGGAGAGCCATTGTTTCCGCCGGTTGGCGATCCAACTCCGCCGAACGGCCTTCCCCGTGCCGATACTGTGCGGAAGGCGGACCCACCGGTATGGAATCACAGTTCTGGTAAGGTGCTTGTAGGGCCTACAGATCTAATCAAGTGATCCACCGTGGCAAGATGTGCAACAGCCCACGAAGCGGGTTTGCGCAGAGCGAGTCTGTCCTGAGAGGGAACGTGTGATGGTCTGGCGGTGTAACGAGCCAGGCTGAATGCCGTGGGAGCATCTCGCTCGACGCTCGGAACCTCGCCGATGCAGCTTCGCAGGCACGACTGATGCGCTGCTTATCCCGGGTGAGCATCTGCTCGGCTGGATCGTATGTCGACGTCGACCGGAACAACGTATGTTTGCCAGGCGACGTGTTCGCAGAAGCAGCGACTTCACCTCCAAGGATCAACTACTACCGCATATTCCGCAACGGTCGTCCAATTTACAGACAAAGCTCCACTCGTCCGGTACCGCGCTTTGCTGCCGTTTGACACACAAGCCGAGATCAGACAGACAGTGCTCCATTATACCGCCGGCACAGCTGGGGTTTTGCGGCGCAGCAACTTCAAGCGACATTTACCAAGGCATTGGATATACGTATGACGGTCAACCTTATACGAACGGCGGCTCCAGCAGGTGGTGGTGCGCTAATGCAATGTGCAACTCGGTACCGCCAATCCGGCGCTGTGCGGTTCAGCCCTACGCATGGGAACGCTGAGGTGAGGCGCGCCGAGAGCCGAGCGCGTCTTGTCAAAGGCTAAATGAAGACAGCAGAAGCAATGTGCGAGTTTTTCACAAACGTAGCCCAAGTATGAGATACATCGCAGACTCGCGGCCTGCAGCGCGCCGCGGAGGCCGAAAGCTGCAACGCTGCGCGCCCGGCGATGGCGCAATGATATCGTGTCCGGCGTCAACGCGCACCAAGCCTTTCTAGCGGCGCCTCGATGGTCGTTCAGCTCATTAATTTGGCGTCAGTGGTTTGCTGGGCTGCGACGCATATCGACGATCGGCCAGCCTTGAGCCTGGCCCGAGCCAGAGCAACACAGGGGAAAGGCGATATTAGACGACGCTCCTAAACGGGACACGGACGATAACGGCTCGTCGCCTGGTCAGGCTCGTCCGCCCCCTCCGGTCTCTCTTTGCCCATCCGGTCCACGGTACCCTTCATGTAACCGCAGGCAATCCGGCAAAAAGTGCCGTGGTGACGGCATCGCGACATGAGCCCGCCGACGCATGCCGAAAAGAAGAGTGTTGCAGACTTCTCACAGGCGCGTTTCTCAAAGCCCCCCTCTCCAGGCATCCCCCACATTATCGTGCTTGTCGCATCGCCTTCCCCGACTCTCCGACGGACTTTCTGTATGCGGCCCACCGACCCTGGCCGGCGCTTAAACTTTGCGACTCCGCCACGTGCGGGCGAGACAAGGGAGGTGCTTGGGGGGTCACAACGACATGCTCCCCCCACGCAGCCACACACGTCCCCTGCACAGGCCACCGGTATTTTCCGCCGTCGTGAGACCCAGGACGACGCCGCAATGCCAAGCTGGATACTCACGGCAGTCGTCTTTGTCTGCCCTGAAGCGACAGCCGGGCGCGGATGGACATGCCTCATGTGTTGCGATGACTGACTCACGTTCCCTATACGTTTGCTCCTCACGTCAACCTTACTCCCGGTCGCGATGCCCGCGCGGTGTTTCGCATGGCAACGGCCGCCGGTCAAAGACCGACATAACAGCAGTTTGAACCCCCAGACCAAGACAAGTTACAAGATGATATTCTCCGGTCTCCAAAGGCTATATGCCGACACCCGGATAGCAGGACCAACCCCTGCGACAACTGGTTTGCCACTTGGAGGATCAGGTTGCTGATGCATCAGGTTGTTCCTCTTGGTGTGGACACGATGACCGCTTCGACCCCATGACCTGCAGCTGGGCATATCATCGCCACCCGGGTGGGTTTCTTGACTCGCCCTTGATCGTGAAACTTGCGAAGCGCCATTAACCGCCTGTGGATACAGAACTCTGTACGCGTGGAGACGGGATCCTGGGGCTGGAGAAGCCATGCGCAATGCTTGAACTGTCCTTGTGCTTGAGAGAATTCTGGATCCACCGATGTTGCTGTAGCGAGAACGCACCATCACGGCGCACCCTCAGAGGCACGAGCTCATGCAGGCGCGGTTGCGATGAGTGCATCAGTCTGGCCGCGGCTCGCGCTCCCAAGCGGGGGACGAGGCGCGTCGTCGCCAGGATAACGGTCTAACGCCGTAATGCGACGGCGCCGGGGGCCGCAAGGAGAGTGGATTTGTCAATCACGGCCCTCGCTCCGGGAAAGCAATCCAGCATTTACAGGCCTCACGACGATTAAATCCCTGAAAGTGTCAAACCCTGATGAACTCTCCTCCAGCCCAGAGGAAGAGGGAGATTGCCCGAGGAGGCACAGCACCCCGCGAACGTGCCAAGCCCAAGGGAAACCTTCACGGCATCCGTATCCGTGGACTTTGCCCGGCGTCGCGGTTCCGCACCGGATGAGGGGCCGCGTCAGTGACAGCAGAAAGAGGAGGGGGGG